ACAAGAGATGCACCACCCCAAAATCTTCGAGAACGCGCAAGAAGATATCAGCCAGATCTTCACCAGTATGACGATCTTCGGGGTGTTCAAACCCAATCAGAAGCTCCCGTTGCTGCCAGTTGTCGTCAATAAAATGGGCCGTGATTGCAAAGAAATCTTGCCCCCATTCTGATGTCCAAAGATCGAGGGTAAATGAGAGACTTACTTGCTGCTGCAAGAGCTCCATTACCTCGATCTTCTTCTCTTCGTAAAGCGCCGCAATGTCTCTCTTGGCGGTGTCGGCGCTGACTGGCTCAGTAATCATACCGTTGCGCACCGAAGAAGCAGTGGCAACCAGTTGACGGAACTCGGGCAATTCGACAAGCGTAAACGGAGACTGGCTCTTCACCAAAAAGCGCGAAACAAGACTGCGCCAGGTATCTCTCGTTATTTCAGTCGCAGGTTGGCCTAAAGATACAACAGGAACGTTTTCAGGTAAGCATACTAAATTGTCAAATGAAAAACACCTGAGAGAAACTTACTTTGAGCAACAAAATTGTCCAAAGGTCCACTGACAGCTGCGCTGGAGTGTCTGTCAGCATTACTTTCCGTGATGCCATGCTGGTTTTTTAAATGTCGGCGGATGTTGCTAGTTGAATAGTCTCTGTTGACGTAAACTTTTCGGCAGCCCCTCACCTTATAAAAAAAAAGGGTGAGCGACAGTTGTTGTCTGTAAGATCAAGTCAATTTACCTGGCAGACAATGTGCGGAATGCCTTCCTGGTTTTCACGGCGAGCAAGATCATTGGTGAAGATCCAACTACGCTTGGTTCGTTGGCTCTCCAAAACATCAACGGTAGTAAACTCTTCTTGAGAGCTGGCGAGCACGGAGACGTCGGTATCGAAAGAACTGGAAAAGCTGGACATGGTGATTGAATGGACAAGCGGTGAGATAGTTGTTATATGTAAAAAATACAGTAATACTTTCCTTTCACCATCGTATTTTCGTCCGTATATATATATCTTTTTTGTCTTTGCAAACGACAAAAAGCAGTTACAGAAATTGGATTAGTGAGAATTTTACCGCGCTACTGAATTTTGGAAAAAAAGTTCGGCCTTCCCTTTCTTGGTTCTAGCCACATTATTTTAGCTTCTTCATTCCCTACCGACCTGACGATGACGGCCATTTCTTGCACCCTTTGCCATTCTAATGCTTAGCTTCTTTTTTTTTGATTAACTACTACTTGCGTCATCACTCCATCTTAGTGCCTTACCTCTAAAAAAATACAGACCAGAGATGACGATCACTTTTTACGCTATTTTCACTATTGAACGCCTTCTTTTTTTTTCGATTAGCTTACTTGTAATATTTCACTCCGTCTTCATGCTTACCACTAAAGAAAAATATGGGCAGATATGACGACTACTTCTTGCGCTAATTCGTTATTGAAGCTTTCCTTTTTTTCAATTAACCACTTGCGTCATTCACTCCGTCTTCAATGCTTACCATAATTTTTTCCCAAGTATGATTCCTGGTGTGCCTAGATTTGCGTTGTAGTTCCACTTCCTAAGATATGCTGTTTACCCTAAGTCAGTATACTCTTCTTTATAGTTTTGCTGGCCCAGGAACTTACAGCGAACTCCGACTATTTCGGTATCGGCGCTACCGCATCTCGCTATAAAAAAAATGTTTTCGGTCAGTTGCCGTATCGCCGGCATCTCATCTCGCTATAATACTTTTCGCCCATTTCGCTACTGCCAATAACTTACTTGTGAATACACTCCGCCTTCGAGCTTGCCATTCAAAAAAAAAAAAATACAGACCAGTGATGACGGTCACTTCTTGCACTAGTTTACTATTGAATGCTTTCCCTTTTTTTGTCATTAGCTTACTTGCGACAATTCCCTCCATCTCCATGCTTACCAAATAAAAAAATTATGGACCAACGATGACGACCACTTCTTCCGCTAGTTCACTATTGAACGCTTTCCCTTTGTTTTTCGATGAACTTACTTGCGACATTCCCTCCATCTCCATGCTTACCAAATAAAAAAATTATGGACCAACGATGACGACCACTTCTTCCGCTAGTCTATTTAACGCGTTCGCTTCTTTTTATTTTCGTCAACTTACTTGCGACATTCAATCCATCTCCACGCTTACCAAATAAAAAAATACGGACCAACGATGACGACCATTTCTTTGCATCATTAAGCCATATAGTCCTTTCTGCAAACAAACTGACTAACAACGTTGGCTTGCGCGGCCGATTTATTTACTTAACTGCAAGGAAGATATTCTCGAAGGGCATGCAGTTAATTATGACATGGAATGGAAGTAATGAAGAGTTGAAAGAGATGTAAATAAACCTCTTGCCTTCCCACCAATTTTTTCCAAGGTCTTTTTTCACTGTCACTGACCCGTATGAACCGAACCGAACCGAACCGTACTTCTTTATAGGTCGGGTCGGTTCACTTCTCTCATTGACCCGTGATCGGGTCGGTTCACTTCTCTCATGACCTGTGATCGGGTCGGTTCACTTCTCTCATTGACCCGTGATCAGGTCGGTTCACTTTTCTCTCGACCTAGGGTCGGGTCGGTTCAGGTCTTGACCCGACCCGACCCGTACAGTTGCGGAACCCTAATATGAACCCTATCTACAGTATATGACAAGTATGCTACTTCTTCGAAGTGAAAACTCTCAGCATACTATATCAGTGTCATATCTTTGAGAAATCATTCTCAACCTTTGCAAGTAATACTGTAAGAATTGATTCGATATAAAGATTGTAAGAGAGAGAGACTACATACAAGACATAATTAAAGATGTCAACAAGGCATTTGAAACTTGCAAATTTCTACAGTACCTACAAGAAAATACATTCTGGACGTGGCTTAGAGGTGCATCATGCTGAAGTTGATGAAGCGACAGAAGACCAGCTGCACTGGCATGGATGGTGAAATAGAGCATGGAGCATTGCTATGGTATCTCACATATCTTCTATATACAGTATAGTAAATCAATCTGTATTATAAATGATTTCTCTGGTGAACCAGGGCATTTCTGACTTAAGTGTGGTTTGATCACCTCATCAGAAATTCTTCAAAAGCAAATTTTCCCACTGTTGTATAGATAGGGTTCATATATCACTACATAAGAATTACCTCAGTTTAAGCAGATAAGAGACACTAGAGTAGTTACATACTATTTGTACATTCAAATCCCGATACCAGTTATTATCTTTGAATACTAGATACTAAAGAGATCATCTCTTGAGAGAATAAACAACAGTCTCACCGTACTCAACGTCTCTATCCATCTATATCACACCCACAAGCTGACAGCTGGCTTGAAAAAATTGAGTGTGAAGATGACTGCTCTCAAATGATCTACATTAAGAATTTTTATGGTTGATCAAAATAATGCAGATACTGTAATTTTTCTCCAAGACTCGGTAATGATGAGATGACTTGAGCCCGACCATCCCATCTTTCAGCACGAAATTATCAGGAGCTCAGGATATCTGGCGTTTGAGCTAATCTCTACCAAGCATACATTATAGAGTGCACAGAGGAAATGCGCTTGTGTGAAGCGATTTCTGATGTGAGCAATAGACTCAATACCTTGCTTATAAAAGTTATCCAGGTGAAAGAAACGAACAAAAAGTTCAAGTAGATACTGTATATGCAAGATCCTTTTTACTGTAGGGGATTAGATTATGCAAGGTCATTTCCAGTTAGTTCCTGGTCCTTTGTTATTGGAGATGGCATTCAGTTTGTCTTCAGAGCAGTCAATGCCAAATGTGTCTTTAGCCACTAACTCTGTTGCTTCTAAGGAACGCCCCTTTATATACAGTATAGTATAAGCCAGTTTGTAATGACTGTAACAGACTTGTGGAGAGAATGATCAGTTGGTCTTGCTCCAGGTCTTCCAGTTATTTAACAAGTTGAGGAAAACTAAGAAGCCTAATAGTATTCAAGTGACAAGGGTATTTATTTAGATGAGGGTAGTACTACAGTATACTGTATACAGTATGCATGCTTAGATAAGTTATTGATATACAGTAGAACACCAGTTTTTCCATACTCACCTCTGGATTATTCATGCAGTCGAAGATGTGACATGTAAAAGAGAGATCAGTGAAGTCGACACTACTGATATCCTGAAAAATCAGCGATCAACAAATACAATAAGTGGTTATTAGATAAGCTGTCTAAAAGCATCAGAGCTCAACTCCATTGAGTATGGTGATTTTCTTCTTTTCAGAGTGCATTATGCTCATAGTTAGCTTAGTTTAGTTATATTACATAAAAGAATAATAAATATTTATCTTGCAGTGCTACACAATTTTTTTTACTTCACTACTGTAAGTGCTATGCCATTCAATACAGTACATCTACTGTATCTAATCCCATTTGATGCACTCAGCACCAACGCTTTATGAAACATTACTTGATAAAAGTTATGCTAGATGCTACAAATTACAGTATACTACATGGAGAATGTGCATGACAATAGTCATGCAGAAGCATTTTAGACATCATTACTGTATCTGTAATTCAGAGTTGATTTTGGTTTTAGGTACAGTAATATTTTCTAAGTAGTCTTTTAAAATTGTTACATTTACCATAGAAAATCCGTAATAATCGATGTGATTCAGAGTGTTGATACAGTTCAATATCTATCGGAAATTGGGAGGGTTGATTTAGAAAGTCCACCCATTCGCTCTCGATCAGATTTTCAGTGAGCTTGTGAAGATCAAAGCTTCTGCTGATGCTGAATCCCCCAAGAAGCATGCCTTTGTGCAGTAAGACTTCAATATAACATATCATACAAGCATATTTTAGTCCAACACAGTATGCAGTCGCTGTTATTTATTACACTAAGGAGATGGCATATCGATATCAATGAAGGATAATATGATAGTATATCTGCTAGAAAGTCTATACGGTAGAATGACTTCTCAGGAATATGATTGCTGGTTCTGTAGATAAGGGCAAATTTAGTTATGCAAGAACCTATGTCTTCCAAAACCGAGAACGTGATTGCCGAAACCAAGCATGGTAAGTTTCAAGAAACTAGCAAATGATACTATCTATCAGAATATTGACGGACTGGTAATACATAAGAAAACAACGAAACTTGCAAACGGTCTACAGAAAACGACGAGTCTATGGACCAGCAAACACTGAGTAATAATGACAAGCTCTCGAAGAATAATCACCTACTTATATTTGCAGAAACGGATGATGAAGAAGACCAGCATGGCGCAGGAAGTCTCGATGTGGGTGACATCTCTGAAGGTAGTGATCCGCTGTATTAATTTCCCTTTACCATAACCTTTCGAAAGCTAATAATAGATGACAAACTTATCACAGAGCCTCTCAATCTGGTTTCTGAAGAGCAATTTTCGCCTTCCTTGTGGCCTGCTCTTGATTTCATCAAGGAGGTTTCGATTCTCTTCAATCCGTGCAAGATAAAAAGAATCTAATTGACGAGATCATAAAGTTGTAAAGGCCAAGCAGGCCAGAAATCTCCAGAATGTTTGTCTCATCCTATCGGCCTCAAGATAAAGGACGGCCTAAAAGGAATACTACCAACATGAACCCCGCCAACGAGAATACGACAGAGATGCACGCATCCAAGGACGTGCCAATGACGGATGCATCGGATGCATCACCGACCAAAAGGCGCCAAATCTTGTACGAGATAATAGCCGAGAAAGAGGCCAAGAAGGCAAAGTTGGAGCAGAAGAGAAAAAAAGGAAAGGAAAAAGAACGGTATGATTACGAGCTAAACATGATATCTACGTTGTTAATAACTTCCGTCATAACCACAGAGATCTGGCAACCATGAAGATTGTCATCAAACCAATCAGTTACTTGAACATTCAAGATCCACAAAAGAAGAAAATGACGCTGATTTTGGATCCTGAAGCTGATGGTAACTGCGGATCCCCTTGCATTGCATCTGCTATCCATGGTGACCAGAATCGTGCACTGGGTGTCAAAGAGGATATGTTGGATTGGTTCAACGAAAACAAAAGACGGTATCTATGAAGGTGTGCGAGACTAGGCCTAAATTCAACTGACATACCAATGGACAAAAACTAGGATCGTGGAAAAGGATGTTGTTGCCAATACACTGAGCAACTTTGATCGGTATCCACCAGATGATTGCTGGTTCGACTCTTTGGATTGTCCAAAATTGTTGCCGACTCTACATCGGGCTGTTGCTGTGTATTCCGAAACAGATAGCAATGTCTTGTATCTCCTTCCCCGCTCTGAACCACCCGAAGCTTTCAAATTAAACATGCTATATATCGAGCAGATAAAAAAAAGCATTGGTATCTTATTGCCTTTGAAAACAAATACCGCAAACTGGATTGGCCATCACTTTCTCCCACCTACAAATCTGCATGCCGCAGATTGGGCACAGAAGACAACAGCGTTCTAGATAATAAAATACGGATAATACAGAAAGTGAAATATAGAAGATTCACACGAAAAGGTTGCAAGATGAAGGACGAAACCGAGTGCCTGAAGAGGTCATTAGTGGAAAACCGAGTGCCTGTAGTGTTGGCCGTATATGCTGATTCACATTGAGCCCAAATTACCATGACGTTACACTAATTGAATTTTCGGATTTTCGGGTGTATTTTCGCGTGCATGTAGTGTTGGCCCTAATATAATCGTCTCGACCAGTTCAGATATACGGGATAATCATAGTCTGGATGATGGATGCGGATGGGAACTTGATGCAATGATAGTGAGAGTTCTCGCAGGCATACAGAAGAGAGGAGAAAGCAAAGCAAAAAGAAACAAAATATGTGATTTCCTATATCCCCACTGATGCAGATGCATTAATGATGGGCTGCACAGATCGAAGCATGTCTGCTCATGTAATTGTTCGATCATTGAAAAATAAAGAGAAAACAATTAAAGCACATAAATAGTATTACTGAGGAATAACCAAATTAAATGATGCTACAAATAGCAAATGGCCGTATTCACCAACCACCTTCCTTCAAAAAGGGCTCTACCCACCTTGTATTCGAACGACGATGATGCCCTGTTAACCACAACTGGCGTAAACGGCACTTTGCTTCTGATTATTTCGCCTATTATTCGTGGAAGTGTTCGTGGAGAGAAATTGGGATAGACTTGTAGAGCGCTGATGATTGTTAGCGTTGCAAGATGGGCACCGAGGCAAGTTGAAAGGTAAACAGGTTCTGATAGCTTAGTGTAGCGCAAAGGATATTAAGATAGCCTAAGTGTAGAATTTACAAATCGCGAATACTGATATAACAAGTAAGACAAGCTTGGCGAAAGGTTATTACCGATTCGACTGCCCCCAATGCAAGTTGACGAATAACGATGCCAACGCACTGGTAAGCAAGAAGGTCCGGGTTACTTCGCCGATGTAATGACTATATCATTGGTGGTTCTGGATTTGGGACCGGGATATTAACGCTACGCATCCTCACGGCATATCAACTCTGGTTACCAGAACGGTTATCGACCTGCTGCTTTGTGTCGTCCATTAGCACTGAAGATGTGCTTGGCGGTCAAAGTGCCGCCAACCAGCTCCAGTGAGTTCAGCTCGCTGTTGAGTCTTCTGGATGCCTTTGGTAAGCTGTGCTTAGAAATTAAATTGTCCAGTGCGATTTTTTTCGCTGATGGCCTGATATGATGCTTAGGCGGGGGTAACACAAGGGCATTCAGAGCTGCAATGATCATAAAAATTCCTCTCCATACAAAAAGAGTCGAGTAAGAAAAATAAAAATCAACGGTGGAATAAGTTTAATCTCGGACAGCCCTTCGATGCAACAGTCACGTCTTTAAAAAAAAATCTTGCGCAGATCCGCGACCGATCCATTTGTGCCAAAAATATGCTGTTACAAAAGTTACCCAAAACTCGGTTGTTCTCGAGCTTTCAGTGGCAGGCTTGTACTTGTGTAATTCGCAATGCGTCACGGTTACAAATCCCACAAACAAGACAAAGGAAACGACGATGGACACCGGAGGAAAGTAATAAACTCATTCAGTTGGTGAATGAGAAAGGAAAGGCCTGGAGTCTGCTCAGTAAAGAATTTCCCGATCGATTACCGTCTTCGCTTTTAACGCATTATAGGCTACTAGGTAATATATAATACACACGAGTTAGTGGACTTCAGTATTAACTGTGCTACCTAGCTGAGCGAGGATTTGATGTCAATAAGAAGCCAGAGAGGAAGTTACCAGTAGGAAATTGGAGTGATGCAGATACGGAGAAGCTCAGACGCCTGATATTACTTCACGGTTGTGATTGGGATATTGTGGAAGAGAATTTTCCAAATCGGACGAGAAAGCAATGCCAAAGACGATGGCAGCAAATGAAATTGGAAGAGGCAGATCTTTGTAAGTATGAAAATTTCAGCTGTCCATATGCATTGTCTCATATCGCGTGAATATAGCGAGTTACACACCGGAAGAAAACCGAAGTATTATCGATGCGGTAGCAAAATATGGTACTCAGGATTTTGGCAAAATTCGTGAAGTCACCAATAATTGGCGAACGGCCTCTCAGCTGGAGCAGCACTATTTTAACGAGCTGGACCCCGCCCTGAATGACTCGCCGTGGACCGATGAGGAGGCTTGGAACGTGTATTATCTTTGCAATGAGCTAGATGGCGAAATGGTTCGGGTACAAAGTCGGCTACGCAAAAGGAGATCGCTAAGGGCCATGTGGGAGCAATTTGCGCGTATACAAGAACTGGTGACTGCAACGAATCAAGCGAAGAAGGAAGACAAGAAATAACGACAGAATATGTGTAAATATTATTCATTATTGTTACTTTATTTGGGTTGGAGTTCAAGGTATTCGGCCACAAAACTGCGGAAAATGATGGCAAGGTTATTGACGGTGGGTGCATCGATGCATTCGGCATTATCCTAGAGAAATACCATAGAATTGAGTTTAGAATTCTCTTAATACCATTATCTGTTGCATCTTACTTCCTGTTTATGCCACACATCAGGAAACGGCGAGGGAATGATGTGGAGGATATTGACACCACGTCTTAGAAAGGGAACGTGATCGTCGGACATGAGTTGCCCTTGATAGGTCATGAATGAGTCCGTAACAAACATAGGTTCCATCGGTTTCCCTTGGTTGGTGGACGTAGCCAATAATGAGGCATCACCTAAGCGTGTTTCCAAGTTGACCAGTTGACGGAATAACCAATCGGTGGATCGATAGTAATTTGGAAACTGCGGATTAGGCGTGCCTAACAGATCGAGAAGCACCAGTACTTCGATTTTATTCAGCGTGGTGTCACCTTTGTTTTGCATTTGTTGTTGCGAGTATTGCGTCTCCCACTCTTGTGCCAAATGACTATGATTTTTGTGTATTAGCAAGCAGAGCTAGCTGAAATTTGTCTCACAGCTGTGTATTTACCGCGCCCCATAAGTAGAGTCGCCGTCGCTCCAACTGACAAAGGCTTCTTCTCCGTCAAAGAATATCAGCTGCAGCGACATGTTACCCTTATGGCTATCTAAAAGCGGATTCATAGTTTCCGCCAAATCCATCAGGATGGCACATGGAACGGCAGAATCGGTGGCACCAATAAATTCGAAATCGGAGTAATATTTGGAATCAAAGTGAGCTGCCAGCACTAGCCTGCTAGCTGCGTCGGGATATTTGGTAGCAATAACATTGGTGAAGTTCTTTGCTCCAAAGGGTGTAGAATCCGTGAACTGATCCAGCTGGACTGACCAACCAAGCTGCTCAAAGTGATTTGCAATGAATTGTTGCACACGGACATTACCGGAAGTCCCCGAAACCCTGGGTACCAATAATGGCGCAAGCAAATCGCCATCGGCGTCCAAGCGATGCGGCACCGAAAGAGCAGACAAAGACTCGAGCTCTGGTCGCGACAGAGCTCTGTATGCCGAAACACAAAGAGACCAGTAGCTCAGAAAGTATATGGCTATCCCACAGAGGACCACAACCATGATGACTGCCGATAAAAACGGATTGGGAATTGCCCAGCAATTTAAGGCATGAGAGTCACACTCTGTCGTTGTTGCTGGATATAAATTGTTGTCCCGCCAATCCCCGACTCTGGGCACAAATTGCTCTTTGACAAGGTTTAGAAAGTCCTATGGCATATATAAAGCTTTCTCCCTGGACGACCTTGCGCTTGTTTTCATTCCTGCATTCTCTTCCTCCTTCATTGCCATCACTTAATTAATACACAGAGAATGATCGTCAATTCTGTTGTGATGTTGAGACCGTTAACCTCGCTTCCTGTTCGATCGCACGCCATGCGTATCGTGCCAGTGCGGTTATCTACTTCTTGTTGCCACAAAAAGAAGGAAGAGCCCAAATTTTTCAGCACTGAATTCTGGTCGGATAAAGTAGCATGGCAACGCACACGTGTCAATACTTTAAGGTAAGAGCCCTGCTCGGTCCCCACCGATCGCTGCCTGGGTTTTATCCTTACGATTCATTTTCTGATCCAAAATTGTGTTCTAGATGCCTGATAGGATGCACAAGTGGCGACTTTTCCACCATGTGGTACTTACAGCTATATCACCCTGATCTCTCTCCCATGACCAGCATGGGATTGGCAATGGTAAATCCTTTTGACGGACGTTGTGGCGTAGGACTTTTGTGAATAACCGAGAGCCTTTCTGAATAGATGGCGGGTCTATCAACATCGCTGATCCTGGAAACTGTGCTATTACGTCGTTCGATGAAGGTACCTTACCCAGCAGCATTCAAAACAGCAATGGGGATGAGTTTTGCTTCAATGATAGCCATGGAATTAGCCGAGAATGTAGTGGACTGGCATTTGACCGGAGGTCAAGTGCTATTCCAGGACCCCAAGTTTTGGATGGCAGCAGCGGCAAGCACTGTGGCAGGATACGTGGTGCCATTACCTTACAACTACTGGCGCTTGAAAGCTCTTGGTAAAGCTTGTCATTAATGCAGAACAATTATGCCAAGAGGAACAGGGTGATTTATTTAGATTGGTTTTACTAAGAAAAGCATAAAATATTGCAAGATGAAACTGACTATTTACAAGGGTGAGAGGCAATGCAGAGTATGATGTGATAGTTTTTCTGTTTCTTCTTTTCACTCAGTGAAGGTATAATTGCTGATGATTTGCCAAATTACCCAGAGAATGAAACCTCCTTTGGCAAGTATCGCAGCGCAGAACAGTGGAACGATACTGTTTTACAGATCGCCATCCAAGACCATGGGGAAGTTCTTCTGCGGCTTGAGAGTATATCGAAGTGGGGTTGGAACTGACAGAGTCGGCGCAAGATGACATGATACTGGTTGTAGATGAGGTGGAGGAAGAGGTGGAAATGGAAGGTCTGTGGATCGTCGCAGTTGTCATGCAGTTTTCTTCGTAATCATTGAGCGGCCACTGTGAGTGCAAGCATGACATTGATAGCATGTATTCAGAGGAAGGATCGATTTGATGATTCATATAATCCATGAATGACGGAGTATGCAACGATGCATATGATGATGTGATTCTATTGTGAAAGAGATGAGGGTACCAAATCACTATCGGAAAGAGAAATATAAAAAAATGTGGTAAAAAATACAAAATAAAAGGTAGGCCGGTCTATTTATGCTATTTTTTGTGTAATTTGACAAAAGCACAAAAACAGTGACTTGTGTGAGAAAAAGGCTAAACGAGAGAACGGCGGATATGCACGAAAACAGAAAAAGAGGTCAAAGATATGTCATTTGAGACATTTTACAGTTCAGGTTATCGCCGACATGAGGAGAATTGTATGGAAGCAAATTGCGTGATTTCGCTCTGTTGCATTTATGTGATTCTCTATCTTCTCTTTTCGTGCCACTCGTGATCCAAGTAAAGTCATCAGTTTATGTTTCACAACATTGACCCGTGTCAATATTATTCTAACGCTGCTTTTTTTCCAAGGAGCTCCAGCAACGGTGTACGCATATTGACTTCCTGAAAAGATTCAAATTGGACGGAGTTGACCCGTTTGATTGAAACGTCATATCCACCCCGCACGAATGATCGGGTATCAGTTTCACATTGACGACCACGATGCAGTGAATAATGAAAGCTCAATGACACCATGAGAAACCGGAATGGAGGCTCTTCAGAATTCGACTCTCCCCACATGACGAAATAAGCAAATGCGAAATCTCGGCAGGAAAAGCAAAACAAAATTTAGGAGCTCCTACCCTGATCATCCCGGTTTCGGATAAAATTTAAGGTTTGTGAGTACTCCATTATTGCATTCGTTGCAGTTTGACTTTTGTCTGGCAGAGATAACTTTTCCCAACTGCAGCTTCTTTTGATATCAAGTGTACGTAAATATTGAATATGTGCATACAACCTATGACTACAGACAATTATCTAAGCAGTCATGGCCAATACCATCACTCTCATCGTTCCATGACAACCCGATTTTTTTAGAGTTTCCCCACATTTCCCCACCCAATACAAATGGCCTGACATGGAGAAAATATGTTGGAGGGCAATTTGAATATCATAGTAACAGTTCTATATGCAACTCTCCTATCCAGAACACATATATTGCTACCAGCACACTCATAGCCAAAGAGATGGATCGCCTTTTCTCCAAACTAGACGGTTGCAAATTTTTTTGAGGTTTCTCAGACAGTGTAAATTGTATACATGCTTTAACGCATGGAAAAAGCAGCATTTATTAAAAGAATGAGCCATGGCATTTGTAAGTAATAAGGACGACTCTTGTCTGTTTGGAAGAGATTTCTTAGCTTCTTCACTCGGTAGGCAATGTGCACCATGTCGTGATAATGGCTGGGCAAAAAGAGGTGAGTTTCGCGGAAAAATGCCAACTCAACGGGGTTCAAAAGTAGTTAGGCTCCCAGCACTGCTGGACGCAAAATTGCGATTCTGGGCCTTTCGTCATGATGATTGTAAATTTAGTGTGGAGAAATTGCAAGACATTCTGCCAAAAAAAAGTTACAGGCGGGCAAGAGACATGGTGCCATCATGAAATATAGCAATGAAGGAACCTCTGCTGGTAAATATGCGAACAGAACTCTCTTGGATTTTCTGTAACCTTGGCAGTTAACGGTGCCGACGGTTTGCGTTGTGCCCTAGTTGGGGGTGCCTTTCAGTTAGAATATTGTCATTCATACTAACATGTAAGTTATACCTGCCATAACGCCATCATCAATAGCATTAGGCGCTACAGAAGGTTGTGATAAAACTCAGTGACGATAAATAAAACCAAAGCCATGATACTTGAGAAATCATGATGACAAAATGCATATACAATAGTTACTGCATATTTAGGACACTAAGCTTGAGTAAAGCGAGTGCAACACGTTTCTCCAATTAAAGGGATATGAGCCATGCTTTGTTGCGCACGGAACCTTCAAACTAAGCCGATTCATGCACGCGTATTTGAATGGAGTAACACATTCTGTAGCACCGTATGTGGCGAAACACATGACCCCAGGATATGTGTTTAGATACGTTGTCCAACACAGACATAAACCACTGAGAGAACTTTGTGCACAAAAATGAATGAAAGTGAGAATTATCTTATCTTTACTCAAGAAACGAAGGGCTGCATTCATAAGGCAACAATGAACAGGCGAAAGGTCTAAGCGGATTGGGAGAAAAAAAATATAGGGAAAAAAAGGCCCAAAAAAATTCCACGTAAGCAGCAAGTTCGCAGTCCCAATATTCACAGTGTCCAGGAAATCGTAATGGGAAAAAACAGTGAAACGTTCAGAGTCTTTCATTATAGATCATGGTCGCTGTGGTAAGAGACTGCCCACTTATAAATGAACACGAATATTTCTGCAAAGCCGAGTTCCTAATCAATCCGTTGTGGTTTCCTCCCGAATTAGCAACTTACTGTTAAAACCCTGCAACAAAAGCAGTTCAAGATTGACGTAGACACTACCGATTCTGTATGCACTGGACGCCAATTTTGTATTTTCGAGTGACAATATTAACATAAAAATGTTAGGTTCTCTCCGTTAAGCAGAAGATCGAACAGTCTGAAGGTCATCCCGTAGCTCAGCAAAAGCTGATCTTCTCTGGTACTTTTACGTTCTTCGCGTTTTCTCCACGCGCGGTGATTCTTATTCTTATCAATGTCAATAATTAGGCAAAATTCTTGCCGATGGTAAAACTGTGCAAGAATACAACATTACCGAGAAGGACTTTTTGGTGCTCATGGTTTCCAAGGTATGAATTATGCTAATTTGCAGCATGTCGAGCTTCAGGTTCCCTTGACTGATTCGTTGTTGTTTTTGTAGCCAAAGGTTACTCCCGCAGCCAGTGCTTCTGCTTCGCCTGCACCTGCAGCTACACCTGCGAAAGAAACCGCCAAAGAACCAGAAACCACCACCAAACCAGATGCTGCAACGCCCTCTGCTGCGCCAGCCACGCCTGCTGAGCCAACTCCGGCCGCTGCGGCTCCCACTCCCACCTCGCAGCCAAGAAGCGGTGAATCAAACAGTTTGGGTAAGAAGACCTTGTGCTGCTCACAGCAGTAAAATAATCATCCTCTGTTGCTAAACGTATGCTGTAGTCACTGGCCCTGAGTATGAAGGCGTTATTCAGAACATGATGGAAATGGGTTTTGAAAGAGAACAAATCATCCGTGCCCTCCGAGCAAGTTATAACAACCCTGATAGAGCTGTGGAGTATCTGTTCAACGTGAGTATAACATTGGTAGCGGCTATCCGTGGTTTTTTTCCTTGAGCTTATTGAGTTTGTCTGTTTCGCAACATTGTTAGGGTATACCCGATAACGTTCTCGACGAGATTCAACCCGCTCAGCAGCAGGAAGAGGACAATACACAGCTTAGAAGTGCTGAGAATGAAAACACGCAGGCAACACCCTCTTGTTAGTACCATGGCCTTCATATGACTTTTCTCAAAGCTTGTGGACTAAATAGTATGTCTAGTTGACACTCAGAATTTGTTTGCAGCGGCTCAAGCGCAACAACAACAACAACAGCAGCAGCAACAACAACAACAAAACACAGCTGGCAGTGTCGATTTCTCCGAACTGCGAAATACTCCTCACTTCCAGCAACTTCGACAACTCGTCCAGACAAATCCTGCCGTACTTCAGCCCTTATTGCAGCAGTTGGCGCAGTCTAACCCTGAGCTTCTTCGACTGGTGAATGCGGATCCTCAAGGTTTCCTCCAAATGCTTCTTGAAGGGGGTGACGAAGAAGGCAATATTCCACAGGGCTCGCAAGTCTTACAGGTAAACATCTGTTGGAAGCGCTCCCACAAAAAGGGTTACTTCTTATTCATCAATATTGTAGGTCACGCAAGAAGAAAAAGAATCTATTGACAGGGTGAGTTCAGCGAAAATGGTGTTTTTTTCGAGCGATTTTAGTGTAACCATGAATCAAATCCTTCTGTAGCTGGAAGCGATGGGTTTTGACCGAGCCTTGGCTATCGAAGCTTTCTTTGCTTGCGACAAGAACGAAGGTAAGTAATTTTTGGCTGGTCTTGGAAAGGTGACACAGATTAATTGTTTATGCTTTTCAACATTTAGAATTGGCAGCAAATTATTTGTTGGAGCACGGTGCCGACTTTGACTGATTGTTTTCTTGGGGGACCTCGTATCCCCAACTGTTGGATCGTCACAATGAATAATACGATTCTTCACCAGATAACTGCTTGAAATAATGAATAGTTTATCGGATTTTATTACCTGATAACGCTTCTAATTTTCAGAAACGGGCTTCTCTTGTGGAGGTCTTGCTTGTTGTATTACTTTTTGTATTTTGCCTTTTTTTGATGCATGTTGTCATTTGCCATACGGAAGTGCGGAAGAGAAAAGTTGGGGAGTTGAAAGTTTTAAAGTCACGGCGATTTTTGTGATGCTGCCTTCCACAAGCGGTGCTCAACTCTTCTTCCCCAAAGCCTCGTTGTCTTTAAGCAGTTACCGAACAGACTATATTTCATATTTCTTTATTCTCACAGGTCTTTTTTTCTTTTGATGGACACAACAACATCAGGTAAATTTTTCGGGCTCCCGAAATACTAGAATGTTCTTTGTGAAAAAGAAAACGGACGAACAAGGCATTTTTGTCCTGTGAGGCGGTGACAAAGAAAAAATTATGCCGTTCCAACCTTGCGCGTTATGAGCTATTGTTGGTTAATGTTGTTCACCGTGATCATGTAGCATCGATGATGAACATCAAAAACAGACAAGAGTCGTTCACCGCTCCGACTCCGCAGAATACGCCTATCGATTCTGCTCCTATTACTTCCAACTACCATCCCACCATTGATAGCATATCTGAAGGCATGGAAAATATGAACATACTAGGTAAGATGTCTATATGGATCCTTCTTTAATGGAGTGGGTAAAAATTATGGTACCTGATATGTATCTATACTTCGCTATCATTAATACAATTGAAGGCAGATTGCGCTCTGAAAATACCCATGCATTACCGCCGTCGGTCCAGCGACGTGTTAAAAGCTTGAAATATTTTCAGTCAAAGCACGCAGAGCTTGAAGCAAAGTTCCAGGAGGAAGTATTGGGGCTGGAGAAGAAATACCTGGATTTGTATCGCCCGCTTTATATTAAGCGACGTGAAGTGATCACCGGGCAATACGAACCCACTGATGAAGAAGTCTCCATTGGTGAGAAAGTGGATGCTGAGGAAGAGATCGCCCATATCAAAGCAGATGAAAAGAAGGATGAAGACGATAACACTAAAAGTATTCGAGGCATTCCCGAATTCTGGTTAACCGCCATGAAAAACAATCCACAGGTTGCTGAAAATGTGACACCAGAGGATGAGAATTTATTGAAGCACCTCGTTGATATTCGCATGTCTTATACGGATAAACCGGGTTTCCGAATCGAGTTTGAATTTGCCGACAACGAATACTTCACAGATAAGGTTTTAACCAAAGCCTACTATTATCAAGATCATGTTTACGGTGGAGAATTTATCTATGACCATGCGGAAGGTTGTGATATCCATTGGAAAGATGGTAAAGATCTCACAGTCACCATGAAAACGAAAAAGCAGCGACATAGAGGTATTGTAGCATCCTGTTTGGTTCATTCATGTGCGAATAGCTTGGTCAAAACGTTGTAATTTGTGGCACAGGTACCAACAAAGTACGCACGGTGAAGCAAACAGTACCCGCAGAGACGTTTTTCACATTCTTCCAACCACCTACTTTACCTGCCGAGGACGTGGAGCTGGACGAAGAGGAAGCCGAACGTTTGGACGCGAAATTAGAAGCGGATTATGAGATGGGTTAGTCTTCCTCAAGGGTCCTTGTTTTACCAATTAGTGACGCTTAGACATCGTATAGGTGAAGAATTCAAGGAAAAGATCATCCCTCGTGCGACCGATTATTTCACTGGCAAAGCCCTCGAATATGAAGATTATGCCGAAGATGAAGAGTTTGAGGTACTTTAAAATACCGGTCTCTTTTACTCCAGCCTTATTGACTTGCTTTACACGATATTTTAGGATGACTTTTACTCAGACGAAGAACAGGAGGAGGAGGACGACGACGACGACGAGGAAGATGAAGCCGACGAAAGTATGGTACGTTTACAGTTATGCCTGACTGACGCTTAGTATCCTTTAATAATGTACCCTTACTTTTCGGTTTTACAGCAACCTTCCAAACGAGAGAATGCACCTGAATGCAAGCAATCGTAATTATTGTTGTTGAGCCACTGATATCACAAAAAAAAGCATATAATATATCTTCTACTGGCTTGACCTCACGCTTTGGATTTCATTTCACTTCATAGCGTTGCCTAAAGCGTCTTTGCTGTGTTGTATTTTTCCCAAAAAAAGAGGTTAAATAAGGAAATTGGTTAGTGCCATGGCTACCCGCAGGATATGCCAGGATCACCGGTCGCATAGTTAAAACTTGTTGACACAAAGACTCAGTAAATGTGTTGAGGTTATCATTTTCTATCCTCAACACTGCCGGGATTCTCCCACGACAACTCTAAATGTTGCTTACCCGTGCCGCGATAATCGACGGAGATCGCGCGGCGGAGCAACAAGGTGGCCGTCTAATAGCAACTTATAAACCGTTAAATTGAAAGTGGAAGTACGGATACAAGCATACAAGCATAAGGATTAGAGACGACATCAGCATGTACATAATCGAAATGATTCAAAGTGAAACTTCCTTGTGTTCAGTAGAAGGAAAATATGGGGGCTTGTCTGACGAACAGTGCACCCGTGCAATCGGGATGTCGAGATTCGACTGACCGAGTGTTCTCGAACGTTGATCGACAGCATGCCTGACAGAAATAAGCCAGTGATAAAAAGCCAACAGTGGTTCAACTCTGTGGTAAATAAAAAGTACAGACATTATGATTGTGGAAACATGTGTATTTTTTTTGTTCTTATTCAAATTTTTAGGGAACGATCTGCTACTGAATATAGACAATACCTTTTTTCGTGTCATTTTGACCTAATGCTTTTCCACTGGTTGTCATTCATGCAGACACCCTATACGTTGCACAAATTGCTGATTTTTGAATTTGATGCATGTAGGATTGATTGTCAAGAAGGTGCTCCAAGGGTTGTAGAAGAAGCACAGAGGAAGTGAGAAAAAATGCTGAAATTGAAACTGTCCTATTGGTGCGGTACAGCACTGCGACAACAAGGATCCGATAACAGTTGACGCAATCTCTATTATGGGCATTTATAGGTTCCTGCTAGGAGACCAAATCATCAAAGCAGGGATAGTCGGGTTGCTCAAGGTTAAGGCGTACTGGCACCAGAAGCCATTACATTTTGTACTTTTGATATTGTTGATGGATGGACACGTTAGGAGAAATTACCTGTAAAAAGATTTGTAGGTCATGATTATGATAAAGCAACGTCGATGTGATCAACAGTGAAACACATTTTGCTTATGGATACTTTTTTCTGCAAAATGACAAGGATATCCACCATTCCGCATGAGATATTTCGATTGTTATGATAAGTCATCTTTAATTCTGACCGCCACTCCTCCCTTCTTTGCTTTTCACGGGAAGAAGAAAAAGTTTATAAAGAAAACAGGCTTGCAAAACAAAAGGACAAGAAACTAAGGAACAACCAAAGTAAGAAAGTAGGTCATTTAAGGGAAAAAAGAGAGAAGGAGATAAAGTCGAGATCGTTATTTTTTTACGAGGCAGACCGGCGTAAAAGTGTTGGGTGCAACCCGATTTTTGGTTGGTGGACACCGAAAAACGGAAGTTCAAAGGAATGTGCCCGCTGAGGTTTGCTGTATTTTGGTTGGTGCGCGCCCTTAATTTTCGAGTCACGTCATCAGAATTAAAAAAAATCTGACTTCTCTCATTCAAAAAAAATGGATTTTACGACTTACGAGCACGCGGACCTAACAAGAGGCTAGTTAGCGGGGCCTTCACCGCCGAGCGCAGTAAATGTGCGCTGAGGTCGTTGCAAGGCGACCGGTCGAGAATCGAGTCGATACCATGACTGGATGTACCGCTGTAAGATGCGTCGATATTGATACCAGCATTGATACCCGATTCCAGATCTGACAAGCAAAAAATATCGATGTTTCAGAAAGACTACAAATAAGTGACTTACCAGCGGATTGGAAATATCGTTTTCTGACACACACTGGGGACGAGCCGGGTAAACGATGCTTTGCCATCCGGCGACCTATACCAAGTTGTATTGATATGGTTTGAATAGTCAAAGAAACTTTGGTTAGTAAGCTTACCTGCAGGTCTTCTTGCTGGACATTCCGAACTGTAGCCGAGTATATTGCCTTCGTCGTCCAAGCGACGTTGTCTCAGCCTTCTGTCTACATCTCTCAATCTCTTCTTCTTCTTCATAATAATATTCTTAGTCAGTTTAAACGTAAGCATGATAAGTGACGTGAACTTACTTGCGATTACAGACGCGAAGCTGTTCATCTCCCACGTCGACTGTCGTGGAATCACATTGACTGCAAACTTTGCTAGTCAGGTATTCATCGACGCAAATCACGAGCGCTTTCTGTCCCAAGACTTGACGGAGCCGTTAAGTCAGTTAGTTTTTTGCTCAAATGATATATGCCGCGAGTTTATCACGACATGTCGGGCTTCCGTGGCAGCAATTGGAAATTCCTCTTTTGTCTGCGGGAAAGGCGCTAATGTCAGAAACAAAATCAATAACAACATCAATATCAATTGTCACAGTTATGTCACTGGTCGAAACCTACCTCGATCCCTACGTTTAATGAAATTAACAGATAACATCACCCCGTCGGTTTCAACGCTGTAGTAAAACTGCGTGTGTTTTTCATCAGAAAAGCTATAGTGATACGATTGATTAAATGTATGCTCGGGTAAAGAACTATGGAATCCTTACGTGTTCCCACGTCTGCCGCCCGCAGCCGGTTTGGACAGAGCTTATCCAGTGAGAAAATTTCTTCCCATAAGGTTTCTTTGAATAGATCATTCTTATTCAACCGCTTAAATTCCGTCAAAGTAATGAATGCTCCGGGAATTCATTCCCATATTGACTTCGTCTCATTCTCTGTGAAAGAAGCGATGTTGTTTAGTACATAACATCTTTTTTTTTTGGCTTACTTTGAGGATGTTCGGTACATTATGTCCGGAAGTCCATGCTTGATGTAGGAAATGTACACGCCAGTTCCATGGATAGGCACATAGCCTAAATATGCTGTGTAAGATGTTGTGTGTACCGTGTTTGTTTAAATGGAGAAGCATACCAATCTGATGAGATGCCAAAGGGAGAAGTGTCCATCTCCTTCCCTCATATAAGATTGCTCTCCGAAGGAGCCAAGCAGAAAAACGAAGAAGGCCTGAAATGTGCGTTGAACCAGTAACTTCTTCAATCGCATCGGCTGTGGTGGTGGTGCCAAACGACTGGTTGAATTCATGGAGCATATACCCATAAAATTGGCGAATCTGTTCAATTTCACCTGGGACACCTTCCCAATTGTCCATATTGAATTCTTTATGCTTAAGCAAATGAAGGACTGCGTCATTTCCTAAATTGTAACTGTAAGATGATATACGATCGAAAAATTGTAGGTTAACTAGCTAACGTTTTGCGCTTCGCGGTTGCTGGACTTCATTGCGCTTGGCGAAAGACCGCAAAAAGGCTTCCCAGACACGAAGCATGTATTTTTGATAATTCCCTCCCAAATGTAAGATGTCGTCTGTGAATCTTATGGTTAGATCGAAATAACCCATTAAAGTTTGTTTATTACTTGTATGAGCTTTGGAGGCGTAATCGTCTGCAAGATCCAAAAGGATTGGTGGCCACTAGGAAGCTGATAGCCTATAAACGAAGTATACGTTAACTTCCCCTGCAATGATGTTTTATGTATCTGGCGGCATAACGAACCTCGATTTACGGGAAGGAAAAAATACTCAAAGGTATGCCATAGGCCCAATTCCTATTGGATGTCTCTGATATTGGGCGCGTTGTTAAAAAAAATTGTCAGCGACTATGGAAACCGGAGGATGACTAATTCACATACCGGCGCCTCATCTTTGACAGCGTGCAGCTGCCAACATAAACATTTTTTATAGAAAAGCTTGTCATGGAGGGGTGGACAAGCAAAATGTAAGGGATTATTGGCCCATTGCAGAGCATGTAGTAGCGCAAATTGTTTGCGTCTCTTCGTAGTAGGGAATATTCCTCGGCTAGCGTCCTTAATAGTTGCTAGATTGAAAGATATTGAGCCTGCATTTTCCAAGTGACGTGTATGTAAAAGTCATCAGAGCTTACCCGCAGTGACTTGTATTCGGGATTCAGGAAAATGTAGACAGCTTTCGTGTATGGACTGTCAAGTACCTGATGTCGCGGATCGACGCTGGTGTATATTGTCTGCTCATGTGATCATAGGATGTATATCAGTATATGTAAAACAAATAGTAGTGTTGTTGTAAAGAAGTTAAGACTATATAAAGCAGTAAAATTAGATCGGTAGTATGGATAAACACAGGTAAGTGCAAAAAGAAAGATAAATGACGAAAAAACGTTAAAAAGAGAGAGGGAAAAAAAAAGAAAGACAATCTTTTTTAGAGGATCGAGCAGCTCTGTCTCGTTCACGTGACCCTTGTTTCTATCTACCGCAACTCTGCTCATGCTCTATCATCGGCTGATGGAAAATTTAAAATACAGAAGATAAAAGAAGCGAGAAGTTAGTGAGCACCAAATATACTTGACAGCTATATGAAATCAATGTGAACTCGGTCGAGAAGAGTGGTAAGAATTGATAAGAACAAAGAAACCCAAAAAGAAGGAATGACAGCAAGGGATACTTCTGTTAGGTGTGCACGGATTGGGTGAGAAATAAACCTCGCAAAAAGACGAGTGTGAGTTTATAACACAGATTTTCTTAGTAGACTGTATCCAGCTAATGATCAAAGAAAATAATCCACACGAAAATCGCAAAGGGCGGGAGATGAACTAATAGACAGGAACAGCGCAAACGGCAAATCAGGACAGAACTGGAGGACCCTAAAAAGAGAATGGAGTATGTTGATATCGGTGTGTTCATTCTCAATCATGACTGCTTGGAGGCCTCATGTATGACATCCATACACACAATAAACAAGTTGGACTTAAGCTGTATTGGTAATTGCCGATTTATTTAATTTGGAATAAACCGAAGACCTTGCCACTATAAATATATAACCCCACCTATTTACTTACCTCCAACTGCCATCGACTCATCAAAGCAGTTATTGACCATCCATCATCAGCGTTGTCAAACTGCATATAATACCCATTTTCGTTAACCTTCTGTCCCCCTCAACGCCAAACATTCATGAATATTTTCATGAAGTTGGAATCTCTTCTTCAAGATTCGTTGGATGACCTTGTACATATGCATGTAACCGATGGAAAAAGCTTTCCGGTTCGAGGGCCTCACCATCCCAGATCTACACGACAGGTTCAACGTATAACACTGAAGCAGAAGAAAAATTATTTACTTTGTCAATGTGTCGCTGTTCATACGAGGCATCCGATTGATCTGCGCCCAGGTAAAATTGCATTAGTACCTGCCCTTCAATCCATCTGAAAAGAGTGGAGTGGAGCGGGCCAGAAGTCCTCCAAGTACCTGGGACGTGACTCATGCTTCCAATGGTAAGTCACCTTGAATGGCCAGCGTCGGCGTCGAACGATGAGGCGGCGATTCTAGCCGTGCATCCACACCGGATGGAGGGACGAGTGCAGCACCTTTTTGCCTGAGGCACATATTTCCTTCCCCGCATGGCATTGGTATACAACGGAAAACTGGACTAGGCTCGAGGGACCCTTTCTGAGGAACTTACAACAATACTTGGCTTCTTGTTTCTCGATTTAATTTGAGCAAGCACATCCTGCGGAAATATCGAGACGGCAGGACATTCAGATGCAAAAGTCTTCAACAGGACGGATAACCGAGTTGGTAGTAGCTTTGATCACGTGATGAAACGGACATGCTATTGATAAGGTAAGACACACGCGCCAGCAATAGTGTTGACCTAGAAAAAATAGACACAACATATACCTTATGAAGAAGAGCGGAAAGAGAGGGAAAATAGACATTCAGCGGTGTTTATTTGTATTTTGTGACGCGCAGAAATGATGACATGCACTCGATGGTTGGTCCTCATAAACAGTCACAGTACAACGAATCACTGTGTGAGTGATGCTTTGCAGAGTGGCCAGCCAACATCTTTCCCTAGTCATGCATCACAATTACCAAGCCATTGTCAACACTTTCGGTGGTTTAGGAACGTTTTGTTTTTCCTTCACCGATGACGATGATCACACGGTCTTGGCTTTGAAAAAGCGTTTAGAAGCCAGTACCAGCATTACTACAGAAGAGCAACGCATTACTAGCTTGGGAGGCCGCCCATTGATTGATAGCGATGATATCTTTTGCGATTCCAGCGAACCTCGTTTTCTCAATCTTTCTTTGAGATTACGAGGAGGCAAAGGCGGTTTTGGATCCATGCTTCGTGCTCAAGGTGGTCGAATGAATGCTCAAAAAACTACCAATTTCGAGGCCTGCAGAGACTTGCAAGGCCGACGCATTCGCACAGTCAATGACGCAAAAAGGTAATATACTCATTAATATGCTCTGCATTCTATATGAGCGGCTGACACTGACATACGCTTTTCTCATTATTATGCAGACTACAAGCAGAATTGGATGCAATTCCTGAACGCGAGAAAGAGAAACGTGAAAAACTCCAGAAAAAAATCGAAAAAGCACTCAAAGAATATGAACCCAGGAAACACCTATTTGACGACAATCAGTTCTTGGAAGACCGTGAACAGATGGTGGAGAACGTTAAAAACGCAGTGGGTGGATTATTGAAGAAACAAAAAGTTGACCACAAGCCTGTCAAAGCTGCAGCCATTATCTTTGACGATGAAATGGATAGCGAAGACGAGGACGATGAAGAGGAAGACGACGACGACGAATTGAAATATGACAACGAGCAAACAGAAGTAACGGAATCAGAATCTTCTGCTAAGAGAACAAAAACTGAACCGAGTAATATCACCACAAGTGACGGGCAATTTAGCACAGGTGGCAGTTCGAAAGATAAAGGAAAAGGCAAAGCATTTGCTTCAAGTAGCAACAGCAACGGAGACGACAACGATGACGATAACGGAGATGATAAAGACTCCAAGAAGGTTTTAAGCGATTTCCTTTCTACCAACTACGACGAGGAATATGATAGCGAAGAAGATGACGATTTTGAAATTAATGAGGATGACGACGATGACGAAGAAGAGGAGGAGGAAGGAGAGGAAGCGCTAAGTGACGAAGATATTTTAGCTGAACAGGTACAAGCAGACGACAAGCAGGACACACAAAATGTTTCCGCTTCATCCTCCAAGGCCAAGGGCGAAGCCATGCAGTCCAGGAAGCGCAAAGATAGAGAAGAATAATGTTCCAACACCCTCACACTGATAGCGTAACGTTACATATCATATGTTGCCCTATTTCCATGCTCATCAATAAATATCCATTCGCAAATCGAGCAATTGCCGTCTCGTAGACCGTGCGTTGATTTGTTGATCAACCGTAGAGGAAGAATAGACTCGATTTTGTTTCCTCTTTTTTTGTTTCTATTATAAAATAGAGTGCTATACTGTTTCGTCATATAACGAAGACGCAAGTGGAGAGAAGCAGAATTATATACAAATTTACAATGAACCGAACATCAGTTATAATCGACACATATTCCATAAAAAGGCCCAAATCTTATGTATACAGTATTCTGAAACTCGTACCGTACTGCGCAAGATTATTATGAGCCGTTGTCGTCGGGTTTCGGCAACGCGTCGTATCGATTTTGAAGCTCAGTCATCTTATGAGCAATCGTAGCTCGCACGCTAGCTTGTAAAGACGGGTCAGTTGTTTCCTGAATAAGTTCCATAAATGCATTGATGCAGTCATCGATGGCTTCGCGCGCGGAGATAAGATCTCCTTGATAGTAAGCTGACCCTCGCGAATCCTCGGCGTAATTAACCTAAACAGCATTGTCAGTGATAATAAACAAATAAAGGCTTCAATTTCATTTTGATTTCTACCTCATCTACAGCCAAAGTGTACAATCTTTTGATTTTTTCAAGGTCTATGGCATGGTTTGATGACGACGACAATGACGATGTGTGGGAACACCTGCGACGAAATATCCCGGGCAGCGTCAAGTGAAGTTTCTCAGTTGTCGTATTGGCAGATTCTGATGTGGCAACGGATATTGCATCACTTGGCTTTGACTTCGATGGGTGGTCATCTTCAACTGCAGCTGATAACGTCGAACATGTGCTGCTCTGTGATGGTTGCCCTGTTTCTGATTCCGACATAGATAGAAACCTATTCATGAAACTCGACCATTTTGATTTCACAGATAAAGCGTGCATATGTGGCAACTGCAAGGTCCAAGAAACGAGTCAATAAAAAGAAAAAGAGTCAAGCTTGTCATGCAATAAAAGGAGGATTTATTTATAAAATGGTAGCAAAATGTGCAGGGGCCAACTTTGGCTAAAGGAGACCCATCATTGGGCAATAAGAGTTGATATTCGCTGACCGCCACCAATCAGTATTCTGCTTATGCGTCGTGAAGGAGAAATGAGGACAAAAGTAAACTACATCTCTACATACGTTTTACAATGAGCTCTACGATATTTGCTGAAATTGAATCTAGCAATAAAATACTGCTAGATAAGAGCAAGGCTTTGGTCATTGTGAGTTTCATATCCAGTATATTACCTATGATCGAGACATTTCTGACAGGTCTGCTTTGTGGATTTTTTGCTGACGAAAGTCTAAGAACATGATGGTGGTATACGTGGGGGAAAGATTCAAGGAGTCTTGGAGAAAGCTCTCTCCTTTCAGTGAATTGTAGGCTATTGGATCATTTAAAGCAAAGGATAGGGTATCCAGAGGAACGAACTGAGGCAAGTTACGCTGTAGTGATCTATCTGAATTACTGCTGCGCAAGTTATATTTGCTTGATATTCAATTTATTGCGATAGGGTGGTGACCAAGCTTTTAGCACAAAGAGTAACTAGGACGATTTTCATTTCTGCTTCTTAAGTTTCAATGTTCCCATGCATTCTTGCCACTGAGATGCAAACACTATTGGTTTTCAGGATCCTTTTCTTTTTGCCTCTGCCATCTGTCGCTGCATAATACAACGTCGCATTGGGGAAAAGAAACTAAGTAAATCTCCTACTTACCTAACCGAAGTTTTTATGCAAGAAGTCTGCCTGTAATCATATGTATCTGTCGCACTATTTGTGTCAAGGCGTGTTGAATCCGTGAGTAATACGATATTGTATGAGCAAAGAGTCCTAACACTTCGATTTCATATAAATGAAAGAAAGCAGGCTATCCAAAACAACATTCTCCAATTGGGTGGCCGCTGTTCGCGATCCATACGAAGTAGATCGATTCTCTTTCCTGCTTTCTTCGAGCATTCAACTCTATCCAATACGTCCTTCTTGTCAGAATTTGATCCAGCTCATTGATGATATTCATACTACTTCTCTGCGAGTCTAAACGCTTCGAATACGTAGATCCCAAAGGCGCTAGAAGATTCACCTTGACCTGTATGCTCCTTTCGAAGAGCCACATCACTCTACATTATTTTCAAAAATATGTGCCCCAGGAGAACCCCATGATTGACCGTGTACAACGAAGGGGATTGCGAGGCAAGAATACTTCCACTTGTTTGAGATGAAAAGGATTTTTCCATTATCAGAAGTCTAGAATCATAGTGATGCACATTGATCGAAAATATTTATTTACTTGAAATATTCCACCAGATCTATGTTCTTTATTTGACTTAAAGATCCAATAAACACAGACCACACGGGTGTCCTGTTTATGCAAGGCGTCCAAACGCCTGAAACGGAAGATCCTTTGACGTCTCACAATCTCCGAGCAAATTTAGTCGATGTCATTATTAGGAGAGCTGCTCTTGGGGTTATTGATATGCTGCAGTCAGATGATGAATCCGACAGTGATACAAGTGCATCCGAAGGCTCTCAGCGACTACGCTGTATGTGGATACAGAAGAGCCACACAGAAGAATGTCACTGATCGAATTCCTTCAGAAAGGCGGTCGACCTTCTGCTTTCATTACTGCGGTTTGATGTCGTTTGGAGGCCTTATTGTAACCAGGATAATTGGTAAAATTGCTGTGTAACCTATATTTATCATGCTGTTCGTATATTTTTGCTGGTATATCAAGTTTAAACTGAGATATTGTATAAGCAGAAAAGGATGGGTACTCAAATACTGTACTACCTAGCGGCAATCAAAGGCTTCGTCCTTGAGCAGTGGAAACAATTGCAACCCAGAAGAAATATCATCCATCCCTCCACATGATCGCCCTGACGATAGAAGAAATACTCTCGTTGTCTTTGGTAACGGATCCTTTTTCCCAACCTATTAAAAAGTAAGCTCCCTGCCCTTACCAGATCTGTCCTAAAACAATCACGACAAAATCATGGGCAGAAAAGTAACCAATAGAGTAATACCTGAAGATTACACTTACATTCAACAGCGACGCGTCCGAGTTGTTATGGTCCAAAACTTTTGACCTCTCAAACGGGACCCAAGTTCCAAAAGGGGCTTGAAGAGACAAGATGGAGCGTTCAGCCAGCAAAGGAGAAGGAGTTAAGTTCCATTCTGTATTTGTGATGCGAAACCGAAACACGGTGTGGAACAGATAATGATATGTCGCCGAAAAGCATCTGATCCAGTCTTTTTTACGTATGGCCAACAGTCAACGACGACCGGTCAGCCCATTCATGCAGAGTGAAGAGTAGTTTTCATGTTAACTTATGAATGCTGTCCAAAGCAGGAGGACGGCACAAAAAAAACGAGTAGTTTGTGCTCATTAGTTTAATGATCATATAGTATGGTAATGACGAATATGTTGTAATGGATTATAATGAGTAAGAAGGGAAGGGAATGAAGTTAAATGTGCATGATGTACTCAGAAATTCAGGCTAGCTTAAAACAGAGGTAGCGTGATCACCAAGAGCAAACCCAGCCAATACCACAGGATTTTCAAAGGACAATAACAATATAAGAGACTATACAATGATGCCGCGTCTGATGATGCGGAAGGCGCCACTTTGTTCAATCCATGATTGCTGTTGCTGTCATCACAGACTGATCGAGGTTTCGGCGATTTTACGTTGCCTTCCGTTGTATAGTTGGTCTTTGTTAAAACCGTAGAATATCCCATTGAGTCAAGGATACGAAGGATTCCAGGACCAACAGCGGATTTGTAGGTATGCTCTGTAATAGAACCGTTGGCAAGTGAGCTGTTATATCGTATGACAGGTATATCACTGTAGGTATCTTCGACAAGGTCTTCAAGCGTCTGCCCAGTAATGTAAGTGGCCGTCATCAGAAAATCAGGTTTCGTAGCATAACTGTCATCGACATGAGAGATGGACATGCCGGGACGGTTACTGGTGCGGTCCAGCTGTTCTAGCTGCGAATTGAGGACATCTTCTCCAGTTAACAGCGTCATGCTGTGGTAGGTTTGGTTCAAATAAGGATTGAGATTATAGGAACTGTTGGCGACAGTCGTTGGCGGGAATTTAAACTTGAGCGTTTCTTTCTGCGTCATTGATATCCAAAGTCGATTAGCGTCTATGGATTGAGGGGATGCGTTGAATTCTTTGACAAAGTTGATAATAAACGCCGCACTATCCTGAACGCAGAAATTTTGCATGTCGAATCCAAGATCTGATAAATTGACCGGTTTGGTGACGTTATCCTCATCTGTTTCCAAGCTAACCAGGTACTTGTCGAATATCATTGTTGGTTGAAAGCCGGTAATAAAAGTTGGGCCTGTGTTATCATTCACAAACCAATACGGTCCAGGCGTCACCAACTGAAGATCACGAGGGTCGATGATGCCATCAACAAGTAAACGGAAGGGTGATGCATCCGTCCAAAAATAAGCTGCCCATGCACTTATAAACCCTAGTCCATGCAACAATTCGTGTAAAACAATATAGCGAAGATCTACTTGATCAGGACCAATCGCCGTATCATTCTATCATATCGTCATTAAACATCTGTCATTGACTTCCATCCTTCTTTCATATATACCTGGAACCAAAATTTGCCTGGACCTGGGACGCCCGTGCCATTCCAACCGTGGCTCCGAGCTTTATCATAGTCAACGGCGTTCAAGTAGATATCATGGTTGATTTCGATATCCACATCATAGTCGGCCCATACCGATGTATTACTGTAGGGAGCCAACTGCTTCGCCAGGGCTTGCGGATAGACGTAGTTAAGATCGGCTCCCTCTTCAAAGGGGAGAGTGAACTATAAGTCAGAAGTTAGCATTCATGCGCTCCGCAACAATGATCTATCAGAATGTACCTGGGAAGTTGGTGCACCCCATGCCAAAGTACTGTTTGTGCAGCGTTTATCACAAAAATTGTAGTAAGTTACTCTAATACTGAGGGACGAGAAGGTTAGGAAATTACAACGCTGACATCCAGGTTGTATAACGTACATGAGGTCATTCTTGATGTCTACAACTCGGGTGAATTCGTCGATTGCAGATCGTACTGCGGTTGATACTTTGTTGCAAAAAGTCGTTGTGAAATTGCATGCAAGCTGGTACCGCACTCGTTTGTCGGATGTATCATAGACGGGTATCGTATTATTGGGACCAGAAGATGGAGAAGAGGGTGTTGCGATAGCTGTGGATATAGTAGAAGCCAATGCGGTGGAGATGGTTGAAGGGGTGGTTTGGGAAGTAAAGACAGTAGTAGAAGGTCGTTCATGATGAGTAGGATCGATCTCGGGAAGGTTGTCTACATAGTTCATCGCAAATGAAACGGATAAATCTTTGACGGAAGCAGCATCGTCTCCATATATTGGCTCTGTAGCTCCATATTTTATGGTAATATGTAGTAGAAAAGCATATAACAGCAGAATTCTGATGCTTATATAGCGTAATGTGAGTCCCATAGCCGGATAAGCCGCTTCTAGGGGAAGATTCCAAACATGCGGCAATGTTCCCCAAATCGTTTGAAACCCTCACATTGAGATTGGATTGGACGTCACACACCCAGCCAGAGAAATTACCATTTGGGGTTTTTTGGTCTCACCTTACAAGCTGAAAAAGAAAAGGTTCAGAGACAAAGTTTGGAACATCTTTTCACGTAGTTTTACCAAGTCAAAACGAAACCTTGATTTTAATAAAGTAAATTAGTAGTGTAGGATTGCCCCGCATTCATCTACAACATATCGAGTCCGCTTTTTTTTGTAGAAAAAAGGTGGTCTGCATAAGAGGAAATGGCAAAACGGCGACAGTCATGCTAAGCATTTCCTGCAATTTGGGGTAAATTTACATTGGAGGCGACATTAGCATCATTGAATAACGACTTTATTTTCTGGTAATGCTGTGTAAGGCTCTCTCATCGACTCGACAAAGGTTGGACTGTTGGTCCCCTACAACAACAACAACAACAACAAAAACAAAAACCAAAAAGACTCCAAAGGTGTTGTTGATTTTATCTGCAGCTTTCAATGTTCTGATTTAGTAATTATTATTAGCCGTTTGAACTATAGTACCAACACAAAACAGCTACACGCATACCATCTGCTTATATCTGCGGTACACAATGTGGACGATAAGAGCATACAGTAAACCTATGCGATTCTAGCAGCAACATCACGCATCCACAAGAATACCATTACTTTGAAGTTCTTGACTCTATCCGAGTATTGTGGGATTCAAACATATCTTATCGTTAGGATATCATGAAGTCTGGTAGACTATTCCAAAGGAAGAAGTGCCGTACACCTCATGTTAAACAAGTTTTTGTAGTATGTGATATATTTGTGAATATTACGGAGATATGTTATTTGGTTAAATGGAAAACAAACATAAACTTTAAGGTAAGCAAAGAAAACTGCATGCGTATGTAAGTTTGCAGGGTCCTTCTGTGATGATGAAAAGCCGCAATCAGCATTTGGCTTTATCTGCTCACCGTGGTTTGACGGCCGACGGTCAATGCTTCAGCAAAGAGTTCGTGGTGATCGACCTCGACAACGTTTAGAGATGCTAAACTTCATCTTACCATGGGAGCTGATCATCGTTTATTGTACATTGTGGAGAAACATCCTCGTGATTACAAAAATCAAATAACTCCTTCTCACCCCTGACCGGGCAAGCTTTCCTTTTTCTCTATCTGTACTTGCAAAATGACGGGTTATCTCCTTAAGCAAAAAAGAAGAAAGCGTTAAATAGCGATCATCCTGTATTTACAACGTTTCGCCTCTTATTATACCGAGGTACGAATGGCATGTATAATAGATAATAGCGTTTCAAGTGATAATTATTCTACATCCGCTGTCATGACAGTCGAACACACATCGAAATATCCGCGGTACGACTTACCCATTCATGCTCTCTTTTCCAAGCTTACACCTGACGAATGGTCCACGATCAAACATCAACTACACCAATACTGGCTTCATGTGTACGCTTCGATCTTTTGGATTCTATCTGTAGCGCTGAGTGTATGGAGAACACATTTTTCGCAAGCACATCAGCAGTCAACTATTGATACGCTGGTCTTCACGGAAAGCGATCTCTTCGAATGTTTTCCTCCATGGTGCACTGTGTTGGACGATGTTGATAATCAAGACAAGGCAACTTATAAAGACTCTCATGCACTATCCTATTCCCATACCGCGGCCATTACCTCCACCATGACGAACGAACCTTTGGAAATGAAAGACAGTGACTCCTTAATTCCGGAACAGCAGAAAATGTCATCCTTCAAACGCGTTATTAAAGGCCGTTTGAACCTCATCAAGCAGAAGCAACATTCGTTGAACGAATCTATGAAACGCTCCATATTCACACGTAAACAGTCTAATACAAAATTATTTGTGCAAGCCTCCTCTCCGACGTCCTCAATAGCGAGTAAATCGAGCGACTCCAAATATCTTCAGAGTGAACGACCGACAGAAATGAAACGACGCATGTCAGATTCTCTACTCAAATCGCTATCACTGAACAAATCTAAAGAAAATCAACAAGAGCAGCGCCAGGTGCGCCGACGCCAACCGTTGGATACGCGATCTCTTTCATCTGCATCCAGTGATTCGTTACTGTATGACACCATGCAACATCCTTTGGACATCTCGACTGTAAAATGCAGCAGCAATATATCAATATTTAGCGAATCGCGTCTCGGTTCCGAGAATTCCTTTGTCCAACTTCGACGTAAAACATCTCCTAATTTCAAAGGAAATACTCTGTAATACTTTTTTTTCCTTTGCTCTTTGATCTCGCGGAACCACCAATTTATCTCCAACGACAGTCTCTTGCCCTTGTTTAGTTATTCTCCATTCTTTATCAGGAGTAGCTTGTTTCGAAAATGACGCTTATGAACTTTTCCCAAAGATATAGAATTTTATGACATAGTATGAATAGCTTTTCATCGATAAGATTTCAAGTAAATAACAGCCTGTCATTGCTCTGAGAAGCCGAAAAGGTTTGGCATCAAGATAACCGGAATTGGAAAGGGAGAATAGGCTTGCTTTCATCAATGGTGAGGAGTAGTTCTTTTTACACTCTGGAGTTCCCTTTCCCCAACTCTCCTAAAGTGCCATATTTTCACATGCGGCAATGAAATATTTCACGTTCAGTGACACCGTCGCAGGCAACACTTGCAAGCGTTCTTCGATATGCTTCGTGTCTTCTTTTCCTTTTTTGGTATGCACGTGTTACATTAAAATACAATAGTGATTAGTTCCAGAACGGAGCAAAACCGTTGACTCAGAAGAAAAGAGGCGGCTTAAGAAGTTGGGAATTCGTTGGCTCCACACAGCTGAGAAATCATAATTGGAGGGGAGAAACGTTAATTAATGTTGAGTCGATCTTCAAATTGTCCTGAATTCAGACTGTATTTCTTTTTGTCTTTCACCTTCAGTGATTAATTTTTTTTCATCAAAGATTCTGTAATACCAAGGTCTTGTTTGCCTTTTCTGTTTATTTTGCTCTCAATGCATCTGTAAGTCATCTCCGATGAGAAGCGTGCCATTACAACTTCACTGCCGTTACAGAACGAAGTTCTCATTTCGCGTTTTGCTTTTGTTTTGTCGGCTTTAGTTATGTAAAACACGCCGCCCTTATCAATAGCTGTTATCCCGAAAAGGAGGGCGAGAAAGGACCACGATCGTCCGAATTGAGCTACCTCAACTTTTATGCTAGCTCTCGACCGGTGAAGTTAACAAAAGTGGGCAGCTTCCTGGAGAAGAAAGTCGAGCGTGATATCGCAAAGAATCGAAAGCAGTAAGTCATTCGCAGCTAGTTGGAGATTACTCAGGCTCGCTCATCAGTTTTCAGAAACAACCATGTTTCCCTTCACATTGTAAAATCCCTTATCCAGTCTTGCCACCGAGATCTCAATCTGTTTTCAAAATATGTTGTCCGAATTCTTAACATGATGCTCGATACCCGTGACATTGATCTGATTGATCTCACCTGTGATATTGTAACGTTTCATGCCATAGTGTATGCTCTGTATTTTATCTGACTGTATTTGCTTTAGTTCGTGGTTTTCGGTAGTTACCATGATGGATCGAATTTGGGTATGGATGCCGAATTCACTGCGGATTTTGAAACTTTGCTGAAGAAGTTTGCGGGATTTTGCGACGAGAAAGACGGCCGTGTGGGTATCCAGTACGTGATAACAAGAGGAAATTCACTATTGTCGCGGGCCTTATATTGTTGCCAAATTATTAGGATGCAATATACGGGTCATAGAGCTCTTCAAGCTGCGGTTACCTCGTCAGCTTTACAAGCATCCAATTTCAAGGTACAACTAAACACCATTTTACCGTCGCTTATGGTTACTTTGGCTGCTTCAAAAAAGATGAGCAACTTGCTTGCGCAAAGGTACGCAAGACTGTTCTGCAGAGTGATCTTTCAGAGACTAATAGCTTAAAGTAGCAAAGAACATGTTGATATCCGAGCTTCTGCCCTCGATAACGAAAGCGTAGATGAGCATACTGTCGATTTGTTAGCAGCTCAGACGATGACGATTCTTTTCAACAAGTTGAACGGTGCAGCTGTGCGATTAGCATTAGCTCCTCTGTTTAGGTACGCGAATATGTCTATTTCATGGTCAATCCACTGTCCGTCGTCCTAACGGAGCTTATCATTGATGGTTGAACGTAGTTTTTTGGATGCTAAAGACAAGTGGTGGCCGCCAAACTTTGCAGTGTCAGTTATGGAGCTCGTTTTGGAATCGTTACAGGTAAATCATCTATATAATCCGCCGTTTTAGCTATTTACTAAGCACATCAGTAGCCACAATATCGATATCTCCTGGTGTCAGAAATCTTACAACAGGTGGATAATGCCAACTCTGTGCATCATACCTATTTGACTCCAAAGCATGCTTCACTGGTATCCATCCTGAATACAATATTAAATGCGAATATACCATTGGTGGGTATTTCAGTTCTTGAAGTATTGAATTCTCTTTTTACCCACTTGATCAAATCGCTTCAACATTGCGATTTCCGAGAAACATGCGATTCAAGCGACACCCTTACAGCTACATATGAATATGCTATTCACCAAGGCCTCACTCACAGCATTGGAGGACTGGCAACACAAACGTATTATCAAAATCAACCGAATGATATCTCTGGATATATCATTGCGAAGTTGCGTGCAGGCACAACACTAAAAGATGTCGATGGTTTACCAATCGCAGAATATCGAAGAGTGGCATTGAAGTGCCTGGGATTACTGGCTCAACCTAGAAAGGAAACGAACATCGAGGAAAATACGGATGAGACACATACTGCACAGGGTACCATTAGTCTTGAAGCGTGGGTTCCAGCGCTCGGCCTGTTACTTGATAACCATCCTGGTAATGCAAATTTATGACGCCCATAGTTACGTATCTCGAGCATGAACAACTCATTACCTATTGAAGAAACGCGAATTGAGTTTGCTGTTATTTTGACGAATTATTTGGAATCAACAACGGAAGCAGAGTCTGCCATGGAGTAAGTCTTCAGATTTGGGTATAAGGTAATAGAGACTTATAATAATCATTGGTGCTCATAGGCCATTTCCTAAGGTATGAGTTATCAGTCACATCAGCGAAATCACGAAGTATTGATGACTTGGTGTATCAGCATCACTTGAACCAGCACGGCGATATCCTGTTTGTGAACTCACTACATACCGTCATTGTCCAATGGATCCAACTTGCGGATTTGAAAGTGGGTGACGCAAAAGCCGTTTACGAGTTGTTGTGTGCTTTGACGAGACGATTCGGAGCTGACGGCACTATCAAGAGCTTCCCCGTCATTTTCAAGCTCCAAGGCCTTGTAAAAGACGGAACCATCAATCAAACAGCAAGACAACGTACCGTGGCTGCTATCACGACTGAATGGATGCTTATGATGGCCGAACACTATGCTGTTGATCGACTTTACCGATACATCGAATCATTGAAGGAACAACGCATTAACGGCAAAGAGTATTCGTCTCTATTTTTGAAGGATATCAACACGGACAATGTCGGTGATTTTGAACAGTTAGAGCCCGATAATACTACCCCCGTCGACAAGTTTATGGATCGTCATGTTGTTGTGGAGATCATTTCTAAGGATAGTCCACTACGGGATGAAGAGGATACACATGGGCTGGACCTTGAGAGCAAACTATATATTGAATGGGGATTTGAGCCTCTTGGTAAGCATCTTTGATGCGCATTTGATGAGATTACTATAGATAGTGATGTTTTCTGTTCATGTAGTACATCAGGAACGTACATTCCGAATCCGCACCTCACGTAATCTTGATGATTTGAAGCCAAAGCTGGCGACGCCCTGGACTGGTACAGACTTCAAGGTAAAGATGCAGACTGAAGCCACTGAATTTCATAAATTCGACGCATAATTGCCTAATGATCCCATAGCACACTCAGCAACATAAGAAACAAACGATCAATGTGGAAAATTTGAAAGAAGCATTATGTTGGTATTATACAGGGAGAGCAACTGCAACGCGGGTAACTAACTTTCACATTAGCCATACAACCGTTGATGAATGACGTCGAGGAACCAGAAGCCGATTCCTTGGAGATCCTGAAAAAGAATGATAGCTTGGAGAAAAGCAACAAAGGAACGCGTGCGGATATGTCCACTTTGCTGTCATCTCTAAACCTTGGATCCAGTAGCGAAAGGTATATAAATTTTTTATGATAGTCTAAATTTTCATAATCATTAACGTTAATTTCATAGTGCCTCCTCGCTCGTCAACCCGCCCTATAAGAGCTGATAATTGTAAAGTGCATTTAGCATCATTGCAATAAAAAGCTTCTTTTCGATCGTAAGATGTCCCTTGAATTATCATTATTTGAAACCTTCAGAATATTCACTCTTTGTTGCTGGCAATCTCGCTTGTCCTAACCAATTGCCGGGTTCCAAAGGGTTTGATGTAAACCGGTAGATGGCTGCCTCGGCTAAACCAAAAATGGTGGTGGTGGTGGTGTTTTTTTTTTTATTGGCATCTTGCTACACTTTTATCTTCAGAATTTGGATACCTACAAACTAGACCCGATTAAGCCTTTGTTTTTTTTAAGTGCAGATGCTTAGTGTTGTCAGCTGGGCATGCAAAAATCAACTCTCGCAATTTCGAGGCAGAAGTTATTGGGAATGATGCCTATACTTGTTTCTCTATCCATTTGACTGATATTCGTAGATTCTTCAACGGCCCATCGCTCTTCGTGCTTCTAGCAACTCATAACTTCCGCATCGAATTCAGTTTGTCACCATGGGCACAGTTCATCAAAAATTGCTCATTCAAAGAGGGGTTGCCCAGTGAAATATCACCGAAACACTACCTGCATGTCCGAGGCAACGTCACTGAGGCACCTGGCTATCACTGAGTAGACCAAATTAACTTTTGTGGCAGCGTTTGACCCCGGGATTTGTTTGAGGCGTCTGAGCACTTACGAAGCAATAAACAGTACTTCTCGTCTGCAGAGAGAGAGATATGGAAAGGTTTGGTTGCTCATTCGGATTCAAATTCTCTACCCATTTCATCGAGAAAATGAAAGACGCAGAAATCAGGAGAGCTTGCGATGTTGTACTTGATGAACGGATGACTTCTGGCTACAACCAAGCAGTATTGCAACTTACAAACATGCTCAATCAATCCATCACGGGGAGGGGGATTGACATCATGTTTTTTTATACCTTTTTATTGATAGGCGGTCCTTCATCTCGTTAAAAGGCATGTGTACGTGCATTATCTCTAGCTTCCGTCTTGTATTCGAATTTGAAGAACGTATGTCAGTGAAGAGATTCGAGTATTGTCGGCGATTGTGCTTGAAACCTTCGAGCATGAGCAGTAACGTAAAAAAAAGGATCATAACATTGAGTCATAGGGAGAACAACGGCAAGAGAGTTAAGTATACAGTAGAAAAGAGAGTGAGGATTCAGAAAAAGAGCCTTTAATGAGACGCGGGTGAACCAATTTTCAGCTAACAGGCCGTCAGTCAACCAGCATAAAAAGAGGATAAATCTACTATATCAAATTCAAAACGTTGGCCCGAACCTTGCAATGCCACTTTCGGCCTTTTATCTCGTGGTGGTTCAATGACTCGTTGTTGGAATGCTCTACTTGAAAGGTGCCACGAAGGGCCTCGACCAGATTTCCTTGTGTAGTTGATTGCTTTACCAATTGCATTATCCAACGCTTTACCACCAGTGAGCCACCTTGAAAATTGTATGATAGATCCGATGCGGGAACTCAATTTCAACTGTCAAATATCTATACGAGTACTGGTTTTGACTGGATGCTTTTTCATTATCGACTTTGATTTGCCAGACCGATCACGGTGTTGATGTTATTTGCTCGTGGCCTATACTCAATAATGCAGAGTCTCTATTCGCCATAACACTACGATGTCGTAGATCAATCGGGCCAGTGCCAATGTTTTTCTGTTAAATTAATTAAAAAGTAAGTTGACGTTCTCAAGAATCGCTTCCAGTGAATTTTGTTGAGCTAGGCAAAGAGCAAGAAGTTCCTCCACTAACAGAGCATTCAGACGTGATAAAGGCAATGGAATGATATAAATATTTTTATTAAATCGATGGTAGCGGCAGGGAGGCACAACTCGGAACCACCATCATTTGTTGCTTCTGCATCCATCATATGAAAAAACTTGGAATGAAAGCATTGGATCATAATATCGTCAAGTCAAATCATACCTGTAAATAACAAAAAGGCCCCCCACTCAATCGACTTTTATCAAAAAAGTAAGCGAACCAGTTCATTTTCACCAAGAGCCATTCATACGACCTACTACAATTTAGTTTTATCAGAGTAGATCAATATTTGTATAGATAACAGAAAGATAACGCTTCAGCTGGAGGAGTTCAGCTCATCAATACTGTCCAGGGGGGAAACCAATGAAAAACAGCCGACCCAATCAGTGGGTCGAACGCCCAACTTTAGCACTTGGCTAGGGATCAACAAAGAATAACATACTGTACTGACAGCGTCCTATTCGAGGATACCGCAGTTACTGTGGATAGAGAACAGCTAAACTATCTATGACTAAGAACTAAAACAAAGAGTTAACTGGTGCAATTTTGAACGGCGATCATCATAAATGCACAGGATAATCGTGCAATGTGGTACGCATGATTCTCTACTCGAAGGATTTCATAGCCCAATCGTGTTGTTGTTTATCCTTGTGCGACATTGTTCATTGAAATTCTTTTCGATGCACAACGGTGGCTATACTTTTATTGGTCCGTAACACGAAAACTATCCCAACAAGGCAACAGGACGAAAAATGGAAAAAATATCTTAATCGAGGCATATGAGTAGTGGCATGGAGGCCTTAATAGCTAATCTTGAATGTAATATCCGGAGCTCGTCATACACATGTTTGCTTTAAATAATGTTTGGCAAACATCTCTTGAAGTTTTCTTGAAAGCTGTATTTTTGCAATGATGTTGACTTCACGTTCTCTTATATTCGCCCTATCCTTTATTCTCTACGGTTTTTGGCCGTTGGTGATCGCCATAGAGACCACCAGTTTACCTGCGCCTCCAAAACCAGTGCCAACAGGCGGCGAGTTCTGTCCGCAAAAAGTCTGTGTTGCACCTGGTTCTGGTGGTAGAATGGACCCTCAGTGTCCCGATCGTTGCAAAGATGATTGCACGTTCATTGCTGATCCATGTTGCCCACAGCAGCGAGCACCAGTATGTAACGACGCAATTTCCTCCAGCAGTATCTCTTCGGCAACTGCTTCTGGAGCTAATACTTCCCCAACTGCAGAAAGTTCAAGCGCTGTTTCCACTGTCAGCAGTTTTGTTAGTAGCTCGGCATCTACGGTGACCCCGGCTTCAACTTCTGTCACGAGTACTACGCCATCAAGCGAGCCAACATCGCCTAAATCAGCAGGCAGCCCGATTGAATCTAACTTGTCAATCATTGCTCTTGCATGTATACTTGTTTTAGCTGCTGATTATTGTAGTTAAGTGCCATCGTTGAACAACTTTAAGCAGGATATTGCCTTTTAGTTGTTTGCAGAATAAATAACGCTGTTTGCGAATTTTATGAATCCTCTGTCCAATCACAGATATTCTTATGAGTGTTCCGATGAGTGTTCTGGCCAATCACACGTCGAGTTTATGTGCGTTCTGGCTAATCACTTGTGTTCTGGCCAACCACGCACCGGTTTTCGTGTCCTTTTGGTCATGGTTTGTTGAAAGGATCATGTTGTCTCTTCATTATCCCCATGTGTATGTACTGAATTTTTTATATTCCCTTATTTGTATATGTTATAACTATATTTACTTTTGTATTGATCAATCCAGTTTTGTTCATGATAACTTTGTGCTGCCGACTCCTTAATTCATGAAAATAATTTTTTGTGTGATGCCAGGGCAGCTGAAGTTTTTGAGTGCACTTCGATTTCATTGTGTTCAGCCTCTCAAAAGAAAAAAAAACATCTTTTCTTTCTCTTCTCGAGTTATTCCAACTTTTACTACTTTCTTCAATTTCATAAATGAATACCTATCACATATATATTTCCGCTATTGCCAGCAATGATTGCATGGAAACTTTCATTGAAGAGACCAAGAATGGCATTCCGTATGACAGAATTTATGCGACGAAGGAGCGGATTCGTAATGTAGCCAACTTAAATGGCACGCAAGCTTCGAGCTCTACGGTACTTGCAGGATTGTCGGTTAAGCAGCCGACAAAAAGAGCTTACTTCGAAGGGTGGCGTTGAAGCGACTGGAAGAAGATCAAAGCACTTTTTGAAGCTGGTTTGAACCCTCAGGCTATGCTAGGTGCTCTTCAAGTCGAAGGAGTAGATAATATCATTAAGAAGGATCTGGAAACAGATAACATCTTGCTCAGACACTTTTGCAACGCTCAAGCCATCATTAACATCACGCGAACCTTCCCATAGGACGTATGATGAAACTGTTCTTTACTCTCGTCAACAACAGAACACCAGCGACGAAGAAAAGATGAGGACGCTGTGCCTGGTGGATGCTCTTGCGTTGCAGCCAATTGCGTTCACTGGTGGACAAGGCATCGAGCAGAACGTCCTAATTCATCCAGCCGTCACGGAAAAACTTGTAAACACAAGCGAGTTCATAAAACCGATCCTGCCTAGCAACCGACGGTTTTCAGATATAAACGATTACGGTGCGGTATGCGTTCAATGCCAGCCTGAAGTGCCTGATGCTTAGGAGTACTTGCTATCATGTCGCCATAACCGCATTGTTGTCCCAAGAAACTTCTGAATTCAGACTGGGAGTTTTCCCTCAATTCAGATGCATTTCGGCAATGGCTTCGGCAGGAGCGATATTCATCGGTACGACGAAAAATCAAGCAGTTATCCTCAACACCATTGAAGTATGGCCGAACCAAATCTGTCGATGTTTCCTGTGAGCCATTTGGTAAACTTGAAGGCTCTGTTCAACCAGCATCCGTACCTCCCCCTGCTATCCATACAAGGTACCCTGGGGTGTGTCCAACGACTCTTATGTCGTCTGAAGGATCAAAGCTCGTTGTTGGAACCAAAGTGTCAAACGCTTTGATCACCTCCTCCATGTGTGTGGACAAGATCGTCTCCTCCGCCAATTCCTGGATCGACGGTTCCTCCAGGGTGGTTAACATTAATCTTGCTCCGCCCAACCTGCAGCCGCACATTGGTACCGAGTCCGTCGCCTTTCTATCCGTTTTTGACCGCTTTTTATGGCGTCATACGGCTCATACGCACCCATCCGTTGATGACATTACTACCGACTTCACGTCACCCACCAACGGAAGTTCACAAAGTTGAAGATATTCCTGGACCCCGCGCGATGCTCGATCAAGCACTGGGGGTTACAAACAAGCCATATCCGTTGATTGTCGGATGCAATGATCGTCAGTCAAATCAGAGCCATCCGTAGAAAATAGCACACAGTCGATGCCTACATCTTGTGCCGAGCCACTGGTCCCCTGACGATGTCTCATTTACATCAACCATGCTCGCTTTTTCACACTCTCCGAGTCCAAACGCATTAACGTTAGATCAGGAAAAACTAATAATAAAAGAAGGCGATTAACTACATTGTACATTTTGTTTTTTCATTGATGATGGTTTAAATTATCCATGCAATATTCAAAGACTATGCTCTGCTTCCTTTGTCAATACCTATAACCTAGGTCGTCTGCTTGCCTGGGGGCCACTGTCTAGTGGTACAAAACATAATCAACCCTGCTGATCCACCGGTTAAAAGTCGCAAACATCATGGTCATGGTATTTCGTTTTATTTTTTTTTCTTCAGTACTAAATCAATATGTTACAATCGGCAAAACATGTCTGCCGCTTAAAAAAGGCCGGTTACTTGGCCCGATTCATCAAGATCCACATCGTAGAAACAGGGACGCGTAGGCAATCCAGGCATAGTTTGCATGGATCCCACCAAAGGATACAAGAATCCAGCGCCTACGGATGCGCGAATATCACGGATCGGCACAGTAAAACCAGTGGGCACGTTCTTCAAGTTAGGATCATGGCTGAAGCTGTATTGCGTCTTCGCCATACATATGGGCAAATCACCAAAACCTTGTTGGGTGTAGGTGGCGATCTTTTCCTTGGCAAGATCTGATAATTCCACACCATCAGCTCCATAAATTTCCTTGCAAATAACATTGATCTTGTCTTCAATGGACGAGTCCAAATCATACAGGAACTTGAAGTGCTTGTCTTTGGCACAGGCGTTGATAACGGCTTTGCCAAGGTCCACCGCACCAAGTCCACCGCGAGCCCAGTGATCGCACGCTACAGCATCATCAGCACCAGCTGCCAAAGATAGCTTGCGAATCATGGCCATTTCGGCATCCGTGTCCGACCTGTTACAAATAAGGCTCAATTTAGAAACCGATTTTTCATAATGGTAAAGAAGTAGAATACGACACTTACGTGAAACGATTGATAGCGACCAGAACTGACACACCAAACTTTTTCGCGTTCTCGATATGTTTGGCGAGATTAGAACAGCCCTTCTCCAAAAATTCAAGATTCTCCTCGGTATATGCATCCGGCAATGGCTTTCCGGCCACGACCTCTGGCGCACCACCATGCATCTTCAGCGCTCGGACAGTAGCAACGATGACCACAGCGTCGGGAATAAGGCCGGACACACGGCATTTGATATCAAAGAATTTCTCCATACCCATATCGGCACCGAATCCAGCTTCAGTGACAACGTAACCAGGTTCCATGCCTTCAACGCCGTCGGTACCGGCAAGCTTAAGAGCGATCTTGTCGGCCAAAACGGATGAATTGCCGTGAGCAATATTCGCGAAAGGACCAGCGTGAACCAAAACAGGGGTGCCTTCGAGCGTTTGCATCAAATTAGGCTTGATGGCATCCTTCATGAGAACCGTCAAGGCACCGCCAATGCCAATATCGTCTGCAGTGATAGGTTCTCCTTGCTTTGAACTAGCAATCACCATTTTTCCAAGACGTTGTCTCATATCCTGCAAATCTGTGGCCAAAGCGAGGACAGCCATCACTTCGCTTGCAACAGTGATATCAAATCCAGTCTGACGTTCTTGTCCCTTTTCAGTAGTAGCTTGGCCGACTGTAATACTACGCAAGAATCGGTCATTGGTATCAAGAACGCGTTGCCATGTAATAGTGGTGGGATCAATATCTAAGCGGGCAAAACGTCGCACTTCTTCTTCGGTAAGATCGTTTGGGTTCGTCTTGCTGATGCCCAGTTTCTAAGGAGATTATTGTAAGTATCACAGTACAAAAACATAGCGTATGGTAAGAAATGAACCTCGAGTCTCTTCAGCATCACCGGAGCAAAGGAGCGCTGGCCCTTACGTACTGGGCATAGTCGGTTGAACAAAGCCTATAATGCAATGTGAATCTCATTTTCTCACAGATATCGCGAAAGATACACAAACCTTATCCGATTGCGTGTTCTCATGGAACATACGTGCGTCAATTGCAGCGGCTATCAGATGATGTTAAATAAAAGAACATTGCATGGAGCAAAACAAAAAAGTGAATTACCCAGCAAGTTGTTGGCTGCAGTCACAGCATGCAAATCGCCAGTCAAATGGAGATTGAAATCGTCCATGGGAATGACCTGAGAGTAACCGCCACCGGCAGCACCACCTTTGATGCCAAATGTAGGACCTTGAGACGGCTGGCGGACACATGCAAAGGCCGACTTGTTCAGATGAGATGCCAAAGCCTGGACAAGACCGATAGTCGTGGTGGATTTGCCTTCACCAAGAGGTGTGGGTGTAATTCTGCATCAAGCAAACGACAATTATTATAATGAGTAAAAACAGAGTTTCCAAACGACCGAATTCAACATACCCTGTGACCACCACATAACGACCGTCTTTACGATGCTGCAATCTTTCCAGAACACTGAGATCGATTTTTGCTTTCGAAGTACCATACAGTTCATACTAAACACTTGCGATTCAGGATTTCCGACACATACACTGCAGGTCACCGCAAGGTCAATTTACCTCTGTAGGCATTAAGCCAAGTTCCTTGCACAATAAATCAATCATTTTAGGTGTTTGTGCTCTAGCAATGTCAATATCACTAGGCACGGGTGTTTTCAGGTGAAGGGGTAAAGGAGTAATGGATCGCTGGCGACTTAAAGCAAGCCAGCGTTTGGCGCTGTTGTTGGTATTCTCCATCAACATGGCAACTGTCATTGGACCAACCCCACCGGGAACAGGGGTGATGGCACCAGCTACTTCCTTGGCCTTTTCAAATTCAACATCACCGACCCATCGTGTACCCGATTTTTTGGTAGCGTCTAAATTTCATGGAATATAAACATGCATGTTTTAACTCTTCAAACAGTTTCTTACCGGGCACAGCGTTGGTACCGACATCAATAATGACAGCACCTGGTTTGACCCAGTCGCCCTTGACAAGCTCAGTTTTGCCGACCGCAGCAACGATGATATCGGCATCTCTTACCTATATATACAGTCAGTTTCACGATGCCATTGAGTAGTCATTGAAATACAGGGACAACTTACGATACTCTCGAGATTTTCTGTCTTTGAATGGCACAATGTGACAGTAGCGTCTTCGCTAGTCAACAAACTGGCAACAGGAGCACCCTAAGATGGACCAAAGTGAGTTCATATCCAATTTGCGAAGCACAGCAGCACGTTACTTACGACAATGTCACTTCGACCAATAACAACAGCACGCTTGCCGCACATATCAATACCGGTCGATTTGAGCAACTCGATGATGCCCTTGGGTGTGCACGGCAAGAACAAAGGTTCAGCTGTTCTTTTGGACATGTTGCCGATATTGATTGCATGAAAACTTGAGTGTGCGAAACAAAACAAAAAACAAAAAAGAGTCAAAAAAAAAAAGCTATAACATGATCCGCTATACGCGAAAATTACCCATCGACATCTTTCTCGTAGCTGATGGTTTCCACAACGGTTGTCTCGTCAATATGGTCGGGCAGGGGCATTTGCACGAGAATACCATGAATACGATAATCATCGTTCAATTGTTTAACCTTTTGGAGCAGCTCGCTCTGTGAAACGCTTTCAGGTAATTTTTCCATAGTGATCTGAATTCCGACCTGTTGCAAATCGGTTAAGTTGACCCGTTGTATAACTATCATCAAGTCATATTACCTCTTGTGCGGCTTTATCTTTCATTTTGACATAAATAGAAGAGTCTTGTCTGTTGCCAACTTGAACAATAGCCAAGTGAGGATTATAGAATGGAAAATTGGCCTTTGTAGCGGCAATATCTTCTTTCACGCGGTTTCGCACAGACCTATGGCAGCGTTAAAGACTAGCCGATTGGTAATCGCAGCTGCCATTGCTGAAAAGGAGCAGCAATATACATACTGTGCGATGGCCTTTCCATCAATAATCTTGGCAGACATTGTCGAGTGGTGGCGCAAGGGATACGGTTTCAAGAAAGAACAATGGCGTAAAGAGCGAGAAAAAGCTGACAGCATCAAAGGCAGGGTTGTCCAACCCTGTCATTCCATTTTTGAACAGGTTTAGTGACTGTCAATTTCCCGAGAAATTCATGTGACATTTCCAGCGCCGTAAGGTTGAATTGATGATTCCCGCAGCTCAGAGCAAATTGCAGATCAAAAAAAAAAAAAATGAATACTGGGAATTTATACATGGCTATTTATTCGGAATATTACATACGATATGGACAGAAAGGTGCTTGTTAGTTTCAATTTTGCTTCAAATAGGTGGATAAGAAAGATAATGCTTCATCGATATCTTCAGGCGTATTCACTAAGCAACTGTGGGCTACGTAAAGATCTGGACGTAGAATAATCAATGCAGTGGGTGGATTTTCATGATTAGACAGATACTGATCCAGACCAATCCGCTTGCTGAGGACAGAGCTGTGGTAATCAACCCAGAGGTTCTCTTCTGAACCATCGTCAACGTAATCGGGATTACCATATTTTCCAACGTGACTAGAAGTCTCCACAATGATCGGTCGAACAGCCTCTCGATAGTTGGAGACCTTTCTCCAGAATACACTAGCCAAAGTGTCAGAATTTTGCCACATATGACGAGCCGAGATCCAAAGAGCCGTATGACGTGGAGATTTGTGAAGGATTTGTCTCAAGGTCTTTTGCACAAACTGAGAAGAGTCCGAAAGAGTGCGGCGCCGCCATGGATTGGTATCAGGCATGAATTGCCCAGGGCTGATGAGGTACGACGATGACGAGGGAGACGGACGGAGTAAAGGAGAATTCGATTCGATACTTAGACGCACCTAAGCCAGTTATTCATGGTGAATATCTTATGCAACTGCTGTTGTGTAAATGTCTGAATTACCTGTAATACGGTAGCGATCGCATTTCTCCTCACCATGGGCAAAGCAAACGCCATATACATGGCGAAATTTCGCAATTTGCCTATGAAAACATTAATTTGATGATTGCGTATTGGTTATTGAAGCACTGTCATTACTTACTTAAAGCAGCAGAATTTAGCAAGCCTAGACGGGTAACATTTCCGGTTTCTTTTATTGTCCGCTCGGCAACGGGTTCACGCTAAACATTCAACAATAAGCCAACAATGTCTCGATACTGTTTGATTATCTTGGTCAAGATAAATACCTCTAAACTGTAGGAATCGAGTAACATTTCGGGGTCATTTGACAAACCCTTGAGGACAAGCGATAATTTCCATGCAAGATTGTTGGCTAAAAAGGCCGCATAAAAGGGTACATTAAGTTCGAGGATAATCAGCCACGTTTTTTCACTAACCATCCTGCAACCCGAGATTCATGCCTTGACCACCCGCGGGTGAATGACAATGTGCAGCATCTGTGAAAATATATTAATATGCGGAGAACAGAGTCTGCCAGCTGCAGCTTTCATTACCTCCCATGACAAAAGCCCTCGTTCTGCGGAATCCGTTGGCTTTTCTTTCATTGACGCGAAAATAAGTCATCCATATCGGATCGGCAGCTGTAATTTGTAGGGGCTTCATCCGTTCATCAATTATTTTTTGAATGGTTTCCAGCTCGATAAGTGTATTTGACTGGGCCTGTGAGGCGATCCCGTGCGTTACAGATGAATCGGTATGAGTGGTTGTGCTTGGTTGGCCCATGCTGCCAATAACGCGGAAAAGTGCTTTATCTTCTGGATTTGGAATGGGCACCACCAGCGTTAAGCCATCAGGATGGAAAAACCCGTTGACATGGTTAGCAAGCATATCCACACCGGAGCCTGACAATGTGACGTCCGCCAAGGCAAATTTGTTCTCGATGACAACCCCTTCGTAAGTCCATCCTTTGCCTCGTTTTCGTACCACAGAGTGGCAACCGTCGGCACCGATAATATACTTTGCTTCGATTTTCTTTTCTTGTCTATCTTTTGACAGTACGGTGGCTACCACACCTTCTTCGTTTTGCTGATAGGAGATTAACTCTGTGTTCCATAAGATATCTGTATTCGTGTTCGCCAAAGCATTCACAAACGCCGTTTCGGTCTTGGATTGTGGTACAATCGTGATTTGGGGAAATAGAGTTTCAATAGTATCATCTGGTGTTGCACGTCCAGCCTACATTTCAGAGATAAATGATGTGCCTTATTGATGAAACGTACAAACGGTTTATATTTACCAGGCTACCCTCGACGAAGAGCTGTGTACCACGCATAATGTTGGCCTCTTTCAGCAATTGCTGTGCAAGACCGTGGTGGTCCAGAAGTTCAAGTGTTCTCGAAGTGACAAAGAATGCACGGCTTTCGGCCGTTGGTCCGGATTTCTTGTCAATGATGATTACCGAATGACCGTACTCGGCCATTTGGTATGCGAAGAATAGGCCTACGGGACCTGCGCCCGATACAAGAACCTCAGCTTGCATAGGAGAAGTAGACATGATCAAATTATGAATATATGAATGAGGAACGGGGTGACGCTGTGAATAATATATAAGTTACAGACGCACGCACGGAAATGCAGGATTGTCAGTTGAGTCATCTGTTCCCGCTCTTGATTCCGATCGATTGGCGCGACCGCAGCGGAGCGGTTAAACAATTGCCGAATGTCTGGCTAAACCACTTTTCCTGCCACTGGCAAGAGGATAACCATCACCTTTGATATTATACGCCCGGCCGCTGCGAAAATAGTTTGCATGCAATACCCTTCGATAACGATGCAGCAATATCTTAATTAGTCGGCTGAGCTTTGGAGTTTCCGCAACCCTGTAAGCAAACCATAATGAGACTGATCGGAGAGAAAAAGGCAAACGATATATCAGATGGAAAATTGACAGAAATAATGAACTTCTTTTATTCCAAAAACCATAGCAGCGTGTTACTTCTGTATTACATATATCTCATCGCGAATAAAGGGAAACCGCTCGGCTGGACAAAAATGATTTCGATAATTCCGCCACTGCAAAATCAGCTGAGAATATGGCAAACCTGACTTGCTACGAAAAACCCCATATCCGCGGAATACGCAGAGGGACAATGGCTGCGGCAGAAATCGCATTGAAACTGGGATGTTCCCGCTTCGTTATTACAATGTTTAACGTGACAAGAACAAATGAACAACTGACTGAAATTCGAAAACTGGTTGAATGTCCAGGTAGACTTACAGTAGAGTTAATAGATGGCTCATAAGATGTACAAAAGGACAGACGAGCAAAATTCAGAAGCTGTCGAGTCAACAATTCGACGTGCGTTACATAGTGCTGAGATACAACGCAGAATGGCAGGATTTCAGGTCTTACTGCCATGCGCTCAAACATTCCAATGGATGTTTTGGAAAAAAACTATATGGACCGATGCAGCTTCGTTTGAGTTGGACAAGAACCAGCGAGATCAGTTACATATAAAGACGTGGTGTTTGTGGAAATATCAAAAATACCAAACATTTGCTCGTATTTGATTCGATACAATGCTTGGCAAATCAACCTTCCAGCCCTGTCTATCCGAGCACCTTCTTTTAGCGCGTTGTTCTTCGTCGCAAACAGTAGCAACACCGCCAGATAACCTAACAAAGAGGCTTCCACCACATTATCCAACATTTGCTTCGATTCGTCTGCGAGAAAGTCGCTATGCAAGAAAACACGATTTCCTGAGGACGATGTTTAAGCCCCTTCTATAGAATGGCCAAGGAAAATCGATTGTCAAACGATATCCTCCCCCACTTGATCAAGATCACAGGCAAATGTCGGCCAGAGGTTCACTTGCCCGTTACAGGGTGGATTCCATCGCGTGATTGAAGAAAAGCTTTGGAGCACCCCGCGCACATAATATGGATTGTATAGGATAACTGTGGCAAACATAGCCCGACAGCCCATTTACACCAGTGATATGGTCTACCAGCACAACGACGATAAGCAGCGTGAACCAGCCTGAATTGGTCAATCATATTTGCTGAGACCCATCACAACCGAAACAATTTCCGGTTGCTTTTGCTGAATATCGCAAAGGCGCCCCGTAGAGCGATGAGGAATTGATGCACCGAGTCGTCATCGAGTTATTCCTGAGAGGAAGCCGAGGACGACACAGAAACGAGTGCGAGCTGGCCGAGTTAAATTGAAATGCTGTGCTGGTGACGAGCCCATCCAGAGGGCCACCAAATGGTACCGATATCCGTTGATGGCGTATTAAACAATAGATAGCTTCTAACAGAAAGCGGACAATATTCTCCAACAACGTCAAGTTCACGGTATCCGTGTATTCGGTAAGGTATCTCTGGTCACGAATCAAAGTATTCGCATACGGTATAATCAGCCCAAAATAAACACGACTCTTGCCGTCGCACACATCTTGAGAAGGCAATTCAGTTTTCACTTTTTTCTGGAATAGGAAGTTCTGTGTAGATCATATGAATCACGTTGACGACCAAAACGTGACGACCAGTTCATGAACTGAGGAACGAATCAGGGTAGGTTAAGTAGCAACAATAAATGAAACAGTATCAACATGAAGCGTAGCAAAACCGCAATCTCAGGTCAGCCGACATGCTCTGTTGGCGTCCGACAAGGTTTGGATGGAACTGTGTTGTTTCACCTTGATAGAGTTTCACGTGGCGTTTTCAACAATCACTAACAAGACACAGTTCAACGCTTACTCTTCGCCTGCGGTTGATGAAGTTACGGCGTACGGCGACACTTGACATGGTAACGAATGTATCTGCCGTGGCTTCCGCCTTGCGGTGACCGACGCCATATTCAATGGAACACTGAATAAAAGCATTGACGATATGATCCACACGAGCCAAGATTTTCCATACACGTGTTCGCATATGTTTTTAAGTAGGCCTGGTGTATTAATAACGTCAGCGAAACAAAGCAGTCTCAAATACATCGAGAAATTCCTTAATCGGGTTGGCTGACAGTGAGATCAATCAGCAATTGCAGCCCTTGGTTGTTTTAGCCAGGCTTCAGTTGGGGTCATCATTGATATTGCGAGTGAAGGCCGCAGCTTTGGCCTTTTTCAGGCACTCCTTTAGGATACCGAAACTGATACAGAGGTCTAGGCAGGAAGGCCCATCTTACAGAAAATAACAAGGAGTGCGTTGATTCTTGGAGAAAATGCAGAGAAAGATTTTTAAACACGAAAGAAGAAAAGTGAATTGGCATATAGCAATGGCTTGTGGCATCAGGCAAATCTCAATAAAATGATACAGCCAGAAACCATATGGCGAAGTTTTGAGAAGGTGTGCCCTGACGGAGCACCTGTTAGCCTCAGATCAGTCAGCGACGATTGTGGAAAAAAAAATCGTTTAGACCGCAAAGGCTTATTTTCTTGGCTTAACAGACCGCTTTTCAAGCCGCCTGGAAATCAAGTAAAAAGGACCGTAGTGCGAATGAGGCAAAGTGTTTTTCATTTATTTTCTTTTTATATGAAGTGGCGTGCAATCGTCCAAAGACATTAAGCCCACTTTTTATTTATTATTTATTCAACCGATAAAAAGGTTGGGAAAAGAATATTAAGGCAAAAGCCTTTTTTATTTTTCATTTACATTTGTTGCGATTAAAAAGCAAACCCACCGACATACCTTCCACAATGACCGCGCTGATGACTAGTCAGGCGCCCAAAGGGAAGAGCCGACGGGAACGAAAACAATCTTCTTCAGAGGATGGCCAATCCTATCATTAGAGGATGGTTTTCGGATTTTTCGCCATACCCCGAATGCTTTACCAAAAACCGGAGCGTTCATCATTACCAGTAACCACCAGCCTAGCAGCCCCTGATTCCGAACTGGCGCACAAAAGAAAAAAAAAGATGAGAAGAAACGTCCTCTTTTTATATCTTTCGGCGGACCTTCGATTTGTCACCCTGTTTTATGACCGCGAATGCACTTCATTGGCTCGATTCTCGCAACAAAACTCGCGAAATTCAGCGCCTCACACTTCTTTCGCGTAAGCGATGCAAAGAGGAATTGCGCTATGTCACTCATGCTGCCACCAGCATCCAATGTCCACTACAAAAAATCTCTTAACATTCAGTATAGCCTATGGTTAACTGCTGATATGACATGCGACGTGCTTCAGGCTTTACGCACATTCTTTTTATCTTGTTGTATGTTAGAAAGTATGCCCATTTTGCCGTGCCCATTTGTATCAGTTTTATTTTTGGAACCGTGTATTTAATATTGCTGTGAAAATAAACTCTCACATGTTTCTCCACGAAACCAGAGTGGCAGGTCCCAGTGTGCCATGTTGCAATGGCGATGGACACCGGCAAGTCATTTTGAGAACATGCTCAAGAGATTTCTAGGCTGCGCCACCGGTCCTCACGTAGACATATCAGTACCAGTGAATTAGATCAGACACGCCAACGCCTCTGAGATTGCATGTTTGAGTTGGTTTCCTGTTGTGAGTAGTACTGAAGTTTCGCATAAATTGATATCCAGATCTGTGCAATCATCTCCACCTAAAACGGAGTTTCTACCATATCTCTGCGATTGCTTTTTTCCAACCAAACATACAAGGTTTTTGGATGTTGCAAAAACGTTGGCCCCATGTACTCTTCATGAGTTACTGCCTCTTTTACTACAGCGCTTCTCATTCCGTTGTGAGATATCCAAAGTTCCAAAGGAGTCTTAATATTGGCAATGGGCCGTTGACGATCGATCATCTTGTCCATGAAAAAATGATTTCAATTATAATTCACTACCAAGATTTTAAAAATAGAAGAAACAAGGTGAAGGGAAAAGGATAAGTCTCTATTGTGGGTGTAAGAGAGGCGATGGTTGGTTTTTTAACGCCATTTGATGGGTAATCACAAGATACTACATATCAATCGGTGGTTCTATCCAAAAATTTACTGCCAGCTCGGCATTGACCGTCATTGTTTTTAGCCCCAAATTCGGCTCACTCAAGGCGGAGAAGCCCAACTCGTCCAAGGATGATTGCTGTGGCGTAAGGGAATATGAAGTTGATCACCTTGCGCCGACATTTAAAACCGGCGGAACCCAGTTACGATTTGAGACGCCGAAAGCTTGGGATAAGAAGTCACTATTGATTGCCCTGGAGCAAAGAGCAGGAGCTACCCGAATTTTCATGGATCAAACCTATAGAGACCCAGTGCTTCGGTTGCCTTAACTTTAAATGATGCAACCCTCATGGAAAATGGAACATTACTGTGGATCGTGGAGGTGGTACGGATGGTAACAAGATCACGTAAAAGAAATGTCGCCACTCGGTTGCCGATCTTAATACGATTGACCGTATCGTATCTGACACCCCTTTCATGCGACGCACCGCAAATTTTTTTGATTTTTGGTCTAAGCGAGCGGCACTGAATAATATGTCATTATGCGGTATCAAGCTGGCATTTTCCTACTTTTACGATTGGATAAATCTTTATATACAGGAACAGTTTCGCGCAACATTATCCGACATGCTTATAAAACACGATGCATCTTCCAAATCTATCCATAGCATCGTCTATTTCAATGACATTGCTCCAAGGATCTGTACACATACTCTCGATAATCCCAATGATCAACGAGTTAAATCTTCATATACAGCTTTTGGGCCAAAAAGTAGTTTTTTTGGTTTTTTGGCTTTGTTTTTTGGTCAGCCCTGCTCACTTTTTTTTGAAGGTACTCAAGTGCCTTAGCCTTTATATCTTATACCGCCTCAAAGCCATAGATCCGATCCACAGTTTAAATATGTACAAATATCACACCTCCTGCTTGGTGTGCGGAAACAGCTGCCGCAGTGCGGTAGTCAGTCCTTTTTTTTCTGGTGTAAGTGAAAACCAAGGAGAGAAAGTCTCGTTTGCTTTGAATGAATCCTTTCTTTTTTATGTCTTCGTTGTTTGGCTTTGTCTCTCGTCCTCTTCGCTTGAACACTTTCCGAACCACTTAATTCTTTAATTTTACTTGCTCTTGTAATTGTCATTACTTGTACTCAACATTCTTCCATGAAGCTGTGCAACGTTAATCTGGAAGACTTCGCTCGCTGCATCTGTGACCTCCTCCGATATACGAGTTTGAAGTCCTTTATATTCGTTCTCCGAAAGCTTAAACAAGTGGTTGTTCATTCTGAAAAATTTCTCAAACAGATTAGGCATGTTACTGAATTTTCAGATAGGCCCAACACATATGACTATATCGGTGGCACTGCGATGCCGCCCTTTTGCTCAGGGTCGGCGATCATTCATGGTGGGTTATTTTTGGATTTTTTTTTTTTTTAGATTCCGGAAATTGCATCCGGTGACCGAGTCCCGTCTATTCATTTTCAGCTCAAATGAATTCGGAACTTGGGCACTTCTCCAACATCCATTGAAACATAATTCAGATGAGTAAGGATGAAGGAAAGTGCCCACTGCTGACATGTGATTTTTACGCACTTCGGAGTGTCAAGACTTGATTTGACATGACTGCAGAAGGAAACTTGGTAATCCATTTCATGTTACGCAAGCACAAGACAGTATCAAAAGATGGAACTATGAACGTGTGTGAGACTTGGCATTTGCGGGCAACGTTCTCAGTAGAGGACCGTTGCAAATCGGATCAATGGAACCATTTCTGCAGGATGATGGAGAGACAGTGATGAAAAGATACAGCTGTTGCAGCAATGTACCTCGATTCGCTGTCAATGAAAGCAAGTCCTCAACACGTTCCCATGGTACGTATGGAGGGCAAAAATCACCGAGGTTGGATTGAAAAAAGGAGGAAGAGATCACAAATGATAAATTACCAACTCATGAATTCAAGTGATGATCGTATCAGTAAAGAATGCTGCTTGACACTGAGAAGAAATGAAAACAAAAATAAAAAAGAAAAAAGGGGAAACCAGGATGTTTTTCTTTTCGGTTTCTGTGGCGGAGCTGTTTCAAGATAAGAGCTCCGCCACCAGAAATCAAACAAGAAATAAAATTTTCCCTGTCCCTTTTTCCTTCTGATTTTTTTTCTTCCGCCTCGAACTTCATCATTGCCCATCCCTGATGGATAAGTTACATTTCTCTCCCGAGACACCGTTCGGTATCGCTCTCTACCCTTATTTTGAAAAGGTTTATGAGGCAGTGGTTGGCAAACCTGCTTCTTCCTTCAGCTTTACTCCTGGTGTGACACCTCTGTCAACCGTCAATGAAGGTATGTTCCTATTTTTTTCATCGTTTGACCGCTACTTTTGTGGATCGGACGATCGAACGTGTCTGTAAAGGCATCACGGTACACGATGAGCTTATTGTGTGCCTCTGTCTTTCTAGTCGTGGCCAGTTGCATTACCTACTTCGTTGTCATCTTTGGTGGTCGGTACCTGATGACCCAGTTTCCACCTTTCCGTCTTCAGGCACTCTTCCAACTTCATAACTTTTTACTTACTATCGTGTCTGGTATCCTTCTGGTGTTGATGGTCGAACAAATTTTCCCCAAAATTTACCATCACGGCTTTTTATACGCTGTCTGCTCCAACGATGCTTGGACCCAACCTTTGGAATTGTTGTATTATTTGAATTATCTCGTTAAATACTGGGAATTGATTGATACTGTGTTCTTGGTGGCTAAGAAGAAGAAACTCGGTAAGTGATGGATGATCTAAACGTTGGCCTAAAGTGGGGAATCTGCGCCAAAGCATGCTTAACATTAGTATGGTTTAGAATTCTTGCATTACTATCATCACAGCTTGACCATGGTTCTCTGCTTCTCGCAATTGGGTGGCAAGACTGCAGTGGTAAGTTTTTTCAAAAGATGCTGTATGTTTGGGATGACGCGAATACTTATCGCATGATGGACGCTTGTTAGTCTTGGGTCCCCATTACTCTCAATTTGACTGTGCATGTGTTGATGTACTACTACTACTTCCGCACTGCCGCTGGACACAAGATCTGGTGGAAGAAGTACTTGACTACCATGCAAATTACTCAGTTCATCATCGATCTGTTCGTGATCTATTTCTGCACCTACACCTACTTTGCCTACACTTACTGGCCTCATTTGCCCAATATGGGCAGCTGTGCTGGTACCGAAGCCTCTGCTCTTTTCGGTTGTGCTCTGCTTAGTTCGTATCTTTTCCTTTTCATCAACTTTTACCGTTTGACCTACCAGAAGAGCAAGGCTATTCTCAAGCAGCGCGCTCAAGAGGCCAAGTCTTCTGCACCCGTGAAGAAGAGCAAGAAGATCTAGAAATCTGGAAAGAATACTTTACATACCAGAAACCACAAACTTGCAAAAGCATTAGGAAAAAAAATTACAGTTTACTCTACAGTAACTACTTGTATCTTCGTTTCATCTTATAATTAAAGACGTGTGTTTTACATTATTTCAATCCACGGAAGCTTAAAAATAACCTCAATTGTGGGATGGAGGCCAAATGGACGGAAAAAACTTGAATGGGATCGGAATGCCAAACCTCTCAACGATCTGTGCAAATAATAACCCAATTCACATTCGGGTCTCATTCAAGTGCCTTTCATCGCATGCAACCATCGGATAGTCCAGCTTTTTTTACCAGACCAAAAAACAAGACGCATATGCCACGTCAGCAGTGCGATGATGAATCAATTATATGATATGCGTGCTACCTCGAGTATCATGCATACCTGCTGCCCAAACATATAAGACCTATGATCTGCAATACAATTAACCAATGGGATATTGGTGATACTTGCTGTATAATATGTGAAAGGCACTCAACGACCAAGTTGCTTGAAGAAGCAAAATGATTCCAAACCTTTTATGGTTGAGCATGTCAATTTGTCATAGCCTTGATGTAAAAGAAGCATCATTTTACTCCAACTATGACATGCAATTTGAAAGGTCATTGTCGCGGTTTATTACGAGCCGTGTATTGTTCTCTGTTTAAACAAGTGAGTGCAAATATATAGACAGTTTTCCTTCGTTGTATGTAATTCATTTCCATTGATTGATGCAACTGCCAAAGAGATGGCAGTTTTTTCAGTGCCATATGCAGTCAGCTGAAACGCTGATCTTTTTGTTTGAGAAAACGGGAATAAAAAGAGGACGTTGGGGACATTTTTCGTATACAAGTTGCGAAAAGGATTGCTAGGAGAACATAAATTGAATGACTGAATGTGATGGGGGTGTCTTTTTGCAAAAACATCAACTTACGGGCATTCAGAGATCGAATACTATAGGTGGTTGATTGGCACGATATCGAGCATTGCACGCCGAAGCATTTACGAACAATGTGTGTTCTGAAAAAGCGACTCCGTGAGACTCATGAATATGTCCAAAAATAGACACTTTAGGACGAATTTGATCGATCTTGGCGCGTAAATGAGGACAACCAACATGCCGATTACCCCGTATTATTCTGTCTTGATAACCGTAGGGTGGTGTGTGCGTGACAAGCACTTGTGTATCTGATGGGATTTTTTCCCAGTAAGCTGATGAAAATGGAGAGATAGCAAAAAAAAGGCACATCATCAATACAAATAGGAAAAAAAGGGAGTATTATCAATTCTCGATACGGTTGATGATGTAGGGTTTGGGGGCCTTCTTGTAAAGAGGTGAAATCACTTACGCTGTAGATTCCGCGGCATGAAAGCACCACCCAAGTGGATAGGAGCATATGGACTGACAAACATCTTATACCCACCCAGGTCAGGTGGAAGAAGGTATGATTCGTGCTCGAGATAAGTGATATTGGCTTGCTGCATCCGGCTGAGCACGTATTGTTTTTCCTCGATGTATCCGAAACGTTCATCCAGAATATGATCATGATTACCTCCAGTCACGATCTTCAAACTACGAGATTTTTTAATGTGAGCCCTGCATTACGCTCTCAAATTTTCTGTTTCTAGTGCATCCCAACTTTTTCTTTTCTCTCTCCATCTCTTTTTTTTTCCTCTCTTTCTTTTTCTCCTTGTTCCTTCTTTTCCTAGTGTGACGCACCGATGTGGTAAAGCACCAAGCCATGCTATTGTTTCTTTGAATTCTTGGATGGAGCTACGGCGTGTTAAATCACCGGCGTGGACTGATATTGATAACATCAGGATGGATAAGATGAAATTTGAATGAGAAAAAGGGTGGGTTTCTACTCCTTTAGTGTTCTAGTACTATAGTGCTTACCAAACACATCACCGTCCGGTATAACAAATTGAAAGTCGATTTTCGAGTGAGTGTCAGACATACAGACGAACCGGGTGGTTCCAGGTTTTTTTGGTTGCAGGTCTTCATCGGGTCTCGCAGCGACATACATATCGGCAAGGAGAAGCAATTAATGGGAAAGCAAAAAAAAATTTCAATAAAATAAATAAATACACGAAAAAGGATTAAACTCTGTGGCACCACTTCCTATTATTATCTTTTTTTTTTTTGTTTTTTATTTTTGCTTCTCTCTCACCTGTTTCTCATTGTCTATTTGAATTCTCGCTTCATGTCATCCGCAGCTGAAACGCTGCCTACTCTCGAAGAGGTACTGTCGCGCAAGACAGCACCGCCTTTGTGCCTTTATAATTTCTATATTATTATGCGCGACCGACTCCAAATGGAAGAAGTGTTGGACTTTTACCTCGATGTTCAGCATCACGAACAACTGTGGCGCCGCTATATTCGGTCTTTACGGAAATCAGGCTTCTTAACCGAACAGGATTTAGCCGACGGATACCAATCGCCTCGATTACTGAGCCGCCTTTCAAATACCTACTCTTACGATGACGAAAAGCTCACTCTCGGTGAGAAACAACCACTCGCCACTTCCCTCATGCCGCCTTCTTCTCCCATGTCTCCGCCCCCCACTATGGAAACCAGTCCTGTCCGACCACCGCTTCAAGCTACACCGGCAGATACCCAGCGCACTTCGTCTATGCCACCACCGAGTCGTCAGGATCTTGCAGAATCAGCGCAGCGTATTTTGCTTCGATATCTCGTTCCTTCAGCCTCCAAAGAACTGACTCAGTTACCCCAAGAACTTAAAAACGCGATCCGACGAGAACTCGATCGTTCCGACCCACGAGATGACCCTTTGGTGTTTTCGGATGCCAAGGAATATCTTTTCGAATACATGCAGCGATATGCGTACCCTAAATTCCTGCGACTGAAAGTTTGGGGAAATGTCACTTTGTGGCAGCAGATGGGTCGTCTTGTCTTGGGTCTCGTAGCATTACTAACTGGATTTGCCACAGCACTCAGTCTCATCTTTTTGGGTTACCCGCAATGGGGTGTTCGTTTCTGGGTCTTACTGCCAATGTGGTTCAGCATTCTGAATCTTTTAGTATTTCTTACGGGTCTAGATCCCTTTTGGGTTCTGCTTTTCAACATCAGGTATGGAAATACGATTTCAGCAGGTGGCGATATTTGTTTCCCTCATTATCCGATTTCTCTATTTTATTTCTTTCTAGCGAAACCACGACATTTCATTTCAATAAGATCATCCAACCACAAGCTAAACGAATTCTCTGGTCTCGAGCCATTTGGCTTCTGACTGCCAGCATCCTCATCTCCGTGATTATCACCATTATTTTCTGTGCCATACCCCCGCGAAGATTGTAATTTGTACCTTTAAACAAAAGCAAAGAAAAAAAATACACATACAAGTTGTGCTATTTAACTAAAATAGGCAAGTCAGTTGCTGATATTCATTCAAAAATCAGGGAATCTATCTCTATAGATATCAGGCGCTGGTGCTCCATACTGTTCAGTCGTCTCGTCATATACATCAAAGTTACTCGCGTCACCGTCATGGCTTACAGGAGGAATAAAAGGCATCGCCATACCACATCGTGCCACCACAGCAAAATCAATGCCTTCAAACCATCGATGTCGTTTGATATCTTCAGCCCCATCTTTGAGATTACCAAATCGGCGAGATAAATCCGGTGTCAACAGTCGTTTCAGTAAATCTTTGGCATGCGGATCAAAATAGGCGGGCCATCGAATTTTTCCGCCCAAAATCTTTTCATACAGTTTCAAGTGATCGTCGTCATAGAAGGGAGGATATCCAGCCAACATTTCAAAAATAAGAATACCCAAACTCCACCAATCCACGGCCTTGCCGTAACCCTTTGATTGAATCACTTCCGGCGCTATTTGATTTAGGGTGTAAGCATCATGTTCCTGCTCACCAAAAAGAAAAAGGGGCTGTTTATCGTCGCCATGCTCTGCTTACCTAGATAATCTGGCGTGCCACACAACGTCCAGGTGACATCAGGGACATATTTAGCAAATCCAAAATCTGTGATTTTGATATGACCATGTCGATCCAATAAAAGATTTTCCGGCTTCAGATCACGATATACCACGTTTTTGCTGTGAAGATATTCAATGGCCAGCACCACTTCAGCGGCATACATTTTGGCAATTTGATCTGGGAATCGCTGCACAGAGGGTAAAAAAAATATTCAGATTTTTTTTGTTGGTCCGTCATATGTTACCAGAAGCTGTTGTGTACCTTTTTTCGTCGCAAGATGCTGAATAATTCACCCCCGGGTACGTAATCCATCACCATGTACAAATTGGTGTCATCCTGAAACGTTCCCCATAAGTTTACCAGAAATGGAAAACCCACGGCTTCGAGAATATGCTTTTCGTTGTTTGTGTGCTCCACTTGTTTCAGTCTTACAACCTCCGATTTTTTAAGTACTTTGATAGCGTAATGCCGTCCATTATGTCGCGATTGAGCCAAATGCACTCGACCAAACGATCCTGTTCCCAATGTGCGTAACAGTTGGAAATCGTCCAGTTTAAGCTTCGGTCCTTTCGCATAATGTTGTTGTTGGGCATTGTGGTAGTAGTTGTGCTGATGTTGCGGTTGGCCTACAATACCACAAGAGCATTTTTTCGTTAAGCAGGATAGCTTGGGGACTGGCTGGCTTACTGCTATGTTTCTCGACTTACTTTGGGGAGTGCTTACACCCTTGTCGCCTATGTAGCATGGTGATATCATATTTTAATTACTCTAAATTTTTTTCTTTGTACTCAGCAATATAAGAAAAAATACCGGTATTCGCCGTGGCTATACTGGCGTTGTGGGAAGGCGTGCTTGAATAAGACTGCATTGGCTTATCTGAACTGGTATTCATGCCTCCTCTGGCGGTTGATGCAGTTGATGATTGTGCCGAATGATTTTTCAAGAGAGAACGATGTAAAAACGAGTCTTTAGCGTCTTCAGGAGGGAGGGTTGACCCAGACGACGGTGAAGAGGATGACGTTGTCAAGGAGAAATGATTGCCTGTACTGTTTCTTGCCTTATCAATTAGCTTGTGGATGATAGACATGAACAGTCGAGATCTATAAACTCGCTTTTCTTTTTCTTTTTTTTTTTTGGTAAGAAAAAAAAAAAGGGAGAAATACTTAAAAAATCTGCATGGGGGATGCTCACTTGCCATATATAAAAAAAAGATGACAGAGAGACTGTTGTTGTGTCGGAATTAAAATAATGACAGCAATGATGTCTGTGCGCTATTTCAAATTTACGGCACTTTGACGTTAGGCTTTCAACATCAGATGAGTCTTGCGAAACAAACGCATTTACCCTCAATAACCTGAATCAGCGTATGCACTGGTCGACGTTTAATTGCGTTGCGTAGTTTAGTTACTTTTTCGCAGAAAGCTGCCATAGGTGACTAACGATGGGTCTGTTTTCGGTTTTCCATTCAGCCTGAGTCTGTCACAGAGAAAAAATTTGATCAAGATAGCGAACACCAATTATTTCATGTCCTTTGCCTACAGCGCGTATGATCGACGATCTCAATGACTTGTAAGAGAGAAAGATTATTCTTGTGGAAGACCCCAGAAATAACTGGGACAGGCATCTAAAAGACGTGGTCGAAATAAAAGCTACAACACCTTTTTTTTCTGAAGAATTTTCGAAAGGGAATCTTGGGATGTGACTGAATTGAAGCATTTATCAAGAATTTTCCATTGCGGGCAGATTTTCTTTCAAAGAGTGAGCCATCAATTCACTATCCTGTACTTCTCTCTTCATCATCAATGTCATCCGGAGCAAAACAGGGCTTCGACCGAGACATTGTCTTCCTTTCCACATGCCTATTGAAAGTGCTACAAACTCTCAACTGGCAGCCTCAAAAAAGCAAATACATCGTCTACTAATTCGGTTATCGAACGGATGTCTCTAGTGATTTGACTTCAAATTCATAGTATCCGCTAGCAGTTGAAGTAGCAAATCATAGCATCGAAGAAACCGGCATGATTTGGAGAGAATCTCCGCATAACGCAATAGCTCCGTAACAGTGAGGGTCAACAGGTGTTTAACGCCATTCTTTCAGAAGCGCATTAGCTATCAATGGGAAAATAGTATTGGCTGCGCATGAGCCAGTAACCTAACCTGGGGCACCCGTCAGACTCATCGAAAACCGTGTGAATATATGTCGGGAAATTTGTTGTGGGGAAATCAAAGCACTGTTCATTGAAACAAAATGCGGTCATAACTATTTGGCATAGCGATGCCACTGTTAATGTGCCCAACATTGTCGTATGGAGCTGCAATTATTGTAACCGTAGTGACCGATGCCATAGTAAATTAGTGCCTCCTATCTAATGCGTTATCCCTAGTACCAAATATCTTTAGCTTCAACTGCAGTATCGTAGGTGATGTGACATCTCACCATGGCACAGTTACTCCATAGTTGGTGTGACATTTTCCCATGTTCACAATCGTAAATGATAACGACAATTGAAAAGCCAGAAAAGGTTCTGTCTCGTTTTTCAACAACATTTTCATTGAGCGATTGCCACTTTAAGATCGGCCTTGAAGACGTCATGCACATGAAAAACCTTTCAGCTCTCGACAATTTGTGTATACAAGCAACATTCCGTTTGCCAAGCTTTGCACTGGCGACGGCAAGATGCTAGAGTCAATAATGGTTGCCAGCATATACTCTCCCTGGGTGATAGATCGACAACACAAGAGCGAAGAGCGTTTCAAAGATGAAAGTACCAGAAAAAGCAATGATCATAAAATTTGTTTGTTTTAAATATGTCATCTTTACAGAGTATCACAGGCAGGCACCTCTGCTACTGGGAAGCCTTTCATATCATTCATGTTATTTTCCGACATCATTGCTATCGATGTAATCATCAAGATAAGCGTGATACAACAAAGGAGCAAAGTTAGGTCAAAAGCGTTGATTTACTGGTTTTGGAATGGTTGGCTCCATTCTGTCGCATGTTGCGGATAGATCATAATTTGCTGTAGGCACTTTCCAAGCTGCCAAGGTAATGTCATATTTTGGCGTGGTAATGCCACGAAAATGGTATAAAGAAAAGAAAAGGGAAAAAGGTGGTGCCAGATCATAATAATATGAGCTCTATTTTTTATTTTTTGATGTCAATGTTGTGGGTCAGTTTCTTACAATGGATGAAGTTTTTCCTTAGTTGTATACACGTTTCACGGATTGGATATATGTGACCATGCTGGTTCGTTTAATGTAACAAAACATCATTACACATTGTGTTGCTTGTTAAAAAGGCGGAGCTGATCATATGGGTCGATTTGTCCGGACATCCGCATAAAAACGGAAGTTGAACTTTAGCCATCGTACGCGAGACGACATCAACTCCTGGTCTTTACTTTCTGCCTTTTTTCTTCCCTTCTCTTCCATTTTCCCTTTGATCTTCTTTTTCCATGGCGCCACCGTATACCTATCCTGTGGCTGGCGCTCTCTTCTTTCTTCGCCACCCATCTGTAAGTGAAACAACCTGATGCCGGTCATTTCACCAACTAACGGTTCTTGCAGCAATTGTGGCTGAAAACATTATGTCCGTTGCTCTTGACATTGGGCTTTGGCTTGGTTTCGATTGTACTGGCGTTTTTGTACCTTTTACCCTTGCAACGCGATGCTTTAATTGATGCGCATTGGCCGACTTGGATTGCTTGGGTCGCTTCGGTGATCTTTGTGCTTTTGGAAAGCGCCGTTGCCAATATGATCCTTTTCGCTGTTCTGGTTCCTTTCTTCCAAGACGCAGTGTTTGATGCGACTCTTAAAGCCCGCGGTCTTCAACGCATGTTTGACGGCCGTGTTGAGGTTCCGGGTCTTGTTGCCTGCTGGCGCAATATGGGTTCCTCACTCACCTTGGCTTTCATTCAAGTCTTACTGTTCATTATTACTACACCGTTGCATCTTATTCCTGTTGTTGGCACGGCTCTCGCTTGTTGTATCAATGGCTGGCCGAAATGGTAAGTTTAAAAGGTGTCACAAGAGAGAAAAAGAAGGTTTAAGAGGAGCTTGTCACTCATCCTCGGCTGTTCATTTTCACGGCCAGCTGGAGCCACTTTATCCATTACGATGTCGATTTCCGAGGCATGACCGCAAAAGAATCCCTAAGATTTGCTTGGAACCATCGCAAATCTTATTGCCTCTTTGGAACCGTAGCGGTTGCGTTGGAACTTGTCCCTGTGGCTAATTTGATCTTTGTCTGGACCAACATCGTGGGTGCTGCACTATGGGCGGGTGACAATTTCGAAAAAGCCGAACAGCTGCCGCGTGGAATCGGTGCCTCTGGAAATACCTCGGTGGCTTCCATCTATCCTTCCGTGAAGAGTCTCAATTCTCATGTGCCTTCCATGGACAGTGAGCACAGCCGACTTCTTCAAACCGCAAACGCGGCCGAAGGATACGGATCGGCTGCTGTGTAACATCCAGATACCCAGTTCCTGACTATGATACCAAAATTGAAAAAGTCAAAATGAGAAGCATCAGGGCAGATATGAAAATAGAAATAATAGCAAGTCAGTATGGCAGTATAGCAAAAATATCGATAGTAACGTACCTGCAAACATCTGACGAGTCTTTTTGGTTGGAAGTACACGTTTCGCAAACCCTATACACCGTTCTACCTTGTCCGCGGTACCTTACAATGACAGTGTAACCCTATTTATTATAATTTTCGCCTGAAATATATCATGCTTTTGAGTTTGCAGACTGTAAAATGAGGCGCATTCAAGCCAAACGATCCAGAGCAGGGAAAAATAAGAGAATCATACAGATTCCCTACAAGCCCATTGTATCCATATTTAACCGTCTCCAACAGTGGAAATACTGAAGCTTCAGGGATGATAATATATTGATTGAATAGTTTGAAACTCTAGGAAAGATGTGACGGGAAAGCATGGATATAAAGTACAAAAAGAGGAAATAATAACATATACAGAGAAATGCTCTGAATGAAAAAGAAGGAATAGACTCCTTCAACCTTGCAAATGGCTATACATTTTGCAAAATGGTGATTTCATTCAGAATAGCTTCGTCCATCAGATCATCGCCTAGAACAAAATCATCATCTTCTTCAGAATGAGAATTTCCTACAATGCTGAGGTTCTTTTCATTGGCCAGATGCAGCAAGCATATAAAGCAAAATGATACCGAGATATCCTTCATGGTCTTGGGAGAATACATCTCTTTAAGACTCTGAATGATTTCTGTGAACCGTCGCTCCCCATGAACTTTCTCTGCTGATGGATCGATGCCTGATGTATCTACCGTGCCATTTTCCTACAGAAAACCAATCAGACTGGCCCGTTCACTTTGTCTCCGGCTTTGATGATTATCATTGACTTACATTCGATGTCGTTAGCACCTTCCAGAGATTGTCTTTCAGCCGCTTCACATCTACTCGTTTCGCGGTACGTGCATAGTTGACGTAGAGTGGTTTCACTTTGTTTAGTCGATGATTTGTGATCAGGGCATCGCCATATAATGCAGATGGTTCTGTCTCGTCATAAGTATCCAACATTGAGTCGTTATAAAATGCGCTGTCATCGTATGTTGATAATTGGGCTACAATATGTCACCTGTGATAAGTGTACTCATACGTAAAGAAAGCATATTCCGCAACCTACTTGGTTCTGCTAACATGTCATCATCGGGAGACACACTCGTTTCGAGATTATCACTGTCTAGTGGAGCGTCAATCTCCAGCTCTTGCTCAGCCCAGAATTGCACATCAGGTCCCATATCCATGTCATTGTCTGGCTGAGTTGTTTGCACCGCATTATTAGTCTCTGCTGCTATATCGCCAAAAGATAAAAATCAATCAAGCTGCGATTGTCATAACATTATAGCCTTGGTATCAAGTTACCAGATATTTCATGGTCTCTTTGTTGGATCGGATTTCTACGCGTATCGTTCTTTAAAGAGCCGTCGCGTTAGTGATATGCCAAAAAAAAAAAAAAAAAAAAAAAAAAAAGAAGAGGCCGACACATTTTAGATATACTTACAGTGAAACGCGGTTTGAGAAATAGTCTTAACAACTGCTTTGAGGAGAAATGAACATCATCGGGTAACAAATGCTTCGATGGCGTCCTATTCGCATCTTTAACCACGGGCATCGTGATACGGACACGCTTGTCAACTGCGAAGATTTCCTCCTCGTCCACATCTTCTCCATTGAGAAAATCAATTTCGAAGGCTGTCTTGGTCTTTCTTGTGGTTCTCTCTTCTCCTTCTGTGATTGTATCCGGTTTGCCAACTAATGCAAGCGTTATTTTACAGTTACCAAGGCGCTGACGGACTATTTACCAAACCCATTACCTTTTGATACAGGGCGTCGCAGTTTCCAATGCTCGGGACCGGCCCAATTCTTCTGCAACGTTTCATCGAAATAGCTGAATAATTCTTGATCGGCGTTGTTCATCATGGCCATGATATAATTATCGGTATCAGCGCCAGTGTCATCGATTTCCGCTGCAGTCTCCGGATTATTTTGGATATCGTCATTTTGAAACGGATCAGCGGCGTCTATACCGTCTAGTATTTCGTCGTTATCATTATCGAATTCCATCGTCAGATCATCAAGATCATCGGGAAATGCTGGATTGATATCATCTGCCTCTGCGACGGGATTTTCCAGGTCGTCCTTGTCCTCTTGGTTAAAGTTTGGCATTTTGAAGTCGGCATCAGCGAAAAAGTTGATGCCTTGAAGTGTAGGGCAGATGTTTAACTCTTGAAACACATCCAATGCTGGTAGTTTGGCTACAATCAAAATATGCATCAGTTGACAGTGCAGGCTTCCCCATTTTCATGTCTTTCTACCTTTGAGGCGCGAAATTTCTACCATGCTTGATTCCGAGCTGGAAGCAAGCTCGTTACTGGATTGTGGTATTGAAGCATCATTTTCTGTATTGGTTTCAAGGTCAACCTCCATGGCATCGTCCGCCTCATTGCTATTATTCGAAACGCCCTCTGCAACAGCTTCCTCTTCATCGTTGACTGCCGTTGTCTCTTCACTCGTTTCCAGTGATAATCCTTCACCATCAATCATATAATTTTCATTGGGGGCGTCGGCTTCGGATGTTTGCTCAGCAATTGTGTCCGAAGCGTCAAAGATGATTCTACATTCGCGATCGATACTAAGGTGATTCAGAAGTAATCCACGCGCTCCACCTTCATCAAAATCGGCTGATGTTTTCTTGAATAGTGGATCCACGGTAAAATCGAGGTCGAATTTTTTTAGCGCAATAGAAGAAAAGTCTTTTAGTAGGGTAGTTTCCGACCGATTTGCCTAAATGGGTGCGTTAGTTGAAGTGAATGCTGCAATCTATATTTTCAAAACTTACGCGACGTCGAGTTCTTCGTTCGTTGGCATCGTCGCGTTGCAGTTCGTTGGTTTCGTCCGCAGAAGGAGAATCTCTGGCGCTGTCTGCCAATCCGCTCAATAATTTGCCGGTTTCCGAAGCTACTGAATCGACACGTGAGGTATAGATTTTGACACAGCCATCCAAGGTACAGGATGCTTTTTGAAAGTTAATGGTATCACCATCGCGGATGAACGTCATTTCGTGAAAGTAATCGATGAGTGCAAAATTCCAACTGTTGCTGGCATTGACTTTCTGATGTTGAAAGATTGGTTAGTTTTTAAAGATAGAGAGAGAGAGCACAAAGTAAGCAATAATCAGTTACGTTATCAGTGCACATCTTGATCCACTCTTCAAAGTTGGAGTACATTTGTTCCGGCGTCAGAATAGGAACGACAGGACCTTGTGCGATGGGTACGCCTAGATTGGACAAGACAGATGCGTTTCTCGCCATGGTAGAATACTGGGAGGTACTGCTTGATGCCATTGAATTCACATGCTGTCGTCGCGCGCTGTCTCTGTTGGTAGAGACATGTTGCGGTCGACTGTCAGAAGCTCGATCACGTCCAGGTAAACGTTTTTCTTTGGATGAACTGCCGATAGATACAACAGCCGGATTACTTTGTAGAGGTGCTCTTGTCATAGTTGGGCAATTAAGCGGTATTTTTTTCTTCCCCTTTTGAAAGAATTCCCTTTTTTTTGTCGATTTCGTTTTCTTTTTTTTTATGAACCAACGCGCTTTGCCGTACGCGGCAAGTCGAAAATTTTATTGGCCGGGACAGTCCAATCAAATTCGAGAGTGACTCTGCGCTTTGCGCTCCAAAGCCAGGTGGATCGCATCTCAGCCCACAGCATAGTCAATATAACCAAGTCTGTATAACAGAGGGAACAACCATTGGCAAAGATCGCTATAAATTTTTTGAGCGTCGTTTCTTCAGAATCAAATGGCGATGATACGGAACAACCTCTATTAAGGAATATCAAAAACACAAGCGTTGCAGTTTGCCTATCTGTTTGGCAAGAGTCATATAATGAGAAGCACTTTAACGCAAAAATTGTGAGCAACACACATCTGGAAATCGGAAATAGGCACTTTCAGGTGAGGAACAAGATGAATATATCCATCTATATCGTTTAAAGTTTTTTAAATGTCATATACAGTGAAGGTATTCTCATTGGAAGCAATGAGATCAGCAATCCGCCAGAATCCGAGCAAACAACCTTGATTAATTTTTCTTCCCAAAAGCAGAACCAAGTTGGGATATCTCATTTCTGACCTCTGTTCTCCAAGGTAAACATCTTTCCAAATATGGTAACCTAAAAGCATATAAACTCCAATGCAAAGACATTTACTCAGTTAGACCTGGTCGAGTTTAGAAACATGAGCTTCTTCCTTCTTATTCTTTCCTGATACCCGGAGATTATCCTTTGGACACCGTAGTCAATGAATACAACGACGAATACCACGATCGGTTATGCATCTTATCAACAGCAATATGCATCATCCGAATCCCAACCAAATGACCTTGCCTCCATCATTTTATTTTTCTCCATTATCTTTGTCATGCTCGTATCTTTTATTTTCTATTTTTGGTTTACCGAATGGCATAAAGTGCCCCCACAACAACGACGAGAAGAAGAGTTGGAGCACCAAAAGGAAATTGATCAATTGGTCCAGAATTTGAAGGAACAGATCAAATGTACTTTCAAGATTCCTCTTGGTGGCCTCGTCGTACTTTTGTGGAAAGGTCTCCTATGCAACCAGACTGAACCGACCACCACCTCTGTCACTTCGCCGGTAGCAATAGCCACCCACAGTCCCGATTTACCTGTATCCCGAGAACATCGTAAAGTGCTTGCTCACAAGTTCTACCATCTATTTTCCGTTCTATTCCTCGTCGCTGTTTTCGTAGCGCTCTTTACACTCATCGGTGCCGACGTATCGCCTGTCTCTGATAATACGTCAAATATCTTGCAAGCCGCTCTTTTCGTCTTCGTACTATGTATCAATCTTTTTCTCATTACCCGGCAACGATTCTATTATAAAGATCGGAAAGATCTTTTCGGTCACGACGACGCCCACTTGAAAGCAGTTTACAAGACGCGATTTACAGACTGGGATTCTAAGATGTGGTCAAACTGGATTCAAATCATCATTCTTATCATCGAGTTCTTTCAGCTTCTTACATTTCCTCTTCGGGATCTTATGACGGTCACTTCCTTTGATTCCTACCGAACCGAGAATCAAACCCAATTCACCCACTTACTTACGCTTATTATGAATGCCGGAGGACTGATGCCCGATATGCGAACACCGACATGGTACACTTATTCTGTCTGGACGGCCTTCGCCACCACCATGGTGAGCCTAGTGGTTGCTGTGATTGTGCATACGGTGAATGTCCGTCGTCCGTATAAAATACCCAATCGCTGGGTAAGATGGTGTATTCCAGTGGCGGTAAGCATGAATTTTCCCCTCTTTTCTGCTGCATTTCGTCTTGATCAAACTTTTTTACTGACCGCTTTCTCCTGCAGAGTTTACTCTACATTCCGATATTGGTAAGTGAGAATTTTTTTTAAAGATGGATTATGCCACAGTGATTCCTTACGCATATACTTTTAGACAACGTTTGTGAGTTCTGCAGCCTGCCAGTCGCTGAATATCAGTACAAACGATTACGCTTCAACGCTTCGATGCTACGCACCTCAAATCAGTCACAAGTTATACCTATGGTTGTCCTTGGTGGGCTACGTGATCGCCTATTGTCTGCTTACCTTGTTTCTGACAAGCTATGAGCGGATCCCAAGGTACAATGAAATCGCTTTCAAATCTATTAGTGTAGCTATCATCAAAAATATGGGTAAGTTAATGTGCATTGCAAAAATAATGGATACATGAAATTAATGGCGAAGCAAGGTCTATTGCTTGCAAACGTGTTTCTGCTTGTGGAATCCACTTCTACCAAAAATCGAATGCGCGCTATTTTATCTATTATCATCCTCCTGACAATGATATGTTATAATATCAAGACACGGCCATGTTACGTTGACAAGGTAGGCAGAAACCCCACACATGGCCCCCGCTAACCTCTTCCTGACCGTTTAACCACATCCATTTTTTTTTTAAAAAAGATCAATTTTTTCCGCTCCGCCTCATTTAGCTGCATTTTGTGGACATCTTCACTGATAGCCATCCTCAGTGATACAAATGCAGCACAAAGCTTAGGTCCATGGGCTGTTCTCTTCATCATTATCGGAGGCTGGGCTTTGATCATTATTCTATTTGTCTTGATTTACTTCATCTACTATAAGCAACCCGAAGATTATATCGACGACGACGTGCTTGATCCCGAAGCCACACTGAAGGATAAAGCTGTATTTGGCAATTTCTCTTATGGTCACAATACCACTACTCCCCCCGGTGGTAGCAAACAAGTTGGTGTGGGCGGAGTCTCTCCAAACAATCTGGATCCTATCCATGAACTGGATGAAGGTATCGTCACACATTACGGAAACGAAAAGCACCAGATGGAACCCCAGTCAACACTGCCAAACGAACCGAACGGCATCAAGAAAAGCTCATGGGTATCCTGGGCTTTCAAGTGGGGATCGCGATAAGCTCCAAAAGTCGATTCATATATCTTTCCATTTACATCCTTATTTTATTCATTGTACATCATTCTACATCAAATATACAGTAGCTGTGCCGCGTCAACTGTTCTCGTATGCCGAAAAATTGATATGAACAAGAAAGGTCAACCTTTAGCCTCATTAATTATTGCGGCATATCCCTTCCACTCCGCTCTATTACTAATAAAACGATTATACCTTAGTTCTCATCTATTCGAATAACAGTGTCTCCGCATCAAGTATGTAAAGCTATATAACTAATGACTGTTACGAACTGGACCAAGCATTCATATGGACCAAGCTGGCGTCAAGAAATATACAGCTCATATTCACTTTTTCTACTAAGAAACCATACCCCCTTGGAATCCAAAATAGAGACATCCTATATATAAGCTACTGGAGCAAAGAAGAAGAAGCCATATACGTCTCATCCTGATAGCAACGATGATTACTTTCAGTATGAAGACATGAACCTACAGTCTATCCAACTGAACAAAAACCAATGAAGATAATGCAGTGCTTTACTTGAAGCTTGACTAGTAAGGCCCTAGAAGAATAAAGGCTTTTGCGAGATTATTATGAAATGGCACTCAAAATTTAACGTGAAACTTATATCCTTCACCTCGAAAACTGCTTATTTCTATAAATCGGAGATTTTCGAGGCTTGTTCAAAAAGTCACTTCCAGGTTGGAAGGATTTCAACCGCCGACGCGTCACGTGACTTTATTTTTTGCACTATCAAAAACATCAATACTTCTCCGCTAATTGTGCCCGCGTGGCGAAATTGGATATCGCTTTAGACTTCTAATCTAAGGGTTGCGGGTTCGACCCCCGTCGCGGGTACATTTTTTGTTATTTTTTTGCTGATGTCGCAATTGGCGAAAACATCATGAAAAGTGATAATCGATCGTGAATATCTTTTTTTTATTATGCCTTATCAATTGTATGGGTACACGCCGACTGTCGGTTGCATTTATTTTCGTTGAAAATGGAGGATGTTCTCTTTTATTTTGGGGGATATTGAATGCGCATCAGCGGCAGCTTATTGCTCGCCTAGCTAGCATTGGTAGAAGAAGTTCGGACGAAAATAAAGCTGTAATGGAGGCAGAAGCGAAGATGATGTAAGCGTTGTAGAGTCAATGGAGGAGAAGGAAATTTAAACACGCTACATATCAGCAGGAAAAGGAGTGAATTGAGATTCAAGTTCAAGGATGCAAATGCAAGCACAAAGAGAGACACATCAAGGGAATATGTATTCGGTGACATCCAGCATGCGTATAAAATATTTTACAGTAGTACAATAATCAGTAGAAACATAATACATGAATACATGATATACATCCCGCGGTATTCATGAAGAAAACATGAAAGATGTGGAATGTAATAGAATCTAAGTGGAAGAGAAAATGAAAAATTTAAATGAAGGCGACATTTTTCGGTTTGAATATGTATAACGATTTGCTGTTATCTGTGGGAGGGCGGGTTGAGAGTATTCACAAAAGAGAACTGAGGGCAAGAAGATGCAGTGTTATTTGTTGAAGACGAAGGCTGTGGGCTGGACGGATCTAGAGCTTCTGTGGTAATGGACGACGTCGACTGGGATAACGAATGGCGAGGCGTATGTGGCAAATGTGGCGAATATAATGAACTATCATCATCAGAAACCATCATACTCGGGCTTGGACTTGGGGGTAGTCTGTTGCCGTAGTTTGAACTGCCTCCTACGGGAGTGAGCGATAAAGAATTGTTTGGCGTAGTGGAAGATGAGAGAGCAGTATGGCCTGTCTGAATACTGAGAGAGGGACGAGGCGGGCAATGGTAAAACTGTGGGACTATGTTCTGTGATGTATTTGAAGACGAATTGGCTTGTTGATCATGAGAAGTCACGAATATCGAAGGCGGCGCTCGTTCTTGTCCCGGTTGTCGAAATTGTTCATAATATTCACTTCTGAACTGTAACGGCAATTGACCTTTTCCAATTTTGATGAGTTACAGTTAGAGATCATGACTGCGTAACAGAATGGCAAACGATGAAAATACAGCTGACTACTTACCGCCATTTTGCTGAGATATATGTTGCATCATGTCCTTCAGCATCTGTTGTTGAATTTCTTGTTTTCGCTTCATTTCCGTCAACTCCTTGACAACCTCATTGAAGTTTTCAAAGAGGTGAGCAATTTGCTGCATCATATTGGTTTGTGACATTTGAATCATTGCCACATGTCCGTTGATCTCGCCTCCTTCTCGTCGTGAGTTATCTGATTCTAACGACTTGCGCTTGATATCATTGAGAAGATCGTCGCGATCCCGTAGGAATTTGGGATGAGAAAACTCCCAGATCTGATTTTCTGCTAATGTCCGGTGCCCGCGTGGTGATTTGTTGACTTTATGAAAACCATACCTGGTACAAAAGTACCACTGTCAATGAATGATCATGATACACATTTTCTGATTTATCTTGGAGCATTTGAAAGGGGGGAAAACAATGACAGGTAATGATTGAATACATACAATAACAAGACAGACGAAGAGGCAAAAAAAAGGGGAGATTATAGTAGACGGTGGTAGCCCGTCGGCCGAACTTGGAAAAAAAAAAAAAAAAAAAAAAAAAAAAAAACTAGAAAAAAAAAAACTTACATGTTTAATTGCCTAACGAAACTCGAGAAATTGTTGTGCTTAAAATGTTTCGGTAGAACATCTCGTGAAAATTCCATGATGTTGCATACAATAAACGAGGATCCGGTATAATTCCACGCTATCAGATGTTGATATTGACTATCTAACACCATACTATGAAAAAAGCCAATTGAAAAACAAGGATCAGATCATCGCCAAAAAATAAGAAATCTGTCGATAGGCGACTCACTAGTAAAGTTTGTGCACAAAAGTATTGCTGTGCGCAGATTTTGGTTGCTGGGTAGTAGGTGACTCTACTGTTAGGTGTCGTGCATATGTCTGTGGTAAAGGGGGTGATTGCGACATGGTGGAAAACGATGGACGGACGGATGGCGAGACGAGATCGAGCATAGAATAGTTGCAAGGGACAGAATCACTCGGAAACGATCGCCGGTGCGGTTCCATTAAATTTTCGAAAAGAATGGGATTTTTTATAATGTGGGGAGGCGTCAAGGGATAAAGCCGAGCGGAACAAAAAAAAAATCAGGGAAAAAAAAGTGAAAGACAAATGAGCTCGCTGTTCAATCAAAAAGCTTGCCTTGAGCAATTTGTGTCATATAAATATCGAGTCACAATGGAATCTCAGGAAAAGCTTGTTCGAATACATCCAGAAACTCCGCTTGATCGTTCATGAATTTAGCTTTAATAATATCCAGCTTGTAATACCCATTTTCTAGTACCAGTTCCTTGATTATAATTATGATACAGCCGGGTTAGCATGAGAGAATGTAAAAGACTTGCTTACAGCAAGCTTCAGATATTTTTGCAAAGCAAAACAGGAGATGTTACTCAAAGCAATCGGTTTGTGTAACCCCAGTCCAACTCTTCTAAATTCCTAAAATGACTCCGTCAATTTACAACACCACACACAAAAGCCTGAGCATAAAAATAAAAAGGAAAACGTTCTCTTTATTCCTTTCAAGCACAGCGCCCGAGTATCAACAAATTTATTAAAAATTTCATATCTATATCTTGCTATCATGTTGGTCGAATCTTGCAACTACTTTTGCATAAGATTCCCTCGCATTGATTGCTTCAAGGCCTCTGGGCAGTGTGGCTAGAGAATAAATGTTCTCGTATAGTGCCGGGTTTAACTTTCCCGATTCGAATAGATCAAATAGCGCTTTCCATACTTCAGGGATGCGCTCCGGTTCGTTTTTGGTATATGCTCCCCAATGAAGGCCGCTAATGGTAAGTTAGCCGCGTCGGTATTATGGCGCAAATTCAGTATCACCGATCATGAACCACTTACACAGCCGAGATATTCTTCAGTAACAACCGATTCAACGGTAGTTTCTCAATTTGACCTTTAGCAAATCCGATGACCAGAAGTCGCCCATTCCATGCAGTGCATTTTGTACTAAAGACTAAAATGAGCATCATGAAACACGATACCCTATCCGATTACAATGACTCGCATTTGCTTACCTTTCTTCTATTAACCCTACAGGATCGTAAACCACGTCGGCACCATGGCCATTTGTCACTTTTTTTACTTGGGCGGTCCAATTCTCATCCCGATAATTAATAGCAAAGTCTGCGCCAAATTTTTTCGCAACTTCCAGCTTCTCCTTCGATCCTGCCGTTGCAATGACTGTGGCACCAAGCGCTTTTGCGATTTGCACGGCGGCAATCCCAACCCCGCCAGCAGCAGCGTGAATTAAGCAGTACTCTCCAGCTTTAAGATTGGCGCGCAGAACGAGCCCCGCATAACTCGTAGGATAAGTGATGTACAGACCGGCTGCTTGTTCAAACGTAAAGGAACTCGGCATGGGCAGGACGTTGCGATATGGAGCTGTGATGACTTCTGCGAATGAGGCTGCAGAACCAAACACACGATCACCAGCTTTGAAATCCGCAACAGTAGACTTTAAAACAATTCCAGCAAATTCGCCACCTGGAATGAAAGGAAAAGGGGGTTTGATCTGATAACGTCCCTGGATCTACAAAGTGGAGAGATATTAACTTTCTGAAATGGTTGGCCACGGCAAGGCAACGTACCATGAGTGTGTCGAAAAAGTTGAGCCCAACGGCTTTGACTTGGATTTGAAGTTCGCCTTCCTTTGGCTCTGGAACTGGAACATTGGTCGACAAAGTCAAGTCTTCGGGGCCCTTGAGCCATTGGTTTACAACATACGCTTTCATTTTCCTACAATCGAGCAGTAGAGACTGAGCGAAAGTGGACACTTCATGCCTATATTTACGGTCCGTCGCGGCTTTAATTTTCCATTTGCCTTTAGTCATTCATATTTTCTTACTCTGCAGAAATCTCAGAAAAGTTTCCCACCTGTCAAATACGCATGCGATGAATTTTTCCCATGCGAAGCGTTTGCCGACAATTGCGCTGCAATTTCGTCAAGTACACTTTGATATACATTATAAAGGTTATCAATGTGTGGATTCTCGATTAAACCTACGGATGCATGCTGGGCAAAAACTAAACATATCTTTCCAGTGACACATGGAGTCGTAGAACTATGTTGCCAAGGTGCGAAAAGAAGATCAGAAACACTTCAGAAATTTTTTAAAGAAAAATGGCCTTACACATAGCAATGAGAGAAATCGAGTTGATCCGTCGGGAGGGGATGTAAATATGTTCATTGATTTACTTCTCGACTGATTGAAAACGCATCAAACGCGATGTGAAAAATGCATAAAGGCATGAGATCATAAAAGGTAAATTTTTGCTTCGCGAACCAATATATGCATTTCGTCGATAGCATATAAGAGTGGCAATGACGATTGATCAGCGGCGATCTTAAATGATGCTGCTTTTACGATGTATACTCAGTTTTGCTGTTTTATTTTTTTTGGCTCAGTCTTCATTTGGCGCTCAAGGAAATCAGCAAGTCAAGGGTTACAATATTCTCGTTGAATCTGAATCTCGCTTTTGCTCATTTCTACCTCCCAAACCGGGATCAGATGTGGCGAAGACAGAAAAGGACGGAGTGCCGTTTTGTACTCAGAGTGGCATGGTGGATGGTGCCCACCAATTTCCTGCTGGTTTTATAGTATCTGCCCATTTCCAAAAAACTTCAACATATTCCCAAGTGACAGGCCGCATAGATCGCTCCAAATATAAACTATCTGCATCAGACGGTGGTGGTCAATATGATCAAAAGGTATTTACTTTTCATATATCCTCTGGCATAAGTCTAAATGAGAACAAACGCTTTTCTTTCTATCAGGATATAATTGGAGGAACATGCAATAATCACAAGTTCTGGGTCAATGTGGTGGAACCCGATTCCAACATCTTCTGCATTCGTTGCTGCAGCAACACCAAAGACTGTAACCTTGGAATATCTCAGTACGGTTGCCGACGAATTGTTCCTGGCAATTACGACTAATATTCGTGTGTCATGCCATTACAGTTTTATGAATACGAGTTAGCAATATCTTGTAAATACTATTAATATAGTAAGAAGAGATAGAGGCAAGAAAAAATAAGCTGGTGCAAGTTTCTACGATGCCTTTAATCGGCTACCGTGTAACCAGGGCCATTTAGTTATAGGACCGCAGAAATGGAAGGAACTGATAGAGATCGAAAAGTCCAAAATCTTCCTGCAAACCATAGATTTTCTCAGCACAAGGGTCTGTGGGTCCGCCAACTACCAGGACATTTTACAAAACCACCCTTGGTACTGAGAAGAGTGGGGCGAGTAATATTTAGGGTCCACTAACACTTTCTCCCAGATGCGCGTCAAACTGACGGGATCTGATTCGTCTTGCAAATCATTCACTACAGAGGCTATTTGCTGCTCCAAAAAGGCATTGCCAGTTCATTCACAATGTCCTGCTAGTCTACCAATACAAAAGCCCCTCCGATTACTCTTTGCTTCCAAAAAAAAAAAACGCGAGAAATCATCGCTACAACCGACAAAAGGCTTGCGCAAACGGGGAATCGAACCCCGACCTTCAGCTTGGAAGGCTGAAATTCTACCATTGAACTATTTGCGCTTTTCCGACCAAATTCGGTATTTCAAATATCTCCGCAAGTCCGGTTAAACATTTAGCCGGTATCGAAAATGCGCATTTGTCGCTGCAAAACGATTTATGTTTTGCTATAAAATGCGCCCGATTGACCTGGAGCGGTATCTGCACATTTCAATGTATTCCACGTACTCGTTAGGCGATGGTATGAAGTATGAAAGCGACATTTTCAGGATGGGCGTCTTTACGCGCTTGTGTTCCCAGGATTCTTCCGCCCCGCCCGTTATTTTGTCCGACCCGGCACCGCCCACTCTGCACCCGCAAAAGATTTGAGTCCGTGATTCGCAATTCGCGCGCTCCAGATGCCTGACGATTATATGAATTTCTAGTTGTCGCTTAAATGGTCGTCTTCAGAGACAGTATTTCTTTTCACAGTGTCGGTCGCGTGGCATGATGCAAACGCCGTATGCTTTAATTAAGAACACAGCTTTGTGATCTGGAAAGGACAGTGGAGTCTGAACCATATATAATAAAAATAATTCGATCCAGATAGTTGACGATCGTAAAAGAGAAGACTTTGTTTTTCAAGAAACTCATTGTAATGCAGGTACCCTTGAAAAGTAAATCAAACATGAACGGCTCCTGGTTACTCTTCATTTGCCTTTTTATTTATCTAAACCTTTACAAGCTGAACTGCATGATTTTACATGAGGTCTCATATGCATACAATGACCATAACAAGTGACATTGTAGAAGAAGAAAGTCTTCATAGACAATGACAGCAAATTTTGCGTCTGGTCGGATGAGTTGCGTCGTCGGTCTTGTTCGCTTCTGTGCTTGCTGGAACTGACTGTAACAAAATAGCATCTCCGCAAAACCGATATTCACTACAGCGCATAAAACTCAATCACCCGATCTATGGCAAAGATAACTTCTGACAATTTTGCAGATGGGTTGTTACTTTAGCTTTCAACAGCGATGAAACATCAGCCAGTTGTACTATTATTTAAGCAGAACAGATACATTGGTGATAGTTATGTTACTCATGATTGAGTATGAAAATTTCCAAGGACTCCACTCTTATTTCTTAGTGCAAAGTCCAGTTTAAGGAGCAACGTTTCATCTTTTTTGTTTTCTCTCATATAACAAGCCGTACACCCGCTGTGCAATGGATGCCGCCTGCCACCGGAGGCCGCCCCCTTACATTGAGCGACTTTCGTCAGACAAAAAGCCTAACGCATACACGGCATAACCTGGGCAAGAACTCTTGACGGAACTTCGGTATATTAATGACAACCTTATGGCATACGTTGCAACGTGATTTGTTTCTGAACACGCGCAGGGCAGCACTGGTTCCCCCCCTCAGTTCCATCCCGCCCAGGCTATGATAGATCTAGAAAGATGTGTGGGTATGTTGGGTATTTAAAAAAAATGAGTTAGTAAGCTCTTTGATTGATTCAAATTTCGTCAAGATATTTTACCTTTGTTATTTGAGTTTTCGATAATAATTGATCGCTTGACATGACTTGGATTATATGACATTGAAAAAATTGAATTAGTATACGTTCATTACATCATAGCAAAGGAAAAGAAATTGGACTTGCCTTTGAACCAAATGGTGTACCGGAAAAAAAAGATGAATACGGAACACAGGTAAGCTTCTTTTCGATGCGGAAAATAAAATTGCTTCCAGGGACAGTTAAGCGATGGATCGGTGGTGTCAGCTTGAGCAGGCAAAAAATATTGACGTGGCCATAAGTGACGGTAACTTCGAGTTGGATTCCAGATATCGAGAGTCCCCCGAATAAAAAGAAAGAAAAACAAATAAAGTACATGATGATAAAAAAACAATGGTCGCGTCAGTAAAAACCTCATAAAAAACCCTGTGGGAAAAAAAGAGGAAAAGACTGCGAAAAGAATATGTACATGAAATATAAAATATAAAATACAAACTATAAACTAAAAATACAATAATCGGGAAGACAGCTCGAATACCATATGATGAGAAGCAATCAAAGGAGAGGAACATGAAGAGGGCACGTAAGCGTTGCTGATTAAAAAGAGCACACCACCGACGATGGCCTTTGACGTCATCCGGTTTCGCCAGATGGATGGATGGATGGATGGATGGCGAGAGAAAGTCAACTGTAGTATCCAGAACTTGTCAGGCAAAAAGAAAACGAAGAAACCCGGAAGCTAAAAGAAGGATGGAAAAAAAAGAGAGGTAAGTCTGTTTTGCCGGAGCAAAATCGATGGTAGACCACTCGACGCTTACCTTTTTGAGGATGGTAGTCGATTTAAATACACGGGATAAGAATGGTCTGGATGATGGATGCGGATGGAATCTTGATACAATGATAGTGAGGGTTTATCAAGCAAACAGAAAGAGAGAGAGAAAATCAAAAGAAGAAAGAAGACAAAAATATATGATTCTCCATGGATGAAACAATAGTCACCCCACTGATGCATGAATTCATAGATCGAAGCACGTCTGCTTATGTATTATTCGATTCATTGAAAATTGAAAGAGAATGAAAGGACATATATAGTATAACTGACAAAAGAAAACAAATTGAATGATGCTACAGAAGAACGCCAGTCGTATCATCAACCACCTTTCTTCAAAAAGAGCTCTACTCACATTTTTATTCGAAAGACGACGATGCTCTGTTTGACCACAACTGGCGCAAACGGCATTTGCTGCTTATTGTTTCGCCTATTATCGTGAAAGTGGGCAGCGAGGCATGGTTGAAAGATAAAAAAAAAGGTTTAACAGGTCCTGATAACTTAGTGTAGATACAAAATCGTTAATTTCCCAAAGATTTTAATTATGTCGATTTATTCAGTTGGAAACAACAAACAACCCTTTCACCAACATGGTGATATTGTAAGAAATAAGAATATTGTGATAAGCTGGTCTGCATGCGCTCAAGCCTAAAGCGTGGCGTGTATCACTTAGTCACCCCTTTTTTTGGCACCAAAAAAAAAGTCAGCCTGGTGAAAAAGAGGGGCGTTTCTATTTCCCCTCAGTTCGACGTCTCTGAAGTAGTGCACAGTAACAGCGCAAGATCGAGAGAGCTTTCGAATTCTTCTTCCCCCCCCGCCTCAAAAGCAGAGAAAGTCAATCACGAAACCAAGATTGTATACATCCATGAACGAGCATGCACAGTGAAAAGATTATTGTGCAAGAACCAGAAAAGCGATTAAGCAGTCTTTCCACGCTATATAACCAGTTACAATCGGTCGTTGAATACAATGCTTTACAACGCCAACGAGCAAGTATACCAACGCTAATTAAGCGAGTTCAGAAGTTGGATTTGTGCGATACAGACGCAGATGCAGACGACGACAGCAGTGGCGGCACCTACTCTCCCAGCAATAACAGCTCGATAACCAATAGCCCTATTACTCCTTGTCACAAGGAATCACTCCCCGTATGTCCCTGCGACCAAATCATAGGTTCAAGCAATGATGTTCACTGTACCCTTTGCAAAGCAACCCTGCCATGGCAAGCCGGATACGCAGCGTGTCAGTCGGACATCAAAGATAAGAAAGAGCGAATCGCCAAGTTATGTTTTCAGCAAGAAGCGTTGACAAAGGAGATACACGAGTTGAATGAAAAACATAACCATTTACAAACGTCCTTACGTCGCAGAGAAAACGATATCTTATCACTTCAGCATGATTTGGAGGTGTTCAAGCAAAAGTGTCTGGAGGAAATTAGTCAGATCGAGTCCATTCAACGGTCAAAGGAATCGGTGAAACGCGAACTGGAAGATCTGGGACAGCGGCTGTTCGAGGAAGCGAAAGAAATGATGTTGATTGAAAAAGGGGAAAAGGACGAATTACTGCGAATGCATGCAGTAACTCAACAACGACTCAATGACTCGGAGCAAGAGCTACGTGAAATCCAACGTCAAATGCAGATTCTTCGCACGGAAATGGAACACAACAATGGAAACGATCACTTACGTCGATGTGATGCACCGGAAGCCGTTCAAGGAGCTGAATCGTACGACATTTACCACCGAGCACGAATCGATATGATTATACTCCATGAAAAAGACATTGAATACCGAGCGGACTCTGCGAAAATTACAGAAGTACCGTCTGATTTCAAAGAATTCGTAGAATCGGTCGGAGAGGTTTCACTTCGTAAAATACACAGTTTGAGGTTTATGAAGCAATGTTTAGCCGATGACATTGAGCCTTGTCTGCGATTTGGTCCGAATCCGAAGATGACCAGCCGTAAACTGTTGGCCGCCATGTTAGTCAAGACTTGCTTTGTCGAAGAATGTCCCAAAGGATTCGCGACAAGTCAAGCTGAGAAGCAAGCACTTGAAGAAGCGACGATCAGTCTCTGGGAACGATTTGCGCTCAATACCGTCTCCTCTGGATGTCAAGCATGTGGTCGCAAGACGGATCCAGCTACCCGCGACGACATTCTCTCTCATCGGCTTCGTATTTCCTATTTTGATGAGTGGGCATGTATTGATCGATATTGCCGTGATCGAGTTGTGTCAGTCCTAGAGTTCTATTCTTTTATCCGTTGTATCCGTGGTGGAGCCTATCGCGAACGTGACCTGGAAGACATTTACAGAGAATGTATGCGATTAAAATTGCAGATGTTTTTTAGCAGGTGCGACTGTGTGAAGGGATGGCTAGAGAACCTTTGAGTTACTAAAATAGGCACGTGTATCTAGGTTAGGTATGTTGCCGGCAGCCTTAGAAAGTATTTCAGTCGATTCATCGGCTGTTGGCAGAGCATCCGGAACAGCTCCCGCGGACGGCAAAGTATCTTTGGAATCACTTGTTGCCCGTACATCGAGTTCTACCGAATCAAGTGCAATAGCTTCCACACTTTAGACTCCAATATCCTTTTAATAATAGTTAATGCCCATGGTTACCCGCTTTTTTACTAATTCACAATCGTTTTATACTTGTCCTTTTTTAACCTACAACTTAATTTAATTCCTTTCGTTTTTTAAATGAAACGACTAAATGGCACTCGCCAATGGTATATTTTTTTTTTCGTGCCAGCACCCCATTAGCTGGCCAGGTTTATGATCAGTTTCCGCTGCTTCGCTTTTTGCATGATATTTCTTTTTTAGTAATTTTGGCTCTCCGCCCCACAATCGAAAATTCAATTGCTTCTTTACGACTTGAGACATCACTGTCCAAAGTTTTCTTTTTTTTGGCTCGACTATTCACCCAAAGGCACTGCACCTTCTATATAGAATAAAGAAAACATCTTTAAAGGTACTTTGCTTGTAGTTTATGTAGGATTGCAATTAAACAGGTTTTGCCACAAGCATGATTTTGCTGACGTGCAATCCATCATTGTAACAATGCGTATGGGAGCAAGAAGAAAATGGTCGGAGAATGAAATTTGGACGACGCAGCTGGTGATGATCCGCATGTCTCCCGCGGTCGACTGAACCCCTTTCGACTTTCGACTTTCCTTTTCACGTGAGTTTTACTATCGTTCGCATACAATAACATAGAAAAAGAAAAGTGTTTTGGATTCTTTCCTTCATATAAAAAGCACGCCAATTTCGGACCAGCTTTCCACCATAAACTTTTTTTTCAAATTTTTTCTGCTATTATCTCTTCATCGCTTTTACCATGTCACACAACGTCGGACCTGGTGCTGATCCGAGTGAACGGATCTCTCCCGTAGAAGAAACTCTGTATACAAGTGCACCTACTGAACCTTATAATGGCGATGAAAAGAACGCCTTCAATGCGTCCATTAATATGGGTCCCGAAAAGGCGGCTGACCAAGATATGATCAGTGAAGACGTCGAGCTCCATCGTTCCGGTAAGTTCGCCGCCTTCTATAACAAGCACATCTTCTGGTTCCAGTAAGTACCTCTTGTTTCAATATTGAAAATATATACAATGAACAATATCTGATGGGATGTTCTTCATAGTTTGGTAATGTGGCTTATTGCAACTGGTTTTGTCTCTGCTGCGTTTGCCTTACAGATCCCCAAAGGCTATAATCAAGAAAATCTGATCCTCGGTTTGGTCTACGCTTGGTTCAGCATTTATATGTTCTTCTGCCATGTACCAACGACTGTTGTTACCAAGCCTTGGGGTATGCTTATCTCCATGATCGCCAAGCCCGTGAAGATGGTCAATCCTCGTTTACGCAGTCTTCTCTATGGCGCCTTTGTTTTCGCTGCAATTGCTGCTACCGTGTTTGCTTTCCCCGTCAATGAACATTCGTCCACACGGCTTCAACGTTTATACTCCTTGATCGGTCTTGTCATCTTCATAGCCATTATGTACATCACCTCCACAGTAAGTATTTGTTTCCATACTTCCATTGCCTCCACTTGATTTGGTTTGGCGGGTTTCTAATTTCCTTGTTTTTTCTATTTTTCCAATTTAAAAGAACCGCCGTGCCATCAACTGGACGACCATCACCACCGCTCTTCTGCTGCAATTTTTATTGGCTTTGTTTGTGTTCCGTACCAAGGCTGGTCATGATATTTTTGCCTGGGCTGCTCACTTCTGTGAAGGTTATTTGAGCAAGTCTCGATATGGTACTGAATTTGTGTTTGGTGCGGAAATTGCCAACTCGGGCATCTTCGCTGTCGGTGTATTCCCAGCTCTTATTTTCTTCGCTGCCACTGTTCAAATGCTGTACTACCTTGGTTCCCTTCAATGGTTGCTCCGTAAGAGTGCTGTTATTTTCGTGAACGTGTTGCGTATCTCTGGTGCCGAAGCTGTCGTTGCCTGTGCGTCTCCTTTCCTTGGCCAGTGCGAGAATGCCTTGTTGATCAAGCCGTTTATGCCTTATTTGACCAACTGTGAAATGCATCAAGTTATGGCTTCTGGTTTTGCCACTATTTCCGGTTCTGTCCTGTATGCTTATATTTCCATGGGTATTCCCGGTCAAGCTCTTTTGACATCGTGTGTTATGTCCATTCCTTGCTCCATTGCTGTTTCCAAAATGCGATATCCTGAAGTTGATGAACCCATGACCAAGGGTGAAGTCAAGGTCCCCGAAAGCGACGAAAAGGCCGCCAATTTCTTGCACGCTGCTGGTACAGGTGCAGCCACTGGTATCAACATCTGTTTGCTTATCTGCGCAAACCTGATTTCTATCCTGGCCCTTCTCTATGCCGTGAACGCTGGTTTGACATGGCTTGGCAACTTTGTCAGCATTCAAGAGTTGACTCTTCAAATGATCACTGGTTACATTTTTGTTCCCATCTCCTGGATGATCGGTACCGATACGAAGGACCTTGTCGCTGTGGGTCAACTGATGGCTACCAAGATTTGGGCTAACGAATTCGTCGCTTACATGGATATGATGAAACTCTATCAAGAAAATGCCATCAGTGAACGCTCCATGGTCGTTGCCACTTATGCTCTTTGCGGTTTTGCCAACTTGTCAAGTGTTGGTATGCAGATCGGTGTGCTTAGCAGTCTGGCTCCCAAGCGTGCTGGTGATATTTCCGGCTTGGCTTTGTCTGCTATGATTTGCGGTGCTATGAGTACCTGGGTCTCAGCATCGATTGCTGGCATGTTGCACTAATCCACTTTTTTTTTATGGTCTTCCATCTTATGTGTATTTAATTTCTTACTGTTATAAACATCCACCTAATCCTCCTATTATAAAAAGACTATTTATCATTATTTTTCTTTGGCTGTGGTATTTATTCTATGAAAAATGGATGGAGCCGGGCAGTTAAAAAAGATATAAACAAGATGATAGGGTATAAATAAGTATAAACTATAGCTAAAATACGAAAAAATGGCTAAATGAATGGTTTTACTCTATTTCATGACTTAACTTTCGAATTGCATCCGAATCAAGGACCTGCAAATGCCAACATAGCTCATATAAATCGTCTTCGATGTCGAAAGAATATCGATTGGCTAGCTGGCGAAATGTTAAAACCCGTTTGATAACTGTTGCCATAATTCTGTGTTTACGAAAGTTCACCAAAGGTTGCCGAACCACTGGCGAAACATCGGCAGTATCGTTTGATGCCTCATTTCCTGGATTCAGATAAGGCGGTTGTTCCGAGTTGAATACTAAATCAGACAGGTATATGCCCAGAAACGGGATGCAGCCGCCAAAAGGATACTTGATTTTCGTTCTTCGGAAAGTACGATAATTTGTACTCGGTAATTCGATCTGTATATCGGTGGAGGACATACCGTGCTCTTCTGCCACCAGTGTCATACTGTCGCGAATATGTTTCCAATTCCGCATAGGAGAGGTGAAAGCGGACAGTTGATCCAGCAAACGGAGTTCTGAAGATCCGACTTTGGACCACGTTTTTTTCAGCCGCGAAATGGACGGTGACTGTAAACCCAATACGATCTGTACCAGTGTAGCGAAGTTGGAGAAAAGTTTGCATTTCTATCATAAGACGCTTCATGAGTACCCAATGTCGCTCTGCCGCTATGATATTAAAAGATACTTTACCTGAGCTAATCGAATAAATTTCTCGATGAGTTTGGTTCGTTCGTTGATGTCTCGTGTTCTTACGATTTCCGACGCAACCCATTGACAGACGGTATTGAAGCGCTCAATGACCTGCTCTACGCCACCTCCGCAATCAGCTTCTTCGTCCAATATCGAAGCCTTTTCGTCATGATTATCCCGGTCCACGTTGCTGTGTTCCTGATGATGATCCATTTTGGTCCAGCGACAGTGTACCAGGTCTTCCCAGTCAACGACCAGTAGTATATCACGTTCTATCAAACAGAACTGCTGTGCCATTTTTGCTGATCGGTGGTCCAGGATAAAACTATGATGTTCCGACGGAATAATGTCGCTCGATAATGTATTTGACTCTAAATTATTCCATGTATGATGAATCGTGTTATCGTACGTGTAGAGTGAGTTTGTGAGTTCTGGATCTTCGTGCCGCTGAATCATGTTGGTGATGCTTAGAATTTCGGAAGGAAGGTCAGCGCGGCTGGTTGAAACGGTGTTGATGGAAGCCGAGACCGCTGTTGCTAAAGCACTGTCAGCATCAGATTCGACTTGCGAAATGCTTGGCGCTTCTTGGATATGCATTGTATTTTGCGATTCAGGATCTTCGGAACTGGGATCAAGGTGTCCCAGGTATATTGGTCCTGCATGTTTCGACTTCAAGTTGCTTCTTTTATCTTCCTGGCCCAGACTCTGCACACCGAAGTCCAGCGATCGCGGCTCACGATCAATACTAGCGCCGCGTCGTCTTCGTAATTCCAAGCTGTGACGACGCTCTTCATCTCCTGCGAGAAGAATGCTCAGACGTCGACAAGAAACCGGTCCCTGATCTTCGCCGGTGCATTTCCTGCAATCACAGGGTTCAATATCCACTTCGCTGTTCCTTAGCTGTTGTGCAATCCTACTGACAATGCGATCGCTTGCTGTCATCGCAGATGGATTTTCTCTAGTATCAGTTGACGGCGAAAGGGAGGGTGATTCAGGCCCACTCGTTTCATTGAGCAAAGTATCAGATGTCGCGGTTGCTGGCACATCTTGCTTCAAGACCTTTTTGAATGCCTTGGACAGACTGCGCTTGCTTACAGGACGGCTAAGGCTGATTCCACTGGAGGGAGGAGTAAAAGGGACACTGGTAGTTTGATCGTAAGGAATTGCTTCAAAGTTATCGATTGGCGATGTTTCCACTGGCATGGGCGTGAGAGTTCTCTTTTCAGACGACAACGTATGACTAAGTATCTTGCTCTGAGGCCCGTCTACCGCTTGTCGTAAAGGAGGGACATCCGGTATATGGTCTGCCAAGTTCGTACCCAATATATTGGCGGAGTAGGGCCCAGGAGAGCTACTTCCCGCCCGAAGCTCGTTTTCGCTTTTACGTCGCTCGATGCTTTTACGGGATAAGTTAATCGACAGACCGGTCGCAGATTTGACAGGCCCTAGATCGTTAATATCAAGGGCACGGATGATTTCAACCGGTAAACTTTCAGATCTTGGTGGAGAAATGGGTCGGTTCAAAGGATCTTCATCTGGCGATTTTCGACACCATCGTTCGGAAGGCATGCGTGTTAAGGAGCGACTTGCAGTTGATGATTGGTTCGTAAGCGGCGATGTGCTGGAGGCAGTTGCAACGGTATTGAAGTCTGCAGTTCTTGTTTCTTTCGTAGTGTCTCGATTTTTGTCAGAACCTAAAAATTGCGGCGGCAGCGGAGGTCGCTTATTGGTGTTCTTTCGACCTGCCGACGAAGCTGCTATTGATGGATCTGCCTCAGATGGCTGATGCATGCGACCAGGACCGCTGGATGCCGGAGATCGTAGGGTATGTGGCGCCGAAAAAGTTGATGTGTTATCTTTGAGGTTCAATGATGGCTGTTCGTTGTTTGGTGGCCAATCACATACTTCAGCGCCATCGGATGGCCTACTTGTAAAAAACTGCTTTCTTTGTTGTTCCTCGTCTTCTTCAGATTTATGACGTTCGTTCTCCCATTGTTGGCTCAGACGTTCTGCATCAACCCACTCGAAAGACGAACGGTAATATCTGTGAGACTGCTCGTCGTCATCCATATCCTCTTCCGTATCTGTTGTGCCAGGGCTGATTGCACTATCGAGAGAATCATCTGATACAACGCTTGTTTGTGAGCTATCCGTGACCAAGGAGTCTCGAGGGCTAGCTATGCTGCCAGGATTTTGTTCGTCCTCCATTTTCTTTTGTTGTTGCATACGTTGCAAATAAGATGCTTTGATGGTCTGAATATCAGCACTATGGCTGATTGCACTGCTCAAACGCGATGGGGACCGCTGAGACATTGAGGGACGCATATATTGCGTATGCTTTCCTTGCACGCTACCAATAACAACCACTTGAGCCTGTCGTGTATCCTGAATGGCCATGTTACCATTATGCTTGCCACCAACGTTCACGCCACGCACCAAGGCAGTTTTCCTGCGAATGACACCCTGAGATAACTGAGCTCGAGCCATTTCCTTGACCCTTTCTAGTTGATCAGTGGCTGGCGGAGGCAATATCACTTTGACTCGTTCCGAGGTGGAACCATAATAGTATACTTTCTTCAACCGCCTGACAACGCGCTTTAGTCCCTTTACAATACGTTGATCTCGAGGCGAAGATTTGACGAGAGGATGGCGTGGAAGACCATTCAAAAAGGATGTGAGAATAACGCGCAATTCACGAGAGGGGATAAAGTCGTGCACGAAATAATTGAGCAGCCAATGTCGGAGTACTACGAACGTTCTGTTAAATGTATTTAGCGTTCGCCCTTTCAAAACAGCTGTCAATAGGATGAGCAATAAGTGAAGAACTGTTATTATACCTGATTCGCACTATACGACGCTCTTCAGTGTCGTTCGCCAAAGCCCAGTCGAACCGCAATATCAACAACTTGCATAATTGTATCGGCGAAATAAAGAGTCGGTAAGTCAAAAAGAAGTCTGTCATGAAAGTGTAATCTATGTCCATCCACGTTAGCTTTTGGATTATTTATCAGAATTTTCTATCATTACCTATTGTGCTGGTCAATTTCTCAACTAATTTCTCGACAGTTGCCGCTTCGATTACCATAGGAATATGGTGTGGTGCAAGTTTCTCTTGGTTATCAGACTTGGCATTATCGGTTTTGTGGCGGTTTTTCGCAAGCGATCGTTTCAAGGATAGCTTGGTTTTCAAACTTATATGAGCATCTTTTACAATATTGGTGTCTGATGCAACCGAACGTAAGGGTGACATAAGGCGTGAGCGCGGGCGGCTTAAGGCGTTGCCCAGCCGAATAGTGTCTGGTAATAAAGACCATCTAGCGGAGAGAGGTCTCTCTGATATCGGTGATGGAGGTTCTGAGGAAATCGCTGTTGTGTTGGACGAGAATCCTTTCAAAGCCGGTCTGCCTGCGCAAGCATTTACATTTCGAGCTGCCAGTGACGAATAGGCTGAGCAAGTGGCCGATATATTTTGCCCCGTTGTTGCCAAACTTGCCGATAACATATTAGGATCCGGACCCCATACAATAATATGAGGATCGTCGTCTGATTTTAATAGATCAAAAATGGCCGGTGGATAATCGATAAAAAGAAGTGGTGGACCAATATCTCCCTCGGAAACGGAAAGATCGATCGGCGGTGGGGTTTGAGCCTGTAAGTGAGACGAATTGTGGTCTGAAGAAACAGATCTTCCACTCGCGATAGGTGTCAGATGATGTAGAAGTACAGACGATGGATTGGCAGGAAACATGAAATCATCTTCAGCAAGCAGATCATTGAAATTGCTGACGGCTGGGATATCCGGCAATGAAAAATTTCCAAACGGTTCATGCGTAAACGAACTGGATGGCAGAAAACTCTGTAGCCCGACATCTTTGAACGCACACTCCACCAGTGCTGCATGGTTCTCATCATGGTTTTTACCGTAATGATTACAGGTGCCAGCACCTGTCACTGATTCCTCCATATCGTTGGAGTGTTTCCGAGCTGGCTGCCCCTCATCTGCCATAGCAGTCTCCCAAAATATGCCACCATCGGTATATTCTTGTATGCCAAACACGGTTGCCAAAGCCGCTCGTTCACGCGTTCCTTTGGTATTGATTTCATTTATGAGTTCTGGCAATATAAGAGAGTTATTGCGCGTTCTTCTAGACACGTCGATAGCTGTTTCTTGGGGGAGAGGCATATTCGCAGTTAAAGCCGTTGCTTGGTTATATTCATCGTCCAGGGGGGTTTGCGAAGAACGATTGCCTGGTACTTCACTGCGATGATTTTAATCGTTAGCTTGATTATCGTCTGCATTCAAGGGTCAATCTCACCCTTGGTTCTGTTGGGAAGACGTTTGTTGATGGAGACGTCTCATTGTAGTGTTCCAAGGAGACGGCATGTAGGGTTGCGATCCGTGGCATGCAAAAGGTATACGAGAAGAAAGGGTAAAAACTAGGCTAGTTTTGATATATTACGAGTAGTATTTTTTTCGAGTTATTTATTTGCTTCACATGGTTAATTGACAATTTTGAACTTCACTTGTGATACGATACAACGACTTGTCAAACCGTAAAAGTTCATGGTATGGCTTTCAAAAACTGGCCACCCGGGCCCCAAGCTGCCCGATTCTAACCGTATTTGATGGGATTTTCTACCTTTTTCAGTGACGGTAGTACTTAATAAAGCAAGCGATTCGGGATCATGATACACAGAGCATGCACGATCATATCAAATCAGGACATATTTGACGTCTTTTTTTTTCTTTTCTCCACTAATTGTTTTTTTTCATGCAACATGGATTTCCCATTTTTTATTTTTCAGCAGCGGATGAAACACATTCTTGAAAAATTGGTGGCTTTGCCATGTCAAATAATTTCATCACGCCTGTCGCAGCTGTGTTGGATAGGGTTCACCAATTCCCGTTATCATGGACGGTGATGATTCTGCGAATCATAACAACAAATGCTTAACGGAAGAACTGGATGCTGACGTTGGTCTTGAACATGCGGAAGCGGAATCTGCAGAATCCTCAATACGGCGATCAGGAAGGCCAAAGAAAGCTGTTAAGTATGGTCAACCGTTCATACATGGCGACAAAATGGCCTTCATATCTCGCGCGAGATCTAGACCGAAGCAACAAAAACGCGACAGACGTAAGGTGCAAAAGACATCCTCTCTCAGACGATTGGCTCCGGCTATAAAGTTCCCATTCGGTACCGGATCCAGCTTTGACACACAGAGTTTCACCTCCAACGCAGTAACTCAAAGTTTCCCCGACGGATATTATACGGGTACTGGTGTACCGATGTTCTCAGCCAATTATGAATTCATGCCACAGCCGATCCCTTTTTGCTACGATGTCCCTGTTCAACCGATCGTTTCGAGTTATTATGGTGCAAATTCACAACATTCTTTCCAGTGGACCTACAGCATACCGCCGCAATATGAGGCACCCACACCCAAACCGGCAGCCTTAGATACCCCTCATATAATGGAACATCCACCTTCGCGATTACAAAATACCACAGCAACACCTCCTTTGTCTAGTCATTCTAACACCAAACGACAGTTACCTCCGCCATACCAAGAGACGACAGATGAATCTCCTTTTACTAATAAACCGACGACAGCGCAGCATCCAACTATTTTGCATCAGTGTTTGGAGCGAGAAAATCAAAGGCACATACAACGTGAAGATAAAAGTGCCGCAGGAACCGTAGCAGATTTTGACAGCATGAGGCCAATCCCACATTGGCCACCTAATGAATGTATGGTTCAATCACCTATGTTGCAACCTACCGGCCTCAGTTATACCACACAGTATCCTTCAAACAGTCCGTTTGATTCATTATCTACCCATGGAGCTTCCTCCTACAACGTCCCTCGTGTTTCTTTACCTGGCATGCCGCCACCATCGAGCTCACCATTGTCCTCTCCACATCATGCCACGTCGTCCTTACCACCGACTTCTAAAAAAATGACCAAACGAAAAAGACAGTCTATACGATATAGTCGATTGCTTGCTCAAGCAGAATACGAAGCTTTAAATGGGTATATTGAGGACAATCAATTTGAAGACTCATATATTGGTGAAACTTATTGGACTGCCTGGGAGAAATCACGCTTCTTCCTTGGAGTGGAACGATGTGGAAAAAAGAATGTTCGTGACATACAGCAACGGATAGGACCAACAAAATCAGTATATGAAGTTATGTCATATCTGTCGACCTTAGATCGTCTTAGCAAGGAACATCATCAATCAATAGGTAAGCAATGATAAGGGCGTTTTGAAGAAAATACATATGCTCATCGGATCGCATAGACAGATCAGGCAAATCGGGACCATGTGCCGAGGAAGATATTTTGATTGCATATGAGATGACGGATGAATGGCTGAAATTCGAGTCAGAGCAAGCCGGAATAATATTGGAAAACTTGCCTGAAGGCCCTGTGGATGACAGCCCAACCGGGTCTGCCCCGCCACGGACCAGTGAAGGAGAAAAGGTCATGTCAACTTTACGTGAAGAAATAACTAGATGGCGAAAACGCCATCTTACAAGGCGGGAGAGGATGAGCAAGCGTTATCTATGTAGTATGTGTCACAATCTTCATACAGATCGGAATGTCGTATTTAATGGTATGAATAGAATTTCAGCGCGTTGACGTATTGAAAAGAATCGACAGCATCATCGATTACAGCGATGCAACTTTGCCGGACGGTACTTTATCGGATAGTATGATCTTCGGCATGGCAACATTGGGATCTGAATACCAATTGGTCCGTCTCCACGAATTTTTCGATGTACAAAAGATTTGTTCTTTAGCATCAAGGTAAACCTAAAGAACATGACAGGAGGAATGAAAGTTGCTGATTTTCTTGCATTAGCAATCGCTCTACGGCATCTCCTCATGTGAAAATTTCAAACGACGTTCTGCTCGAGCTGTATAACCGAGTCAAAGAGTTCGTGGCGGAATTTTTCCTCAATCTGAGCAGATATCCACCAGCGTTGCTACCTACTGAGGTAATTGCCAATCGAACAAACGGTCTGTGGCAGTATCCAGGGTAATTAATTATTATGTCTTTGACTTTGTTTTTTGAAGTATAAGCCATACGCAGGAAATAAGCGCATCGAACAAGTTTTAAAGGCACAATGCAAAAAATGGCAGATAAAGCTTCGAAATTCCGACGACGTTGATCCAGAAGTAAACAAAGATGCGAGGGATACCAATACAAATACATCTCGCAGTTGCCAGACACAGAACGAAAATCCTGAAGAGCAACAAGTATTTGACGAAAAAGAAGAAGAGCAGCATGGACCCAAGAAAAAGAAAGCTCGCGTGGACACAAAAGAAGAGAAAAATGCTAAGCAAGAAACTGTTGGTGATATCGACGACAATGACAGTGGTCATGATGGTCGTTATGACGAAGATGACAATGCTATCGAGCAAAATTTAAGCGCGCAGAGCGAGGATGATTCGATTGAACCTCAGGACGTGATCCAGGATGCAATGAAGGAAATTTCTGCAGAGGAATTGTTTCAGCAAAAGGATGCTCAATATAATCAATTATTGTGGTCCTTTATGTCCAAGTGATTGTGAGATAGTCTATGACACAGATAATGTAACTGTTCCTTTGATCCGTGTCCTACAGTTTTTTTGTATTGCACTCTTTCAATAGAAAAAGTTTCTTCATTGCTACATTTAATTCCATTTTTTAGACTGGTGTTGTTTCGGGATGCAAGGACAAGGAAGCATTTTCTCAATCGCGATCTGAAAAAACTGGAGGCTATGCCGTAGGAACATTGGACGTTTTTCGTCTCCGCTCAAAGCAAAAACATAAAAATTTTTTAGCGTGTTGCTTATTTTCTTGTCTTCTTTCTTTCGAACTCTTTCCTTCATCCGAAAAAAATGTCTGTCACTCTTGAACTTCCCTTGGCTCTTCACATTCTCGACGGTTTCCTTGCCGAAAACAAATACGTTGAATCGTACGTATTCATAACCCTTCGAATTCATGACATTGAGGTGGCTTGGATTACTAAATGGCTTTTTAAACTTCTAGTGCCAGCGCCACCGCTGCTGATTCCGCCGTCGCCAAGGCTTTGGGTTCTGCCCCCTCTGCTGAATTCGCCAACGTTGCCAAGTGGTACGCTGAAGTGAACAAGTAAGTATTAGCTGTCCTTACCTTTTTTTAAAAATGGCAAAAAACTGGAGAGAGGCATGTGGTTTGCTAATGGACATTGGTAAACAGGTCTTCTGCACCCGCTGCTGCTGATGAAGATGAGGACGACATTGACCTCTTCGGTTCCGACGACGAGGACGTTGATGAGGAAGCTGAGAAGATCAAGGCTCAGCGTATTGCTGAATACAATGCCAAGAAGGCCGCTAAGCCCAAGCCTATTGCCAAGACCACCGTTACTCTCGAAGTCAAGCCTTGGGATGACGAGACTGATATGGAAGCCTTGACTCAGGGTGTCCGTGATATCCAGATGGATGGTCTTTTGTGGGGTGGTTCCCAGCTCGTTGCTATCGGTTTCGGTATCAAGAAGCTCCAGATCAACTGTGTTGTTGAAGATGACAAGGTCTTGTTGGATGACTTGACCGACAAGATCCTCGAACTGGAAGACTTTGTCCAATCCGTTGATGTCGCTGCTATGCAGAAGATCTAAGTGTCATAAAGCTCATATCATTCATATAACAAAAAATAAAGTCTTTTTGAGTAATACTCCAACCCGCATTACCTGTCGCAAAATCGTGTAAAGGAACGTTTATTTCTCTTATTTGCTGATATGCATATGAAGAAGCTACAAATTAGATGAAGCTGAATGTCAACTTATGAGCCTGCAGATTTAATATGAAGTTCGGATCGCCCAGAGACAGATCCGACTGTTTCAAACATAATGGCCTTTTTAGCCGTAATCTAGAGGTTTTGCTACGACTTTTGTACTCTGATTTTGATGAACAAGTATTTGAAAACGATCTAGATTAAAAAACCAGAGTTTCTTCTTGTAATGCTTCAAAGCAATCGCCTGCTTTGCGGGGAAAAAAGTGACTCCAGGACTGCATATGAATAAAATGTCTGTTTCTACCTGCCTAACTCGGATAATGCTTTCACTTAACCGCATCTGCTTTTAATCCTAAACGTGTGCTCTCTACTGCGCTCTTATTGATGCTATCCTAGATCATGAGGTCCACAGGTTCTACCGAAAAATTTTCGAGATGTTTCATGCCAACAACTTAGCCGCAGATGTTGCGAATGTAAATATAGGGCATTAAATAAACCTTTGTCTAACAGCGTTGAAACTTCAGCACGAAAGGAGCTCGCGATAAAGTGGGTGATAATATTTCATAATTCGCGCCACAAGCTGCTGCGGATCGCATGGTGACCTGCTTCAAGGACAAAAATGTGCTGTAAACTTCATTCTATGCGCGCATTCAAACCAAACGCATCTGATCTCTTGCCGGGACTCTGGTAAACCCTTTTGACAATGTTCATATTTTAAGTTTTTTTTGGGTGTTCCCTCCTCTTGTTCCTTTGCACCCGACACTGCAGTAGTTTTAGTTTCTTATTTTATTTTTTGCCTGTCTGCCGCCTCATGCCTTCTGTGCGCTATTTATGTATTTTTTTTCTCCCGAGGCTTTTCAACTGTACCTTGTTCCCATGTGGCGTCTCCTCGGACTATTTTCTTCTCTATCCAGGGCGCGCAATAGTCCACGACGAACGTGTGTACCTTCATCCTCTTAATAAAGAAAATCCTTTACTTTATTTTATAATACTTATTTGAAACATCAGCATTCCCTCACAGACTGCTGCACATTAGTAAAATAAAAGTCTACTTCAATTTTTCAAAACCATTTCTGGTACGGCATCAATAAGAAAAACAACGACGCTGCACATTTGCAGCTTTCTACTGTCGTCGTCAGGATCTGGGCTGGAATTCCAATGGCCAGAGAAGTAGACTAAATCTGTAGCGAATAATAAAATACGGGAGGATAAGATAATGTTTATTCATTTTGGTTTGAAGGATATTTATATGTTAGATATCCTATTATTGATGACAGGATATGGTATAAAAATGGAAGGTTACAGCAATGACGCAGTGTGCTGAGCCAGCCAGGACTTCTTGACAAGGTTGCCGAATTGGGATGGATGGCCGATCATGATGTAATGATCGCTGGAAAAGGAATCTTGAGGCTGATTGGCTGAGCACAAAAAGGTTACGACACTACTTGGAAGACATTTACCGAACAAAAAATGTCTCGACACCAAAAACAATTGCACACACGGTTTCATGTGTGAATGAATGCCTTCTGCCAGAATCGAACTGGCGACCTTCTGCTTACTAGGCAGACGCTCTGCCAACTGAGCCAAGAAGGCTTTTTTCCTGTGATAAATTCGGAGTGGTACGTTGAGCCGCGAGCCGAAGGGCAAACGGCGAGACGACGTTGAAGTGGGTGAGAGTGTTGCATTTTTTTTTATTCATTTATTTTATTTCATGTTATTTTATTCTACACACGCTCTCTTGTATTGTGAAGCTCTGAAGTTCTACGGCTACTGATAGGCGACACCATAATTGTGTAACTTTAGTGTGCCCTATTGTCTGTGATTTCCTTTTTCAGATAAATTTAACTGTGTTGACTCAGAGAAAAGAGGGAGGGAGGCAGATCAGAAATAAACAATCTTTTTCACGGACTAAGAACCAGGACAAGAAAGTCTATCCCCAACGCCCAGTCAATAAATTATTGACACGATCATCCTTGTTGCAGCGACCCTCGCAAAGAAGTAGATTGAGTGTGAATCGAGCGAGTTGATCTTGGTAAAGGAGTTCCGAGCCTGTAGCTAGTTTCACCACCGTTTTGTTTTGTGTTTTTAGAAGAGTTTATATCCGTTGTGTCAGAAGAACCCCTGCGATTCGTACTGCCGCACGCTCTTTTTACTTCATTGCCTGTTCTCTGCCACCTACAAGTACCATACGTATCAATTGGTGGAGAAGCTGGGCGTAGCCGACTCTCTTGTTTCCAGCGTATTGTACTCCATCATTGCTCCAAGTTTTAAACATATCGAAAAGTGCCGTCAAGTCCCATCCAATTAGTGTATTGCACCTATTATTATATTGTCATCCCTGCTGTACTGTGTCACTGTTTGAAGATGCCACCTCACGACAAGACTGTTGAGAACCATGCCACGTTGCGAAACCTTTTGGCCCGACCGGATCCATTTATGGGTCAATCCAGCGAGAACCCCTTATCATGGTTAAGATCATTGGAACGTACCAAGCGAGGTTGGAATGCCTCCGATGTCGAGATTCTGCTGCTTGCCGGATCACTACTGAAAGGAGCCGCTGGCTCATGGTGGGACGCCAACGAAGATACTACCCAGACCTGGAACGACTTCAAGGAAAAATTCAAGAGACAATTCGCCAGCAGCGATCTACACGTAGAATGGTGGCGACAACTCAGAGAGAAAAAACAAAATGGCTGTCCCGTTTCCGATTTAGTTACATTCCAGCAAGAATTGTTTCAACGACTAGATCTACAAGACGATGCGAGAAAGATTGAAGTACTGTGTGCCGCGTTAGACCTCGATTTGGGTATTGCTGTAGACCGCATCCATCCAAGAACTTACCAAGAAGCCGTCGCCATCGCCCGGAGAGAGGAGGGCCTAAGAATTAAATATGGTCAACAACCTGCCCCCAAGAATACTGAAATTAGTTTCACCAAGCCTCGCAAGTGGTTAGAAGACGATATTGCTAGTAGCCTCTCGGACGCCGTAGATGCGCTCACTGATGAATTCAAGATGCTCAAGATTCATATGCTCAACCAAGGCCGCAGTCCGCCCATGGGACAAGCCCCATCGGTGAACCAAGGCTCACCAATGAATGCAGGCTGGCGACCGCCACCGAACCGACCATACTCCTATGATAACGTGGGGCCCCGTAGACCGTACACCAGCGAATTTAGAGGAAGATGCTATACGTGTAATGAGACGGGTCATCGTGCGTATGACTGTCCCCAGCGTGGTACCGGTGAAGACCCGGGAAAAGACAGGAGGCAACAGTAACGGAGGAGTCTGTTGCCTCGAACCAACATCAAAACTCCTCAATCAAACCGCAAGTAAATTTGGTGCAGGCGGCACAAGCAGCCCAGGTGTGGGCAAACCGCCGAGAACGTTCAGACCATAGTGGTCAAGAAAATGGTAGTGCAAAAAAACAGAAAACGACGACTGACTATACTTCGCAGGGGGTCCCCTTGGTGCAAGCTGTTGCTGGCCCCTCCACGTCTAAAGTGAGATCGCTACCCTTGCCGAATGGCCCAACCGCAATGAGGTGGGAAGGTCAAGTAGCCGAAGTGTCCACGACAGTAGATAAGCCAAAAAAGAAGAAAAGAGCACCGCCACGCCGTTTGCCCGTAGAAATTCAAGAAACAAAAATTTGGGACCTCATGACCAAAACCGACGCGCGAATGTCATTGGCAGAAAGAATAGCCCTCGATAAACAAGCAGCTCGTGACATTCAGGATGGTATCCGGTTCCTTCATGGGAGAAAGCCAAGGGCAAGACAATCTGAATCTGGCAGTTCAGCAAGACCGGTAGCTGTGAATGCCGCAGTGAAAGCAGAAGAAGAAGAAAATTCAACAACCGAAGAGAGCGACGACTCATTCTTGTTCACAACTGAAACAGATTATGAGACTGACGAGGAAGGCGTTTCAGAGTTTGAGTACCCTTACGATTTTAGCCGAATGGACCGGAGTACACCCCTCCTGATGCCTGTGAAGATCAAGAACCGCGAAGTGATAGCCGTAGTGGATACTGGAGCTAGTGTCTCCGTTATAAGCAAGCCCTTAGCCCTCGAATTAGGTCTGCCCTTCAACGAAGACGTGATGGCCATAGAGATGCTGGATGAGACTAGTCAGGCCCGAACTACCTGTGCCCAAGTGTACCTGTTTTCGTCAATGGGAAGTTCCGCCCAGAACACTGTGCTGTCCAAGATAGGGAGACCGATCTTTTGATTTTAGGTATGACTTGGTTGGCCGCCTACGACATACGAGTAGACCCTGGTCGGCGAACCATACATATGCCCACTAGAGGAGGGGATCAAACTCTGGTGATCAACTGTCTACCTGTTCCCGAACCAGAGAAGAAGCTTAGCCATAAGAAGACAGTGTACCGCGTGCAAATTAGTAAACCGGTTCAACTGCCTCACCAACAGCTAGGTGATGGTACTCTTGGCCAAATATATGAGGGGGAGTTTCCCGAAGAAATTGACCCAACGCATGAGGGGGAGGGCCCCGAAGAAGTTCCTGCCCCTGGGATGGAAGTTCTCTTGGTAGAGTATGCAGACTGCTTCGCCGAGAATACCGGACTGGGACGAGTCGAAGGAGTGGAACACGATATACGGACCAGCACCGAAGAACCCATCAGATGCCGTCCATACCGTCTTACTTGGGCCGAAGAGAAGATCTTGAGACAAGAATTAGACAACCTCCTGGAGCTGGGGCTCATCCGACCGTCAAGTGGTGAATGGACGTCGCCGATTCTGTTTGTGCAAAAGAAGGATGGTTCACAGCGATTGTGCATTGATTATCGTAAGTTGAACAAAATCACTGTTAAAGACGCATACCCGCTGCCTTATATAGATGAGCTCCTGGATGCCATGGGTGGGGCGACCATATTCAGCACACTGGACGCAGCCAGTGGCTATTGGCAGATTCCAATGGCCAAAGACGCGGTTAAGAAGACTGGTTTCGTAACAAAGTTTGGGACTTACGAGTTTCTGGTAATGCCATTTGGCCTGACCGCTGCACCAGCTACGTTCCAACGGACGCTGACAAACATATTGGGGCCATACATTGGGCGAAGCGTATATGTTTTCATTGACGACGTGATTGTGTTTTCCCGTACTGCCGAAGAACATCAACAACATTTGCGTGAAGTACTCGAAGCTTGCAAGAAAGCCAACCTGAAGTTAAAGCGAAAGAAGTGTGTGTTTGCCCAGGATCGCGTCGAGTATTTGGGCCATACGATTACTTCCCAAGGCCTGTTGCCTAATGAGTCGAATACAAGAAAGATCATGGAAATCAAGATGCCAGAGACCCGAGATGAGGTGCGATCCTTCCTTGGATTAGTGGGCTACTATCGCCGTTTTGTACCCGAATTTGCCGCCATAGCGAACCCATTGACCAAGTTGACTAAGAAGACCAAGGAGTTTACCTGGGACGAAGAGGAACAGCAAGCTTTTGAGGAGTTACGCCAAGCTCTAGTAACACCGCCCATATTAGCGTACCCAGATCGTGAGAAGGTTCAGATCCTTACCACGGACGCCTCAGGCAAAGGACTTGGTGCGATTTTATCGCAATCCCCCGATGGCTCTGAAGAAGGGGAAGAAGTGATAGGCTACGCGTCTCGTACGTTGCAAGGCCCCGAAACCCGTTATTCAACTACCCATCTGGAAGCCCTGGCTGTGGTGTGGGCTGTGAATAACTTCCGTCATTACCTAGCCGGCCGTGAATTCATCTTATATACCGACCACTCCGCGTTGACCTTTATCCTGAACAATTCCCGTCCAGCCGCCAAAATAGCCAGGTGGGCTGCCGCACTCATGGAGTTTGATTTCATACCTCGATACCGTGCAGGCGCGAGGAATCCAGCAGACGCTTTATCGCGACTACTGGAGTAAGCACATATTATTCTATTTTCAAAAAAAAAAAAAAAAAATTCAAAAGCAAAAAGAAAACCAAAAAAAAAAAAAAAAAAAAAAAAAAAAGAGAAAAAAAAAAAAAAAACAAAACAATATATATATATTTTACACCATTAGATTTCTTTTTATGGATATAGGACCGGTCTCTATGGACCTTCTTGACACTTGGCGCACGTTGAGCAAGGGACGAAGTAGTAGCACCACTGCGGCCAACCCCTTTCGACAACCTTACATGAAGAACAAGAAGAACAACTTATTACCGATTGCTGCCGCCAGGATGGATTTCCCTGTTTATATCGCGATTTATCAATACCTCACAAAACGAACTTACCCGCTTGATTGCGGTGACGAAGTCATCAAGAAACGAATCCGTAATCGCGCAAGACAATACACCGCTTACGAAGGAAGATTATATAAGAAACGTACCGACAACCAACCTGGTCAAGAAGTGTTACACTCAAACAACATTGAAGAAGTCATTAAGCGCGTCCATGCCGAAGGGCATTTAGGCATCAACAACACATGGAGAAGACTACGATTGCAGTATGATGGTTACCAACTGTTTGAACGAGTTCGAAGTTTTGTGCAAGCCTGCGAGACATGCCAGATGCGAGCCAGAAAAAGAAGATTACGGCAAGAACAGAGTCACCCTATTCCGACACCATCCAAGCCCTTTTATATGGTCGGATGCGACGCCGTGGGCCCGGTTGTGCGAAGCAAGAACGGGAATCGTTACATACTGGTAGCGATTGATTACTTGACCCGCTGGCCAATTGCTACTGCCGTCCCGGATATTACCGAAGAAACGACGTCTCACTTTATGTTCCATTCCATTGTGAAAGATTACGGTGTACCATCGTACCTCCTTACTGATCGTGGGTCAAACTTTACCTCAAGACATGTTGGGGAATTTCTCAAGAAGATGGGTTGCCGGCATTTAACCACAACCGCTTATCGTCCTCAGGTGAACGGTTTATGTGAAAGAATGAACCAAACTATTGTGCAGGCTCTTTCCAAGATCGTGCGAGACCGAGGTGAAAAGCGAGATTGGGACAAGTTCTTAGATGAAGCGATATTAGCTATCCGTACCATGCCAAATGATTCCACTAAGTACAGCCCATCGATGTTATTATTTGGTTATGAGCTCAGAACACCTGCTACGTGGGCACCACCGAGGGAAGACTATGTTATTGGTGAGTTGCAAGAAGAAGTCGAGAGGCGAGTTAGTGAGATCGTGGGACTAGTCGAAGCCCAGAGAGAAGAAGCTCGGGAACGAACTGCAGTGCGGCAACAACGAAGTAAGAAGCGATATGATCAGAACGTGACGCCCAGGAGATACGAACCCGGTGACGAGGTACTGCTGCGAGAACAGTTCAAGGCGACCAAGTTTTCCGATCATTGGGTTGGTCCCTGCTTGGTGATCAAGGCGAACCGCAATGGCACGTATTGGCTACAAGGCCCGGGAGGCAGACGACTTGAAGGTGCTGTACATGTCGATCAGCTTAGAGACTGGAAGGCCCGATCATCCATGATCCCGACGGTGCAGAGTCATAACGACACGAAGAGAACGCAAGGATGGCGCGAACCACGAAGGATAGAACGTTAAATTACACATCGGCTCTTGCTCAAGAGGGGGAGGATGATAAATTCGGAGTGGTACGTTGAGCCGCGAGCCGAAGGGCAAACGGCGAGACGACGTTGAAGTGGGTGAGAGTGTTGCATTTTTTTTTATTCATTTATTTTATTTCATGTTATTTTATTCTACACACGCTCTCTTGTATTGTGAAGCTCTGAAGTTCTACGGCTACTGATAGGCGACACCATAATTGTGTAACTTTAGTGTGCCCTATTGTCTGTGATTTCCTTTTTCAGATAAATTTAACTGTGTTGACTCAGAGAAAAGAGGGAGGGAGGCAGATCAGAAATAAACAATCTTTTTCACGGACTAAGAACCAGGACAAGAAAGTCTATCCCCAACGCCCAGTCAATAAATTATTGACACGATCATCCTTGTTGCAGCGACCCTCGCAAAGAAGTAGATTGAGTGTGAATCGAGCGAGTTGATCTTGGTAAAGGAGTTCCGAGCCTGTAGCTAGTTTCACCACCGTTTTGTTTTGTGTTTTTAGAAGAGTTTATATCCGTTGTGTCAGAAGAACCCCTGCGATTCGTACTGCCGCACGCTCTTTTTACTTCATTGCCTGTTCTCTGCCACCTACAAGTACCATACGTATCACCTGAAAATCAGGATGTCCATGACGGTCGATAACGGGAAAACATTTTCCCGGATAAAGAAGTGTCCATCCACGTAGTAAAAATGATCCATCCGTCAGCCAAACTGCCGGATCCATCACAAGCAGTCTTTACGGATCCTGTTGACATGACTCTTGAGTCTTTAGGCCATTTTCTGCCATGCAGCGGCCCCTGATCAGTTTCAGCTGAATCCCGACACCAGGCACCATTAGATCATGATGTGAATGCTTCAGCTTTTGGCCAATGCTGACCTGTTCGTTGACATCCCAGTCTGCTATTGCAGCAATCCGAACCGATCTTGCCTCTGCAGTTGAAGGTGTAAACGCTTCAAGCTGTTGTCATGCCAAAAACCGACTCCGTAGCTACTTTCCATTTTGGGAAGTACTAGATCATTGATCGGTTCATGCATTCCATTTTTAAAAATTCATGCGATATCCATCAACGCTTGACGTTTGTACCTTGATTGATTTTATCTAAATTATTCACCCATTGTGTTTTGATGGTAATCCCTCTTTATCTGCTTTTGCTTTAATGTCCTCTGAAAACCATCCGATTACCCTCACCTATCGTGTCGCTGTTCCTTATTTCTCTGCAGCTGACCATATAGATGGGGAAAATCACACCCACTGATCGCGAAACATTGAAGAACAACATTGGACATCTACTTTTAGATATTATACAAGTAGACTTTGTAAAATGACATAATTCAATCCGTTTTCTTTGCAGACCGTGTCTTTTCTTTTAAGATGATCACGGTCAGTGCGATTTTTATTATATCTTTAGAGGTACAGGGCACCCCTCGGTGTCAATTTTCTTCTCTTTTTTGTTTTTTGTTGAATAACTGACTCGAACTGATATACATCGGAAATCGTATCTGGTGCTCATAATTTTTCAACCCAATCAACACATCGTCCCAACTTGCAGAAATCTTGTAACGCAGTTGTGAAGGAAAAATCGTAACTCTACCGGCGGAAAACCCTTCTACTGGACTTCGTTGCAGATCTAGGAACGTGGATTAGCTGTCAAACTTCACAAGAATCGCTTTTTAAAGTGCAACTAGTGAACCATACACCTGCTTCTCGCCCACAACCCACTCCAGTCCCTTCAGCTGCCAAAACTGCCGCTACAGCCAAACTGCCAAATGAATCATAGCCCTCCTCTCAGGCACAATCAACCCAGCAATCTCGTCTCAGACGCCCAGCCATTACCTCCAAACATCAGGCAGTCACTGATCTTTCATTCTAAACAGTCACTGGGGGCTTTGATTACCTTTTTCTATCTCGCATTAAAGATATGTCTTCCTGAAGTCCGTTGTAACCTTCACCACTAAGAATTGACTTCATCCTGTATCCTGACATTTCTTTCCCTGCTCACTCGATTGTTGGCTTGCTGATGCATGTCCAAATATCTACCTGTTTATAATGGATCAGAGGAATAAACAACAATGTCATCAACAAATGGTTGATCGTGAAAGACAAGGAAGCCATGATACTTGGAGCTTGGGCAGAAATTGCTTTTACACCAAAAGGGCAACCTTGAAACATGTATTGTAGTCCATTATATGTGAAGATTGTTTTCTGTTTATCTGGTTCATGAATTTTGAATCGATGAAAAGCACTAGTCAAATCAAGTGTGGTAAAATACTTCGGATCCACCCAGCTGTGGAAAATGTCACGAATAAGAGGTATGGAATATTTGTTATCAGGGAGACAACGATTGATATGACGTGGATCAAAGACATGGTCTTTTTCCAGTTTTATTACCGTAAGCACTATTTTTATCAGCTATGTGTTAGAGGACTATTCCAAGTAGTATCCACAGATGCACGAACAATTGGGAGTGGTTGTTGCTCTGATCATGAATTTCGTCCCATTTATGTGTAACACCAGTTAGAGAATTCCAAGTTTTGGCATGATGTCAAATCCAAGAATAACATCAGTGTCTTTTTGTAGCTTAAGTACCTCAAATGAATGTTGGATAGTACGACCATTATATGAAGAGATAAAAGTTCAGTTTTTCTGATACGTTGTTTGATGATTAAGACCAGCGAAAAGTATATTGCCCAGATTAAGTGAATTTCCCATTTATTTTTAATCTGAAAATTCTAAGCTAATCGCAGAACATCGGGCACCGGTATCAAAGAGACCCATAAGTTTTTCATTCTGTAGAAGAATAGGAGTTTGAAGCCAGTAAGGATTTTTTGATAAGGAATTTTTTGTGCGATCAGATAGCTTACCAGAAGACTGGAAATTTATTTCGTCCAGCGATTGCGCCAGATCGCGAATGGAAGCGTTGGAAGCGTTGAGGTGCATGGCGTTAATGCGAATATCGGAAGTGTTTTGACTTTCGGCTTTGGCTCATTTGGCGTCCCGATGTTCTTGACAGCGGTGGCCTAGAACGAACGGTTTTGTGCAGTACGTGCAGAGATTGTTACTGGTGGATGGCAAGGAAGAAGAAGAAGGAGTTTGAGCGGTGAGTTTTCGGCAGTCGGCCATTGAGCGAAGTGCGGAAGAACCGTGCAGACGGCAACCCTTCGAATGAGCAGGTTTACTGAACGAGATGCGGAAAACGACGAAGAAAAACCAGGTGAAGAAGACTTGGAGTGTTTGTGCGGGAAGTCATCTTCCTCAGAGCAACAACGTTTGTTGACGGACACGGCCAGAGCAACCTTGAAGACGTCCTTGAATGATTGTGGAGTTTCTTGCCATGACAGGAGTGCCAAGCGATCTGAATATTATCACGGATGTGGGACGGCAAAGAGGCCATGAAATGGAGAGCGAGACTTTCAATGTCAGTAACTTTTCCTTCACGGAGAGTGTTTTCGAAACGAGTGCCATATTCTCGAGGATCGATCTTTACGTGGATCCATAGTTATCGTGAAGGCGGCAGAGGCCATGGCAATCATACGGTCGGGTGATTGGAAATGGTGGAGAAACGTCTTGCGTGCTTGGGACCAGGAAGAAGATTTCTTGACCAAAGTGGAGTTGTACCAAAGATCGTGCTCAGGAGGCATGGCGCAGGTAAGCCATTTCGACCCATTCTTTGTCCAAGTCAGCGTCCATGGAAACCAGAATCTTTTCGAAAGTGCGGAGATGTTATGCACTGATTATGGGAGGATCAGTGCAAGCTGGACAAGAGGGTGGTGTTAAGTGCTTTCGCAAGACAAGGACAAGACAAGACAAGAAAAGGAATAAAACAGAAACAAGAAACAAGAACGAAATCGGAACAAGAATAGAAACAGGAAAAGAACCAAGACAAGGACAAGACAAGATGGAGAACAAGATAGTACGAGGGAATACACACAATTCTTGACTGAGGTTTATTTCATGAGAAGAGATCGGATATTTATACTAAAGGATCGGATACAGAACAGACAACGATAATAAAATAATTAAATGAAATGCAGAGCATAACATGAGGTAAAGCATAGATCAGCAAAAGGAGAGGACAACGGTAAGAGAGAAATATGGAGACCAAGTAAGAGGTATGCGCATGGACCAGCACGGCAACAGTGGAGAGCGTGCTTGGGCCAATAATACACATGGTCGTGCATTATGGCCAAGACAACGTGTACGCGGGAATGGTCATGACAGGAGAAAATGCTCGACAGACTGGAAGGCCTCTTCACTAGAGCACCAAATGGAGGAACTTTTAACCTGGAAGGCTGGGATATCTTTGTAACTGACGCGAGATGAAGACCGGGGTTGGTAAAGTTGGCGATCCAAGTCCTAGAAGTTCTTCAGAAATTTCTGAGAGTTGAGAATGTCATGCATGAGGGCCTTTTAGAAGATCCGGGGCAGCGGTGTCAATTCCTTCATTATACTGTACAGCTTGACCAATTTATTGATTTTGTCCTCATAATGTTTGATATTGGCTTTGTTGAGGATGACAGGGTTAGCGTGCTTCGAATTGGCGGAACCAAGACTATCAGATGAGTTTTGCAGGATCTTCGATTTGGATTCCGAAACTGGGTTTTCAGATTCAGACATAACGATGTCCTCGTTCTGGACAGGAGTACCAGTAACAGAAGTGGCAGGACCAGCAACAGAAGTAGTAGTGGCAACAGTGGCTTCAACCGAAGCAGGAGAAACGGGACCAGAAGACAAAGGCGTGAAAATAGCAGACATAGTGAAGGAAAGGGAGTGTTCACAGGAAAAAATTGGAGTTTGGGAGTCTATGAAGCAAGAGATTAATAATAAAAAATAAAAAACAACAATAAATTCTGTCAGCCTCCTTTATTCTCAAGAGAATGCTGCATAAAGAGTAAGAATGGTATAATGATATGTACAAATACGACACTTCTTATTTATATAGTATCTCAATGAAAACCAGTCAATTATCTGAATCTTTCTTTTTTGTCTGCACATCTCAGTTTAATCCCATTCTTCCTTAACTCCATCTTTTCCTAGCTATTGTCTTTCGTTTCTTGATTCTTACCTCTGTTTACAAGTTCATTCAATCTTCGGTTCCTGCCTGTCCTTGGAAAGCACTTGACGCCTTTGTCTGCTTCTATTTAAGCCCCTTTCAATTATATTTGACAGAGCCTCAGACTGTCTTATAACAATACTTTACTGTTGACATAGTTCACTATTTAATAAAGCCAGGCCATATTTAATATATGTTACTCCACTGCCTTATGGCTATACAAAATATAGAAGTTACTTGGATCTAATAAATTATATGCTAGCGCACAATAAGGCCAAGAAACTATTGGCATCGGTTGCCCGGCGGTAGTACTGGTCATGTGACGTTTTACGGATCATCAATGTCCGACGCATTTTTTTCTCATGTCGCGTGTTGTGTTAGGGTTGTGGTATTTTTCCAACTTTTACCCAATCCCTTTTTTATTTCTTGATATTCATGAGATATTTATACTGCATTTTCTAAACTAAAGATAACTAATACAATTTGGGATAATAATAATGAGAAAGATGATTTAGTGCCATCTTTCATCATAGATCGGAAAATCCATTTGCGGTTTGGTCGAGAATGTCGTTTTTTCGAAGATGAAGGTCGCTTCTTGAATAAGTTATATCTTATATTTGGGAAGTCATGTCGTATAGGCGGAGGCTTGTTCACGAAATAACAACCGTGCCACTCAGTCGAAAATGTATAAGTTTATTAGAGGAATGGACGATCGGCCTTGGGGAAAGCCCTCTACAGACCAAACCTCAGGTGAACAGAAGGAGAAAAAAGGGGAAAACGAAAAAAACACCCATCGAGTCGCAAGAAAGGTGAAAAAGGAAAAAGATGGGAAAGGAAAACAAAATAAAATCTAAAATGAAATTACAGGAGGGATCCGCTAGCTAGTAAGTAACCTTTCAACACCATGGTCTTTCTCCGCAACGTGCTTAATGGTTGTCGCAGTGGGAGGAAGAGGCCAGAGGGAGATCCGGGCACTGTTCACTAGGGCCAGAAACAAAAAGATCGAGCCAGACTTGGCCGGGGGTAGGATCGGTGGTGTAGTCACCGTCGGGATTGCAGAGTTGATCAATGTGCCAAAGAATGGTGCAAAGATCCGACCAGAAACGAGGTGGCGCAGCAGAGCGAGAAGTGGGCAACAGATTCAAAGCGTAATCGATACGAACCCCAGTAAAATCTGTTGGCGGAAATGGGAGGCTGTACCAGAGTATGGATGGGATCTTAGGGCAAAGCATTAAATGCTGCCGTTTGGTATCACCAAAGCCGCAAGCACAGGGACGGGGTTTACCTGGCAACCAACCCATTCGCCATCGCACAAGGCGACTGCGGTCAGGCCGAGAGGCAGGAACAAAGAGGACAGGATCAATTTCGAGTGAAGGTCGGCACGCACGAATGAGCACACGATCGGTAGAAGCAAGAAAAGCGGTAAAATGAGTCTGGCGATATTGACGCAGCCAAGAGACAAGACGGGAATTGGAGGAGTCATCCGCAGGATGATCAAGAACAATCTGTCGCTGACGGAGACGGGAGAGAAGAGACAAACGAATGGAAGGTGAAAGGAGTGTGAGGAGGCAATCGTCTGGAAGGTATTCAGTACGAAGGCAGAATTTTAACACCAGAGTGTCAGCACGGAAGGACATGTTGGGAAGGTTACACATGTGCTTGAGCACCTGGGTTGAGGAAGTCCGATGACCACCAACGATCATCCGGAGACAACGATCTTGCACACGTTCGAGTTCAGCATACTCTTTTTTGAGCAGGTGAGAAATGGCCAAACCATACTCGAGCTTGGGGCGGATGAATGCAGCGTAGATACGCGTACAGAAAAGCAGCGGAAAACCATTACGGTTAAGGCCCATGGCGTTTAACTGGGACATTGCAAGAAATGTACTTTGCGCACGGTGACGGATCATGGAAGAGGCATCGATACCTTTGGAACGGAATGGCACACCAAGGTAGACAAATTCGTCAACAGGCGGGAGGGACTCATTGTACAGACTTAAACAAACATAGCTGCGGGAACTGGGTACCGGTGCATTAATGATGGCACATTTGGATGGACTCCATTTGTAACCAAGAGCAACCGAGTGAGCCTCAGCAAGCGACAGCATATGCTGGACTTCGCGAGCGGAACCAATGAGGGCCACATCGTCCGCATACAACAGACAGTTGATGGGAGTGGGCGAAGGATCGGACGAAGCAGTGGACGTGGGGCCAAATGGAAGACCGAAAGGTGAGGAAGCGTTGTAGGGTGGCGGACGAGAAGGCGAACAAGAGAGAACAGAAGTTGTAGATCGGGAAGCAGCGGAACGGAGGAGAACAGGCAAAGTGTTGATATAAATTGAATAAAGGAACGGACTGAGGACTGAGCCTTGAAGGACACCAGTTGCAGGAACGAAAGGAGAGGAGATGTGGTTGCTGAGGAGAACTGTGACTGAAACATCGTCAAACATGTGGGCGAGAAGGGACACCAAAGCCGGAGGAGCAGAAAAAGAAAGGAGAGTTTGCCAGATAACTCGTCTATCGACGGTATCGTAGGCGGACTTGATGTCCAGAAATGCAACAACAGGATAATGGTTATGGCGATCGCGGTAGGCGCGCATCAAGTCATGCAAGCAGAGGGCTTGATCCAACGCACTACGTTGATGCCGGAAGCCGCCTTGGGACACATCAAGGGGAGGAGCAGCGAGTTCCACAAAGGGCTGGAGACACATTTCGAAAAGTTTTCGGATGATGGAAGTCAGAGAAATCGGGCGGTAATTGCTGGGAAGGGAGGGATCGCCTTTTTTGTGGATCGGAACGACTTGCGCTTCACGCCAAAGGGAGGGAACGTATGCCCATTGGACACAGAGGTTAAACAAAAAGGAAAGGAGGGGGGAAAGCACAGACTGGATGGGCATAAGCATCTCAGAACGGATATGATCCGATCCGGGAGCTTTTCGCCGAGGGAGTCGATCCAAAGTCTTGGCAACAGTATCTGGAGTAAAGTAAGGAACGTGGGGGGTGGATGAGGAAATAGCGAAAGGAAGGGAAGATGTGGGGGCCGGCAAAGATGGTGGGCGAGACAAGGGTAAACCCGAACCAGAATATACTGAGGCCAGGTGATCACGCATGGCTAATGCACCAGCGGCTGGACCATCAGGGTGGGTGAATTGGACTTGTTGGCGGCGGCGGTTTCGGATGGACTTGATCGTGGACATCGCTTGGGGGAAATCCCCACGAGCCACAGTATCACAAAAAGCACGCCAAGCTTGCCTTTTCGCGCGGCGGACGGCGGTTCGAAATCGTCGGGCAGCCTGTTGGTGTTCATCCCACCAGACAGCTTTGTCAATGCCAATGGCACGACGCCACCGCCGGTAGGTGCGATCTCGATGGTCAGCCATGGTTTGCAAGTCAGCATTCCAAAATGACTGCCATTGACGGGGCCGAGGGTCACGAGCACCAACCGATTTATCCAAAGCGGAATAAATGGCGGTGTTGAGGTCGTCATTGAGTTGATCAATGGGTGGTCGGGTGGCGGGTGGATCAGAGGAGAGCTGTTGAAGCTTCTCATGTAGTGGTTGGGAAAAGGAGCGGAAAGAGGCAACGTACAGCTGGTGGACATCAAGTTCTTTAAGACGAGAGAGGTTCCAGAGACGGCGGGGAGATGGTGAAGGAGTGTAGTAATCGGCGGATGGATCAGGAAGGGTATATACAAATGATAACGACATTAACTTGTGATCAGATCCGAGGGAAAGATCAGAGAAGATATGGAGGGATGAGTGGGGAAGCGTGGGGAGGTTGGTGAGGAAATAATCGACGATACTGCTGTGGACTTGGCTGTGGCGGAAAGTGTGATACGTGGGTATGCCGTAAGCGAGGGAAATATTTAGAATTGATAATGAACGTTCGGTGACCCAATCCTGTAGTAACTGGCCACGTGGATTGCTGATGCGATCTCCGGTGACAGTACCAAGGCGGGCATTCAGGTCTCCACAAATGATAATATCATCGGCAAGCGGAATAGAGGAAAGGGCTGTAGAAACGGCGTCAAGAGAGAGGGTGGGGGGAAGGTAAAGACAAACAAGGCGAAGAGAGGAACCCAAGCGGAGGCCAAGCGCATACTTTGTGGCCAAGGGGAAAGGAGTGACAGTGAGCGGAAAATCCGGGGAAACAAGGGCAGAAACACCTTCAGAGCCACGGAAGTTGCCAGCTACAGGGGTACCATAATTATGGTATTGTGACCAGGAAGTACGAAGCTTATTGGGAGAGAGGAGCCAGGTTTCGGTGATAAAAACAATTGAAAAGGAATGACAATGGCGGAGGAGATCGTCGACCAGGGAAGCTTGGAGACCATTGGCATTCCACAGGCCGATGTTGAGAGGAATAGTGGGCGGGACAGAAGAAGAAGGAAGGGAAAGAGCATTTGAAGGAATGGAGGGAGGCTGTTCTATCATTATAATGATTTTTGAACGTCTTGCATATCATGGTCAGGGTCGGTGGAGGACTTTTGCTTTTGACCGGTTGGGTTGGCTGGAGAGGCGGGGGCACCACGGCATTGGCCTAAGAGTCTGGGTAGATCAGATTCTTCCAAGATGTTGGCCTCGACAAAGGAGCGCGCAACGGGGGAGGCAAGATGGTACGGAAGGTGGGTCACTGCTTTTTCACAGCGTGTGCGATACAAATCGAACACGAAGGCTTCCTGATGTTCGGTAGACATGGCTTTGATTTCAGGATCCGCCAGGATACTAATATCCAAAGGATCAAAGTTTTCCAACGGTTTGATTTCGGCCTTGGTGAACTGGGCCATGGCAAAGTCGAAGTACTGCTCATGGACAAGAAGTCCAACGACAGCACGGGCAGGGAAACAAATGTCTAGGACACGGTAGGGATCGATGCCGAGGCGGCGAAGACGGGTTCTCGTTTCCTGACGAGTCAGGCGGCGAGAACGGGGAACGTAAAGGTATTTAAAGCCGGAAGGCCCAGAAGGGGTCTGGAAAATGCGAACATCAGCAGGTCGGAGACGGGTGGTGTTAGTGGGGCGCTTTTTTTTAGTCACAACAGCCCAGGAGGAGGCATCAGAGCCCAATGGTGGGCGGGGAGAAGAGGAGGCTGGGAGGGGTTCGTTGGTTAAAGTGGCAGGTGCCGGCTTTGGTTGGTGCTGTTGCTGAATTGGAGGATCAGAGGCAAGGGAAGCAAGGCGGGTTTTGAGTTCGGCCACTTCATTGCGAAGTTGGCGGTTTTCGGTAGCGAGTTCGCGGAACTTTGCAAGTTCGGCGGCCTGGTTCATAGTGGTCGCTATGAGCGTGTTAATTTGGGCCTGCATAGCCTCAAGTTGGGCAGCTAAGTTTTCGGACATGCTGGGAGTCTGTTGCGCCGTCGGGGCTACAAATAAATTCAGGTGGTTCGGGTCGGCCAGCACGCTTGGGTCGGACGTCGAAAAGAAAGGGGGCACTTGGGAACGGGGCGAGTTACTGAAAGCCGTGTTGCTGCTTATTGTTGGATTCAGTTTTTGCACAATTGTGGATGACTGGACAACAACGAAGATTTGGGCTGGATGTTTTGATATACCGTACGGCTACGATGAATGTACGATATGTCAAAGGATGGGCGATGGATGGATAGGTTTGTAGGGCGGATTGAGCTATCGAGATTCCGGCAAAAGGTTTTCCCGCTATAAAAACGAGAAAAAAGTGATGAAGAGCGGAAAAAGGGTAACCGTGCCACTCTGATACGGGTAAGTGGCTGGCGATTAAAGAAGAACGAAAATAGGGATCGGGGAATGAGTGGTAAGCGATAGAGCCCGCGGTACAGATATGATCAAGGTAAAATAAAACAGTGAAGGTCGTTGCACGGGTTCCGCCTTTCCGCAAAAATATACGATCAGTACCGTTCTGACAATACTCCTTATTGCCGTTCTGATACTGCAATCCAGGTATATTTCCGTGACAGTCAAAGTCAATATAATGTTAGAAATAGGGTCGTCAATAAGTCTGCTGTCAGCACGAAATAAACGTAAGGCCCCCAAAAAAATAGATCTCAAAGAAGAGTCGATTTATTCACAATGCACGATCAATTCGATTTAAGCTAAAATTTACATTCGCAAATTCCGGGCCGCATGCCGGACAGCCAACTCCGGACCAATATTTTAAAGGCCGACCGGAACATCCACAACAGGCCGCATCATCTCCTCCCCCACTTGAACCGGTCGCCGTCAAAAAATCGGATCAATCCTGTCGGGTACGCTCAATCCAGGAACGAAATTGCTGTTCTGCCATTCTTGTTAAAACGTCAGGAACCATGGACTCGTGGGCCTTGAACGGTATGAGCATGTCTCCGGATACCGGTCCTTTCAATCGCAATTGTTGGGGTCCTTCCAAATAGTATGTCCCGTTGTGATTCGCCTTGATGACCGTCATGGGGCCAATCCATTTGTCAGCTAACTTCCCAGGGGGGCGGGTGTCCTTCATGAGCAATTTATCACCGATTTCGTATCTTCTTTGCATTTTGACAGTGCGATCGTATCGTTCTTTCGCCTTTCGTTGCTTGATTCTGGTACGCTTTCTTGCCTCGATCCGATCGTCTTCAGTCAGATGCTGGATGACCTTCATTCGGCTTAGTATTTCTTCGTCGATTTCTCCTTCTACGTAATCCATTCTGGGTGGTGGCCATGTAGCGGGGGTTCGCATTTCATATCCGTATAGGAGCATCCCGGGAGAAAATCTTGTGGCTTCATTCGGCATGGTTCGTACCGCTAATACGGCCGCTGCGAGATAATCGTCCCAGCGCTCGCGGTTGTCGTCTTCACGGGCAAGTTTCGCTAAGGCGCTCACAATAGTTCCATTCATTCTTTCGCAAAGACCGTTGACTTGTGGTCGATAGGCTGTGGTGGTGATGTGTCGACATCCCAAGCGTTGTAGAAATTCACCAACGTAGCCTGAGGTAAAGTTGCTTCCGCGATCAGTGAGTATGTATGTGGGAACGCCAAAATCCTTCACGACGCAATCGAATAAGAAGTTCGCGGTGGTTTCTTCTGTGATATTGGGAACGGCTGCAGCAACTGGCCAACGAGTTAGATAATCAATAGCTACCAGTATATACTTGTTACCACGTTTGCTTTCCGTTATAGGGCCCACTGCGTCGCATCCTATCATGTAAAACGGCCTGGATGGTGAAGGTATCGGTCGGGCTTGTTCTCTTCTTTTTGGTTTTCCTCTAGCGCGAAATTGGCATGTTTGGCATTCGCTGACGAGTTTTCTTGTTCTTGCAAATAGGCCTTCGGCTTCATACTGTAATCGTATTCGTCTCCAAGTATTGTTGACTCCAAAATGACCTTCGTTATGTACGCTTCGGATAACGTCGTCGACATTCCCTTCGTGTAATATTTCTTGTGCAATCGAGCCGTCTTTTCGTTTTCGGTACATCTTTCCGTTGCTGATGGCTATCTTCTTGGCTTGATTGCGTATTGTTCTCTTCATAGATTCCGTACAGTCCAATGGGTACCGGTTTTCGCTAAGGTAAAAATATAACGCAAGATATCGAGGGTATTCCATGTGTCGAAAAGAAATGTTTTTGTTGATGTTTTCCGGATACGTTTTTCTTCTTTTTTTTTTTTTGTAGGTTTTCTTGGGAATTTTTTTTTTTTTTTTTTTTGTGTTTCGCTCGGTGTTGCATAATTCGCGCTGGATCTACGGTGTTGCATTTTCGTCGTGTGTGATCAACCGGGTGAAAGCATCAGCTGGATTCTTCTTTCCTGGGCGGTATCGGATTTCCATATTGTGCTCCATAAGACAAACTGCCCAATTCGTCAGTTTCGAAGTCGGTTTCGGGTTGTCAAAAATGAACTTCAGTGCGCGATGGTCGGTATACAGTACGAAATGTCGTCCAGCTAAATAATGTCGGAAGTAGTCGATTGCCCAGATGACTGCAAGAGCCTCGATGTGCGTAGCGGAATAATTGACCTCGGCTCCATGCAGACTTCTTGATGCGTAGCAAATAACCTTTTCGTCTTGTTCAGATCCATCCGGGGATTGTGACAAAATAGCACCAATGGCCTTAAACGATCCGTCGGTTGTCACGATTTGTACCTGATTGCGGTCTGCAAACGCCAGAAGGGGTGGATGGGACAAACACCATTTGAGCTTCTCGAAGGCTTCCTTCTGGCTCTGGCTCCATTCGAATTTCTTCTTCTTTCCTTGCAATTTCGTCAACGGTTTCGCGATCGTCGCATAATCGGGGATAAACTTTCGATAGTATCCCGCGGTTCCCAGAAAAGAGCTGATTTCATCCTTGTTTCGCGGTTCCTTCATCGCCAATACTTTCTCCACATTGCGTGTCATCGGTAAAAGTCCGCGATCGGAGACAACGTGTCCCAAATACTCAACCTGGTTCCGAGCGAAGCTGCACTTCGATCGTTTCAGTCGTAAATTTGCTGCTTCACATACCGTCAGTATCTGCTGTAAATGTTGTCGGTGCTCGTCGAGTGTCTTGGAATAAACGATGATATCGTCTATGAAAACATAGACGAACTTGCCAATATACGGGGCGAACAGGTTTGACATGAGCCGTTGGAACGTGGCCGGTGCTGACGTCAGTCCGAAGGGCATGACCATGAACTCGTAAGTACCTTTCTTCGTAACAAAGCCGGTTTTTGCGATCGAGTCGTCAGACATAGGTACTTGCCAATACCCACTTGCTGCGTCCAACGTGGAAAAGTACTTTGCACCACCTAGCGAATCCAGTAGCTCCTCGATGATCGGCAAAGGGTATCGATCCTTGATAGTGATGGCGTTGAGTTTCCGATAGTCTACGCATAGCCGGAGAGTACCGTCTTTCTTTTTGACGAACAAAATAGGTGATGTCCAAGTGCCACTTGATGGTCGTATAAGTTCCAATTCCAGCAATTCCTTCAATTCTTTATCTAACTGTTCCTCCTCTTGCCATGTCAGTCGGTACGGTTTGGAGGTGATCGGCGTTTCCGTATTCGTCGGTATGTGATGCTGCACGTCCGTTACACGACCGAGCCCCGCGTTTTCCACAAAACAATCTTCGTGACCAAGCAGTATTTCTTCGATTTCTTTCGGTATTTTCTCTTGTTCTTCTTTTCCGTCTTGTTCTTGAATTTGCGCTTCTAGCCGTTCTTCGGTATAGGTTTTCAGATCGTCGGCAGCCTTTCTACTCGCATACACAGCGAACGCTTCGACACTGTCTTTTTGTTGATCGTTATCTTCCATTATCTTCACCGCCAGTTCCACGTAACCTCTTCCCCGCTTCGTCGGTATAATCAGCTTTCCGTTCTTCACATGCTGCCGTATATCGTATTGTTTGAACCATGTATTACCGAGCAATATCAAGTTCGTTCGTCGATCGGTTACGACCATGTGTTCTCGTCGCAGTTTTCCGGCAATTCGTATTGGTACGGAGGTAACGATTGGGTAAGGGGATGAAACGTCGCCATGAACTGATTCTATCGATAACTTGTCCTTTGTTACTTTCAGTCCAAGTGCGTTGACAAGGTCTTGACTGATCAACGAGACTCCGGATCCGGTATCGAAGGTCGCTTCCAGTGGCTGGTCGAATATCGTGATCACACCACGTAACGGTGAACTCGCTTTCAACTTGTCGATTTCGTACGGATACTCGTACTCGGTATCATCGCTATCAGAGTCGTCTGCGTCGGAAAACTGTTCACTGTCTGAACCCCAAATACTTTCTTCTGAGTCGAACAAATAACTTGAGCTTGTGTCTGTGTCGAGGTCCGTTTCTCCGTTCTCGGCAGGTGTTGCCATATTGACCTCCATGGGCGCCGTCAATCTTTTTGGTGGTTGTCGTCCGTGAAAATATCGTATTCCGTCTTGAACGTCTTTTGCTGCACTCTTCGAAAGTGCGATCCAATCTGCCATACTTACGTTCGCTTGCGTCTCCTTGAGTTGATCCCATATTTTTCGCTCGCTTAATTCGACTTCCAACCTTCTTGGCGGCTTCCGTTTCGTAGTTTTTTTGACAGGTGTCTCCTTCGTAAGCGGCTTCGAAGAACTTGCTATCGGCGGAATAGGATCAGCGCGCCCTTTGCCTTTCTTGGTTTGTCGTTCTTCTGCTGCTACGTCGGTGGAACTTGTCTGCGATCGAGTTCGTTTGTCTGCGGTATATACTTTAACGCCTTGTATCAAGCTGACATTCTTGACTTCGTCGGTTTGTTTCGTTGCACTAGTATCAGGACCAGGAGCTTCTTGATTGTTCCGGATGACAGTATCTCCCTCTACTGCCATCCCCGCTCTTTTCCCGAACTTCCTCCTTGGTCGTTACCGTTTGTTCGAATCGCCCGCGGCCTCATCGGTTCGGTGCATGCGGTCGATTTATGACCTTCTTTGTTACAGTTGAAACATACGAGCGGTACTCGTCTCGGTTGGGTCAGGTTAATACGTAACGCGCGGAATTCTTCAGTAAGGTTGTTCAGAGCGGACAAAGTGCTGGTCGTGCTCGTCGAATCGGATGGTAATACTGGCTTGTTTGTCGAGTTGTCGTCTACGTTATCGGTATTCTTGTTTTCTACTTCAGGAATTTCGCGGTGACCATATTTCTGTAACGCCATTTCGATACGTCGTGCTTGTTCTACAGCTTGTTCGAATGACTGAGGCTTGTCTCTCTCCTTTTCACATTCAAAAGCAATGGTGGCATGGATGGATTTCCAAAAGTATCGAATTTTTGTGCGTTCGTTCTTCTCCTTAACCAATGCTAGAAGTTCTTCTAAACGGTAAGCAATGTCGTCTACATTTTCGTGCGGTCGCTGTTTCATGTTGGAAATCTCTTTCCACCAAGTATCCTCCATTCCGTTAGAAACGTATCTGGCGATGAACATGGTTTCGAACTGGCTCCACGTAGTGACCGAATCTTCTTTTGCATCCCACCATGTAACTGCGCGTCCTCGCAAATGGGTACCTGCCATGATTAACGCCATTTCGTCGGTCATATTCGTACCTTTCTTGATGCGCTTCATAAGCCGCAACCACGCTACAGGATTCTCGTCTCTTGTGCCGAAAAATTTTTCTGGATTAGCAATAAAATTTGTGATGTCTTGAGTCATGCTCGCTTTTAGCGATAGAACTGGTTGCTGTTCTTCCTTGTTGACAACTGGCGCTTTTCCACTTGGCAATTTTCCACTTGAATTCTCTCCAGTTGGCATATTCTGCGTTGCCGCGCCGCGCCTTAGGATATTTTCTTTAATTCGTTCTGCGATGGCCTTTCCAGTTCGTTCGATGTCTTCTTGAGTTCGGGTGTCTGGTTCTTCCCTATTCTTGTTTGATGATGCCACTACGCCCAGCTTCTCCACCATAAATTGATACGGGTAAGTGGCTGGCGATTAAAGAAGAACGAAAATAGGGATCGGGGAATGAGTGGTAAGCGATAGAGCCCGCGGTACAGATATGATCAAGGTAAAATAAAACAGTGAAGGTCGTTGCACGGGTTCCGCCTTTCCGCAAAAATATACGATCAGTACCGTTCTGACAATACTCCTTATTGCCGTTCTGATACTGCAATCCAGGTATATTTCCGTGACAGTCAAAGTCAATATAATGTTAGAAATAGGGTCGTCAATAAGTCTGCTGTCAGCACGAAATAAACGTAAGGCCCCCAAAAAAATAGATCTCAAAGAAGAGTCGATTTATTCACAATGCACGATCAATTCGATTTAAGCTAAAATTTACATTCGCAAATTCCGGGCCGCATGCCGGACAGCCAACTCCGGACCAATATTTTAAAGGCCGACCGGAACATCCACAACAGGCCGCATCAACTCAGCGGTGGAGAGATGGCCGAGTTGGTCTAAGGCGTCACGTTAAGGCCGTGATCTCTTCGGAGGCGTGGGTTCGAATCCCACTCTCTTCACACTTTTTTGCGCTCCTTGCGTTTCTTTATTTTATTTTTTTGTTTCCATTGATGATATTGTATCGAAAGGCAAGCACTTTCAATTTTTAGGTGATGTGGGAGGGGAGAATTTTGCACGATTTGTGGGAAGAAAAAAATAAATTTTTGATGCGAAACTAAATAAGTTAAAATGGCTGGGAAATGTCGACAGATAAAGAAAGCAAAAGTAAAAAGATTTTTTTTTATTATTTGAGGGACACACGTCCGTTGCGGACTATTGCTCGTCCTGGAATTTATGGGAAATAGTGCTACTGTAAAAAAACCACTTAGGAAAAAACAAAGGTAAAATTGCGTGCAGGAAGCGTAGAGCGGCAATAAAGAAAGCAAAACTTACCATTTTCAAAGTTTATCATTTCATTAACAGGAGCCGTTATCATATATGGCAAAACAAGGCGCTGCACAAGCTTTCACCAGGAAGGCCCGACACAGCTTCATTTCTTTGATAAAGAGAAGAGGAGCACGAACAAAAAGCTTTAGGCCATGACATAACCTGCTTGAATAAGAGAAAAAAGTAAAAAGCAAAAGCTTTTCATTTATTAAAAATGAGTGAACACACCTCCATTGCAGACTATTGCTGCCCTATGATCTATGGGAAAAGGTTCAACTGGAAGAAAATAAGATGTTGGGCTGGTCAGGGTTGTTTCAGGTGAGTCAACATAGAAAGGCGTACCAGTAGCAAGGAACCAAAGTGAGTCAGATCATCCGCTGATGAATTACCTTGCCAAGCTGAATAGGATGAGACAACCAGTTATGTTGATAGAAGCGATGCACAGAATGATCATCACGATATGAGCATTGCTTGGCAATTTGTTAAGAGAAAGGTTCCAAGTCTGGTTCACAAGGAAAAAAATCTCGCGAAACAGTAATGGCTATCACGAAAAAATGTGAATCATGTATAAAATAATGCTCGAGCGGTGAAAACGCTCAAAACTGAACTAACTTATGCGGACGCACTAACTTAAGAACGTAAAGTCATACTGCATTGGCAGCGGAGCATGGTGCGGCGACGTGTGGGATGTACAGTAGGGACTGCAGACGAAGAAGTAGATGATAAATTTTATACGAAAAGTTTTCTGGTGAGAACATTTTCAATACATAGAAGGATATCTCGAGGTTTATATGTTTGGTTTTGTGTGTAGGTGGTTTTTTGCGGATAATGGGTGGTGTACGATCTGAGCATGGATAGCATATCAGGGCGGATATGAGGGTGACGCAAACTAGTGTAGTTTTAACAAGGGACAAGTATCAGTGGAATAATAGAACAGATTGTATGTGGGTTGATCGCTGGTCATTTTTCGTTTTGGAACTCTTTGACGAGAGCGCGGTGGGCCACAGCCAGCTGGGCTTCCAATGCACGTACTCGTTCTCTATTGGCACGTTCTCTTTCATCCACAGCGTCTCGTTCGCTTTGAAGTACAGCGACACGTAACCGTAATCGGCTATTTACGGTCTCGAGTTCATGGACACGCTGTTCCAAAGATTCCATCTTGAGCATCTTTCGTAACCGTGAACGTCGAGCAGCATCAGTATTTTTTTGGCGCTTAATGGCAATGTCATCACTGGCTTGTTTCCGATTGGAGCTGGATCTTTTTAGAGAAAGAGGATTGGGCTTTGTAGCTATAGGCCCAGGTAAGGAGGAACCTAGTAAGGTAAAGGCCTTGAGGATGAGCGGCAGCACCACTTGTGGATGCAGAGTTGCCTGGTTACTGCACTCACGCATTTGATTTTCCGATGTCGTGCCACCCAATGCTGGTTCAGACTGCGATTTTTCAACAGGCGCTTCTAACAATGAGGATGCGGACGATTGAGTGGTGGAATCTTCCTGCTTGATGGGCTTCATATCACTGTCGGACCATGTGTCGGCTGCTTGAGCGTTGGGTAATAAAATGCCAGATTGTTGTAAATCTTTTTCAAGCCAATCGTCTAATGCTTTGGCGTCAAGTCCCCAGGCGGTTGTATTCATTTTTTTTTTTTTTTTTTTTTTTTGGTGGTTCAAGTTCGTTACGGCGATTGGTATATCAAGGCTCGCTTTATGGGAAGTAAGAAAAATGAGGAAAAAAGGCATCAAATTTGAACAAATCCATGGGCTCTCCATGGGCGGGACTGCCCATCGTACTTTGGGCAGATTATCATTTTGCATAGTCAACCGTTGATTGGTTGATTTGATGACAAGTTTTGCCTACATGAAAAATCCTTCTTGATTGGATATCATAAATGAACCATATCCAATAGAGGATAATTGTTCGCACGATGGGCGATGGCAGAACCGGAATATCAAGATTTCTTCCATTTTTTCCACCTGACGCGTGCGCAGTTTCAGTTCTCCCTTTGGCCAATCTTTTCCCTCATGCTTTGACGCACCATCCTCTTCTTAATACGCGAGCTCATCAGCAGGCTTTATCGTAGTTAGTTATTTCTTTCTGAAGACTCTTCATGGCACGATAAACACTCATGGATAGTCATATTCATATACCAGCAGCGTCATACCATGGCGACCAGTCCTGATAAATATTTCTTTATACGACCATACATATGAAATCATAGCGCCTTGCAAATCTTTGACGGGCGTTTACGACAGAGACACCGGCACACACATGTATAATATGTACGATAACAGTTAAACAGAGGCCACTGATGCGGAAACTGTTCGTGTAAGATGCTGCTGTTGTTGCTCAAAGTAGGATGAAATATGCGGACCCCACGTTCATTGTTAAACCATGGCAAGTTTTACGTGACGATTAGATTCAGTTGTTGCGTAGCGACATATCAATGGGTGCCCATGACAGCGAATTATAGCGAAATCATATATGTGATATAGGGAAAACTCTGAGCTCGCTACGCGATCTTACTTTTCGTCAGCATTTGATGAGATGTCTTGCAGTAGTAATTGATATAAATCTGAAGATTATTAGATCAGCATAACAGCAAATCTCTTTGGAAGACAGACCATGACTTTTCTTGCTTCTGAGCTAAATCTGCACGTGGCTGATGTCTGATCTGATTCAAGGTATTTGGCTATGCAAATTTATTTGAGGTTGTTCTTTATCAAATATGACTAGAGATTGCATCAAAATGATTTACGAAGGAAAAAACTGCTGCCCAGCTTTTCACATGACATGCCACAGATGGCTAAAATATTACAAATTGATCCTTTGAATATTAAGTCAGTGGATCATTCAATAGTCCATGAATCGCGGTTCTGACGGGCCTTATCGCCAAGAAGCGTCTTTTGAGCATCGGCGCCATGGTGGAGCTCCTGTTTACAGTCCAGTTCATAAGTATCGGCGAGTTCGTGTTCGATGGGGAGATCGGATTGGTTTGGGCGCTTTTCGTCCGCTTTTCGTTTCTCGTACACTCGGACACCTTTCTTAAAGTTCCATACGCATTGAATGGCTAAGATCAATGTCACTAATAGAATGGCAATGGCGATGGCGGTGGTAAAAATTAAAAACCGCCGTGTAAAGGTGTAAGGATCGTAAGTCAGTGGCCGAGGGACCGATATTTTCGCGAGTCGATAGACGAAATAAACAACACCTAGTATGCCCGCCATGATGGACGCCGCCATGAAATACATGTTCTCACGATAAACGCCAACGATGGCGATAAGCAGTCCAACCGCTCCAAAGACAAACACAAGGATAATCTCGGCCACGGTTTCATCGTAATGCAGTTTCTGCGATGGGATCAGCTGGGCACCGAATGAAAAAATGAAATAAAAATCCAGTTTCAGGAACGTCAGCAAGACACTCGATGTAATCAACGCGCTCCGCACACTAATGATTGATGCATATTCATTATGGTCGTTCCACAAACTTTCAAAGTAACGTGCTCAAAGACTTACCGCACATCAGCCGAAAACGTACGATAGTTGTCCCAAGCGAAATGTTTTCGTAATCGCCATGCAAAGCCGGCAATGGCTACGAAAAACGCCGGGATCAGAGCAATAATGGTATATTCCAGAGGACGCATTTTTCCTTGATAGTATTTTTTGGCTTCTGCCAGACCCTCGACGGTGTCTGGCCAACGGGGGTCAACGGGTGCCCATAGTTCATTGGAGCCACTGATAAGGATATCGTGAGACTTTGTGTGTACGTAATTGAGTAGCTAGCTAAAACCTGCTTACCAACCCACTTCCTCCAGGATCATATGTTGCTGCAACTGGATTCCTCCGTATACTGTACATGATCAATTGATGATAAGCTAAAAGTAACGAAACACAAACTGGGGTATATCCGATCATTTTACCTACAACAAGCAGTCCAAAAATGACCAATGTACATAATTGGGCTAGAGTAACGTGTCAAAACTCAGAAATGGTGCTTTCTATGGTGCTGGATAACGAGGGATCAACGCCTACCTGTGTTCCGCTGATGCAATGCGTCTAGACAGAGGATGACCTGAAACACCTGGCTAACGATAAACAATCCATGATAGATCAAATCCGATTCGCTCACACCTAATCGGCGATAAGCAAAATATTATAGTTATCGCTTGGCTCACAACCACCGCGGTACCTTTCCCGTTGTTGTCCATTTGGCAATTGCTGACAAGTTCAAGATGGTTCTTGATGACCAGTCCTTCCAGAATCGAAATGCATATTGCCTCAAAAGAAATGAGCACAAGAACAGCCAAGGATTCCTTATGGTTGAACAGAGAATCGCGGGTGGGCGGCATGGTGATGAGGAGGTAAAACCAGTGCGTACAGATAAAGCTACAAACAGCATCCTTTTTATATTCTTTGTGGACTTGATCTGTTTACCAATTAAAAGTGGTGATGGGGCGCAGTTTGACTGGGCCTGCTAAGCCTTGGAACACCTAACTCTTTCACTTGCTTCCTTTTTGCGCTCATGTGTTACTGAAGCCGTCTGGAAAAAACCCGAGATCTGCAAGTTCGGGTGCAACCCCTCCTAAGAGCGCTTATCAACTAGTTGAAACACCGATCAAACCTTTCCACTGTATTCAAACTGTTTTCTTTCTATAAACCACACGCAGACGATGCTTTCTGACAATATCTAAACATCATTACGCTTATCGGGTTTATATGTGTATGCATACATGTACTCATTGCTGTTTACGATAAACAATCAAGCATCAGCGTTGTCACAGCAGAGAAAGGCCGATTTGAAGCAACCTTAATCGTTTGTGATGAACTTTTTGATTCATCGGCTGATGGAAGTCAAACCAAAAAAAGGACGGGCAGTAGTTCAGATTCAGGTGAGCAGAAGGTCTGAAGTATGAGGGTGAATTGCAAAGGTCCAGAGGAAACAAGTAAGGTTCTGCCGACTTCTTGACGCACTCCATATGCACGAATGCCTACTCCATGACATTTTCATCGTTGAACTGGTGGCTCTACATGTTTTCGGCACCCGGTAAGCCAAGAAATAAGATGGCTGCAACAAAGAATATCAAATAATATGTCGAATGCTTAAAACAATTACTGATGATTCAATGGCCGGCTGCAGTAATGCAGAGTAATCTGTCAATAGTCTGAACTAAACTGTAAGACTTCTTTCTAATCTATGCAAACATATCACTGTAGAACATCTGCCACTGTACTTTTACATTAATAACCATAGCGCCCAGGTCAATCAGCGAGAAAGAGTCCAGCGAGTTTTTTGGTCAATGCGGCGCAATTGTAGTAAGCTACAGTAGTTCCAGGTAAGTACGCAATTACCGTTTTGCTTACTTTACAGGGCAGACCTAGAGCAGCAGAACCTGGGATAACAGCATAATCTACAATAAATAGCCTCCAAAAAAAAAGAATGTGCGACATGTGAGCCTGACATATCACCAGACTTCGTATACTATAACAGAACTGTAAATGCTCTAGGAAATACAGGTTATGCAGCCAGCAGCTGAAGTCCATTTCAGTGTGGTTCTGATATGAACACAAGGTGATGTGTGCATGGTAGTTTCAATCATTCAGATTCCATACTAGGCAACAAATAGCCAATGGATCATTGGATCACTGTGATCTGTTACATATAAGGACATAAGTAGATCCATTGAATTGATCGATCCAAAAGCTCCTGTGCAATTGCTTTGACTAAACCAGACCATGAGTGTGGTTAGAATGGCATGGAGGCGTGCCAGGGTAACCAGGCAACTCTGCATCCACAAGTGGTGCTGCCGCTCATCCTCAAGGCCTTTACCTTACTAGGTTCCTCCTTACCTGGGCCTATAGCTACAAAGCCCAATCCTCTTTCTCTAAAAAGATCCAGCTCCAATCGGAAACAAGCCAGTGATGACATTGCCATTAAGCGCCAAAAAAATACTGATGCTGCTCGACGTTCACGGTTACGAAAGATGCTCAAGATGGAATCTTTGGAACAGCGTGTCCATGAACTCGAGACCGTAAATAGCCGATTACGGTTACGTGTCGCTGTACTTCAAAGCGAACGAGACGCTGTGGATGAAAGAGAACGTGCCAATAGAGAACGAGTACGTGCATTGGAAGCCCAGCTGGCTGTGGCCCACCGCGCTCTCGTCAAAGAGTTCCAAAACGAAAAATGACCAGCGATCAACCCACATACAATCTGTTCTATTATTCCACTGATACTTGTCCCTTGTTAAAACTACACTAGTTTGCGTCACCTCATATCCGCCCTGATATGCTACATCCCTTGAACAAAAAATATATTTCCCGCGTCCAACCTTCGGCGATGAGCCATATACGGAATTGAACCATCGGAAGACCGTACGATTTCTCTCGACAGTTCATTCTACCCTCGCTGTATGGGGCTAGTATAGAAAATAATAACTCTCTCTCATGAGAATGAGATCAGATCGAGTCAAGAGACCGTTGGTGAACGATATGAAAGCTCGATTTATACTTTATACCTCTTTTAAGTTTTCTTAGGAGAAAAGACTGTAGAGTTACTGTAGAGCAATGTCACAAGCAGAATGAAATATGAATCCTGTGCAGATTTAATCGACGTTGTAATGCTATCCAAATGCTTCAATTCTGATATCATCCGGTCCCTATTTTTCCTGTACTTCGACTTATCCTAAAGAATGGTATCACGATTCTTGATTGCTTCCTGTCATTCCGTGGAACACTGTTCTCTTTCTCTCTTTTTTTTGTCTACTGTGCATTGCAGCTGATGTTTTGAGGCCTCCTTATTCGGATGCAAGAGACCACAAAAGCTTCTTGTAGTACCGCGTCTAGGTTTACGGTCCTTTCACATTTAGTTTGAAGACATGAAAAGTTTTTTGTTTGCTTCTTTGAGTTCGCTCTATTACCAACCCCCCCCCCTTTTTTTTTTTTGTACATCGCAGCTGATGCGATGATACTTCTCACGAAATTTCCCAACAGTGACTGGCTCAACAGCAGTCCATCAAAAATGTCTATAAAATGGACATCCCACTGCGTCTGCCAAAGTTCTTTCCTTTTCCCCGAACCTCCATTCTACCTTTCAAGGTCATCTTTTTCTCCGAGGTTGTCTTTTTATCATTATTTTGCATTGAACTGAAGGTAAGCTCAAGGCTGTTGATCCTTTAAGAATAGAAATTTGTAATTCTAAATATGATTTTTCTATAATAGTTTATTCAACTGGCCGACCATCGACGGTTCCGGCGCGTGCTCTTTTCGTTCGACAAGCGCTGAACAGTACTGCGTAGTCCGTCCTGGCCCACTTGATTGGTTTTTCCGGGCAACGAAGGCCTGTAGATGTTTACAGGTAAGCCATCTGCATTATATAGTCATACTGACTTGCTCTTTTTCTATTTTTCGTCTGTCTAAACCACATTTTTTGACTAATGATCTTTTTCCCAATTTGTTTCGTTCTCATTGGTTGCTTCTGCATTTTTTTATTGGTCATTTGAACACCGATTTTTTTGTGACTTCAAAAGTTGAATAAACTGTAAAGAAGGCAAGAAAGCAGTAATTGTTGATTGAGAAAACGTGAATGATTTTTGATACGAACTGAAACACATTCAATGAATCAAGTCAATAATCCATCAGCAGAGACGATCAATGACTGTGAGAAATTGAATTTGGTGTAACGTCTATGATGTCTTCACTTACGAGGTGGTGTTGATGTCGTGATGCTGCAGAAAATAAGCTGCAGAACTCCTGACAATGCATCACAGCAATATTCAAGCTGAGCTCATTGTACGACGGTGACGAAGAATTCAACTAAAATAGCACATTGGCTAACACAACCGAGCCTTAATCGAGTATTGAATCACATTGATCCATTCCAAAAAATGCGTATACAGGGGTGGCGATGTTGTAATTCTTTTCAAAGAAACCCGAAACAGAGAACAATGGTACCATACAAGTTTGTCGATGGACAACTCGAAATGGCATGATGAATCATAATATGCTTGTAGTGAGTGCCAATCATGATCCCCTTAAAAAAATGAATGGTGACGCCGTAGCAGTAGGCTAGATAGAAATTGACCATACAATAAATGATAAAACTGAATCTTTACTTGCTGAGAACAAAGACTTGCATATCAATGTTCGCGTGTAATCCAATAATAAATGCATGGTTTTTAAATTAAAGGTGTCAAGGGGATCACCGTGACATTATACGTTCGGTATATGATCGATGATTGTCGGCAGATCTGATCTCATATCTGACTCGCAGAAGCCTCGTGTAAGGAGGTTTTAGACAATGAACTGTTGTGTGACTGTTGCACGACGATGCCAAGCGCAGCAGCTAAAAGGTCAATAGTCACTGCTTCCGTTTTCCCTCTTACTGCGCTCCTTAATCATGACCTTGTCAGTTCGGCGACTCACTGAGAACTTGTTCCTCCTAGGAACAACTTCACTTGCTTTTGTAAGCAAACTATTTTCGAGTTTGATGCCCCGAAACTGACTCTGATCCTCAATCTTCTAGGTTGCCTGGATTATTGCCTTTGGTGGAGCTTGTGCCATTCCAGTTGCGCGTGCCAATTGGTGGATCATTGTCTATGAATTGCTCATTATTCTGGCCGTGACATTTTTGACTCTCACAGGAACCTACGATCACTATCGTCTAGCGGTAAATACCAAACACCAAGCGTTCCATTGGCAACCTGTAAACTCATCATGCGTCGACCACTGCAGCTGCTGACCTTTTTAGGTGCCAGCATTGCTATGCTGACTTTAGTTCTTGACAATGTATTGCCGACATGGAAAATCGGTGGATGGCATACATCAGCATGGAATGCATTTGCTGCTGGCTACGTGATATTGATCATTATTCAGGTACGGGAGTGGACATATTAAACCGAAAAACTCAGTAGACTCACGCAATTGCTAGTTCTTGTGGATATTCGTTTTCGGCAGTGAACCCCACAGTTACCTTCATCAGCTCATTTACCTGAACACGAACACCGTTAACCAACAGCCAGCTGCAGCGGCTCATCTGGAAGGAGAAAAGACTTTGACCCAGCCATATCCTCACGGCGGCGAGACTTCCATTCCTATGAGCCATACTGGACCTCACACTCCTCGTCCGACTTCACCCCATCCTGCAGCTATCACATCCCCCACTGCTACACCTGCAGGATCGGCTAGCTATAATACGAATGCTGCCCCAACGACAACGGAATTCCGAGAAAAAGTGCGAGCACTTCACGCCTGTAAGACCACTTGTTTCATGAAGAAAAAATTCGGCATTACTTACTCTTCGATGATTTTGATACTCTCTAGATCAAGCTAATCCTGACGATCCGAATGAATTAAGCTTTGACAAGGGTGAAATCCTCGAGATAGTGGACCAGAAAGGAAACTGGTGGCAAGCTCGTAAGGCTGACGGCAGCGTTGGCATTATCCCCAGCAACTATGTAAGATACCAAAAAGCTTTCTGACCTATGGATTTCGTACTCACGTTGGGCTATTTTTTTGTTCCTTTTTTTTTTTTTTTGCAGTTTGGTCAAGTATCTTCGGCCTAAATACAAAGAGTATTGTTTTCCTGTTCTTTTAGTATAAGTTATAGCCCATATTTAATATCGTAGATTTTGTATCCTTTATAAATGATCTCCTTACTTGTCGGAGAACGTATAGTAAGAGCTAACAAGCCGTACACCCGCTGTGCAATGGATGCCGCCTGCCACCGGAGGTCGCCCCCTTACATTGAGCGACTTTCGTCAGACAAAAAGCCTAACGCAAACACGGCATAACCTGGGCGAGAACTCTTGACGGAACTTCGGTATATTAATGACAACCTTATGGCATACGTTGCAACGTGATTTGTTTCTGAACACGCGCAGGGCAGCACTGGTTCCCCCCCTCAGTTCCATCCCGCCCAGGCTATGATAGATCTAGAAAGATGTGTGGGTATGTTGGGTATTTAAAAAAAATGAGTTAGTAAGCTCTTTGATTGATTCAAATTTTCGTCAAGATATTTTACCTTTGTTATTTGAAGTTTTCGATAGCCATTGATCGCTTGACACGACTTGGATTATATGACATTGAAAAATTTTTGAATTAGTATACGTTTATTACATCATAGCAAAGGAAAAGAAATTGGACTTGCCTTTGAACCAAATGGTGTACCGGAAAAAAAAACGATGAATACTGACCGCCAGGTAAGCTTCTTCCTCGATGCGGAAAATAAAATTGCTTCCAGGGACAGTTAAGCGATGGATCGGTGGTGTCAGCTTGAGCAGGCAAAAAATATTGACGTGGCCAGAAGTGACGGTAACTTCGAGTTGGATTCCAGATATCGAGAGTCCCCCGAATAAAAAGAAAGAAACAAATAAAGTACATGATGATAAAAAAACAATGGTCGCGTCAGTAAAAACCTCCTAAAAAACCCTGTAGGAAAAAAAGAGGAAAAAACTGCGAAAAGAATATGTACATGAAATATAAAATACAAAATACAAAATACAAACTATGAACTACAAAATACAATAATCGGGAAGACATCTCGAATACCATATCATGAGAAGCAATCCAAAGGAGAGGAACATGAAGAGGACACGTAAGCGTTTTTCCGATGAAAAAGAGAGTCACACCACCAACGATGACCTTTGACGTCATCCAGTTTCGCCAGATGGATGGATGGATGGATGGATGGCGAGAGAAAGTCAACTTGTAGCATCCAGAACTTGTCAGGCGAAAAGAAACGGAAACCGGAAGCTGGAAGAAGGATGGAAGCAAAGGAGGGGTGAGTCTGTTTTGCCGGAGCAAAATCGATGGTGGACCACTCGACGCTTACCTTTTTGAGGATTGTAGTCGATTCAACCAAGTTATATACACGGGATAAGAATGGTCTGGATAATGGACGCGGATGGGATCTTGATACAATGATAGTGAGGGTTTATCAAGCAAACAGAAAGAGAGAGAGAAAAGCAAAAGAAAAAAGATAAGAAGACCAAAATATATGATTTTCCATGGATGAAACAATAGTCACCTTACTGGTGCATGAACTCATAGATCGAAGCACGTCTGCTTATGTATTATTCGATTCATTGAAAATTGAAAGAGAGTGAAAGGACATATATAGTATAACTGACAAAAAAAACAAATTGAATGATGCTACAGAAGAACGCCAGTCGTATCATCAACCACTTTTCTTCAAAGAGAGCTCTACTCACATTTTTATTCGAAAGACGACGATACTCTGTTTAACCACAACTGGCGCAAACGGCATCTTGCTGCTAATTGTTTCGCCTATTATCGTGAAAGTGGGCAGCGAGGCATGGTTGAAAGGATATAAAAAAAGGTTTAACAGGTCCTGATAACTTAGTGTAGATCATGTGATTTACAAAATCGCTAATTTCCCAAAAATTTTAATTAGGAAACTAGGTGGAGCCCGTGATCTTCAAGATCACAATTGGGGATATTTATTGGTAGACTCAGGGTATGCTACCATGGGTGTGGTTAGAATGGCATGAAGGTGTGCCAGTTCTAACGTATGAGGTAGAGGGCGCAGGTGGAGCCCGTGATCTTCAAGATCACAATTGGGGATATTTATTGGTAAACTCAGGGTATACTATATTTTTGGTGAAATGTTCATTTGAACTGCTGTGGATCAGGTATCTTCGCCGATACAATAGAATCGTAGTGCTCTGGCGTCACAGGTTTATCAGCTTCTTTTAAAATGAGTAGAATATGCGCATGAGGCAATCCTCTTTTCTGGAACTCGACGGTATAAACGTAGCCAATTACTTTTCCAAGTGTATGGTTTTTTGTTAGATCCTTCAAAAGAGCTCTGAGCTTGAGGTTGAAAACTCGTGCTGTCAAATCTGGCCGATCAGATACTGTCTGTGAAGCAAGAAGCTCATTCCGAATTTCTGGCCATTTTGGATTACACGTGAATGTAATGAAGAGGTCAGGCTTTCCGAAAACATCTGACGATACTCATTGCATCTTGGTACAGCTGTTGCATGTTTCGAGGGCTGCCAATGAATGACGACGGAAGGATGACAGGCTGACCGATGGAATTCATATTCATATTGTTGTCGTCAAGTTGGAGAGCATCTTGTACGCCTGAATACACATCAGCACGCAGTCGGGACTGGTTGAGGCGAAGGTGATTGAGGCGGTTTTGTTCCATCTTGGCATACATATCTACGATATACTGCTGAAAGAGTCGGCCAAAGAGGTGCAAGTGGTGTCCATCATTTCGATACATCAATCTGAAACTGTAGTAGTTCATCACGGTGACTCTGTCGTTTCTGGTCGATCGAGTTTCAATGTTCCACCCAGGCTCGCCTTCAGGAAACATCAGCACGTAATGGAGTGGGTCATACAGGCGATGCATCTCACTGATTGATGTCAGTTGGTCACTACGCGTACAGATCACAATATCCCTTCCAGAGGACTCTGCGTTTTCACCGATAATAACACCAATTTCAGAAGCATTTGGTGCATTATAGCGTCGTGGATCTGGGGCATCGTCAGCTCGAATAATCATTCTGATGTTGGAAGCACCACCATTATCCTGTATGCATTGGGCCATTGTCTTGAAAAGATGGACGAAAGGATTGATTTCATGCATTAATTGCTGAAGTACTTCCAAGATGTCTCGCGCGAGATGGCTTGTAATTAGGAAATCTCTTCCTTCTTCAGTGTTGCTGCGAAGGAGACGCGCGATTGTTGGAGGTGTAGGCTCCAAAGGCGGAAGCACAATGGAACCTTGGGCACAGCAGAACTGGAATTGTGGATTTGAGATGGATCCAGACATGCGCTCTTTGAGCCACATGTGTGCCTGGCAGAAATTGCAGACAACATTCATGCGACCCAAGGTATGTCTACTGGGGAGTTCTGATTCATCAGACTCTGCGTTACCAACAGGTGCAGGTAATCTACGGCTGTGTTCTCCAGCGTCATTTTCGTTTGCTTCTCTCATAGCCAGCCTCGCTGGATTCAATGGGCAAGCCAGATGGCTGCTGCGCTGGTGTCCCAGTTGCTGGCACGAAGAGCAACGGACTTCTACCAATCCTTGGATCGTAGCAACGTTGGGTTGTTCGGTGCGTCTGGGGTTATTGGGACAGTTTCTAGAGGTGGATTGAGCGTGTCCTGGGAGACCGCAAGAAACACAGGAGATGGGTGATGAGACAATAGCGCTTTCCTCAGCACGTCTCGTATTGTTGGGACAGCTGCGATTCGTTGATCGAGCATCACCTGGCAGGCCACACGAAGCACAGAAAATGGTTGAAGACGACATTGGGGAAAAAGCGATTGAGCTTGAGGAAATGGAATAAAGAAAGGAATTGGACCTAGATAATAAAACAATACAGCGTGGTTTAACTAAACAAATCATATAATAACACGGTCCGCTCATGCATAAAAGGAAGTGCAGATCATGAGCAACTCCAAGTGACCGGTTTTTACAACACGTAAATCATGTGATCTATTTTGTTTTAGCCAATCAGCAGCCTTAAAAACATTTATTATCCAATCAACAACGCCAAATTAGCGGACAATAAAAGTGACTGCGAACTAAAATTCAAACATTTTAATAAGGTTGAGATTATCTTGCATATCCTTAAGCGCGGCACCGAATACTACGGCACGGAATCTGCTCTTTTCATCATGAGTGAATGGTATGCGTTGAACTGTGGATTTTAGGCTGCAACACTTGGGAATACTGTAGACCGATTTTTCCTGACGGTTTTTGCAGAAACGAAAAAAAAAAGTTCCAACTGGCTTTTTGTATGTTACTTGCATCGTCACGCCCCCCCCTTTTTATTTTATGGTACATTGCAGCTGATATTTTGAGACTTCCTCGTTCAGATGCAAAAACGCCCAAAGTTCACGTATTACCCGTTCCTAATTTTGTGGTGTGTCCTCACTCTGTTGGTAAACATCAAAGTTCTTTGTAGACTCCTTTCATGGCTCATTTTGAAGCAGACCTCGATGAAAAATGAACGTAATGTGATCAAGCCTCATCTCAACCTTATTAAAATGTTTGCCTCTGAGTTGCCATATTTGGATATATTCCACCGTCACATTTGTTTGCCGACAAAAGACCGCTGATGATTGGGTAGTTTCAAACTCAATGAACGTTGATTGGATAAAACTGTTGTAATCACATGATTTACGATAAGATCTGAGCGGATGTTGAATTATGGCTCCTGATTTGTGCTTCCTTTTGTGAATAGATAGACCGTGATACATACACGGATGCAAGAGATCGTGTTGCTTTGCATTATCCAGGCCTGTTCCTTTCTTCTTTCTTATTCTTCCTCTGTAAAACTAATTCAATGTCATCTTCAAACGTTTATTGTGCTTCTTGCAGTTTGCCAGGACATGCTCGCTCCACCAACCGCAACTGCCCCAACAACCCTCAACGTGCCCAACAAAGTAGAATTACTACAACCCGAGGACCAAGCGAAGTCCGTTGCAGAGCTTGCCAACAACTGGGTCACCAGCGTTCCAACCATTTCGCTTGCCCGTTGAATCCAGCAAGATTGGCTATGAGGGTGGCTGGAGAAAGTGACACTACGGAACGTATTCGTACTTTACCTGCGCCCGTTGTCCAAGCAGATTTCGACCATCATGCTAATACGCTGTCAAGTGAACAATCAGGAACGCTCAACAGTGGCCGAAATAACGAGTGGGAACTTCCAGAGAGACGAACAATCAGGAACACTCAACAGTGGCCGAAATAACGAGTGGGAACTTCCAGAGAGACATACCTTGGGACGCATGAATGTTGTCTGCAATTTCTGTCAGGCACACATGTGGGCCAAAGAAAGCTCATCTGAATCGAACTCCAATCCGCAGTTCCAACTCTGCTGTGGCCAAGGTTCCGCTGTGCTTCCACCTTTGGAGCCTACACCTCCAACCATCGCCCGTCTCCTTCGTAGCGACAATGAAGAAGGGCGAGATTTCCGTGAGCAGATCCGCGCCTATAATATGAATTTGAGTTTTACTTCGGTAGGCGCCCAAATCGATGAATCCGTGGCCAACAATCCCAACGGAGCCTACTGCTACCGTATCCAAGGTGGCATTTACCACCAGATCGGTGGTCTACTACCACCAACCGAGAGTCATACCCCTGCGTTTGCCCAAATGTACATTTATGATTCCAACACACAACTTAGACACCGGCATGTTGTGGCACCCTATCTGCAGAATGCCACCCTTCTCATTCTACAAGATCTGCTTACCGAAGTCAACCCGTTCGTGCCGTTGCTGCAGTCGATGGCCCAGGTCTTGCGTGAATCTGAGGAAGCCGTAGATGTGAGGCTACTCATAAGTGCGGAAAACACGCCTGATGTTCGTCGTTACAATGCACCCACAGCTAGCGAAGTTGGAGTGATCCTGGTAGACAGTACGATCATACCAAACAGTAGCCGCGATATTGTGCTCCGATCGAGAAGCTATGGGCTTCAACGCATCAGTGAAATGCACCAGTACTACGACGCGCTCCACTATGTCCTCATGTTCCCGCATGGTGATCTCGGGTGGAACATCCACTCACGCTCGCCAAGCGGTCGAAGCATTACCGTCATGCAATGGTATAGCTACCGTCTGATGATGCGCGATAACAGCCACGATTTGCACCTGTACGGCCGATTGTTCGAGCAATATATAGTGGATATGTATGCAAAAATGGAACAGAACCGACTCACGTATTTGCGGCTAAACCAGGCAAACCTGCGCACGGAACTGTACCGAGGTATCGTAGATGCGGTAGAACTCGGCGACAATGACCTCCAAAACGTCGGGCAAAAGGTCATTCTCCCATCCACCTTTATTGGCAGCCCGAGACACATGCGCCAACTTTACCATGATGCGATGAATATCGTACGTCGATGCGGGCAGCCGGATCTCTTTATTACTTTCACTTGCAATCCTCAGTGGGTGGAAATTCAGGACGAGTTGGCTCCACTCCAGACAGCTGTTGATCGGCCCGACCTTTGCGCTCGAGTTTTTAACATGAAGCGTAAAGCTCTCATGGAAGATTTGACCAAGAAGCATGTTTTGGGTAGGGTAGTTGCCCATGTCCATACTGTGGAATTTCAAAAACGAGGATTACCGCACCTCCATCTGCTTTTGGTGTTACATCTGGACGACAAGCTGAGAACACTGGACGATTATGATCGCATTGTGTCAGCTGAACTTCCGGACAGACAGAGATTTCCTGATCTCTACGACACCGTCAGCAGATGTATGATGCACGGTCCGTGTGGAACCATGCATCCGAGGTCTCCGTGCATGGAAAACGGCTCCTGTAAGAAGCGTTACCCGCGCTCCTTCAACGAAGCTACCGTCGAAGATCACAGGGGTTACCCTTTGTACCGTCGTCGCAACCAAGGTTCATCTTTCAACCATGCCTCGGTCCCCATCTTGCAACGACAACGATTATCAGCGCTCTACAAGTCATGGTTGCCCAAATTTCTCTCCACGAAACACTTTCACGATAATAGGCGAAACAATCAGCAGCAAATGCCGTTTGCGCCAGTTGTGGTTAAACAGAGCATCGTCGCCGTTCACATAAAATGTGAGTGGAGCTCTTTTTTGAAGAAAGGTGATTGACGATACGACGATCTGGTGTTTTGTAGCATCATTTAATTTGGGTTATCTGTCAGTTATACTGTATATGCCCTTTCATTCTCTTCAGTAATCGAATGATACATGGAGCAGATATGCTTCGATCTGTGTAGCTCATCATTCATGCATCAGTGAGGTGACTATTGTTTCATCCATGGAAAATCACATATTTTTGTCCGAATTTTTTCTTCTTCTTTAGTTTTGCATCTCTTCTGTTTGCCTGGAAATCCCTCACTATCATTGCATCCATCATCCATCACCAGACTATGGCGTGTATCTGATCCGGTCGATTCGATTATTATGAAAAAAGGTACCTTTTGTGTGATACGACTATCCGTTTTTCGACAAGAAAAAATTTACCTGTCCTTTTTCTCTATTCTGTCTTTAGCTTTTGGTTTTCTCTCCGGTTTTCTTTTGCCTGGCAAGCCATTCAAGCCATCCATCCCTCCAAAACCTTTCTACTTTGTTCGGGCACCAGATTGTGGCCAATCCGGTTTTTGTCGTCAAAGGACATCTTCGGTCGTGTGGCTCTCTTTCTCATCGGGAAACGCTGACGCGTCCTCCCCAGGTTCCTCTCATATGGATTGCTGCCCGTGGTATCGCCTTCGATATTTCTTCCCGACCATTTTATTTTGTAGTTGTAGTATGTATTTTGTATTTTAGTGAATAGTCTTCTTGCAGTCTTTTCCTCCTTTTTTTTCCCACAGGGTTTTTAGGGGGTTTTTACAGACGCACCTATTGTATTTACTTTTTTTTTTATATTTGTATCCTTTCTTTATTTCGGTCGGGAAGCCCTCGGTATCTGCTGCATCAAACATCAAAGGTAAAATATCTCAACGAAATTTGAATCAACCAAAGAGCTTACTAACTCATTTTTTTTAAATACCCAACATTCCCACACATCTTTGTAGATCTATCATAACCTTGGGCGGGACAGAACGGAGGGGGTCAATAAGTGCTGCTTTGTTCATTAAAAGTGTTTCATGGTATGCCAGAGTATTGACATTAATATACCAAAGTTCCATCAAGAGTCTCGCCCAGGTTATGCCGTATTGCGTTAGGCTTTTTGTCTGACGAATGTCGCTCAATGTAAGAGTGCGGCATCCAGTAGCAGGTGGCATCCATTGCACAGCGGGTTGTACGGCTTGTTATTCAAAAACGTATCCATACGAATAGTGGAAACATTTATAGTTGCTATCATTTAATCAAAAGAAATGAACAGAAGAAGAAAAGGAAAAATAAACATAAGAAGGAATATCAAGCATAAGGGTATTATGAAAACTTTTAACAGCATCCGCCCTGCTTTTGCTCTTCAGGTGATTGAGACACCAAGATTGTTTGACCACCTGTAGGCTTAATAGGGTTGTTGGAGGATTCGAGCGCTTTGTTGGATGCGATGCGGTAGATTTCTATTCCACAAAATCTCCATCAGTCGCCTTCCTTTTTCTTCTCCTTTTTACCGCTCATTCTACCGTTTTACCCAGTTCACTTACCAGTCAAGATACGTTGGAACGAAAGTTCAACATTGGTAGCATCCAAAGCGGATGTCTCAATAAATGAAAGACCATTTTCGGCTGTACACAAATATGTTAAGCTAAGCCTTTGCATCAGATCTCGTTTTTTTGCTACTTCATACCAGCAAATTGCTTCGCATCGTCAGTTGGAACCGCTCTCAAATGGCGCAAATCACTCTTGTTTCCGACCAACATGATGACAATGTTGGAATCTGCATGATCACGAAGTTCCTTCAACCAGCGCCCAACACTTTCATAGGTCGAATGCTTCGAGATGTCATACACCAATAATGCGCCTACAGCTCCGCGATAGTATCTGCAATCCAGATCAGCTGATTTGCCTACATTGATCTTTTTGAATATTAGCTACTTACGCACTCGTAATAGCACGGTATCTTTCCTGACCAGCTAGGGATACACATCCATCAGTGGGAGTAGGATACAAAAGCGCGGATATGAGAATAAGTGAGTCAGATAATTTCTGTAGCTTAGACATAAAAAAATCCCTTCATAATAAATCGTACCTGTATCCCAAATCTGTGCCTTGATCACCTTATTGTCCACTTGAATACTTCGGGTAGCAAATTCAACGCCAATGGTACTTTTGCTTTCAAGATTGAACTCATTACGCGTAAAGCGACCCAACAGGTTCGTCTTGCCGACGCCGGAATCACCGATCAGTACCACTAACCATAATTACACCTTGAGTACATGCTCATCACTACTAAATCACGGTATAGTAATAAAAACCTTTGAACAAATAATCATATTCTTCGTCACGACTCATATTTAATAGTGAGGTTAAAGTTCTGAAAATAAAGTAAAAGCGAGAAAAAAAAAAGAATACAGAAACTATGGATTGTCTTATTCGAGCGGAGTACAACTTTACAGTGTTGCACCAGCCTATCCGTGCCACCATCCACTAGAACTTTTTTCGTGTCACCCGGCAAAAACAAGTGTGCTTGGATCATACAGCCAAATACACCTTTAGCGTCATTATTTGAAACGCTTTAAAGGTGAGCTGATAGCCGTCCGGTTGAGCTACAAGAACGTTCTCAGTATCATCTTCCAAGACGTTGGAAACCAACATCCGGCTGACGTTCAAAGAACTGTAACCAACAAAGCTTATTCAGATTTCATGCTCAGACAGTTGTTGGGAACGTTTTTTCCCTACCATTGCAGTTTTGCTGAGGCTTGCCCACCATAGCCCTCGTACAGACGCAAGATAATGATATTACCGCGATCATTATCATCTTCCGCCAGTTTAACTGTATCGATGATGATACGATTGGAAGGAGTGACCACGAACATGGAGCCTAGTGTGAAATTGATTTCGGATTCGCTTCCTTGGGCATAACTGGAGTTATTCTTGGTTAGACACATCATGCAATAACAAGTAATGTGATCCTTTGTTTACCGAAGTGACAACGGCACGTTAAAGTCTAGAGCTTCATGCATCACGTCCGAGGCAGCAAAATACTGCGAATGTGGGTAGATTGCATATCGGAACTTGTGTTGCCCTGAGAAAAACACACACAAAAGTCAAAAGCTGTGTATATCAAAAAGCAAAAATGTTAGCTGTCACTGAATTATCATTACCCATATCGGCTTGGTCGTCAGGTCCTTTAGGTGAGCGCAGCAGGGATAGGCGCTGCACATTGCCGTGCGTTGCATAACCGTACTTGCAATCGTTCAATAAGGCAACACCATAGCTTGCCTCTGATAGATCTGCGAATTTGTGACCGCATACCTGCAGCGAATTTCTATGCATTAGCTCGCTTTTATGCTTCACATGAAGCGTCTGTCCATACTTCAAATCGGGCTGAATCGTGAGTGGTATTGTAGATATTCGGACGACGAAGTACACCATATTGAATATCGTACGTAGCCTAAGGGTTTTTAAAGTTAAAGAGCATTCTTGTCAGCATCTTTATACTACGTACATGATCTGAATTGATATCCCAAGTGAATTCAACTTTCTAGATATTGCATTCCGTGAGTATAGAGTTTCTTTTTAGAATTATACAGAGTGAATTTTTTCTAGTTACCAGGAACTGACGATCTTCATGCCATTCGACAAAGTTATCAAATTCAATCCGTTTGCCGATGCAGGTCAAACTGATGCGTTGCTGGATGTAACTCGCATTGGAAATCGGTTGCCGGAATTCAAGTTCGGCTTTCAACGGTCCGCTCGAAACAATCTAAGGCAGGTGATTGTTAGTTTATCTGTCGTCTCCTTGTCAACAGTTACGCCGATTTTACCTTTAGAGTTCCGTTGCCTTCCAAGCTGCGGTACTTTTGCAAATGATAAATTTCGACTATTTTGAATTAGTATCGTGTCAATGCCAATCTACGATGAAAAACGTACCATCCCACGCATCCCAATTTGTAGGCTGTACTAAATTAGAAACTGAATCGTATTCCAAATCAAAGTTCAGCTTTTTGCACTTACCACATCCTCATAAAGCTGCAACATGTTGCCTTTGCTATTCTGGGGAATTAAAGGTAACCTTGATTTACAAGGCATAAGTTACATGCTCGATAGTGGTCTCACCGGATAAATGTACCTGTCTGACGTTTTGTCAATCAGTTGCACCAATTGACCATCCTTGTTAAATGTGGCTTGCAAAAGAGGATTTTCAAGCACAAATAGGCCAGATTCCAGTCGATACGCTAATTTTTCAATGAACAGATCAGAAAAAAGTATATATCATGTCGTGCTTTATAAACGTGTACCTTTAGCAGCTTTTTCTGCTCCTATTTCGGGGAAGTAAGTGGCCGTGCCCATGAAACCCGTCGCACCAAATCCTGGTACTTGTTGTACTGAAATATGTTTGTCAGTACGTGGCTCTAGAATGGTTCTATTGCTTTCAACTTACCGACAACCAGCTCATGACCGTCTTCCCATTGTTGATTTGACCAAGATGTTTGAGCTTCGGGAACCGTAACAACAGCCGTTCTTGCCCAAGGCAATGTATTAAAAACAAGGATTCCTGATAGAGGATTTGAATTCTGTTGTCCATAACATAGTATTGAAAAAGAAGCTCACCTTCATTCTCAGCAGTTGCTTTCGGTGCTGCCGTAGCATGATAAGCCATAATCGCAGATTGCGCATTATGGCGCAGCAATAAAGATTGAGAAATAACTTCTCGATGAAACTATCATAAAATGAGTACCACTGAATGGTTCATACCTCATATCATGAAATACCTTGTGAACGTCTTTATAGGCCAAACCGATAGCCGATCCAGGTAAGCAGTCATGGAATTGGTTGAGGCAAATATACTTCCAGAACTTGTCAACTTCATCTCGGGGATATCTTTTTAAAAGCGCAGTGAGTTTCAACCGTCGGTGACAAATGTAGGTTTCTTGTTCCGGCCATTCACTTACCGGTATTTGTCTCTACCAATGATCTTGGCCATCGTCGCAAGGAATTCCACGTCACGGATCAAAACTTCGCCCTTTCGGTTACCGTACTTCACAAGAGCTTGGGTGGTATAGGTTCCACGATGGAATTCCAAATACTAAACAAAATGGGTGAGTATATTGCCACACATCTCCAAGCATTATGTTATACCAGTTCTCCTTTGTAAGATTGCAACCTGTCTGATTTTGCTACAAGTTCTTCAAAAAATCCATGTACAGTCCCAGGGACGCAAGTGGGAATACCGTCCTAGTATCACATGAAAAACAACAGCACTAAAATTTGATGTTTATCCCACTTACCACATCTCTGACACGGCTGAGGCGTTCAAGCATTTCTGGAGCGGGTCCACCTCCGCCATCACCGTTACTATGGTACCTCATGTCAAAATCCCAACTCATTGACAATGTAACATTTTGAGCTTACCCAAAGACAAGCAAGCTTTGATTGGAATACTCAATGTCATGATGGTTAACGACGCTACAAGATAGTTATTGATAATTAAGACTGGTAATAAGGTTCACCGCCTAAATAATGTTACCATTTGTGCAGTTCCGCTGGAGTGACGGCCGCATTGTAGCTAAGAAAAAATTTCAGTCGCCTGATCTCCAAGAAAAAGGGCACACAGTCCACACACTTACGTTTCCGCTGGAGTAAGATGAGCAAGGATACTGGTGTTATCAATCCCAGTCCACCAAAAGGTTGTCAAAGGAAACTTGTTAATGTTATTCCAGGAAAGCTTTTGTGTGAAAAAGTAATCACATCCCGATTGCTTGAGGATTTGGGGTAACTGTCAAGCGATGCTTGTTAGATAGCATGGTTCAAGCCGTTTTTCATTGTGCCATGCTCTTACCTGTCCAGAATAGCCTGATACATTTGTTGTTGTGATGAACAAAGATTAATATGTATATATAGAGATGAGCATAATCCATGCGAACATACCAAAGGAGTCAGGCAACCAAAACACCTTTGCCCGCTTGCCAAAGTATTTTTCAAAAAACCGTTGACTGTGAAGGAAATAATGTTAAATACTTGTCTTTATTCCTGTTACCTTGGAGAGCAACCTACCCTAACAGCATTTGGCGACACAGAGATTCACCGCTAGGCATATTGGTATCTACGAAGCACAAGTTATTATGCAGCTTACAAAAACGATAGGGCATCTGTTCGTACCATGTTCAACCCAGCTCTAAAGCGCCAAAAATATGATGGTAAGTAAAATTTTCCTATCATCCTTGATATCCCTCTAATGTATCTTACACCGCCGATAATTTCCCATTGGCCGGCTTTCTCCTTCTCAATGATTTTTTCAAAGACTATCGGATAGAGTTCGCGAAGCCATTCGTATTGTTGGGTCTAATTTTTTGTCAGCGTATGGAACGGTATCATCCACTCCGTGACATCCCGAACCTGAGAAGCGGTAAAGATAAAATTTGGATAACGGTCCATTAATTCGATCTGACTGGACCATGAACGTGCTATTTTACGCTTGGTTTCGTCATATGGCCATAGCCACGCGGTATCTGTTGACGAGCCGCGGTCATTAGTTCAGAAAATCCATCATAAGTAATCTTTTGCGCCTTACCGATATGGCAATGACCGATTGCCGTCACTTTGTGCTGACTGCCACCATTATGCATGGACAAGAATTCTCGCGTCAAAGCTAAGCATTGCTTAATAGATTCATCACTGCGTGCATGGAAGCGATCAATCACTTCATTGACGAGCCACAAAGCTCGCCGAGCTCGCTGCGAATCGTCATCCGTATCATAGGCAATTCCTTGGATAATGCTATACTCACCATGAATATGCAGATTATATTTGGTGGACACACACTTGCAAGACATACCTCAAGTCATGGTAAAGCGCTTGGATGTCTTCATTAGGTACCACCAAATCCGCGGTCTTGATCTTGTAGGTGCGAGTAGGGTCAGGGACCATCGAATCACCATAGCTCAAGCCAAACATGGCATTACAGGCAGCCTCTATAAAAAAGCTATATCTTTCGCCGGCCTTGGCATTCATCGATAGGATATATTCATGGCGCGCCTGGTCAGCTGCATAAACAAAATGAATTAAACTGTGGAACATTTTTCACGTATCGGAATTTCAATTACTTCCTCCTGTAAGACCTTGCAGCGGCACGCCGTCGGTGCTCCAGACCATGCCTTCACAATCCATATCCCACTGAAAGACAACTTTACGGTTATTCATAACGTCGGGAATAAGGACATCAACATGGAACCAGTGGGTGGACCAGATCGGTGCAAATTCGGTCTCCTGCACATTGAATTTTTCAAATTTTCGTGAAACAGCGTCCTGGTTGCGGTTTTTTTTTTTTTTTTTTTTTTTGGTCATTGTCATGCAAAAAATTAGTGCTGCTTTACGGTTCCGAAAGAATAGCATATCGTTTTTTTCATATTTTTATAACTACCTGGAACGATATACGCTGAAAATATACATGTTAGAAAACTTTCAGCTGACGATGTAATTCAATACTTCTTCTCTTTACCTCAGTATCAGGAACATTGTACACGAATAAAGTTACGTGCGGTTCACCAGATAATCGGAGTTCCCAGAAGGCTGTCTGGATGCCCATATCAAAGAATTGACTTTCGCTAGCCATGAAGTTATTGATGCGGGACTTTGTAATACTTTTGGGAACGCGTGGCGTCTTGTCCAGCGGAGGTTTGTAATTGTCATTCGTAATGGAGCCCATGTTGAAGAAAACGGTGAAAAACCAGCAATAGGAAACGGAAAGCTCTTGGTCCGTGTTTTATTTTTTTTTCTCACAGATTGCGCGTGACATAATATGCGCGCTAGTCAATTTTTGCCAAACTTGTCAACACCCTAAGCTGCACGCATTCATTCGTCATTCTTGTCTTGATCATGGTGGCACTTCCTTCTGAATGGCAAATTCTTGGACCATTTCCTATTGGCACGCGCGAGCAAGAGTTCGGTGCCGATCCTCTCGAAGCCTACGGTATATATTGGTCTGCCGTTCTTCTGGTCCTGCTGGCTAATAGTCTGTAAACTATTTTTAGGGGGATTTGCGTCTCTGGAATACTCCACGTCAAATAAGTATCCTTCAGAGCTGGCTACGGATGGCTATGTAGGATGGATGACAGTTCGCGCGGAGGATGGAAAGATAGGACCGCTTGAATTCCCGAATATTCGGTAGGGCTTTATTCGTCCCATCATCCTCTGTTATTTGTATGCTCAACCAAAGATGGAATAGGTGCGAAATGAATGGTGTTGAAATGAATGGTGTTCCATTTGGTTGGTCTATCGAGCAGTATCAATGCTGGATTCGAGGCTACGTTGATGTAGCTGAGCGGGCGAAATTTGAAATTCAAGTACAAGGTAGCTCGGAATTCTACATTGACCGTGCCAGATATCACGGAGATGCGTATTCGATTGGTACCACGCAGCATATCGCTACATTGGATAAAGGCCGCCATACCATTGAAATTCGTTTGGTCCACGATGTTCGCATATATGGAGGAGGAGTTGCTCCTCCGCAGTGTCAATGCACTGTCCATTTACAGCAACTGAACGAGACGAATCCCGTGCGGATCCCGCAAGATGTACTTTTACCATCGTTATTATCTGGCAAAGGATTTGCAGGCAGCTTTGGAAGGGTGTCCGTTCAAAATTTGTCGGATACTCTCGTGCGAGTGACATCCATTCAGATAAAAATATTTTCGAACGATTCAAAAGAGCTCAAGGTAAGTGTCTTCAGACGGAACTTGACCTTTTCTTCTCTCTAATGATTGATCATTTTAACGTTAGTCTTCCTCTCACATGCTGTCAAGCGACCCAATTCCCATTTATTCTGGACAAACTCGTCCCGTGGGAATCGAATTTTCGGTGGATTCTAGCATTGCAAAGCTAGATTCTGTGCGCGTGCAAGTACATTGTATGATCGAAGGTAATCAAACAGAGGAGATCCAGAAAGACTTGACGGTCTTGGGCATCGACTGGAATGAAGAGGCATTTGCATATACGTTCATCGACTACGATGGGACCGTTCACTATGGTAAGCGCTTGCAACTCAAGATGTCGGCCGTTTCGATGCAAGGAGTTTAACTAGGGTTCCTGTGTAGCCATGGCGAAGAAACCTCAAGTTTTAGACGCAAATCCGGATAAGCCGGTGATACTTGCATTGCATGGTTCAGGGTTGGAAGCCAGCACCCGCTTCTGGACTGATTCTTTGCCTGTGCAGAAATCGTCATGGGTATATGTCTTTATCCGAAGGCTTTTTTGGGACCCTACTCACAAGCCGAATTGGCTTTTTATCTCTGCAGATCATCTTCCCAACAGGACGAACATCATGGTAAAGTCACGCTAAGGATATAGCGAATTCATCGCCAACACTGTTCTGACATTATATTAATCTTTTAGGGGATTTGATTGGCACGGTCCTAGCACCAAGAACGCTTTCGCGGCGTTACAGTCGATTGCCGGACAAAATGAGCATCGGTAGGCAAGATTAAAAATTTTTGTTGCTATCCCCAGTAGCGATATAACTAAACAAAGAAAAGCTGGCGTCAGATTACCACTGGCTGGGATATGGCAGCAGCCTTGAAGACAGCAGAAGAGTCAAGCTGGACTATAGGAAACGTGAAACAGGTTCTATATATAGGTAATGATAATCAAAAATAGAGAATATTGGCAGCAGCTTATTAGTGCTCGGTAACAGGTCACAGCAACGGCGGCCAAGGAGCCTGGTATATTGCAACGCATTTTCCCGATACAGCTATTGCAGGTATGGTCAACAAATCTGGACTTTGGATACATCCGAACCACTCACTCCCGTATGGTTAGTGGTCGCTGCTTCAGGTTACATTAAAATCCAGGACTATGTGTCCTATGCCAATTGGGTGAGCAATGCCCATGTAGATCCTTACACGAAAGGCGTATGTAAACAAGACGTCGATAAGCATTGGTCTGGAGTATAACGGTGTCAATTTATAGATTATGGAAATGTCCATTGCCGAATACAATAACGATCTTCACATCCCCAACATGGTAGGTTATAGTAAATCTGCATCATCAGTAGTGAAACCTAATATTGCAATAGAAAGGGATTCCCATCTTACCGCATACCGGTGCCGACGATGACAACGTGCCGCCCCTCCACAGCCGAAAACTGATGCGATTGCTCAACGAAAATACTCACGATCCAGATTTAGTGTAAATAATTCTCGCTGCTTGTTTCAACATGTAACTTATTGCATTCCTTTAGCAAAACGTCTATTGTTCCTGGTGAGAAGCATTGGTGGGATGGTGTGCTAAGAAATGATACCGTCCAGGAATTTATTCATCGACAACTGGAGTCGTCGAAAGCACCGGTATCGGGACGTTACTTCTCAGTCGTGACAACGAATCCTGCAGGAATTGGTTCAGTCAAGGGCATACAGATTGAGCAATTGGTGATACCGTATCGGTAAGTTTCCTAAATTTGCATAATAGTTTGGTTTTATAAGTTGACCCGAACCAACATGATCCATAGATTGAGCAAAATTCACGTCTTTCAGCATACATCCGAAGGCAACCTCTGCCAATTTCAAACATTGAATGTTTCTGCTTTCACACTCACAGAGTATTGTACTCTTGACCTACGTAATGGATTTATGATTGATGGAACGTCCTTTACGGGCATAGAAAAACCGAGAGGTTTATTCGTAAGGAACAAGATAACCGGCGAATGGAGAAATGTAAGCTTAGAAATGTAAGCTACACGGCTGGGGAATCCTAATGCTTTTGCGAGATAGATTCCAGATCGTGAAACTTGGCCAGTTCCAAATGAAAGAAGCAGATGGCTGTATGGATCGTTGCATCGCATGTATGATGGTACACATCCACTGAGGGTTGTGTTACCTACGATGCTTGACTCGACGGATGAGAAGGCACAATTTCAACACGCGGCTTTGCAAATAGCCCATGACTGGTTCCTCTACGGCGTTGGTGATTCAGAAATTGTGGAAGATCACGCAGTGCTCGAGCGAACAGAACTATCGCGAAACGACTTTGTCGTCACTGTCTATCTCGGTCGACCGAAGCAAAACCAGGCATTGACTCGCTTAACATCTAAGCGAACCAATGAAATTGGTTTTGGAGAAGATCCACCAAGTATCCAGATCGATGATCAACGTTACTCTGCAAAAGGGACTGGTATGAAGGGCACACAGCCAACCTAAAATGCCACATATTGATCAATTCCTATCATTCTACAGGCGTACTGTTCTTGCGACCCGGGTTCCATTCACAGGAACTAGCCATCGTCGTCGCTGGTGTTGATGCCGACGGTTTCAATGCTGCTTTACGCTTGTTGCCTAAACAGGCCGGTATGATGGTTCCCGAATGGGGTAAGTCATCAAATCATCAGTAATCTATTATCATCCAGCCAACAATCAATTCTTTATTTTACGACAGCTGTCATTGGACCTGAAGCCAAGTTTAAGGGATTAGGCGGGTTCCTTGAAGCTGGCTATTTCGACAATAATTGGCGTATCCTTCGGCATTAGTCCTCTTCCGTGCGTCACCTACAAAACTATTAGGGAAAAGTTTAATAGCAAATAAATTGCTTACGAATGAAATAAAAAACCAGACATTGCATTCTGGTACCATAGCCCAACAGCGAACGTAATCGAATGAAAACAAAAAAGATTCCTTTGTGCCAGATTAAGCTTTGGGGTTATTGCCAACCAAGCTGCAGTTAGACAATGGCTGAATGATACAATACAGCATTCCAAAACCCACAGAGCGCAGTTTGATTGTGATAGTCCCATTGGTCAATGGGGTCAATCCATTGTCAGTGTAATGCCTGAATCCACTTCAAGATATAATTTAAAGGAAACTCTTTTAAACATGTGTTGTGCTATAGCTCGTATAACACGGCATTAAGAAGTATACCATAGCGACGCTATCGCAAAAAAGCCAAAGGAGGTAGGTCTCGCTTGGATAGCTGCATATAAGAGCGACCGGATATAAGAATATCCCGTGTTTTATCAGAGTGGAAAAAGAAGGGCTAATATGATTACTACAGCTGACAATGGGTTGGGTGATGCGCAGGCTGTGAACGTCACGCATTCCATCAAAAGACTTTTTCGTATAAAAGTGCCTTTTCCTACATCCAAAATACATAAATCCACAAGCAGGAAATCAATCCATGGGATAGCAATAAAAAAAAAACCAAGCGAAATGGCGGTGTGACGGAACTGGATCATGCAGAGCTCATTCCTGGGTTGGCGGGCTGTGTGTTAGTGTGAAAAAAAAAGAAAAAAAAAGGATATCCCAATTTAAAGAAAATGGGAGCGATCCCAGCCAAAGATTTAATTGGCCAATTTTGGGTCATAAATCTTGTTGAGTCGCACATTGGGAACCAAACCCCCATATCAGTTATCTTTGTGGCTTCTTTTTATCTTTTCCTTGCCTTGGCACTTTCTCCTGTCTTTAACGCATTACACTTTTATTTCTTTTCTTCTATCTATTCTCTTACTTGTATACTTTTATTACCTAATTCTCTTTTGTCGTTACTTGTCTCCATGGCGTCGCCGCAAAAGACAGAGCCTATTTCCATCCTGAAATCAGCTGTATGTGAATCCGCGGGTTATTTCTTTTTCATTTGTCTAATGACAAGTTTTGCATATTGTAGTCTAATATCCGTTCCGGACTGTCTGACACTAATATAACTGCCAACCGGACAACTCGTATTGTTCTCAGCGAAGATGAAGACGATGACTATGTTCAGGAGACAGGTCACTTTTCCGATGGAGAAGACGACGATCCTTGTGCCATGCCTGTCTCTGGTGAAGCCCTTGAATTATTAAAAAACGAAAAAGTAGTAAAAGCAGGCTATTTAATGAAAAAAGGCGAAAAACGAAGACGAGTGAGTGACCATTTTCCTTTACATTATCCATGAAATTCCTGTTTCTGGCTCGCGTGAATTCAGTATCTTATATATTACCGGTTTTATTTTTGTAGACATGGAAAAAACGATGGTTTGTACTGCGAACCACCAAAATGGCCTTGTACAAAGACAGCAAGGTAAGATTAGAATAGCATCAAGATTTTTGTGACTTATCTAATTCGCCATGTCCATTAAAACCATGTCATAGGAATATAAACTTTTGCGCATCATTGATTTGCACGAGATCCACAGTGTCGTACAAGTGACTTCGAAGAACAAGTATAAATTTGTATTTGCAATTATTACCCCCAAACGAATGTATTACGTGCAAGCCAAGGATCAAGCGGATATGGATGGTTGGTTTGATGCCATCGAACGAACGAAAGCCGAACTGAAATCGCACGATGAAGACGATTCCAGCTCTGTCGATCGCGATCAAGAGTTCGCAAAGGATGTAATTACTTCTTATAAATCGAATCATACCGCCAACATGATGCAGCAGCGGCGTCGATCATCGGGTGCGACCTGTGACACACCTACACGTAGACCGTCCGGTGGCGGAGTACTACCAGGGTCATCGGCGAGCGATAAACCTACATCACATGTCCATGTACCACCGGTCGATATCCCCAAGCCTCAGCGCACTCATCCTCAATCTTCTCCCGCTCACGTCAGTTATACCCCACAGACACCACTGAGTGAATTCGCCACTGGTCATATTTATCCATTGTCACCCAACTCGGAACATCAAGCCCATGTTCATATGGCTGAAGGGTTAGCCAGCTCGGAAGATGATGAGGAATACAGCTGGCATTCGGACATGGCCAACGTCTGTGAGGAAGAAAGTCGCAACCGTGTGTTGATCGAAGGCTATCTTCTAAAACTTGGACGCAACAAGGTAAATCCAATTCTTGTCACCCTTTTTTTTTGGCCATGATGTGGGCGATGAACTAATGTGCCTATGTAGGGCTGGAGAAAGCGTTGGTTCGTCTTGCGACCTGAAACATTGGCTTACTATGAAGATGATAAGGTAAAAATGACATGTTGGAATGGGTTACTATGGCGTGATGACTGCCGGATTGAGACTGACTTTGTTGGTTTAGGAATATGCACCTCATCGTATTATTCCCCTTACGCACATCATTGATTCATTAGAAATCGAGCCTATCAGCAAGCACAAACGTTACTGCTTCAAAATCATTATTCCTAAACGCAACTATGTCCTGTGCGCAAACACCGAAGTGGATTTGGAATCATGGCTGAACGCCTTGAGCGTGGCAGTCCGACGAGCAAAGAAGGAATCGGGCGAAGTCAAGCCAAGCTCGCTTCCCAAAGACCCTCAACCACCGTGCCCTTTACCAGCATCCTCCCGCCCATTGTCACAAATACCCGAAAATGGAGATACGTACTCTCCTTTGCAGAGATTGGCCTCGGGATCGTCCGTAGAATCCTTTGAGAATACCAGTCATATATCAGGTGTAAGCGGTGCAGGAGGCGTCGGTGGTGCGGGAGGCGCTCTCGGAGGTGCACCGACCTCGAGTGGTATAGCACGACTCCATTCCAGGGCTTCCGAACGTCTCGGCCGAGCCAAATAGTGAATGCTTTTCAGCTCATCATGCATCAAGCCGTACCTTTCGCTCCTTTTCCATTATCCATCTTAAAAAAAGTTTCTCAAGTCTGCATGCATACTCACTTGTTTTATTGTTACAACATCCATTTATTTAGTCTTTTATGCAAATTCCCAATCTTTTTTCGTTTCTTGTGTCTTTTTTTTTATACATGCAATGCAACACAGATTGGTAATATCACGCGACCCTAATGTAAACCTTCTTTTTTTTTTTTCCATCGGTGCATCTTATTTGCGTGACAAAATAAAACAACATATTCAAAGCACGGACGCCGGTTTTGAATTCGCACCGTGCTTTTTCCTCCCCAGCTATTCTGGTTGACGCTGTGCCATGGCGACAAAACTGTTTGAAATTCAGCGTACGGGGACCTTTGCTTGGAGCCCATCTCCGACCATTCCAGCCATGGCCGTGGCATCTCCTTCTCATCGTCAATCCGATGCAGCAGTTCAGTCAGCCGTTATTGAGCTATTTTACCTACCGCCTTTTCCTTCAAAAAGTTACAGTCAAACATTATCCGCCCAGGGCACAGTAACCTGCTTGTCAAGGTAAGTCTTTTTATCAGTAAAATTGCCTTCGACGGGATTTGGGTAATTTAAAATTTTCAAGTTAGAATATCGACTGTTGAATGGGGTCATGTCACAGCAAGCAGACCGCATGGAATTCTGGCTTCGGGAACCATCTCTGGTGAATTATTGTTATGGGATGCTACGCTTATTTTAGAAGAACAAAGGTAAACACACGATCTCTCCTGTAAGCTGTAATACCTTTGTATATTTATCACATAGGCAACTGGCCAGGTCAAGCAGGGATGCCTTGATAATACGTACTCGGAAGCATGCAGGACATCTACGGAGCCTTTGTTTTAATAGACATCAGCCAAACTTGTTGGCTACTGCCGGAGAATATGGTGAGGTAAACATGGAATGTCACGTTGATCTACCCAGCTTCATTTTAATAATATTTTGTCATCCCGTCTCCCGAAAGATGTTCATCTGGGATCTAACCAATCCGAACAAGCCTTACACTCCGAATAACAGGATATCGAAACAAACCCATATTGTTCGTGCAGCGTGGAATAATCAAGTACAACACATTATTGCAACATCTTGCTCGCACGGAGACACCATGGTCTGGGATTTGAGAGCCAAAAAGGAAGTAATGGTTATCTCGAGTCCAATCAAAAATAATACAGTCAAAAGTGTCAATGCGCTGGCATGGCATCCTGATAAGGTGAGTGAGTGCATCATTCGCTCAGTTAATGTGCCCAGTCTACAGCAAGGAAAATATAGGCAGCCCAGCTCGCTACTACCTACGATGATGATCAATATCCAAGCATCTATCTGTGGGATTTAAGGCATGCGAATTCCTATATTATCGCGCTTTCCGGTCATCGAGAAAGCGTACTCGATCTCGCGTGGTGTGATCAAGACGCCAACTTACTGTTATCCGCTAGTAAAGATGGACGGATTGCTGCTTGGTCTACGGATGCCAGCGAATATCTCGGAGACCTCTCAAAATCAACGGAGCCCATATCACAGATTCATTTTCGTCCTTATGACCCACGTCTGCTCGCTTCTGCCGATCAAAGCGGAAAGGTAATCAGCAAGTATCGAGAGGCCACATCCACCCATGTACTGACAAATACTCTACAGATCGATATTTATTCTATGGGCAGTACTTATAAGCGTAGTACCATCTCATGTCATGCAAAGGACGAGCGACAGTATACCAATGACAACAAGCGTTCGCTGCTATTACGAGAACCACCGAAATGGCTTCGACGTCCTACAGGTGCTTCCTTTGGGTTCGGGGGGAAATTGGTGATTTTTAGAAACTCCAATCAAGCAAAGGAGAGCCGGCAAAGCCCTCGACAAGTCGTCATTCAAGCCGTCAGAAACAATTCTTTGCTGATGGCAGAGGCAGAAGCAGTAAATGCAGCGACGAAAAAAGATACTATTCAACTTATTATACAACAACGATACTCTACGTCAATAGACGAGAACGCAGTCATGAATGAGTGGGAACTATTCCGCATTCTCACAGCACAAGATTCGCGGACGCAACTGTTGAAATACTTGGACTATGATTCCTCGCAGGTGACATCGTCGATCGCTTCCCTATTTAAGGATCTTCCTTCAAAGGACAAGCAGGAAAATGAACCGGCTGCAGCTCTTGACCATACCTCACCCACAGCATTTAAATCAGTCATTCCTACATCGATCGGTTCCCTGTCTCAACTGTTTCCTCACTTACCCACGGAACCTCCATTTCCTACGGCAGCTTCATTGACCAAAGTGGAACCATTAACGACGCAGCAGCTGTCATTTTTTTCTACCCATACTTCCGCTACCGACCAGGTCATAACACGGGCACTTATCACTGGGGATTTCCTTTCAGCAGTTAATACATGTCTTGTAAATGATAATTTAGCGGATGCACTAGCCATTGCATATTACGGTGGCGAAGATTTATTTATTTCCACGTTACAGCAGCACTTCCAGCGTCGATCGACCAAGAAACCGTACTTGCAGCTACTACATAGCCTTGCAGACGATGATTTAGCGTTTATTGCCTATCATATCGCCATCGACGAATGGAAAGCGGCCATGGCTGTATTCTGTACCTTTGCAAAGCCTGAACACTTTGCATCTCTTTGCGACCTTCTCGGCAAACGCCTCGAACAAACAATGGTAGACAACTTGTCCAATCACGATCAACACTACGGTTATTATGCTCTCCTTTGCTATATTGTGGCGGGTTCTTTCGAAAATTGCGTTCGTTTATGGTTGTTGCTGCAGCAGCAAAATGGCTCCAAGGATGCGAGTGCTGAATTGCACAGATTGGTCCAAAAATGCATCATCTTTTCAAAGGTTTTGGATTACGAAGATCCAGCTTTCAATCGAGATAGCGACAGTGGGAGTGATCACTCCCTTGATGGGCTGTATGAGATTTATTCAGGGTATGCAAAATTCCTTGCCAGCGAAGGCCGACTGGACATTGCGTGGAGTTATCTGCAGCGTATACCTCCGACATGCTCAAGTGCCCTACATACCGACGTCCTCATGATGCAAGATCGTATTTATCGTGCCATGGCTGGAGTTAACAGAAATGACGACCAGCTGTTTCCGCTCACGCATGTGTCGCTCTCCACCGAGGTATTTACTTCTGCCAAATCCAACGATGCTACGTTGCAAATACATAAAACCGACAAGATAAAGGATAACAAGCAATATACAGCCGACTCGCTTACAATCACTTCATGGAAACCACTGCACAAGGCCGAGCCACTGTACGATCCATTGACCACTGCAGAGCATACGCCATCAGATGAACAGCAAGTGCTGGCGAAAGCATTCGATAACGGAGACGACGTCTTTGAAGGGTTCGTTTACAATACATCTCCGTCCAACGAGCTTGAAAGTAAGGTCGCGTCAAAGCTTGTTGTTTCAAGGCCCCACCAAAAATTGGAACGTGAACCGTCCTTGAGTAATATACCTTCAGCTGTTCCTTCTTCTTCTGATACCCCTTTGCCAACTCCTTGGGCAGTCTCCACTCAGCCATTGGACCAATATGACATGTATAATTCACCTTCACCCTCACCTTCACTTGCGATAACGGCTGTTCCCATATCCTCTCCGAGCCCACTCGATAACCTGTGGGCTGATGAAAACCACAGCCACGATTTCATCGAATTCCACGACGCGAGTCCACTCATTCACCAGGATGCAAAACTCCAGGGATTCACTCAACAACCAAACTACACTTTTATGTATGATCAGCAACAGCTAGAGACAGATTACATCAAGCAAGTGCCTCGTAAAAAGGAACAGGCTCAGCGGTTTGTCTATGAGCGAAATCACTTGTCCGCAACGCAACGACCCATTTACGACGTTTTATCTCACATCTTGCGACAAACCAGACAGCAGTTACCTGTAAGAGCAATAACATGAATTACGGATGATTAGATATTAACCAAGACATAGGCGAGTTACAAGAGAGAGCTGAACGATACGGAACGTCGACTGAATTTGTTATACAAGCAAATGCATCGCAATGACTTATCAGAGAATGTGGAGAAACTGATGGGCTCTCTTGTTCAAGGTATTTCGTTAGATTAAAGGCCTTTGAAGCGTATATCGTGACTGATATAACTTTTTTTTTTTGGGATTGTAAAGCCCTCCAGCAAGGCGATTATGAAGCAGCGCATAATCACCAAATAAATCTCGTAACAAGCAGTTACAGCGAATGCGGATCATGGCTGGTCGGAGTCAAGCGGATAATTATGTATGCGAAAGACAGCGCCAGCAAATAAAACGAACCCTACTTTTTTATCCTTTTGTTTCCTTTTTCCTTTTGTGAACACTGATTCATTTCATGGCCAACGGTGAGAAATCCAAAAGAGTGAAAGCAGAACTTTCCACCTTTATTTCAAGGTTAATTGAGGATGACGAAATTACGCACTTGATGTCGTCGCAATCGACGCCATCTTTACCTACTCTCGCTGCAACCGCTAGTACGGTGATGGAATCGTTTGAAATGCGGCGTGGATCAAGTCATCAATCAGTACCGAAAACGGAGGATCGCGGACGAAGAACGTGAGTGTACTTTTTTTTTTTTGCGCGTTGCTGATCTGACGCTTTTCGTCAGCATGCTAAAAATTGTCCATAGTGTAGCCAGCCGTCGCAACTCGTTCAGTAGCTTTCTAACGCGGAAATATGCGAAACGAACGGAACGTGAAGCACAACAAGTGCAAACCAAAGAAAAATTATGCTTTAAAAAAGGCCATCGACCGCGCTCATTTTCAGAGTACGTCTTTTATTCATTTATTCTCTAAACGAAATCTGCTAGTTCCACCCGTGACTCATGTTCATGCAGACTACCTGCTGTTCCTTCTTCGGTGGAACGGGCGCCCCCGGTAGCTGCCACCATCAAGACCCCCATCTATGAATACTACGGCTTTGTGATGTATCTCGCTTCTTTTGTCGTTTTGGGGATATATCTAATTTGGGCGTATGTATCGGACGATATATTGCATGGACTCGGCATCACTTACTATCCAAACCGGTACGTGTTTCTTAAATAATATTAAGCGAGAGGCCTTGAAATAACTTGAGAGATATAGATATTGGGCATTGGCGGTGCCCATTTGGTTGATGACGGTTGTATGGATGATTTTCTTTTCATTTATGGCGATCAATTTGATGAATACCGCCGCTTTTGATTCTTACGCCTGTATCACCGATGAACACGCGAACGTGATGCAGATGCAATGCCCTCACGCGGAACGACCGGAAGACTGGATGCCAGAACTACATGATATACCCATTAGTCTTGTCAGCGCATTATTATACGATGAAGCGGCGGAAAATCAAGTCCCTCAGGAACTCTCCACCTCCACAAGTGATGAAGCATCCGTTCCCGTGATACGTCGACGCAAACGATAAGAGTGTCCGACCTTGCATCACAGCGTTTCACCGCACCAGCGTCCATGGAATTTTGGTTCGCGTCATGGCCGACGGATGATGTTGCTGCGATCGTTCGTTTTGTGGATGAATAGGTCAGTTTGGATCATTCTCATGGAAGACGAAAGTCTGCTCTCATTCCAGGGGGCCAAGATCCACAAGGATTAACTATGATCGTTTGTATTCGTGTTGCGCCTTGTTACAGCTCATGACATTTTTTATCATCCTTTTATTCTCCGATCCCGCAAGCTATACCAATTGTAACCATCAAGGATACAACAAGTTGCAACGACCAAGAAAATAAATATCAAAGCCAGAATTTACCTGACAAAGCAATTAGGCAAGTTGTCCATCTGTGATCCGGTACATATTCAAACACATTCTTTCGTCGATTTCAACGATTCGAGCAAATTTTACTTGACGCTACGTTCCACAGAGCCGACTGTTATTCATTGTGCGGTTGCATCAGAGAGGCAAAGCGAAATTCGCCCAGCTGAAGAAAGTGGGAAAAGAAATTCCGGTAGTGGTTTGTTTGGTAAAAAGGGACCTTATCCGACTGACTGGACAGCGAGTTGCCCACCCACGATGGAGAATGAGGGTCAGGAAAACTAGGGGAAGAGAAAGGAAAGCAATGTTCGTATGAATGAAAGTGAGGAGCAACATCGAGATATGCAACGAACACCAAATGAAGTGTTGCTTGCAATATACATCACTGATGTTGTGATCATCGATTTAAAATGATAAAAATGGGATTTCAGGTTGTATATTCGCAGACCGTGAAGTGATTGCTTGAATGAAGAAATACTCATTGCTTAATGAAGAGTGGATGAGATAAACATTTATCGCAAAAGAAAAGATCTACATAAAAGAAAGGCTTTCTCTCACTGCATGCCCTCCTTATTTGACCCTTGAATTTTTTTTTTTTTTTGAGACTTAGCCAAAAAGAGAACAGCTTCTCCACCTTCACCATCGGGCGGCCCCCCTTTTTTTCTCGCTTTCTTTCTTTCTCTCTTTTTGACGGATGATCCGATTTCAGCGATTACTATTCTACCTACTGGTAGTGGTGTTATTCTTTTTGGCCTCTTTTTCTCTTATACCGCAGTTGCAACGGTCGTCACCTGCTCTCTCGGATACAAAGAGCGACCCGGTAGTCACACGACAGGAAGAAGGTTACCTGTCATGGTTTCCTCACGGGTATGACATTCCCGTAGTTTGGACAATTTACGTTCGTTAGTAACTCAAACTTGCGTTTTCCTGTTTTAGAGATTTTGCAGAGCAGCAAGAAGCTTTTCGAAATGCTTTGCGGTTAGCTGTCGAAACCAAGCGCACCATCATCGCTCCCATGTTACGTCTAGGCAACCCTTACGCCTGGCTCCCTTTCGAAGATTTAGCCAAACGATATGAAGCTCAAGACAAGACAGTGTTGAAACAACTTTGCAGCAGGAATCAAGATGATTGGCGGACCCAAATGGAAAGCTGCGAATCGTTGAATGACTGGACCGAAATTCCTTGGTCCTCCCTTTTCGACTTGAAGGTCTTTGAACGAGAATTCCAGATCAAGATCATCGAGCGCACATCGGGGCACGGATGGGGTGTTCGCGAATCAGTTTTAGGCGGCAATGTACCAATCAACGATGTGTTGGTGGTGGATCCTATGAGTTTTGACACCAATGGCACCGAATGGGAACATGTGGAACCTGCCATGGGTGGGTGGCAACAATGGTTCACTCAACGCAAGCCGAAAACCCCCGTCAAATTGACCGAACCGCTAAAGAAGGTCATATCGTCATCTCAGCTAGTGCATATGAATACTCGTCTGGTCCAGTTTGGGGCCTTGTCTTCGGCAGCGCGTTATCAAACAAGAAACACAAAGACCCAGGTTGCGCTTCATCGTGCCCTCACGAAACGATTGCTCATTGTACCGAATCAAATGACCGCACTAACGCTTCAAGCCAAACAGATCACTGATGCTTTGGGAGGTTCCTCTGGCTACAGCTCCTTGCACATCAACATGGCCAAACTGGTAGCTCTGGACAACCGAAGAAACAAAGACAAAACTGAAGATGACAATGTTCAGCAGCAGGAAGACGCAGCAATCGATCAGCAAGTTAAGGTCGAATCGTCGCAGGGAGAGGAAAGTGATGAGCAAGCTGTGAACGGCACCACCAGCATGCGATTGGAAGATATGGATAAGAATGCACGTTTGAGGATGATGGATGGCGTTGTGCTTGAAATTTTTGGCGACATCCCCATCAATGTGGCCGTATCAGCAGGCCTTCCTATTCAGCCATCCAAGCTGCAAGATATTGTGAGCACTGGAGAACTGCCCACCACCCCGAAATCCCGAAGAGAGTTACTGGATGCTTGCACAGAGTACCGTCGTACGATTGAACTGCGTTATCCCATTTACTACCTAGTGAACGATATCGCCGAGTCACCAGAGACGCGCCCGGATGTGTTTGGACCATTGCTAAAGTTTTTCCCGTGTGTTTTTTCAAAATCAGATTTTCAGAAATGGGGAATCTTAGATATGTCCTTCGTCAAACGTCAATCCGAACTTTTTGATGGCGCCAATCATGCCAAACTACTGGAACCGATTCTGGATATTTTAGTGGGAGGCCATGGTAAGTACCCATAACTCATACTTCCATTTTTTTTTTATTCCTTCATCTAACCTAACGATCGTTACAGCATACTCATTTTTCGAAATACCACAAACACCGCTCACACGATTCATGTCCTGGCAGCCTAAACAGTAAACTTTTTCCTCCCATCCTCCTCTCTTCATTGCATTACTGCTCTCTTCTGTAGATAAAAATATATTCACTTGCCCAATTCATCATTGATAAACAAAAGAAAAATATACTGATCTGGTCGTTTTTATCATGTCGGGGTGCTTTGAGGCAGAGGTTTGCATGGGTTGCCACACCAATTCATGCTTGCAAATAAAACTCCGCTGCCAATTCATTTGAAATAATAACAGACAAGAAGTTGCCCGTTTGAGAAAAAGACATCAGCCATGTTATTCGAGATAAGGTAAGGGAGTTGGCTTGCAAGGAAACATCAGCTACTTTTATTTGCACATGAAGCGCATTTGGTTATCAATACGCAATGACTCGAGATGATGTTTCAAATGATTCTATTGTGCACTGTGCGCGGTTGTAAGAATGATGTCATGGGCAGATTACCATTAACTTATTTGCTGATTTTTTCTTTTTCCATGTGCATTTTTTCATTGTCTCTTGTACTCAACTCTTTCTTTTGTTTCCATAAAACTCAATGACTAGCCGTATGCAATTCACACAATTTCACCGCCCATCGATTGCCCGGCACGCCGTGATACATCCAAACGCCAACCTTCAACGTCGATCATTGACCACAGCTAACGGTGGTAGCGGTGGCCGGGGCTCGGGTGTAGCCATCGCCGGTCTTTTGTTCTTGACAGCAGCGGGCGTGGCCTATTACAACTATGCCAAAGAGGATCGAGGTAGTAACTGAGAAGGAACTGATAAATTGAATCGACTAAATTGACATGATGCCGCACTGTAGAATTCTACGGGCAAGAAGATCCTCGGGATGCTGCACGTAAAGCTTCTCAGCGGATCGAGCATCGTGCTGACGTAGTCAAGGATAGTTTGAAAGATGATCTTCAAGATGCTAGACGTAGCAGTGCACACGCTCTGGAGGACGTTCGTGCCGCCAAGGATAATCTCGCCCACTCTGCTTCCGACTTGGGTCATGCTGCTCAGCAAGCCTACGGTGGTATGCGAAACACAGCTGAGAAAGAAGGCCAGCGCTTGGTGGATACGATCAAGGACGAGACTCATCACGTTGTTGATTCCGCGAAAACCAATGCAGCTCACGTACGTGACAAATTGGATCGCGACGTCCAAGAAATCAAGAGTGAGACCGAGAGATTCCGTGTGGAACATCACATGAAGGATGGAAACCGACCTTCGGAAGACGTGCTCGCCGACACACGCGACTATGTTCCCGGTAGAACAGGTGGCATCCCGATTCGCAGTGGCAAAAGACCCGAGGGTGACGAAGCGGGACCGAGAAGAGAAGGCACTCGACCTGGCTGGTTCAGCTTTGGCCGCGGTGCAAAAGAAATGGCCGATGATGCGGCCGAGAAAAGCGTACACGATATGAAAGAAGCGGACGCTTACTGGCAGAAAACGAAGCAATCTGCAAAAGAAAAGGCTGAAGATGCCGAGAAAAGCGCCAAACGTACTTGGTCTGGCGTGAAGGAGCAAGCTCATGAAACGGCCGAAGAAGCCAAGGAAAGACTCCGACAAGATGCTAACCGTGCCGAGTCCTACTGGCAAAGCGGCAAAGACAAAGTCAAGGATGAAACCGAGCGATTGAGTCGCGAAGCCAGCGACCGTGCACGTGCAGCGGGCGACAAGGCGAAACACGAAGCCGAAAAGGCCGAATCCAGTTGGTTCAACTTCAAGTCGGAAGCCAAGGATACGGCCGACGACGCCGCCAATCGAGCAAAGCAAGAAGCCAAAAATGTCGAATCGAGTTGGGAAAACTTGAAGCAAAATGTCGGCAATGAAGCCAACCAGCTCAAGAACAAGGTGTACGAGACGACCGAAGATGTCACTGGACGCTTGAAACAAGAAAAAGATCGCCTGGAAGATCGTTGGGATGCCACCAAACAAGATGCAGAACAGTGGGCCGGTTCAAAGAAGAGAGAAGTAGAAGGCTACTGGAACGATGGCATGCGTGCTACCAGAACCGAAGCGGATGAGGCGCGAAAAGATGCGAACCAAGCCAAGCAATGGTTCCGCGAAGGCGCTCAAAACGTAGAAATGAAAGCCGATAAATTACTTGGCAACCGACATGATCGATCCGTGAATATGCAAGATCATGTTCGACGTGGTGAAGGTTGGGCTGAAGAAGAAGCCGACAACTTGCGCCCGACGCGCCCTGGTGCGACTTCCACGGGAAGAGCCACCGGTCATCGTGATAATGCTCATTACCGACCTGCTGAAGTCGTGGTCTCTGAAGCTCGAGCGTAATTGTTCATTCGTCATTGTAAAACATTGTACTCTTATGTCCAAAGATAAAATCATGATTCATATTCTTATTTTCGTCTCCTGCGCAGGAAAAAAAACGTGAAATCAAAAAATTTTGCATTCCTCTGTTTATGACTTGAAAGTGTGAATTGCGTAAAAAACAAGAACTTTTTTTTTTGCTGGGTGCACAAAAGGATACAATAAGTACAGAATCTCGGTTTAAAAATAGGTACATAAGATGCTTGGATAATGGATGTTAGTCCTGCTTTCCATTCATCCCCATCTTCTTTTGTTTGATCTCCTCTTCCGCTTCGCTGGAATAATCATTTTTTATATTTAGAATGATGCTGAAATCGTCGACGGGTATTTTTTTTTTTTTTTTTTTTTACCTTGCCATGTCATCTTCATCATCGCTTCGTGTGTCCTCGGCATTTTTGCCTCTGAGAACAGCCGTGATCACGCGAACAATCATACTGAACCAGTAAATCATGATGGCGTTGAGCAATAAGAATAAAACCACGTAAATCTTTTGCGTAACTGGTGTGAAATATTTGCCCTTTTCCGGTTCCCACTTCATATCCAGGTATTTCGTCGGTTCCACTGCACAGTGCATATCGTCAGCTTTTTGCTTTGCGATGTCTCCCTCCATTTTCCTTTCCAGATTCTCCTTTATAATCATGTAGCCATCGTTTCCCCCCGTCTTACCTATCGTTGCCCATACAATGAGACTGAAAAACAGATGTCGCGTAATAGGCCAAGTGACAGCGAATAATCCAAAGGTGATATCACAGACTGTGGTGAGGTTGACGTATTTCAAAATCTTGGCGAGCTATATTATGCAAGGCCAGGGGGTCAGTCTTCTTCCGGATCCTCCATTTTCCCCTACCGTTGCTCTTTTCAACACCTACAGATAAGAAGATATCCGCCAAATCCATGCAACATAACACTGCGTTGCCTATCCGTGTGAAATTGGTATAATAACTTGATACTAACAAGGTGATGGTGATAAAGTGATGGGACACCATGGCAAAATGGTCTTTTCGTCGTTTTTCTACGTGAATTGTATACAGTTGCTGGAACCAAAATGCCATCTGCATGAGATAGTAGGATTTCATCTTTAGCGTGATGAGGACGTGTGGATAATCGATCCAGTATTGTGAGGTATTGAACCAGTGCGGACTATGGTACATGATATACTGCAGACAAACTGTGAGATCTTCTTGATACACCATTCTCATCGCATCTTCTTAACCAGCTATTGTTACACTTTTCCAGACGCTCTGATCTTGCTTTTGCTCTTCCTTTTTTCCGTTTTACCCAACAAAGCCGCCACAAAATGAAGAAATACTTACCATTCCCAGTAACCAAAAAATGGCATAATAAGTGAATATGAAGCCTTGCTCTGCGAGTCGTTGACGTTTGGCAAAAGGATTGATGCCTAGCAACCTTGCAGCAGGGTGAAACATATATTTCATGATGGCTGCTCTTAAAAAGGTGAATGCCACCACCCAAAACGCGACGAAGTACAAGTCATCCAATCCTTTAGCATAGGCATCTGCGCCGTATCGGTAAGACACCAGCAGACATTTGCGTGCAAGCGGGAATCCAAGAAAGTAGGCCAAAACAACGATAAACGATATTGCCCCCGTGATTTCTGAAGACTGATCAGCCATTGACATTCTGATTCACGCATTTCATGGCGGTAAAACCTCACCCAGTTCGGATTTCAGTAGATGCTCGGCAAATGTCTTTGAGGCAACGTGGTGCTTTTTCACCGGGCTTTTCAGTAGTTTTTTACCACTGGCCATCGGCTTGCTCATTAAAGAAAAAAGGAATAAAAAAGGAACAAAACCGGAAAGAATAAAAGAGGAAAATGGGTACAAAGGCAATCAACGATTTGGGACGACGCGTTTTCTGAGAAACCTGCAGTTTCCGCTTTTGGTCCCGTTCTCCACCAATCGAGCCACGGCACGCTTTTAGCTTCGCAAGTCACACTCCACAATTCAACTCCCTCTCCTTGGTTCTCAGGTTATCCACGCTTGCGGAATAATAAGGCAGAACTTCATCATCTCGGGAAAAGTGGAAGTGCTTGGCGTGGGTTCTTAGTAGAACCCACAGAAACCATGGAAGCATTTGCATTGCTTAACCATCCTTGAGCGGCCCAGTCCATGAACCCGATCTATCTCCATTATGAGATCTTTATCATGGCTGGCATTAAAGTGATACTAACTAAATTGTAAAAGTTTTGGATTTTGGATTCTCGAGAGCCTTCACGCTTGCTGGGACGCGATATGAGCAGTGTTTCACTTTTTGGACCACCCTTTTCTCTATGCATACCCCTTTTTCCTACTCGGAAGAGCGCTCGATGATCTGGTATTTGGTTGCGTCTAAGCGAGGCTTTTTTATGTTGCCAATGATTATACGTTTGGTCAACCCGGACAAACGGATCAAACAAGTTTGATTGCCATGGCATGACCGTCGGAAGTTGAAATTCGCCTTTAGGCTTTTTGCCCTTGATTTAGTTTATTTTTGTTTTGCAGCACATAAAGACTTCTCGACTATATGGAGCGTCATCAGCTACAGAGCACAGACGCGAGAAAGGATAAATTTAATAGCAAATGGCAAGTTAAAGTTTTGGCAAGTGATTCTGCAAAAATGGGGAACCCTAATCGGATAGCGATGTAGACGAGTTTTTCTTTGTGTCACTATCATATCACTGTAATGCTCCGCATTCCCACTTCAGATCAAAGTTTTAGTTTTCAAGCAAGTCCAAAACTAACCTAAGCTCGAGCGTGATGATGCTGCCACCAAAACTGGTCATTCCTGTTCGTATTGTATTGTACTGCACAGACGGAGGTTAAGCTTTATTATGTGCTCTTGGATAGGTACATTTGAGCATGGTGGAACGCGAAATCGTAACCCTACAGTGATTGCGTCCCTTTAAATTATGTTGCCAATTTCACTGACCATGCACGGTCTCTGTGTTACAGTTTGTAACCGATCAATAAATCGAACTTTTTGGAGATACTGATATTCCTGTAACGATCGAGTGCGGACGGATTATTAGCTGCAAGCCACTAACCAAAAAAAAAAAAAAAAAAAAAAAAAAAAAAAAAAAAAAAAAAAAAAAAAAAACCAAGTACATAAAGTAGGCAAACTGTATGTTTATTCAAATGGCAATACTTGACGACCAGCAACCCAAACAGAGGCAATATTCCGATCATCGCCAAGGTTGATGAATTTTTCCAGTAAGGACTCGGGAGTTTCCTCTCGCAAGATGTCAATGGGTGACTGGGGAGCTGCCACATCCACAAGCATAGCATCCAATACTCTACCACTGGCAAACATACCAACCTCGTTCCCTAAACCGAGACTGATCGCTCCACCCATAGTGGCTAAATACAATGCTTCCTTCCAATCCACTTGAACCGACGGATCGTTATTCTTTTCTACCGAAATGTGCTTTGAAGCTATGACAAGCTGGCGGATGGAGGTGAGCATACTGGGAGCATAACCGCCCGCGACATCGGTGCCCAGTCCAGCCTTCAACTCCAATTTACCCACATACTCCCGGACTGGAAAGATACCGTGTGCAAAGTAAGCATTGGATAGGGGACAGATAGCGACAGCTGACTGGCGCTCAACGAGCCGAGCCACATCAGATGGAGAAAGATGGACACCGTGGGCCATCACGGTGCGCGATGTCAATAATCCAGCTTCGTCAAAAATTTCAGTATCATGCTTTCCTGGATACAGCTGTTGGACAAATGCAATTTCGTCCAACGATTCCGAGATGTGCGACTGGACAGGCACAGAATACTTGTGAGCCAATTCACCTAATGCTCGCAGCAGTGCCGGCGAGCAGGTTGGAATAAAACGCGGCGTAATTACCGGAGTCAAAATGCTCGACTTTTTTGAACTGCAGTAGTGGATGAATGCTTCCGTGTCGGAAACTGACGCGTTGGTCGTTTCCATATAATCATCGGGACTGTACTGATCCATGCACACCTTTCCGACAAATGCCCGTTGTCCTTGTGCAAGCGTGATGTCCGCCAAGGCTTTGGTAGCTTCTAAATGGATAGACGCAAAGTAGAGGGCCGTTGTCGTCCCGTTGCGTAGCAAGCGCTTCACAAGGCTTGTATACACTTTCTTGGCCCATTCAACATCTTCGCATTGTCGTTCACACGGGAATGTGTACTTATTCAGCCTAGTTATTATCCTTTGTTAGTCTTACCAACGGAAACAAAAAACGGTGAACAGCCAACTCTAACCATTGCATGAGTGGCACATCGGTGCCTGTACCGGTGAACGGGTATTGGGGTGCATGGATATGTGTATCAACAAATCCAGGCAGCAAGAATTGGGTAGATTTCAGCCGTACAAGGTCCTCCGGATTGAGCTTCCATTGCAATACGGTCTTTTCAATATCAATCGGTGCTACATTGCTTTCCATGTGGATAATGCGACCGTCATTGTCGGTTGCAAGAACAGTATTTGTCAAGACCTCGAGCTGGCCTCGAGCGGGCGTATGCACCAACGTACCGAATATCAACACCATCTCGGCAACAGAAAAAAAAAGAAAAACGAACAAGCACTGTATCATACCAAACACGGGCGATGATCAAGCTGTTTCTGAGCAAAAATTCCGCCACTCTGTGTTTCAAATCATGACGATGCTTGCATTCCATGAATTTCAAAAGGGTATCAAAGGCCCTCTGAGAGAACTCATTCAATAAAGACAAGATTCTTTAGGAGAATTAATAAGCGATAAGATCTTTATTTACATAACAATATTATACTACATAAGCAAATTAGATTTCAGGATCCAAAGGCAATCTGGACCAGAAGCGTTGCTGCATAATGGCCTTCTTAAAGTCACTGGTAATAGCACTAGCTTTGCTACCAATGACAACGCCATCCTTTTCACCGTTGCCCTCGGGCATTTTCACCTTGGCAGCCTTCAAGAGTTCGACAGCATCGCTTGCTGCAGCAATAGGCTTACCGTGGCGGAAAGCATCGAGAAGGAACACCGCAGGTTCTTCGTAGGGGAAGGCGCTAGTTGTATCCATCAACTTCTCGATACCCTTCTTTCCGGCTGGCACATAAACTGCATCCCAAAGAGGCGAGGAGGTGGTGGTGTATGTGTTGGTGATAGGCAAACCTTGCACTTCACCAAGACACATGCCAACGTATTCGACATAGGCGCCTTCCTTTTCCAAGAAGTTGAACATGGTTTCAGCATCGGCGGTGTCAATACCGGGAGCGGTAAGAATAGCCACGGTCTTGGTCTTGATGTGAGGAGGCTTGGGATATTCTTCAATGGACAAACCAACACTAGTCTTTCCGGGATTGTCGACCACCTTGTCAGGAAGAGGAACAGCAATACCGTAGGCAACACGACGAGCCAAACCATTATCGATACGGTTGAACACATCGATCATACGCTGACGCACTTCCTTGGACTTGACTTTACCAATTTCGAAGCGAGCAGCATCGACCACTTGTTGCTTCTCAGCGGCGGTCAACGAGTTCCAGAACAACTGAGGCTGAGAATAGCAATCTTCGACGCTAGACACCTGTCCACGCACTTTACGACCGTCGACTTTTTCGTTTGGCTGAATATAACCGCCCTTCTCGGGTGGCACCACATCAGGTGCATTGTTTTGGAGTCCATTGGGATAGTAAGACACGGGGCCCTTGTGGACCATGGATTGCATGTAACCATCACGGTAGTTGTTGGTAACAGGGCAGATGGGCTGATTGATAGGCAGTTGAAGGTAGTTGGCACCATTCATACGGTTGAGCTGAGTGTCAAAGTAACTGAAGAGACGACCTTGCAACAACGGGTCATTGGTGAAACCAATACCAGGGACAATATGACCGACACAGAAAGTGACTTGCTCGGTTTCGGCAAAGAAGTTCTTGACGTTGCGGTTGAGCGTCATTTTGCCGAGACGCTTGACGGGGACAATTGATTCGGGGATGATCTTGGTAGGATCAAGAAGATCAAAGTCAAAGTTGTGTTCATCTTCCTCTTGAATAATCTGAACACACAATTCCCATTCAGGATAATCGCCACGGTCAATTGCAATTTGGAGATCCTTGCGGTGGAAATCGATATCTTGACCAGAAATCTTCTGGGCTTCGTCCTATTGCATCGATTCTCGGGGTCAACGGATATCCTTCAATCTGATCCAAGAGATCGCGAACACTTACCCAAATAAGGTTAGAGAGACCTTGGAGAGGCTTCCAGATGAACTTGACGAAAACGGATTTTCCTTGTTCGTTAATTAAGCGGAAACTGTGATGAATCAATGATGAGTATGTGTGACCGGAGAAACATGAAATGTAAATTTATGGATGTTTCTTACGTGTGAACACCGAAACCTTCGACTTGACGGAAACTCTTGACGACACCGCGACCAGACAATGCCCACAAGGCGGTGTGAAGGCATTCGGGGAACATGGAAACGAAATCATAGAATGTATCGTGGGCCGTACCAGCTTGCGGTGTTTCAGTGTCAGGTTCGGGCTTACCGGCATGGATGATATCGGGGAATTTGATAGCATCTAATAAATATGATGTCAGCGATACGACACGATCTCATCGCATGCATATTGAGAAAAATGAAATTTACCATGAACAAAGAATGGTGCAATGACGTTGCCGACCAAATCAAAGTTGCCTTCTTCCGTGTAGAAACGGGTAGCAAATCCGCGGACATCACGTACAGTATCGGGAGAGCCGCGAGAACCAAGCACAGTGGAGAAGCGTACAAAGACGGGGGTCTTCTTACCAGTTGTACGCAAGAATTTGGCGGCTGTCAAGTCCGACCAGTCTTCATAGGTTTCAAAGTAACCGTGAGCACCCACACCACGGGCATGGACTACACGCTCAGGAATACGTTCATGATCTGTCACAAAAACGAGAAGTAAGGAAACATGGCCAGTCACTTGACCGATTCTTTTTATATCTCTTACCAAAGTGCATCACTTTTTCGCGCATGACAAAGTCCTCCATCAAAGAGGGACCGCGCAAACCGGCTCTCAAAGTATGCTGATCGTCGACTTTGCAGCCAAAGTTAGTGGTGGCTTGCGTGCCCTTCATGTCGACTTCGAATTGTTCCATTTGCTCGGCTTTAGGATCTTTGCCGGTAAGGCGACCAGTAAGACTTTGTTGAAAAGGGCACGACATGATGATAATGTAAGTATTCGAAGAAGGAAAAAAGTATCCTGGGGAAACCAGTGAAATTATGCACCATTTTTATAGAACCGTGTTGAAACCGCATCATATCATCATGACAAATGACTGCATCTTTGAGCCCATGGCCCCGAGAAAAAAAATTAATGCCCGACACTTTACCAAGTATTATTTTTCAGTCTTTACGCAGATGTCTTCCTCCCTATATTTTATTAATTGCGCCATCATCGTAAATGTATGTTGCAATCACACAGTTGAACAAGCAGGCGATGGTTTATAATTGCGTGTACAGTGGGTGGGGCATCACTTTATTAATTCTATTTTTGGCAAGAGACAATAGTGATTTTTAAATGTCCGCGTGAATGACGCGTTCATTTCGTCAAATCGATAGGCCCACAGAATTATGCGAGAATGATAAACGAATTTCGGAATTTCTATGTTCTAGTGTCCAAGGGGAAGCGAGACCAAAATCGCTGCTGGATAAGAGCCTTTTTAAATTCCTCCTGAAGGGAAGAATGATCACTTTCCACAATGACACCATTGTGTTCACCTAGCTTTCGTGCCAATTTTATTCTTGCAGCTGTGAGAAGCTTTACACCTTCATTCGAGGCAGCGATAGGCTTTCCATGACGGTAGGCATCGAGAACAAACATGACGGGTTCTTCATACGGGAATGCGCTCGTGTTATCGAGAAGGGTGTCAATGGCGACTTGACCGCCAGGCACATACACAGCATCAAAGAGCACAGACGATGAAGTGACGTAGGTGCTCGTAATATTCAGACCGTCCTGGGATCCGAGATTCAAGCCAACGTATTCTACATAAGCACCTTCCTTATCGAGATATTCATACATCTTTTGCGCGTCTTCCTTATCGGTGCCTGGTGCCGTAAGAATGGCGACAGTGCGAGTGCGAATATGTTTGGCCTTGGGATACCGTTCGATGGAAATGCCGGAAGTGGTGTGATTCTTGTTTTCGACCACCTGTTTCGGGGGCTCCACACCGACGGCCGAGGCAACGCGGCGAGCGAGATCGTTATCCACGTGATTGAGAACATGAATCATTCGCCTGCGCACATCCAACGACTTTGATTTGCCGATTTCAAATCGCGCACCATCCACCAGTTGCTGACGTTCAGCATCCGTCAAAGAATTCCAATAGAGCTGAGCTTGGGAGAAATGATCGAAAAACTTGCTGGACTTGCCACGCATGGCACGGCCTCCCATTTCTTCAGGATAATCGATATAACCACCTTTATCGCCGTCCACCACCGAAGGAGTGTTGTCTTGAAGACCGTTGGGATAGTAGGCCACCTTGCCTTTGTGGATGTTGGTTTGCATGAAACCGTCTCTTTGGTTATTGTGGACTTTGTTCAAAGGGCGGTTGATAGGCAATTGCATGTAATTGGCGCTGCCCATGCGGTTGAGCTGTGTATCGAGATAGCTGAAGAGGCGGCCTTGAAGAAGAGGATCATTGGTGAAACCAATACCTAAAAGCGCGTGTTACTGATAATGCGTGATCATGGATGGATAAAAGAAGTTCTTTTTGTGTTACCTCGAACAAGATGACCGGGGTGGAAAGTGACCTGTTCAGTTTCCGCAAAATAATTATCCACATTACGATTAAGGACCATTTTACCCAGTGGCTTGAATGGCACCAAAGATTCTGGAATAATTTTGGTAGGATCCAGCAAGTCAAAGTCGTATTTATCTTCATCTTTTTCGGGAACAATTTGCACGCCGAGCTCCCATTCCGGATAGTCGCCACGGTTAATAGCTGTATAAAGGTCGTTGCGATGGAAGTCACTATCCTTGCCGGCGATCTTTTGAGCTTCGTCCTATAATCAAACGAAAAAAGGACTGAGAACCAAAGAATCTTTTCGGACTTGTCTCCACGGTATACAAACCCAGACGAGGTTGGAAAGACCCTGCTTTGGTTTCCACATAAACTTGACAAAGACCGATTTTCCATCTTCGTTAATAAGACGGAACCTAGCGTTGCAAGTGTTCAGCAAAGGAAGGGAAAGGAAGAAAGTTTATCGGCAATGTGTAACCTACGTGTGTACACCGAAACCTTCGACTTGACGAAGGCTTCTGGGGAGACCACGGCCCGATAAAGCCCACAGAACGGTATGAATGGTCTCTGGCAATTCGGCAAAGAAATCGTACGCCGTTTCATGAGCGGTTCCTGCCTGTGGTACCTCGGTGTCCGGTTCGGGTTTACCAGCATGAATCAAGTCGGGGAACTTGATAGCATCTAGGACGACAGAAGGGAAGAATTAAAAAAAAATTGGCGAGTGGCCCGCGATATGACGATGGTTGTCCTACCTTGCACAAAAAATGGAGCAATAATGTTTCCGACTAAATCGAACAAACCTTCCTCTGTATAGAATCGTGTAGCGAAACCACGAACGTCGCGCACAGTATCAGCTGATCCGCGCGAGCCAAGCACGGTGGAGAATCGAACAAAAACAGGTGTTTGCTTCTTGGGTGTGCGCAAAAATTTGGCGGCAGTGAGATGAGACCAGTCATCATACGTTTCAAAGTAACCGTGAGCGCCTACACCTCTGGCGTGAACTGCTCTCTCTGGAATTCTATTATCCATGTTTCAGTATGGTGTTCTTCGTGCACATCCACCATGCGGAAAGTATGCTTTCCACATACCTTTCATGATCTAATAAAAATCGCGCCCATGAGCGTCAAGTTATCTGGTTGTTTACCTCTACCTACTACTTACCAAAGTGCATGATTTTTTCTCGTAACATGAAATCCTGTAAAAGAGTGGGGCCACGAAGGCCTGCCTTCAGACTGTCGGTGTTATTGATTTTGACGCCGAATTGAGTGGTTTCTTGCATGCCGGCATCGCTAACCACATAGCCGCTGAACTGGTTGGACTCATGAGTGTTGCCTCTCTTTGCGTGGAATGGACATTGTGCCTGAGCTACAAAGACACTTTGAGCTGCAAGGAACAAGCTCACAAATTGGACAAAGTTTGACTTCATGTCAAAGCTGTGAATGAGCAGATACTCCGAAACCAGGAATAACACGTCGGCCCCTTTTTATATCCAATGTCTTTCTTCCAAGGTTTGCAGACCTTCTTTTTCTTTTTCTTTTTTTTTTTTCTGCTTGAGCACATTTAGAAATTGTTGGTGTCACTAGCGTTCTACAAACCGAGAACGCTAGTTTGATAGAATAAACCTTGCAAACCATATTATTCAGCAGCGGATTCTAATTCTAATTGATCGGCCACCCCCAATTTTCCCGACATTTCTGGTGCAACGCTACTGAAGTTGCAACATTTTTAGATCCCACCATCATGCTCGAAAATGAAGATTGAGTACTCTCCGCAACCGTACACTACATTGTCACACGATATCGCGAGTATTCTTTTTTCAAAACCTTTTCCTTGCTCAAGAAGTTCTGCATTGGTCATTTTTTTTTTTTACCGAGGTAGTTTGAGTGATGATGGGCGTGTCTATGCCGACTAGTTGGCCACAATTCGGAAATAAGCAAAATGTATTACAGAAAGGACTTTGGAGCTTTTCCATTTTCTGCGCCAGGGTTTGGCAGGTCCTGCATCAGTTAGGGCGGCGGCGCTAACACAATAAAATGGCTTGGTATAGATTCCATGGATATTTGTCAGTTCAGAAAAAAGAAGAAACCAGGTCTACGATACCAAGCGGACTGGCTATTCTGTGGAGCCTATGGAAGGTTGGTTTTCACAGCGTTTTATTGTCCGACGTGGCGTCAAATGGCATCGAAATTCGTATGCACCTATTCCACACTGCCCAGGTTATGCCAGATTGACAAACCAAAATTAGAGGGGTTTCAGAGTTCGAAAATTCCCACTGAATTTTTTTTTGTTTTGTTTTGGATACTTCACCGTGCGAGTGTGCAAAACCTTTTAAATCTCATGAACCATTTGATACACTTTTTGAAGCTTTGCCTAGGGTTATTGGTTTGGATAGAAGCTATGAAACCCAAGGTAAAAGTGACAGAGGCGATAAAGAAAAATGGAACAGAAACGTAAGCACACCCCAGAAGCCTTGGAAAATTATATGTATCCAATGTTCAGTCCGTTTTTACTATCAGCACTCCGGGTCTACTAAAGGCGTGTTCTCGCGCGACGCAGACGCGATCTTTTTAAAAGAGAGATCTGTGAGCGTGTCCTCAACCTGAAGATCGAACATATATTGAATTGATATAAAACACAAACAAGTGTAAAACATTCTTGGAGAAAGTGGACGACCCAAGGAAGAAATATCTATTGGCAATCATGCAATACCGCATTTTGCTGATCGGAAAAACGTGGCACTTGCAGATTGTCTCGAAACCTATTGTGTGCCTGTTGCCTGGTTTTATCGTTCGTATCAACAACAAGTGTAAATTCTATTCCATAACTGTAGCACTTCAACTATAATCAGGCAGCTGTTGCGTATTATATGCGTTCAACTGATACATAGGATGATTCACAATACAGCAACTTGGCTGAACACTGGCCCGTTACCGTGGTGACCAGGGACCAATTTGTGGAGTGCTGCATTCACTTGGCACGCGGCAATCGAAAATGGGTGGATTCTTTATTAGGTCAATCAAGGTCAGATGCACTAAATTTAGACAATTCGAATCACAGGACTGTTGTGCTTTATTGAGGTTGACCTTCTTTGATTTTTATTTTTGGTCAAACGAGATTGCAACAGTGATTACTGTTCTCTAATGACGGACAATCGCACAATGTACAACGAATATTCGCGACCCTCGCACGAACTAACGGATGCTCCTCCACAACCACCACCTCACGACTTACAAAAACCATCACAACCAAACTCACCCACTCCATCCAAATCTATTCAACGTTCAAAGACGGTTCAGAGTAAAGTGCGAGGCCTGTTCAAGAAGTACACTCCAAAAGATACCGATGCAAACAAAGCTAATGCATCGGCGGCGGCGGCATCACGTGCAGATGCTGATGCGAGTTCGAACGCCCATCGACCGACGTTATTTACTTCCTCATCACTGAATTTTGTCCCTACGACGCCAACCTTGAATAGGGAATTATCTGATGGACAAGGATCGGCTTTGCTGAATGGTAATTAAGAAGCATACTGGCTGTGAATGAGATAAAAGGAGAGCGGAAGTTGAGGGAGAATGGTGTTTGTGAAAGAGAGAAGGATATCTCAGGAGTCAGGGACCTTTTTTTTTTTTTCTTTCTTATTTTATATTTTGAGAAGAAAAAGATGCAGTTTTGGGCGGGCAAATTAGGTTTTTGTTTTCGTATGACGTTTTGTTAAAGCACCTTTCTCTTTTTTTCTCCCCCTTTTTCCTGCTTTCCTTAGATCTACGCATTAGCACTGACAACGCATCGTACAAGACCTCATCATCTTTACCTCGTTCATCCTACGAAGTCGAACCTCAAACCATGACAGCTACTGTTCAAGAGAAACGTCAGCCAGAAGACATGATCGACCCCAACGAACCGCTACCAGCAGAGGCTGAAGAACTGCTACAAGAACTAGAACAAATCAACGCGGCTATTGCTCGTGCGAAACAGGAAGTAGCGACCGAGGCCGAACGCAAGCAAGCTTTGCATAATGAATTAGAAGAAGCAAAGCGGAACTTCCAAGCAAGAGAGCAGGAATACACGGAAATTGAGCACAACTTTTTTGAACTGACGCGTGCTGTACGGGCGACGGATGATGATTTGTCAACGATCCGTGATTCCTTCAAACTTTTGAAATATTCAATCGCGCGTATGATCATGACCCTGAACAAGAAAGCGGACAAGGCCAAAGCAACAGAGAAGTTTGTGTCTATTTGGCCTGAATTGACGATTTTGGAACCAACCGGCGAATTGGAACCTGGCCTCATCAACCTGTTGGCGGAGAAACTGGTTCATATGCATCTTATTCAAAATGTCTTTCGATGTCCGGTGTATCCGGGATTATCCGTGAACGACGCCTTTTCTTCTTTGAGCAAGTGGCTCATGGATCACGATTCTCAATTCTCGGTGAGACTGCGACAGCAGCTGGCCTCCATTATCGTGAAAAGCGGCAAAGACGGAGAATTGCAACAGGCAGCTCAGACTGAAAAAATTCGCATTGCAGAACTGATCTACAAAGATTTGGCAGACATATACCATCCATTTATACGTGAGAACGATGAATCCGTAGACGAGGAGAAGCGGTATTTCGCCAAAATTACTGATATTCTTGATAAGGCGCTCAAGTTGGCGATTGCCATGCGTGGACAAGAAGTGGATATTTCAACGGTCGATATCGAGGAAGGAAAGCAAGCATTTGACGAAGAAACCATGGTGGATGTCAAGGGTAAAACAAGCGGCGTGGTACGATTCTGCATTTGTCCCGCCTTTGCTGGTGGTGATGGTGAACATGGTTTCCTTGAGAAAGGCAAGGTGGTGGTAGGATAGGCTTAGTCCGTGTAACCATGGACTGATAACCCAACCTTTAAAAATCATTTTTACTCTGTCATCCACCTTTTCTTTTTTCCTTTTTATTCCTATTTCCTTACCCTTTGTATGAGCTCCAATAAAGCACGTCCACCGATAACACGCCTATACAGAGAAGGACCTCACCAAAATCAAACAACAAAGGACATATACCTACATCGTTCTCAATCCCGTCACGTCAAGCCGGAGCCTCAGTATTTGGCTTCAAATAACGATAATGACAAGTATGCGGATATGCTGAGACACTATGACGGTAGCCATTGTAGGCTGGAGGAAGCTATCGTGCCAGTGGACGGAACCACACCTCTTGCAATATCTGACGCACGCACCATGTCAAAACAGCATTATGTGTTGTTACCTTTGGGGAAGGTAAATCATTAAAGAGGGATCTTCAAAGTGCTTTTGAAGATTGACGCTTTGATTTCGGGATAGACCGGTGATGGCAAGTCAAGTTTGCTGAATACTTTGTTCGAATCGTCCATCTTCCATGCCAAGTTTGGTGCTCGCGTAAGTTGAAGGACATTTTTTGCTCGGCAAAGGAGTGATCTCTAAAGAGAAAGATTGCAACACAATACTAGTCTGTTACGAGTACGGTCACCGAATGCACAGGAATTTGGAGACTGGACAATAATTCCAACAGCGAGTGTTTGATCACAGTGGCGGATACGCCTGGCTTTGCGGACTCGGAAGGACGCGATTCCGCTTTCAAAGGACAACTACAAGATTATATCCGTGATGTATCAATACGTTTAGGCATTGATGCATTTTTGCTCGTCTTCCAATATACATCTAACCAGTAAGCATTGCGAGTTATTGAATGGTTGGCTGATGACAAGACAGCCGCTAACCCTTTTGATTGTGTAGGGTTATGAAGGTGATCCGCGCGTTTGCTCAAGTGATGGAAACAATGGAACCAAAGACGTGGTGGGATCATACAATCCTTGTGTTTACTCATGTGGATTTCGGTAAACGTAGTTCTCAGCAAGTGTCTGATCGCAAAATCAATATAAAGAATAAGCTGGCACGCCAAATTCAAGAGGAATTTGGTCTCAAGCAACCGCCCTCGATTGTATTTTTTAGTTCGAATAGGACATGCGCTTTAGACGTCGGTAACGCGGCGATTTGTGAATGCAATCTTATCAATGACTATATCAGTGAACGGATGCGACAGCTCAGGAGTGCCATTGCCGATTGTCACACCAAAGGACGATGGGTTGCAAAGCAGTAAAAAACCTTGTATCACCAAAAAAAAAGAAAAAAAAAAGAAATGAAACCCCCCCACTGCTTATCCCGACTTCCCTTTTATTGTTGCTTCTCAGTTTTCTTTTTTTATTATCATTGCAACTCAACGTTTTCAGTTTGAATGGAGAGCAATCAAACCGTGCGTTTAACGCGGTTTCCATTCGATCTTTGTCCTGCCATATTCGCTTGCAACAACACTCCTTTACCGGGAACCCCGCTCGATCGATCCAAAGCACCAACTGGCCTCCAAGCGCAATTGCTGCTGTGCATTACCACTGGCGTACTATGCTTTTTACTATTCTGTATTCTACGGGTGAGGTAAGCTTTCAAAGCCGTTATCCAAACCATTGTAATAGCCTGAGCTTAATGTTCCCTCATTGACAGATGGAGTGCCATGTACTCTCCGCGATTATGCATGAAAAAGTGAGTGATTTCCATCTACGCATTCTATTGCGCGTACTCACCATAACAAAATCGTATCTTTGATCACCGTTAGACATGCTCCGGTGGAACTTCCCACCTCCTTATTCGGATGGATTATCCCACTATTGAAAACCCCGCATTCCGTGGTGCTTGAAAAAGTGGGACTTGATGCGGTCGTGGTAAGCAAGGGGACCAACAGCCGGGAAACAGTTCAAAGTGTGTTGATTAGTGGAGTTCCTTTTTTTAGATGCTGCAATTTCTGCTGATGGGCGCCAAGCTTTTCGGTTTATGCGGGTTTTTCGGTGTGGTGGTACTGTATCCCATCCGGCAGATGGGCGGTGATCTCTTCAACTCCACCGATCCCGTTGTCAACAGTACTTCTTCGTCAGTTCCCTTGGCGTCCGAGGTTTATTCGCCTTCCTTTTTGTGGGTGTATCTGTTTTTCACCTATTTTTTCTGTTTTGCCACTTTTTACTTTACATTCGTCAATTATCGAGATTATGTGCGTATCCGCCGGGAATTCTTGATGCGCATCGCCAAGACATTGCCCGCGCGCACCGTGCTTATTACAGGAATACCTCAAGGTTTACGCTCCGATCAGAAACTCGCAGAGTATTTCGAGACGCTTGGAGTCGGTGTCGTGGACTCAGTGCACATCATCCGACATGTACATCGGCTGCTGGATTACATCAAAGAAAGGGCACAGTATCTTCGGAAACTCGAGACTGCCTATGCAAATTTTTGGGGCAATCCATGCCACATTCCCACTTATGACCCCGACAGGCTACTGATGGAAGCCGAGGGCGATCACTCACTTCATGCCGTCGATTGGTCGACCGATTCCGATTCCGATTCCGATTCCTTGCCGAGCCACCGTAAAAGACGCCAGCGTCCGGCCGCTCGAGATGGATTTTTGGGCCTGATTGGAAAACCAGTAGATGCCATTGAATTTTATACAGAGCGGTTTAACAAGATCGATTCACTGGTCCTCCGCGCCCGCAAATTGGGCAAATTTTTGCCTACCAGTGTAGGATTTGTTACTTTTGAGGATGCCATCAGTGCTGTAAGTGGTTTCGGTCATGAACGGAAAAAGCCAAAAATGATGTTGCTGAATCGGATATCTGTCAGAATGTCGTTGCACAAATTCTCATTGATTCCACTCCTTTCCGTTTACGAGCTCAGCTGGCTCCGGAACCCAGAGATGTGTTGTGGGAAAACATTGCCATGCATGCACGAGAGAGAGCCATCCGGAAATTCATGGTGTTCATTGTCCTTATTTTCCTCGTATTTTTCTGGGTCATCCCCATTTCATATTTTTCAGCCCTCACCAGTGAAGATTCGCTGCAGAATTATTTTCCATGGCTAATCGATTTGGCGTCCAAAAATAAGATTTTACGGCAGCTCGTTCAAGGCTTCCTGCCAACTTTGGGCGTCGTCGTGTTCATGTCCATTTTACCCATCATTTTCAATGGTAAGCATCGCAAGAATCAATAATTTAGAATGGACAGTTAACTTGTTGTATATCAATTAAGCTTTAAGCGTGGTGGAAGGATTTACTACACGGAGTGAAGCAGAGGAATCCAGCTTCAGCAAGTAAGTGGGTGCTGGGGAGATGGGCTTGTCATTGGCAAAAACTAACATTTTGGATTTAGGCATTTCTTCTTTTTATTATTCAACGTTTTGCTTGTATTCACCATTTCCAGCGCTCTGTTCAAAACGTTAAAAGATATGCTGGAAGATCCCACTCAGATAGCCAATCTCTTGGCAAGCAGTTTGCCTCAGGTAATTTATCTTGGTACTATGTCATATACGTTCCTCGCACATGAAGTTTAATGACACTATGTTCTAGGTGGCTCCGTTTTTTGTGAATTACATTATATTGCAAGGCATTATGCTGTAAGCGTCAACTGAATAAGTGTTGTATTATGAGCTGTCTCATTTTTTTTTTCATTATTTGTGCGTTAGGTTACCGATCCAGCTGCTACAAATCGGGCCTATTATCCTACAACTTTTCTTTCGAACGTTTTACTGCAAAACGCCGCGCGACTATGGTGAGGTGTTGGCCCCTCGCATGTACAACTATGGCTGGGGTTATCCGGTCCCTGTATTTCTGTTTGTGATTTTACTCGTCTATTCCACCATCAGCCCTTTGATACTGGTTTTTGGTACTATCTATTACTGCTTGGCCTACCTCGTCTTCAAGTATCAGCTGCTTTATGGTAAGCTCTCACTATGCAGTTTTCGTTTTTTCTCGGAACGTAACACTTGTTTGTATACCCAGTTTATTTTCATCCTTACGAGGTAGCTGGTCGTATGTGGCCACTGGTATTCTCCCGCATCATTGTGGGGATGCTCATCTTCGAGTTGACATCGGCGGGTCTGTTCCTTCTCAATCGAGCCTATCCATTGGCTGTGTTGTGCGTGCCCCTTATTATCTTGACCATTGCCTTCAAGTTCTCGATGGATGCTGCTTATTTGCGGAGTACCATTAATCTGCCTGTTCGATTGCTGTCTCAAAGATTAGGCCCACTACGGTCCACGGCTCAACCAATGGAAGCCCCAGAACTTCAACCTTCCGTTTCTTCGCAAAGTAATTCCAGACATCCATTGGCGACGAGAAGCGAAGCGGAGCATGACATCAGTAGCGCCCCCAAGACCACTATTAGACGAAAGCGTACCGTACTGGATGAAGATGATTATGAAGCTGAACCACGAAAGTACACCGATTTTAGAGAACCACCCATGACCTTGTTGGACGGAATTCTTAATACCGGCATGAAGCGCTATGGACATCCCGCTATGTTTGGCGTACTGCCGCAACTGTGGCTTCCGATAAAGGCAGGCGATACCCGCCACAGATCATTAAGAAAGCCAAGTCATCGAAGATCAATTGCTGGTCCAGGTATATCGAAGTTTGCGCAACATAGTTACGGACACGTGAGTTCTAATGCATACGTATTTGTAGATGAACGTCAACCATTACTGTCAAGCAGTCCCGTTGATAATAGTATACCATCCCATATTGTTATTGTAGATAGAAATATACCCCCAAGACACGAGGCTCAAGCACAGGAAGAAGAGGAAGACGACGATGACGACGACAGTAGCAATGATGATGTAGGCACATACTATCACCATCCGGAAAGACGCCTTTCCAGAAGCCTATACAGCAGATCATATGGAGCCACTGGGTCTTCCCAACCACGAGCAACTGAATAATGTTCCAGTCATATGAGATAATAAAAAACCTTGGAATGGTCATGCTCATCCAATCAAGAATTTTTTTTTTTTTTTTTTTCATCAATGTTGAATTTCCAAAATTTGCAGGGACAACAAATCTACCTTTGTACCTTTTTACAGTAGCAGAGAGATCAAGTTGACAGTAGCTCATTTTCTGTAAAGAAAAAAAGAGCCATCGCATGATAATTTCCAGAGCCTGGATTAAGGGATACATGGCAAGTGCGTTGCATTCCTTACGGTCAGAGAAAACAAAGAAAAGGAGCACCAATTTCGTCCCCAGGAGACATTAACAAGAAACCCAACTTTAAAACTAAATTATGCTTATGCACACAGTCGACGATCTAACCATGTACAAAATGATAACAGAATTGCGCGGTTGAAAATGCATGCGCGAATATTAACACGCTATCAACCAAGTAACATTGGGATATGCACAGGTGGAAAAAGGTAAAAAAGCTTTGAACCGAAAAATATGAAAAGCAAAAGAAAAGAAAACAAAAAAAGGAGATGCCGCATCCATAATAAGATAAGCTTCAAATATTGAGTCCTTGCAATTTCAATGGTTGTTTATGATGTGCATTAAAAAAATTGAGGGGGCGATCATCAAAAAAGAACAAGTCGTGAAGCAAAAGAAAGACAGAAATAGGGATACAGATGTACATTCGCTTGATTCGTATTAACACGTTTTCTTTTCCAAAAAGTTCTGCTCCACTCCATTTTCTTCTCGTCTTCATTGTTGTAATGTCAATTAATTCTGATCATTATGTTAACGCACATCAACGTACCTTACAATCAAGCAACACATGTGATGATATTGTATCCATACAAGACCCCAACTGGAATATTCACAGAATACAGACCCGCGGCTTCAATGAAGATACTTTTGATGACGACGACGACGACGATGACGATGAAGGAAACGAGTTCGATAACGACGATGATGACGAGTTAATTATCGAGGAGGATTCGTCGTATCTGTCATCCTCTCCCAGTATCCCTGACGAGAATATCAATTTCAGCTTAGTATATGCGCTACATACCTTTACTGCGACTGTGGAAGGTCAAACGTCCGTGGTCAAAGGCGACGCTCTCATTCTCATGGAAGACACAAACCTGTATTGGTGGCTCGTTGAAGTGTTGAAAACCAGTGAGATAGGTTATATACCGGCTGAAAATATCGAGGTTCGTATATAAGAATAACTGAGGACGAGGAAATGTGCCATGAATTCCCCTAAAGTTACTGACGTAAATGACGGCCTCCTTTTACTGTTGTTTTGTGTTGGATGATATGCTTACTTTCGATTTGACAGACACCTTATGAGCGTCTGGCACGACTCAATAAGCATCGCAATGTGGAAATCACGGCTGTTACGTCCCTGCAGGAAGATTCGTTACATTACTTTGCTGCAAGTCAGAAAAAGCAAGGGAAAGTCAAAAAGTCAGTGACCATGGCTTCAGGAGATGATCTGTACAACATTATTCATTACGAACTGGAGTCTGAAATTGAAGGAAACGACACGAGTGATGTGGAAGACGATGATTTCGAAGACGCTTGTGAGCAAGTGGACGTGACGGAAGAACACGAACGCCATTCGACAGAATGGCAAGAAAAACACTTTGAAACGAACGACAGTGCTAAAATCATGATCACGGACGATCAAAATGGAGATCTGGACATTACGCAGAGCGAGGTCGATCCCATCATGGCCCATCCCGCCCATGAGCCACTTGAAGAAATACGAGTGTTTGCTGGCAATATTGGCCAAGATCCGCTGTTTCACACATTTCGCATACCGGCCTCGTGTACCGCCGAGGAATTGGTGCAACAAGCGGTTGCACGATTCGACATCCCGTCGTATACGGCTGCGGGAGAAGAAGGAACCATTGAATATTATTTGGCCGTGCAAGGCACCGATGGAGGTGAGAGACCACACAGATGGAAATAAAAAAATCGATAGGCCCGTTTCGTGATATTCAATACTCTTGTCAAACCCATAGACGATTGTATACTTTCATCGCAGGATAAGCCACTGAGCATTTTCAAGACGTTGACCGACTCATTGACCACCCCGATGCCTTCGACAGTTCATATTCACCACCTTTCACAGCAAGCAGCCGCACGCTCAGACCAAGGAACGCCCGTGATCCGACGCGCTCGATCGAGCAGTTTTGGTAACCACGAACCGACGTTGCATGACGAAGATTCGATGATTCGCTTCTACTTGCATCGGCGTATCAAACGAGCTCACGAGCGGGAGGGGTTGATCTATATCAAAGTGTCTCTCTATCCTGACGATGGCTCCACGACGTATGCCCCTTCAGGAAACGCGAACGCGGGATCAGCCCATTCGTTGGACGGATTCACGACCAACCCCACACCGGCCACTGGAAAGAAGAAGAAATTGGTATCAACACACAGTGATATTGATCGCATTGATAAGATTATCCCTGTACGACAAGAATCATGCGTTGGAATGGTGATCAATACAGCATTGGGGAAGTTTCACGTTCCTGATGCAGAAGCATACGGCTACGAGACAACCACTTCCAATTCACAGTGGGCGAAATACAGAATGTCCGTGCGATGCGGTGGGAAAGGTAAAATCAAGCGACGAACAGAAGATGGTGTATTTTTCATTGATCCTGTTGCTAAAAAAAACTCGCTTCTATTTTTGATTTGCTGCTATAAATTAAACCCACCCTGACGTGCATGTTATTACCCCTCTGCATAAATGTTTATTTTTATTTAGAGACTAATTTGCATCCCCATGATACCATGGGCACTGTGCTTCAGCAGCAACGGTCTTGCTCTTTGCCAAATGGACCGGTGACCAGTGATCTGTTATTTATCATCCGTCGCGTATATCAAATGACTTCGCAAGACGAACAATCGCAGCGTTCACGACAGGGCAAGAAAAAAAAACATCAACCCCCAACGTTGATAGGGGTAGGCAATAACCACGGTATTCACCCGCATTTGTCGTATAAAGGTCATCGCGATCCTTCCGAGCCATCCGAGCAACATTTGGGTGCGCCGTTGCCAAACGGAGATCGGCGACCCAGCATTATCGACATTTTAATGGTCTCCCCTCATCCGGAGGATCAGCGTCCAAGTGTACTGTTCCATAGCCATCCACGGGCAGAAGACAGGAGAGTTTCAGCAACCAATATGTCTACAGAGCGCAAATCATCCCTGATACAGCCAGGGAGTTTATCTCCCACTCAGGGACAACAAGCTTTTTCTAGCAGGAAAACTCAAGCTTCATCTTCATCCTCTTTGAACGGTGGTCTTTCTCCTCCATCTTCCATTGCGCATCGGTACTCTTCCATCAATTCTTCTCTAGACGATCGTCTCGGCTCCGATATCTCCATTGATAGTACCATGGACAAAACATCCAACCTGTCGGTTTATTCGCCTACATCTCCCGGTCCGTTGGACGAGTCGAGAAAGAAGGATGCGGCTTTGCCGTCTTCGACGCCTTCCTCTTTTCGACAGCAGCTCAAGAAATTGATGGGATGGGGCGCTAAACCCAAAAAGCCCACAAGTTCGCCACTGTTATCACCGTCGCCGTCTCCATCACATCAAATTCATCCGCTGCAACCGCAAGCGGGATCGTCCTTTGTCAGCTCGACCATCACCGTCAGTACTCGAGGCGTGGATACACCAGGAACCGATTACGGTAGTCTTACTTCCACATCATGTACTCCGTTACCAGCAGTAGCAATCAATTCCCCCTCTACCAACTTGATCCCGTCTCCGTCCTCACAGCAAGTACGTCATGGAAGTGTCGGCCAGCTTATACTCTCGTCCGAGACTCCCGAACTTAGAAGACCCAGTGATACACGGACCACCATGTCCGAGTTAGGGCCTCCCACCCGGCGCCTGTCGTCTCTTTCTCGAGCAATATCCACTGCATCCATCTCCGATTCTGACTCTGATACAGACGATAATGAATCATTATCAGATGTTCCACCTGACGCTGCCACCAATATTCAGATAGATGAAGATGACGACGATGATTCATTATCGGACTCTAGCAGTATGAGATCAGCTCATGAGACGAACCCAGTCTCTACTGCTGCAAGTCACCGAAGCATCCCTCCGTCCACAGCCACTCCCGCAGCGGCACCCGTACAAGCCCCCGCCGTTCCAATCTCTGGTACAAGTACTGCCATCATGCCTTCAGAGCCGGTTTTGTCAGATATTCAAGCGCAATATGCCATGTGGATCGACAGTCAGCAAGGGGTCGAAGAGCCTACCGTTCATCATGATTCCAGCCAGTTCACTGGTCACACAACATCACCGGCTGCATTATCTGTTCCCAAATTGGAAACTGCTCCAAGTGCTGAGCATTCACCTAATGCCGCTCTTGCCAATGTATCAAAGACGACCATCAGCTCCTCTCCTTCTTCTCATTCCACTGCATCCAGCTGCGCATCTGCAGCCACATCTGCATCCTCTCCAGCACCTTCTTGTCATAGTCACCAAACTAGCAAGTCCGTTAAAACGCAAACGCCCTCGGTCACATCTGTAGCCGTGGTTGCACCTGTAGATATATCCTCCGTTCCGCATCCACGACAAGAAGCGCCTCATCCTATGGCGAGTAATAACGAAAGCGAAGCTACCGAATTGGACGATCTGTTTTTGCTGGTCACTCACGGTGTCGATTTCCTGCAGCAACGCGAAAAATCCAAATGGGAAGATGACGGTGGCTACCAATTCCATCCCTGGAATCGAACCGATGGATCCTTTGCCGTCAAACGTCAACCAAAGAAGGTCCAAGCAAAGCATACTGCCCCACAACCACCAAGCGAACAAAATGGTACAGCATATACCCCAATCACTGCCTCAGAAAGTAATGAAAGCTCAGAATCATTGGACATCACGCATCTAACACCATCCACCGAAGGATCAACGGAGGAACTGCTGTCACCTCCACCGACCCCATCTCCCCAGCAAGAAAATACCCAGGATTCCAAAAAGAAGCCTGGCGTTCACCCATTGTTGCTCGCCGGTGCAACCAAGCGACAGCCGTACGTACCACAAACGCCTATTGCTCAACACAATGAAACATTGGTGGACGAGGTAAGCATGGTGATGACGGATGGTTATAACGAAATTGTTTGATTAACAATCCTGCCCACTCGTTTTTTTTCAGGAACTCGAATTGCAACGTATCGTAGCCTCTCATATTCTGTTTTAAAGCTATGGGAATGGCAATTAGCAATTACATCTGTCAATATAAAAAAAGTAGGATATCATTTTTACAAAAAACTATTTTGCATGCTAAAAGAGGAAAAAAAAGTGCAAGAGATTGCTGGAAATAATAAATAAAAAAATAGCGTTAAATAAACACTGTGAAGTATGAAAGGAAAGGGATGTTTGTGGATGGGTATTAGTTGGCTTCACGCCTGATATGCACCGTGACGGCTCCGTTGGTCTTGGTCTTCCTCATCAAGATCGATTTCATCCATTAACGCCCGTTGATACTCAGCTTCACGTTTTCCGCCCCATCGTCGTTGATGTTCCCGCCTGGATGTAAAGAGATAATCTGCCAAAAATGCACAAGCGACACCACAAGCTCCACCCAACAAATTGGCAATGATATCATTCACATCAAAAGTACGATACTGCAAAAGCGGAGCAACATGGGGAATGGGGGAGTTTGAACAAGTTAGCCTATTGATCAAAGTAATGGTCGCGGCACTTTCAACTCACCGGAAGAAAACTCTGTATACATTCACTGCCAATACTCATGGTAATCAAAATGAGGGAGGCCAGCGTGAGATTACGTTTGTAAGACAGATTCCACAAGAAGTATAAACATGTGCCGAGAATCAAGAATGAAGTGAAATGGAGCACCTTGTCATTGATTCGATGTTCCAGATTAATGGGTGTGAAGCCCAGAATGGCCATAAATATCAGAATGAATAGTAGCAAAATAAGAATTCTTAACCGCATATTAGGTAAAAGAAGGACTGGGGATACGTAGCGATAATGACAGTGGTGGAGTCCTTTGTAGGACCGATCATCTGCTTGGATAATTTGAGGTTGCACACTCAGAGTTCGCATCCAAAAAAAAAAAAAAAAATCTTTGCTCACGACGTCATCATTTTTTTTGGCATTCTCTTTGGGAGGCCCCTGCTCAGTCCTTGATCTATCACTGGCATGAAATGCGCGCCTGGCGTAGACATTTTCGTGCAACTCGTACGAATGGTTTGCATGCAGAACCGTTAGCTGACAATGAGGAAGACTATGGTCTGTGTACCAATGTGGTGTCAAAACTGCGAATCGAGAATAAAATGATTAGGTAGGTCGAGGAATCCAAAAAATGAAATACCTCACTGTGTCGATGTAATTAGCAGACCTCACTTGTTTATTTTCTCGGTCGGTGGCAAAAAAGAAAATAATGTTCCGTAATAGCGGGCCATTATGCATGCTAAAATGTGAAGACTCAACATGTTGGATCCGCTGGACAAATGAATCAACAAAGAATAACTAAGAGAGGCTGATGTAATCAATGAGCATATTTGTCTGATCTCCATTCGGATCTTTGAAGCATTCACAGAGATTTTCTTGGGAGGGCAATCCAGCCATTGCCAGTTCTATGCCCAAAGTTTGTTATACCTGTCGCTTCCTCAAATGTCAACTGATTATTGGGTTCAGCCGTAAAGACGACCTTTCGGATCGGGAAACATCCGTCAATGATCTCCACCCTTGTCACATATTATCGGGAACCGTAAATTTACAAGAGGTTCGCTGAAACCCATCAAACAAATAGCAATAAAAAATATCCATGAACCAATCAACTGTTGAAGTTGTAGTCAAGGCAATTAGTTGCTTGACTATCACAAACAAAGAGCAACGGAATTAAACAATATACTGCGTTTCCGTTAAGCAGCTTTTGGAAAGTCTCGGTTGTTGTCGTACTTTATGAAAAGCATTCACATTGGCTTTGTATGCTTCGAGGATTTGTGATTTGCAGGCCCCTTGACAGAGATTCAAACCCCAGCATTAACCAGCATCAATTTTTTTTCCTTACAAAAAAGTTTTTTACCGGCCGGCATGAATTCTTTCATCAGCATATTAAGCTCTCTTGCATCTTTTCATTTATTTGAGCCTAGCTATTCCTCCAATCTTGCCAGCAAACCATCATTAGTTGATATCATCTGTAGCCTGGATATGGAATCCCGATATCACCAGAATTATGCTTCGCATATTTCAACACACACCATCCCCATAGCCGATACAGAAGCATGCCATACCCATACCGAGCAACCGTCCTTGCCAAAGTATTGGCATGTGCCACAAGTAAAGGGTCATGACGACGGTTCTGCGTTTCATTCGGATTCATCGCAAACAGGGGACACTTGCGAACGACAGCATGCCAGATATCCGAGAGATACTATCCAACAACGGAGTATTGACAAAAAGCGACGTGATATGCAGCAAAATGTGAAAAGGATATTGCGAAAGCTCACCATCGATATATGCCATACTTTCGCCCAAAGTAATCCGGATTTCCACTATGAACCAAGCTTTCGGCCTCTAAGAGTTCTGACCAAACCTAGTCACGGCGTTAAAAACGACGGAGAAGACAACGAGCATGGCGATTACATTCTCTACGTCAATTGCATATTGGGAGAAGGTGAACACAGGTAAATTACCCTTGAGATCCGGTTTGCTTTGTATTTATACTAATATCACCATAGATATGTTGTATTGGATATCCTAGGTTCTGGTACTTTTGGACAAGTGACAAAGTGCCGCAACCTGGTTACCGGAGAAATCGTAGCCGTCAAAGTGGTGAAGAATAAGCCAGCTTATTACCGACAAGGGCTGATTGAAGTGGATATCCTACGAGAAGTAAGCGGCCAAGGAAAAAAATAATAATTCGGGCATCATCGGGAATGCTGACATTTGTTACAGTTGAATACTATTTATGATCCCCTAGATAAGCATCATATTCTTCGCCTTCAACATTCCTTTGTGCACAAGCATCATTTATGCCTCATATTCGAATTACTCTCCTTCAACTTGTACGAGCTGATGAGGCAAAATTCGTTTCGAGGCTTGTCCGTCAACTTTATACGGATCCTTGCATCTCAGTTGTTGGAAGCACTTGTTGTCTTGCGAAAAGCGCAGATTATCCATTGTGATTTGAAGCCGGAGAACATCCTTCTTGAAAGGTAGTATCACGAATCCTCTCAGCGCACCGGTCCTTATTTTTTTAACCTACCGATTTGTAGTCTTACATCACCCAAAGTCAAAGTCATCGATTTTGGTTCCTCGTGCTTTGTACACAAGCAAATGTATGCATATATACAATCCCGATTTTACCGTTCTCCCGAAGTGCTTTTGGGTGTGCCCTATACCACGGCGATTGATATGTGGTCTTTTGGTTGTATCATCGCTGAGCTATATCTCGGCCTTCCTATATTTCCAGGCAGCTCAGAGTACAATCAGTTATCGCGGATCATCGAAACATTAGGGTAAGACTTAAGAGAAGCTACCACCCATCTAGGATGGTTTTTAAAGTGCTGAACATTTTTCCAACTACAGGTTACCACCGAATTACATGATCGAAGAGGGAAGCAATGGGTCGCTATATTTTAATGCCATGTTTAACGAGCACTCGCCATCGACATCGATGCAGTACTGCTTCAAAAGCAAACAACAGTTTTTAGAAGAAACTCAAAAGATGGAAAAACCAAGTAAACGTTACTTCCACTCTACCAACTTGCCGGATCTGATATTCAAATATCCGATGCGCAAGCACATGAGTTCATTAGAGAGAGAAAGGGGTAAGTTATTGCAAGAGAAGCGACATCAGTATACTAAATGGCGAATAACCGAGTAGAAATGGGACATCGGGCATTGCTCCTCGATTTTCTGAATTATGTACTGCAAATTGATCCCCTTCTTCGTCCGACACCAGAGGAGGCACAAAATCATCCGTTTATCAGTCAACTACATACTTCCATTCATACACCTCCATCCTCTCATGCTTCGGTCCATTCTGGCGATGACTTGCTGAATGTTCGGCGACCCAACTCTGATCCTGTATTTCATACAAAAATGTTTGACGAAAAGACGCCTATGCGCGATATTCAATGGACCCCTCCTCAATCGCCCGAACCACACGACACATCTACTGGCTGTAGCACAGCGGTTAGCTACGGAGCCGATCGATCCGTTACCCTTAAACATCTACCATTAAGGCACGAACAGCAGCGGGAATGAAGCTCATCATTTTCTCGCCCCAACTTGTCAATTTGCTACTTTCACTGTATATACAAGATATTTATAGAAGCAATGCCAGCTGTCTGCTTCAGTCATAAAGTATTGTAATTTTCCTAATTTTACACACATGGTTGCAATTTAATAGAATATTCGGTAATGTAACAAGGTTAAGCCCTATCTGCGTTAGCATATTTCAGGGCCGTATGATCCTCCATAGCAACAACTCCTTTTCCACTCAGGTCCCATCTTTTCTCCCACAAGTTTTCGACAACCACTGTCAGACGTCAAACCGATGATTCTTATGCACCAGATACCCCAAGAGATGATGCAAAATTGAAATACAGGTTACCCATTGACTGTGATGACTTAGGGCAGTAATAATCACCCTTTATCACATTTTTTATACGTATTAAGGTAAAACCAATATTTATCGTATATCTTTGACTCGGCTTGGACCAAGTGAATGTCCCGCGCTATTGATATGTAACAAAGGCGACCAGTCCGTTGTCGTCCCAATTGCGGAACCGACAAAAATTCAAAACACAGTAGCTTTTATTTCTATTCAAAAAGTAAGCGCATCTGCCAAGACTATGATAGTTACATTACAAAGTAAATGCTTGATGGTAAATATATTTCGGTCGCAGGATCGGCTTGTCTGTGTTTGTCGCACGCCTTTTTTGCTGAGTAACGAGATTTGCAGTATTTCAATCCGCGCCATGTTCGAGAGAAATTTTAGAGGGACGGAGATCAAATTTTTTCATTCCTTTCAGTCATGCAGTTCAAGGCTGTCATTTTCGATATAGGTACAGTAAGCTTGTGCCGTCACGCGTATCCATGGCTCATACTGTGTTCGAAGGAGGTGTATGTGTAGGAAGCCCCATGCGGGGGATTCATCGCTTCGAACAGGAAAACGGGCTACCGAGGAATTACATCAATGTCGCCATGTAAGTCGGTGCAGACGACAATAGATCATACAGCAAGACTCACTCTGGGATTTTAGTGTACAGCAAGGTGAACATGGTGCTTTTCAGGTATACCGCCATATGATCCAATGCTTGTCTGCATTCCCGACATACTAAAATTCTGATCAGCAATTAGAGCGGGGTGAAATTAAGTTGCATGACTTTTACAAAGCCTTTGGTGATCAGTTATCTCATCCTTCGAACAAGGCCCATTACAAAGCTTATCTTGAGAAAGCAGGGAAACGTTTGTATATTTTACTTTAATACTTTGCCTATTGCGTACTGAGAGTTTATTTTTTTCCCATTCCGATATAGCTGTACCTGAACATATTCCGGATGTAGTTGTTGATGGGAAAGAATTGTTTCGCACCATGATGATTGAAACATCCATTATTGATCAACGAGTATTTAAGGCCATCCAACGCTTAAAAGGTAGCAATTTATTAGCTTTAGCTGATCCGAAAGCGATATTTATATCAAACATCATAGAGAATAAGCAGCTAACGATCGCGGCATTAACCAACAATTTTGAATTGCCGGAACACGACTTGGAAGAAACCAAGGCGCTTGGCAACTCTGTTCCAGAAAGTCTACGTAGTCAGTTTGATTATTTTATCGAATCACGACTCGTTGGATTAAGGTATAATCTGTCGATGGCCGTGGTGGTTGTAACTTTTTATGTAACTCTTTCTCATCGGGACGGTTTATCTTGCCAATAGGAAACCCGATCCCAAATTCTTTTCCTATGCTTGCGACCTGATTGGAGTAGCACCAAACGAAGCCATCTTTCTGGATGACATTGGCATGAACTTGCGTGCCGCCAAAAAGCTGGGCATGACGACCATCCGTAAGAGATATGCGATAGAAGAACCAGCAAAAGAGATGCATAATATTGATACAAATTATGATACAATATAGAGGTCAAACTCGGGAAATCGGCGGAAGCCATCCAACAGCTCGAAGCATTGGTCAACATGGATCTTCAAAGCGGGGCTGCGAAACTATAGGCATATTATGTCATGCGGAAGCCTGAATCGTTATAAACAAGATAAATTTTGATACCCAATCGAAAGATATGGGAGACATCAGATAAGGGCTGTCAAATTGCGAAAAAAAAAATGTGAGTTTGACAGCTTCCCACTTCTCAGCCACGATAGACAGTATTTACTGGAAGTCTGTCACCCATGTGTTTTGTCCAACTGAGCAATGCCATGTTGACCAGCGAATTCGGTATCAGCGAAAGGGAGGCTACATAGTCTTCTGAGGATGACGATTTTTGTTTTGGTGTGGAGAAAGTGAATCCATAGCAGCTCAAATGCTCTTCTTCAGCCAACGGAATGGTTTTGCTGAGAGCCAGCTTCAGCACCGCTTTTGGCTGGTGGGTTGACACATCCATGGCTTTCTGAAATTGGTAATTGCTGGGTTCTAAAGGGGCCATATTGATGTGGGGATAAACGAGGATGTTGTTCAGCATAAAACTTCGCGTCAATAATCCTCTCAAACCCTGTATTTTCTGCAATTCACCATGAATCGATGCATGATGAGTCGGTATACCATGTTATTAGGGCCATCGGCGAATGGTTTTTTTCGGGGCTCTCACCTTTTGTATGTGTGTGATTGAACAAGGTAACGAGTCTCGTGGTGAATCAGGTGGAGTGTAAGGAGGAGTAAGTGGTTGGTGATGGAAGGATCGATCCGTTGCTTGCTTGCCAGATATCTTTACAGTCAAGGAGGGAAATAGGGAAGAGTCAGTGGGAGGAATAAAACTACTGTTTGCGGAAATATCCGACAAGTAAGCTCCTTCGACGGCACTGAATAACGAGTCACAGTCGGTCGACACCTCGCTGCGCATTGAAGGTGACGTTGAAAGAGAATTGCATGGTAAGCCAGGACTACAAGATCGTTCGATATCCTCAAAGCAAGCAGTGTGCTGCGTTGATATCGATGGGTGCAAAGTTGGAGCGGGTATCAGCATGGTTCGTGAAAATACAAAATGGGTAGAGTATTGCTTTGATAACTGATCTATGTCTCTTCGCAAGCTGTGTGATCGCTCAGCGAGACGGATACGCGGACGTAGTTTTGGCTGGTAGGTGTCAGCAGCGGTTCCCGTGTCTAAATACCCTGTGTAAGCCATTCACTGAATGATGCAATTCGTGCTTCGCATAAATGATTTTTACCACTGTTCAAAGGAAAATACAATTCGATCCAACTATCATCCTCATCATCATACGCTGTCCATTGTTGGTGTTGACTGCGCTGCAGCTCCCTGATACGTGATTGTACATCTTGTGAAATAGCAAGTAGTCGGGTATATCGGCGTCTGTCATTATCTGACCGTAGTTTTGCCACTAGCGTACCAAGATGGATTCGATCCGATGGATCCATGAGAAAGTCTATTGTATAAGTTTTTTTTTGACGAACAACCGGCAAAAGAAAAGAAAAAGAGAAGAAGGAGCTACGTACGAGAGATAGAGCGGTCCATGAGCATCGATTCCCCCTGACTCCTTCATCTTTATTGTTCACCTACGGTTTAGCCCCTGAATGTTAGCACGGATGTAGGGAACCAATGACATGTTCTGAGTGACCCGATGACTTTCTCGTGTCATTTCGCGACGAAAAAAATAAAGTTGTCTCTCACTACGCTCGCTGAGAGGATAATATCCATCCTATCAAATCACGCTGCCTGTCGAAGGAATGCTACGACAGAAAAATGATACATCTGATTGCATTTTGGATACGCTAATCTTGACCGGACACAAGCTGTCGACCGAATGAAGGCAGCGATATAAACCATGCCATGGAGGCTCTGAAAGTGATCATAGCCACTTGCAGCAAAGCCGAATTGAGGGACACGCAATTGTCGTTGAGCTCATGCAGACGAGGACTCATGACAAGGTTGAAACATGTTCGATATATCGGATCGGTCTCGATGGTAACTGTTACACAAATGATATGGACGGAGCTTTCCCAGTTCAAAGGGCCGTCCATTTCCCCGCTGACTCGTTTGTTTCATGTCGTTCAACGCAGCCCCGTAAAACTGATCAACACGAACCTTCTAAACTCGCACCCCAGGGAAACAAGCTCGGATTTTTCCCTCTATTGGCTCTTTCTATTATTTCGCGGGCATCAAGTCAAAAGCGTAGGGAGTGAGTATTTGATTTGGGTTTTGTCGATCTCATCCGGCCGGGTTACCATTGGTTCTCTCAAGTGCGTATCCCATCCGTCATTTCCGCAATTGTTTCCACCGTAGCTGTCACCGTCTGCCCTTCAGAACATCAGCCTAATACTTGATTGACACCTTTTCTTTTTGGAGGGAACAATTGCCAGTTTTTTCTGTTCAGGGATATCAAGAAGAAACACATGGTCGACAAGAGGTAATCTGCTGTTGAGGAGTAAAAATCACAAAAAAAAAAGAAGTTCCTTGAAGTTTATTTCAACCAGTAGGCAATCAATTTTTTACCGATAAGAAAGAATGTCACTTGTTTGTATTGATAGAAAATGAAGGATGCGAAATTACAATAACGTTTCAATGAATGGAGGAATTTTTTTTCTACTGAGTGTAATACATGAAAATGCAATTATATCTACAAAGTGATCTGCGATCGACGCATCAAGTTGCGACGGACTCGGATGGCACCTCCTCCCACTCCTTCGACATTTTCTACCGTTACATAGCTAACTTGCCGCCAAGGAACACCAGCAATACCACCGCCAGCTCCATTGCGATGATCGAGCATACACCAGATCGGCAGCTCAATATCGCCTTTCACTAGACCTGACACTTTCTTCAATCGTTCAACAGGGAGCGGTGTGAGCAAAAGCATGGCATGTCGTGAGGGATCAATCGCTCGCACAATCGCCAAGCCGTGGCAAGTGGTCGCTTGAGGAGGCGGCGGAGGATAATCGAGGGACGAGTAGTATTTGGGCAGTTCAATCGACGCTTTCTCGCCCCTTGGCTGAATGGTCACTTGGTTATTGGGTCCGTCTACTTGTTCGCCGTCCACGACATCACCGATAAGAGCGACAATGCTTCCGTTCAGTGTATACAGCAAATCGCGAAGAGGCACATCGTTATTCAAAACCCAGATCCCATTGAACCCTTGGCGCCAATCCACAGACCAAGGCACCTTCTCAACTAGCCGAGTACGGAAATCCCACCACCGTTGGCCAGGCTTGTAAAAAGAGGTTACTTGTTGATGGAAATACGACACCAAAGATAGGTTGCGATGATCGGCGCCGTGATACTTGTCAGCAAATGTACCGTAAGCCACGGCGCTTTCCAGATAATGTAATGTCGGTGGCTGTGATTGCACGGTTGCCATTGGGTTGTCCGAATGATAAACTGAAGTCGTGAACGATGCGGGGAGGTTGCGCGACGCAATGGAAGATTGAAAGACGCAGATATCGGTTGGTATCGCTTTTTGAATGATACTTAGGAGCAGATCATAGCCTAAACCTCTTGTCCATCCGTGGGTATTTACGACAAGAGGCACTTTTTCGGATTCTTGGTCTGCTGCATCATTGTCAAAGTTGAATCGCCAGATTTGAAGCAGCTCAGTCAAACAGTCCATATAGTAACTGGGATCATCCTTGGGAGAAGTGGAGCCGATAAAATAGCTTCTCATTGGTTTCCAGTGTTGATGGGTGAAGGGAGGACCGAGGATGGGCTGGTCCAATACATGCAATGCAATCATTCCCGGTGCGGTAAACTCGGTTTGGCCGAGATCCGCTTCCAAGAATGCAACACGTCGGTGACTGTAAGAATGTAACGTGAGCCTCCATTGCTATTTGACTGTCGCGAAAATCAAAACTTACACATCCAGTAATCTGTTTGTGAGGTACCGAGCGAAAGAAGATTTGCCCATTTTTTGACTGCCACAAACAACAGACACACCTGGTTTAGGTCGATCTGTGAACCAATATTTTCGGTCAAGGACTGCATACACAGAAAGAAATCAATTCACTGGTGAAACATTTACCGGTTGACGAGGAAAGAATGTGTTTCGTCTGTGTTGACCATGACACGGGGATTTGTATCGCTTTGAGACCCGCAGTGACGGAAAGTACCTGATACAAGGTATTCGTTAATTCATGTGCGTTGAGCCGAAAGTCAGAGAATTAAAAGAGACATACCGGGTAGAATCCAGGGATATGGTTTAACGGGGTCATGTCCTTGGTTCGATCCAAATCAAATATACCTTTAAACATGGGCAGAATCTGCTCCACATCGGCAATTCCATTCCAGTGCATATCTCGAAGGACGACGACCGTCGAAAAACCTTTCACTGCTGAGATCAGAGACGAAGATCCAGTGATATTTTTCAAGTTGATCTTGTCCTTTAAAGGCGCTCGATCTTGCGTTAATGTAGACTTTTGTGATCCATCGATCGGTTGCAATCTGAGCAGAGCGTGTGTTTTTGGTGAATAGATAGGATAGAATGATAGATCAAAGATTTGGGAGGAGACATCTGCAGTTGTATATTGAGAGGACAACGTGGCACCCATGACAGTGATGGCACCAAACAAGGGTGCTATGAGAACATTACCCACAAATACAATGTCCTACGGTATCCATATGTATGAGTCGTCGGGTGTGCGAAACAACTGCTTACAACGCATATGCTTACCTCTTCACTTTTCAATCCTAGCAAAAGATAATGATCGCCATCCTTTTCAAAAGGCAGCACATTTGTATCTGATGGTGTGAATCTCGAGACAGAGTGTGGATCTAAGTATAAACTATATTGGATGGAATGAGTGAAAATGACACGCAAAATATCGAAACCACACGGTTTTTTTTTTTTTTTTTTTTTTTTTTTTTTTTTTTTTTTTTTTTTTTTTTACCTCCTTTGTTTTTTTGGCTCCATACGTTTCAATGGTGTGATGGCTGTATTGTGTGATTTATTGTCCTCTGAAGAGGAGGCGCCCATATCAAGTGTTGCTTCAACCGGTTCCGTGTCAGCCATGACAATGTCTTGCTCAGATTCGCCACCGCGAGTTACTGACACAGGTGATGGCATTCCTTCGTCACTTGTATTAGCGTCGTCTTCGTCGTCTGCAGGATGCAAGTCACTGGTATCCTGCTGAACGTCAATGGGCTCGGGGCTCGGGCTTGCGGTTGCAGTAGAAGCACCAGCTGCTTTGGCAGCACGTCTGGCCGCCAAGGCGCTGATCGGGCGTTGGGCAGATTTTGATTTCTCCTTTGCCGAGGTTTTGATAACTTTTTCTGTTGCAGGTTCCGGGGCTGCTGAGGTTGCTGACGCTGACGCTGCTGCTGCTCTTGCTGCTTTCCGGGCTGCGAGTGCACTGACGGGTGCTGCTTTTTTTGAAGTCGAAGTTGTTGGAATGACAACTGCCATTACCTCCTTTGACAGTTCAACAGCCGGAATGTGGGATTTGAATTCATCGCTCCCTTGCTCACTTTTCGATGTCTGGCCCTTTGACTGTTTTGAAGCCTTGGATCGACGATCTTGATTGGGCTCTTTGGTTCCTTTTCGTTTTGGCGCCATAATAAAATCGTCCCGCAAAAAGTCGCGCACATCCACCCAAAAAGAAAAATGTAAAAAAAAAAGTTAATTGCAAGCAAAGAGCCGTCACAGCCCATCCAGCAAAGAAGTGAATTTTCAGATTTTTACCATTTGCAGGAGACCGGCGGTCCTAATTTTATTTCGCCATACTTGTTGCCAAATTCCAACCAGTAAAAAGTAATAGTGAAGAAAAGATCCTGCAAAGATTTACGACTGGTACAAAAATGACAGCAAACTGATATCAACTTTACAACAAATTGCGTCTTCCTTGATATTTGAAATGAGATATGGTCTGGTCAGATAAGAGAATTCCCGCAATAGTTTCAGTACAGCTAAGGCGACCCTCAGACATCAATTTTTGGTGCAATATCTGCAACTGGTTTAACTAACGTCACCTTGCGAGTTCCAAAGCGTATTAAAAATAGAAAGCTTGGACATGAGGCTAATAGTTATAAAACCGGAACAGTGACAGGCCGTTACTTTTTAGTAAGTGTCTCAACAAGAAAGGCGGAGTAGGTGAGAGACGTTGGGAAGTTTCTGCGAAAAAAAAAAAAAAGATCTATCCGACTACACGCACACACAAAAGGGAGAATATCAAAACTCTACACGGGCAATCTGACCACACCGAAATTATGACATAGCCAGGCTGTATCCCCTCCACACAACTGCAACAAGTATAGATAAAACATACATCACTTACGCAACATATTGGAGAAACACTTGCCCGAATATATCTGGCATCCCCAGGGCGATTCTTTTTGCAGACGCGTTTGGAAATTACTTTTATCGATCCTGGCCGCACCTCTTTTACGTTTAATGTCATCACAAGCGGGGCAATGATTCCGCAGTATATGCAGCCATAAAAGTAAGTGGCATCTGCAGAAAGTTATAAGTTCATTGTCAAGGATCTGTCAATGTACTGTTACAGGGACGAATTGCAGGTTGATTGCCACGTTTCCTAAGCTGCTGTGGATTTTCTGCATCGGTTGCACGAATGCAGCAGTGAAGCTCACTGCTCCTGCCCACATTAGACGCCAAGAAGAGGACGACTTTATTTTCTTAATGGTTTATTCTTCTATTACTATTGTCCGTGGAAAACGTATGAATAAACTAGCAAGAAAATAAGAAAACGACAAAATGAAAAAAAAAAGTTTGCAGAAGTCGTCCTCTTCTAGAAGTTTAAGTGGACATGAGATATGAGCCTCGTTGCGGCATTTCTGCAAGCTGATGCAAAGGTTCCACAGTGGTAATCAACCTGCAACTCGTCCCTGCAACAGTACATTGACAGATCCTTGACAATGGACTTCAAGTGTCACTTCTTGCGGATCCCACTTACTTTCATGGCTGCATATATTGCGGAATCAGTGTCCCGCTCGTGATGAGGTTAAACGTAAAGGAGGTGTCAGTGGCCAAGATAGATAAAAGTGCAACGCGTCTGCGCAAAAAGAATCACCCTGGGGATGCCAGATATATTCGGGCAATATTTCTACCAATATGTTGCGTAGGTGATGTATGTTTTATCGATAGTGTGAGGGAGATACAGCCTGGTTTTATTGTGATAATATCGCCCGTACGTATAGAGTTTTGATATTCTCCCTTTTTTTTTTTTTTCTTATGCGTGTATTTGATTAGTGAGTTAAAAATAAGCCAGCGCTTGGTGCACTCCAACGTTCACTCCAGTTCAAAATCAATTAGCATGACGTCACGCTAACAAAAAATGTGGAGTACCCGACGCGAATAGTCTGAGACCTTTATTTTCTTTTTGACCACTATCATCTTGACCAAAGTCTCTAACATTACTGCTGTTGTTGAAGCTTTCAATGATCTTGTGCAAGTTTGACCAACGCCAAAATCAATTCAACTGCCGCTGTTCCCGACGCTGTTGCCGAATACCAACGGAAGTTCAATATCGTACTCAGTGTCAAACAATCCAATGATCGTGTAATCTGGCTCAGGTGCAAGCATATAAGACTGTGGAACCCGTAAGGGTATTGCCGACAATGAAACCGTCGGGGACGAAGAATGCTTTGGGCCGGCTTTTTATCAAGCGCAAATCAAGGCAGAAGATTGGCTCCACATGAATACAGAAGCTCGCTGTCATTTATGTGATCAGCCACTCCTCTCAAAGTGAAACGATGCATAGAGAAACGAAGAGCGAGATCATCATGTTGACGTTGTTTATGTGGGAGAAAGTAGGAATCTTATCAGTTCCATCAATACCATTTGTTGGCTTTCTCACTTTCTTTTTCTTCTTATGTAGACCACATGTCTATTTCAGATGTAATTGTGTTCATTTGCAACGACATGGGTTGATTATGTCAAGTTTAAAAAAACGCGGCAATTGTATCTTAACGATGCTGAAGGGAACTCAAAAAACGGTGTGCAAACGGAGAATTCCATGCTTAACCACGCACCATCACCAACGCTTGCCCTGGAAGTCTCACGTGCACAGAAACTGCACTTTCTGGCGCCCGATTCCTTGATGCCCAAGCAGCAGAACCCAACAGGACAAACTTACGTTTGCTCAACCTGGTCGCTGGATGCCAATACTGTTTGGGTTGTGAAAGAAAAGGAATGGGTTTCTCACATCAATATCCACAAGTTCAACCATACTGCAAGATAACCCACTAGGTGTGTGGTTATTTCCTAATCCAGATACCCCATCTAATCAATCGTCGGTCCAGGCTGATGAAGACACTCTTATCTCGCGTATAAAAAATCTGCCAGGTAAATCAATAATGTCAGAGCTCCAGCATTTTTTCTCATCTTCTTTCTTTTTGTCTTTCATTTTTGTTAGTCAGTAAAGCTGCTTGAGCACGCACCCTCAAAGGAACTGTCAATTTTCACGTGGCGGAGTACGAAAGAACACAATGAAAATTGGAGAGCACCAAGTGTTGACCTCTTTTCTGACCTCTTTTCTGGGCGAACTTCTGAATGCTTATCCACAGGTTGCCCCCATCTAACAAGGGTGATGATGAAGTTTTGTCATTAACTTCTTTACTACCTTACAAGTATTGTCGCTCTTCAACCCGCCATGGAGGCACTGTCCGACAGAGACATTATCCTTCGCGGCTTGGAAGCACCTCAACAGTACGACGGTCTCCCATATTATCTGCTTAACCAAACAAGATCCAGAATTGCGAAACGTGATTACCTTCAATTCAGAAATCGGAAATCTTTTTAACGACGAAGAAGAAATCAAGATCATTGGCAATAGTGCTTTGAACAGCCGAGAACTGGTGGACTTGGCGAATGGCATATGCACTTTCCAATACGCACCGGTTCTAAGCTACCTAGATCGACGCTCCCGTCTCACCGTGGTCACAGATGCTTCTAACGACGGTATCGGGGCGGTATTATATCAACAAAAAGATCGAAGACATCATTGCGGAACTGTATGATTAGTGTATTTTTGTTTTTCCACGATCTGTTCTATTCCGAAAAAAAAAATAGCCCAGGCTCTACCAGTGTTTCAAAGAGAAGGTAATGGAGGGAATTTACTTCCGGGTCTCGATAATTTCGTTATGTTGAGGAAAAGGGGAGCAAAGATATGAGAACTTTCTTAATGCCGTTGGTTGCATCGGTGATAATGAGTGCGGTCTTTCATCTCGTGGCAGACATATACCATATTTCTAATTTATATCGCTTTCCTTCTATTTGCTAACCTGATCTAAAGAAAAAATCACAATCGTTGCAGAGGTGTTGGATAAAGCTGTTGATCAACGGTCAATCAGAGACGCGGGAATAGTTGTTTTATGCTCGATCTTTTTTTTTTTTTTTCTTTGCAGGAACTTTTCCACCAAAACGTCTTTTATCTATCATACTCTGCATTGTTCATAGCCTTTCTTTGTTGAGACACTTACCACAAATTTTAAATGGAGAAGAAATCACTTGGATGCGATCGCAAGCCTCACTAATTCTAGTCACGAGCAGTTCTTTCCTTCCAAGAGCTAATTTGCTCTTGACAACTGACCAGAAGTGCTCAGTTGGACTTAGTTCTGGAGAATATGAAGGATGATAGACGAATCGATACTCGGGAGTGAAGATATTTTTCGATATTCATTGAGTTATGAATAGGAGCATTATTCATGCCAAGATGATGTCCTTTCATTTCTGGATACTTGTCGATCTCATTAAAGAGTCGCGTTCACAATGCTCAATGAACCAAGATCGTTATGCTTTACAATATGTCGTTTATTTTTATTGAATATAGGTATTTATTACAAAGATGCGGAAAAAAGAAGTAAGCGTTGGCAGAAAAGATGAAATTTTAGCCAGGCAGTTAGTGATGATAGATGTTTTGAAGGGGTTCAGGATTGCTGACAGTCCAGTCGAGCTTCTTGGCAATACTATAAAGAGAATAAGACGATTTATCAGCCAAATGAAAAACGCGATTTTCCGTGCAGCAATGTATAAACACTTACCCGTCCTCAATATCGTAGGCCCAAGCATGGATCGTAAGCTTCTGACCTCTGGCCCAAGCATTCTGCACGATGGTGGAGTGACACACGTTCTTGGCCGAGTTGATGGCATTCAATTCCACCAGTTTGCGGATACGCTTACCATCACTTTCCAAGGGCTCAATCTCGCCAACATGCACTGTCAATAAATGATGCGTCAGTATACAGCTTTCCTCTTTTTAACCCGCTTTTTACAAATACTTTACATCGATAGACATCTTTGATGGATCGAAGCCAGTTGTCGATCAAACCATACTGCTCCTTGCCATAAGCTGCTGTGACACCACCGCAGTTGTAGTGACCTGTGAATACCGAGTACCAATACGAAACACAATGAGTATCAAGAAGGACGTTTTCGGTTCATGCGCATGAGAAAATAACCTACCGCAAACAATGATGTGTTGAACCTTGAGAACTTCGACGGCGTATTGAATCACAGACAAACAGTTCAAATCGGAATGGTTGACCACGTTGGCGATATTTCTGTGGACAAAAATCTCGCCTGGGCCCAATTGAACAATTTGGTTGGCAGGCACACGAGAGTCCGAACAACCTACAGTTATGGTAAAAATGAGACAGCTGAAAGAGGAAATGATCGACCAACCCAGCGATTTGTCTTACCAATCCACAAGATCTTGGGTTCCTGACGAATAGCGATATTTTTGAAGAACTCGGGATCCTCGCGAAGCACTGCTGCAGCCCAGCGACGGTTGTTGTCAAGCAAACCATCAAGGGTTTCGTCGGAAACATCAAACTTTTGAATAGCTGATGTATTGCTAATGGGGGCATTGCAATCGCAACAGTTGTCTTCGTTTCGATGAGAGGTCAGAATCAAGGGTTCAATAACAATGTCAGGCGAAGCATGATGACGGTGGTGATGGTGGTGATGTTGCTGAACAGCTGGGGCAGAGGCCTGTGCTTTCGAATCTTCAGAGCTCATACTGACAATAAATGAATGTGTATCAATAGAAAGAGACGGAACAACAGAAGAAAAAAGAAAAGAAAAAAAAATGGACGAGTCCAAAAAAAAATATTTTTTTTTTTTTGGTTGGGGCAAGACAAGGTCCTGGCACCCATCCTTTCGTCCGCATTATTGTGCACATTTTTTAATTTCCCAGCGGGATGGACGTAACTCGAGTGCCTTTTTTCATTTCCGAGTCGCTTCTGATTCGTCAACCATCACGGCGATTTTTGACACACCTTTCACAAATCATGTCAAGGTCCGCATCGGGGTTACAGAAAAAGCTTCTTTACTTCTACTCTGGTTATTTATGGCATTGGCCAATGTGTCATGACGTTGCCATGCTTCCATATTTACTTTACAAACAAGACCAGACAATCCCCATGGAATAACATGATTAGTATTTATGAAATTTCATAAGCATGGAATGAACGTCTGTACGTTAGCACGATGCTCTTGGCTGTCAAGCCAGCTCCAAGATTTTTCTTTGGCCTTTTGAAACACACGGCGATCAAAAATATTTGACTCTCTTGTACGGCCTGGCAGCCACGCAAAAAATGAATTCATGTACAAAAAAAAAAGAGGTGACCCCAGCAGAGATAATAAAAATGCTTGTCACACAGTATGAAAGCGCTAGATTTTTAATCCGAGGACTCCCCAAAAGGATGGAATCAGAATCAGAACGAAAAGCTTTTGGGAAGGGACAAGGTGAGGGAATTGCGGCAGGCGGGATGGCGGAGGAGTAAACATCGACCAATGAAAAACAGGGCCAATGACGGTCCGTAGCCAAAAAATGAGCCATACCCCATTGTCCCCATTTTACGACCCATGGGCAGGGAAATATTTGATCCAAAAACCCGAAATTTGATTGGCTTTGTTTCAATCATTATTGGCATGGACACGGACCCTTTATCGTACCTCACCGTTATGCGTATAAAGAGCCCTTTAGGATATCCATTGATAAATCCTTGGATAAGATAGGGTATGGCAAAACTTGAAGCGCCGCCAAAGTGGAGGAGGATTGCTTTATCAGCTTTTTTCCGCTTTAAAAAGCGATAAAGACGGTGGTCTTAGTTTCATTCAACATGCAGCAAGTCTTATAAGACTGTCCAAGAAGAAAGAACCAGAAAAAATTAGAAGGTATTTTTATAAAATTGCACTATCGGGGACCCTGACCCACAACTTGCACGAAGTCGGGGAAACGTATGTACATCGGTGGGTTGTTCATAGGTGGCTCGGTGTCAAGTCTCCCTTATAAACCTCTGACGCCGTAGCATGCCTTTTTTTCGGATGGGTTGTGGCGCCATGTGCCTATGGCAATGCTTATCAGCAGTCGCGGGGGTGGGTTCGGGGAACAAGTTTGGTAACTTGGCCAGCCAACTTGTTGGTTTGGGGGTTCACCGGGACTGGTGGTATCTGATAAGTTTTCTTTATAAAAATTTGAAATGAAATGAAAAAAATGGAAAAATATTCGTTTTATTGGTCGATCTTTTGGGAGATCAAGGACTTTCCTTCTAATCATGCCAACACTGCATGCTCATCTTGACCTTTTCTCTCTCCCGTCTGTTTTGCCCTCTACAGAAATTGTACTACAATTTATGGCATATCACACTTATAAAGTTACAAAGGCTATTCATATTTATTTACACGGAATTTTGTTTGCTTTTGAGGATTTCCTCTTCTGCTTGTCGAGTGCGCTGACCTGCTTTGGCTTCCATCTCGGGATCACCGGCAATATGACCGACAGTTTGCTCTAAAATGCCCATCATGCGATTATATTCTCCGTGCACTCGACTAGGTTCACCATTCGCTGATCGTTCAGCAGCACTTTGATACACGTCATTGGCCCATCCTTCAGTCGATCGTCCAGCTGTTTCCCATGAATCAATTCCGGCCAAATTGCCAACTGCTGCCTGTAGTTGACCCGCACGGCGCCAAAATGCGCCTTTGACTTTGGCTATTTCTGGATCTTCTTCAGATGTGGTAGATCCAGTTGCATTAGTAGCTGTGTTTGCTTTAGGCTCTTGACTCAAAGTACTCTCGTTAGGGCCTGGATGCGTATGCGGTAAGATATTAGGATCGTCTGGTACGTTCACAACAGCACTAGGCGCTTGTGGAAGATTACTGGAGTTTGGTTGAGACGACATGATTAAAGGTCATCAAAGAGATCTTTTTCTTTTTTTTCCTTTGTGGCCAATTTTCCTGCATTTTTCAACCCTTGCATACAAGTTATGCTTTATATGATCATCGATTTTTTATGTTTCATGATGTCACAGAGACGTTTTTGGACGTGATATTCTTATCGTGTTTCCTTATTTAATCGTTAGCTTTTCATGCATTCGAAGTATCGTGAAATCCCAATTGATCAAATTATTATGCTATAACAAGTCGATGTTAATATCGACGTATTTTTTTTTCTATAAACAGCTATGACGATCAACAGAGCAACACAAAAGCAGCTACCATGCAACCGTTTCAAAAAATTCCGAGACAACCGACAACCGTATATAATGGCACAAACCGTGACAGCACCCTTTAACCGCTTCAAAGGAGATCATACAGCTGCTGCGCTGCTGCTGACTTTCCTGTAACTCGATGCGCTCGATGATCAGCGCGGCATAGGCTGTTGAGTACATATTGCTGTCAGCAACCGTGCGATTCGATCGATATGAAGGTCTCACTCCGATGCCGTTGGTTCAACATCTTCCGAAAAAATAGGAATTTGAACCCTCAGAGTAACCAAGGTCCTGTAACAAGGCCAGTAAAAAAAATATTGGGTAGATCGTTCGTGAACCACATCAATCGCCCGTATTTCAAGCTTTTGCGTGCTGACACATCAAGATCTGAATATACGCGTTGTACCAGCTGCCTGTAGTTTTACATGTCAGTTTACGGCGTTTGAAACTCTGCACAACTACACTAAATTATCTTGGCCAAGAGAAAAGATAGACGCCACGCATCATGACCTGAAGAGTGCTGTCCGCGATCGCCGCTGCCGTTCGAGTGGGTCGGATATTAGAGCCTTGGAGCGCGTGTGGACTTGGTCTAAAGGCGATCAGCTTGCACCTAAGAATTCATAACTCTGCAAGGCTCCTTTCGTGATCGTTTCGTTGTCTCCATCGGGCGCTTCATGGCAGATGACTCGAGGAGACGGGCTGTCCTTTTCTTTTTCTTTTTTTTTTTTTTTCAAGCGAATACGGATGGTTTGATTGGCTTGTAACACCCTATTTTTCATTGGCCAGCCGTTGGCGGACTATGACTTGCTTTTCATGGAGTTATGCTCTCATCACATCAGAGCGTGAGAGTAATGATTATGCTAAAACGTCATTCAAAACCCTAATGCAGGTTACTGCACACGACCACATTCTTTCTTCCACTTGTAACCATGAGTGTACGTTGCCCATTGCCTAAAAAATGCTATTCCCCACCGTATCAATTTTAGCCTATTGCCTGATTTTAACGTTTCATGATAGACCGCTCCACATCTTTCAGCTCTTCACACACGCCTATTCCAGGCTAAAGACGAACGTAAACTTAGGTAACCTCTCTTTCAGCTTCATTGTTACAGCAGCGAACTGTGACTAAACGCGACACAGCTTCAACGATATCGGACAAAAACTTGGACGCGATGAGGTCTACGTTGCTGCCATATTCTACGGCCAGGTAAGGATCGGTCCATACAAACCAGTAGATACAACAGTAGCAAAAACATGCCCCTGATACTGGTCAATAATATAGGCCAAGCCCAACGATGAGGAGTTGGAAGGGTTGTCCAAAGTGCTAAATATTCCTACGGCTCATCTCAAGGACGAACTGGGTAGTCATTTCTATCCTAGCCGTGGCGGGTAAAAGATTTATCTAGTGTCCTTTGTAATGCAGCTTAGGTTGACCAATGGTTTCGGCAGTTTGACACAGATGCCACCTACAGACCCTACTCTTTATCGATTCTACGAGATACTGCAGGTATATGGCTACCCATTGAAATCCGTCATCCACGAAAAGGTATGGACTGCATATATCTGGCTTTCTACCGTTTTTTTTTAACCGATCACATCACAGTTTGGTGACGGTATCATGTCTGCCATTGACTTTTCAGCCAAAGTAGACAAGGTAAAAGAGGATTAAAATTGACAACTGCCCTATGTATACAACTAATGGGAATGACGTTTGCAAAGGTTGAGTCGGAGAAAGGTGATCGCGTTAAAATTACGCTTGACGGCAAATTTTTGCCTTACGCCAAATGGTAAAAACATCTGTGTATCTCGAAGCTGTAAATTGTTGTATCCGTGCAACAAGTGGTAGATTCTTCTCAACCTATTGTACAATTCAGTGTCTACTACTTTGTGAAATAAATTACGTTATCCGGATTGCTCGCTTGTAGCTTGGCCGTCTACTGGCAAAACACATTTAAACCAATGGCATCAAAAGCCACATTGGGTGAAATAATCATGGCTTCAGGACGCATTGCCATCATTGGTGAATAAAGGTTGAACCACTGATTGAAGACACGGTACAACCGTGATGCCTATCCGCAAGCCACTCTAAGCATACCATGATATACATTGGAGGAATGAGAAGATCTTGTCACACATTGTTACGCCGCTCAAATAAACATAGGGGAAAAAAGTTTCCAGCTGTGGCCAGCGATGGTGTAACCGAGATGTAACGGTTTTTAAAGATTCAGTGACCGTGTGCGGAAGCAGTTTTTTCTCTTCGATCTGTTTACATTGTAGGGCATACTCCTTCCTTGCCTTATTTTTCTTGAACCCTCCCCACTCTTATAATCGCTAATCAAATGGCAGAACCTCAGCCCACCTTTGTACAAGCCAAACCTTACAAGGTTGATCTGGAACCAGGCAAGGTAAGCCAAACTGTATTTTTGATCTTTATCAAATTCACTCACGTCTTGTTTATCTCAGGATTACTATTGGTAGCCTTTTTGTCCAAGATTCGTGATGGCTTGATGTGATGCTTTTTCAGGGCTAATCAATGATGAAAATAGGTGCACTTGCGGTGAATCCAAGAATCAACCCTTTTGTGACGGTAGTGTGAGTCTTCTATACCTCTGCAACGTCTACTACACCCTTCGAGTTCTCTAATGATGGAATTAAAATGGAGGTAGCATAGAGCTGCTGGTCAGTTCAAGCCAAAGAAGATCACCGTAGACGAAGCCAAAACCTATTTCTTGTGTGGATGCAAATACACGCATGACCAACAAGGTAGAAAACCGCAGACATATGACTCTTTACGCAGAAAAATACTCACAGCTTTCGGTAGGATTCTGCGACGGCACCCATCGCAAAGAAGAAGGCATCAAAAAGTACAATGAATTCTTATTGAAGGCCAACAACAAGCTGAAAGAAGAAAAGGAAACCTTCCTCAAGGCCCAACAAGATCTCAAGGTAAAGGTTTCTACTAATGTCACCTCCGATCTGACCGCTGACCCTGGTCTCCCTTGAACATAGGTTCAATTGGAAGCGGCTCAAAAGAAACAAACGATTGCCAATATTGTGGCTGTATTATCCACCGGCCTTGTCGCTGTTGGTATTTTCGCCAAATATTTTGCGCTTGTCAACAAGCAATAAATGATGTGATTTTTTTTTTTTTTGCGGTTAAAATCTATGTAAAAGGAGCTACGATATGTACATCTGTTTTTCTCATCGATAATTGCTGTGATGACTGCCATAGGCCACATAACTAACCGCTTTTTGGGTGTCATTCTCGCATGGTTGCAGGAAGAACGTGTAATCGTTCTCGCCGTTCAAAAAGTGGTAATGCTGGGTATCATTCCAAGTGAATGGTGAGTCGCGAAAACCCCACACCGTCAAGGAAGCCCAGCTTTCGACAGCGTGCCCCAACATCATTTTTCTGATAATCGTAAATGAGAGGCGAGGAATTTCTTCACAGGTCATGGATCATGCTTACCTCAGGTTAATCATGACCTGTTTGATGAAGGATGGTGGGATAAGCCCTTTCCATTGGACCAACGTTCCTTGGGCGTTTTGAACCGATGGCTGCGGTTCCTTGTACACTGAAATATAAGGTTCGGATCGATCACTGTCTCTTAATCTGTTGTTCATTGTTTTGTCAGAACTCTCATTCAACAATCAAAAATGCTTACTTACCGTTTCGCTCTCACATGTGCGAGACCAAGCCATTCCATTGCAAGAGACACTCGGTGCAGCCAATCATCCACTACTTGTCCGTCCTGATTTAAGCCTTCAAAAGATGGGATATTCACGCCTGATAATTCGGTGTATTCGCATTGGAAAGGCACTTTCTCAGCCCTAATATTCTTTGGCCATGGGATATCTTCTGTATTGCCGGTTTCTGTTGACGGTACCCAGTCAAAATAGACGTTGATATAGTGCCATGACACCCGATCGCGTTTGACTCACCTGTGTCAATAAGAGCAGCGACTATTTTGAATGGACGGTCCAAATTGTTTTGGAGACACCATAGTAATCGATCGTATCGCTTGTCGCCAGGTTTCATCTTGGCATCCCTAAGATTGATCTGGACAACTGTTTTGGGAGCCATTAATATATACGGATAGCCTCACAGGTGTACAGCTGTTGAACAGAAAACGTACTATGTTTTTGTCTTCGTACGTCTCCCCTGCTTTGCTTTCGGCCCTCCAATCCCAATTCTTCGTATGTGGACTTTAGCAGGCTGAACGTCAGGTTACCTATAATCCGAGCGATATGAGAGAACGTCGCTCACCGCCTCGATATAAAAATGTACCAACCATTGAGATCCAATACGACAACGTCGTCCGTGTCCAATTGTGTATCGATACTGTGAAAGATAAAACGTCGGCTTGCTGTGAACTCTGTTAGCTCAAAAAGCACCTAGTTCTCAAGACTGAAATGGCAAACGTACGCGACTGAATCTGCAGATCACAAAAACCAGGTTCCAAAAGATCAGACAGTTTTGCTTCCACTTTGTAGTAGGCGCCAACATCGTGCTGCAAATGCTGGCGTGCCTTGTCTGCTGTGCAAAACGGTAAAAATATAGCGAGCTGGTCGACAATCTCGCTCAGTCAAAGTTGGTTGGTTCCAGTGAATCGCGCGCGGTGTACGTACCTTGTGATTGAAAGGATGGTTGTCGATCGTCGCTTGCCACTCGATCGTGTGTTTGTTCAAGTCAAGGGCTGATACGTCGGCATGACCTGTTGGTATTTCCGGATGGTTTAGGTAGGCTGCTTCACTCATTTGGCGGGACAAAGAATACGATGAAGTTGACTGGCTGAGTGTCAGTAAAGCAGAAGAAACTGGTAAGACTTGATGAAAGATAGTTAGAGTGTGATGTGACGGGCTTTTCCTCCCAATTTTTCTGTCAAATTCGCTGGCAGAAAGCCAGCCAGCGGCGAAGCTATCCATTATCCCGTCTTTGACATCTTTTTTCTGAATGCCATGCATATTGAAATTGCACAAGCTGTTGACTTCTTTGGAAGATTACTGAATACAAAGATAGACCATGACGGTCTCTCCCGATTTAAAGAAGAGCTGGCGATTATTCTGAAGCAACGATTTGCAGATCATTGGGATCCACAGCAACCTTTTCGAGGCAATGGATATCGAGCCATCAACAACTTCAATGGGCTCCTTGATCCCGTGCTTGGCAAAGGTGAGCTTTCTGACACTCTGTTGTTTTTAAGCTGAAATTGGATTTATTAATACTTGAGTACGTATGGGTTTCCAGCCGCCGAACAAGCCAAAGTGTCTGCAGCTTCCATACATACAAATTTACCGCGCGATTTTGTGTTATGGATCGATCCTTTCTCGGTGTCTTACCGTGTAGGCGATCACGGCAACATCATGACCCTGTTCGAGGACCGTTCCCGTGGAAGAATTACGTTCAAGGTGGATCCTTCAATAACGAACCATGGAACGCCCAGCGCCACGGGCAACGGATCCGGGAATGGAGCCAACGCTAAAGAGGCTATGACCAACGGTAACAGTCCACTTTTATCCTTCATCCAGCCTCGTACTTCCACGCCGATCCGTATCTCTCCTCCAAGCAGTCCCGAAATGATGAAACTGAAAACGCATCTTCATCAATCCTCTCCCCTAGCCAAACAAGTTCAGACCCAACAACCGGTGTCGGAAGAAAATGATGACGATAAACAGCACAAACTTGTGATGGCCAACTAAGTTCCGCATTGGCAAACCCTTGATCCCATTTCCTTCACTTGGTTTCCGACCTTTTTCTCTCTTCTTATATATAATGCTTTGTCTTTATTTTGAGCCCTCCTTCGATGATCGAATTTCCTTGGTTCATCATCCAGTACATAGTCCCGCAGATTTTTTTTTTCTTATTCTCTGTTCTCGTTCTTTGTTTTTGTTTGTCTATTATTTCACACTAAATAAATGATAAGATTAAAAGCTTCCTCTACGTTGTAAATGTTCTCGAGCCGATGTACGAAATGAAGTGCTTGGATTCTAACAAAATCGAAATGGTTATTTTATGCACGGGTTTTTTTTTTCGGTTAGATTCGCGTTGATCAACCTACCCTTTGTATGTCGGCTTCGACTATCCTTTTCAGACCAATAAATATGACAGCGTAAAAGGTTCCAAGGGCGAGAATGACATATATAAATCGTTTCTACGGGGGCGTTTGTGCGTCAACTACTCAATCAACGTGACGAGGGTATTGCCTTACCTCTTCCAGAATCTGTTCGAGTATGCGTCGTGATGCTGTTAAATAACCCAACCAAAAGGCAAGCACCACCCCGACGAGTATGTGCATACGCTTAATTTCGAATCGAGTTCAGCACCATCCAATGAAAAGAATGTGATGATGAGCGGGGGACGGTGTGCAAGCCGAGATGGAGGAATCCAAAAAGAAAAGCACACACACAAGTTTTTCTTTTTTTTTTTTCCCTCTTGGTGATACAATGTCTGTCGCTCTGACATTGCGGTAATTGAAATCATTTCAAAGCACCGCGTGCCTTTCTAAATTTGGACATCTCTCGCATCGCCACACAGAAACCTGTACGCTTCCAATGCCCTGTAATGTTTCCAATAGATACCATGTAACTAATATGCGAATTGTAATATATAAATGAACTAGTTTGATACCAATTAAATAGTATATTTTTTGATGCACTGATGTCCGTAGACGGGCACTGAATTGTGGGATAAGGACCCGCTGGGCACTGACGGATAGGCGGATGAGCGGATTACCAACGGTTTCGGAGCTTGTAATATCACAATCCGGCCAATGAGAGAGTATACGATTTTTGTATTTTAAATGCGATCGTGCGCTTGGGTGCAGTGTCACTGTAAACCATTTGCCTGCCGCAGTTAGGTAATGGGAGTTCAAGGTTTATGGTCTTTACTGGAGCCTTCTGCCCGCCCCGTTCAATTAGAGTCGCTGCGTAATCGCAAATTAGCAGTCGATGCCAGTATATGGATTCACCAATTTATGCGCACTATGCGTGACAAGGAGGGCAATGCTCTGCGAAATGGGCATCTTCTCGGCTTCTTCCGCCGTCTGTGCAAACTTCTTTTCTACAACATTAAACCTGTGTTTGTTTTTGACGGTGGTGCCCCTGTTTTGAAGCGTTCAACCATTGTAAGATTTGGCTCGTAATTGACATTAGGGGTCTTCCTTGGCAAAGACTAATACGTTTATGAGTTAGCGAGATCGCCGACGACGAAGGGAAGGAATGGTGACGAATTTGAAAAGGACTGCGGAAAAGATATTGAGCGCTCAAGTAAAATCCCGAGTACTTATGGAAGAGGAACGAAGGTGGGTCCATGGTTCCTTGATCGAAGCTGTATGCTTTCTTTCCCAACTGATATAAGCGTATGTTAGGCGAGAAGGCGCAGCTGGGGACAGTGTGAAAGAGGAGAATTATGTGTACTTTGACGAGTTGGAAAAATCGGCGGCTGTTGAAGAATTACGGCAAAGACGGAAACGTGATCAGTACGAGTTACCCACTATCCCAGAAACCAGTGTGTCGGCTGGCGTTGATCCTCGTTTGGCGACGAAAGAGGAATTGAAAGAATTTGTCGAAGAGTTCAAACCCGAGGATTTGGATATGGATTCGGAGACGTTCCAGGCCTTGCCGCCAGAGATCCAGTATGAGGTGATTCAGGATATCAAACTTAAATCAAGGCAGACTTCCTGGAAGCGCCTGGATGAAATGGTCAGAAATTCAAAGAATGCTTTGGATTTCTCCAAACAACAAATTAAACAACTTGCTTATCGAAATGAGATGACGCAACGTTTACTGAAGATGAACGAAGTCGCCAGCAAAAGCGATTACCGGTCTGCTGTTCCAAGCCGTATTGCCAGCGAACGTGGCCGAGAGTATATTCTAGTAAAAAACGAAAACATCGATCAAGGCCTCGGCTGGCGCTTACCAGGTCTGAGCACAGCTGATAAGAACCAGGTGACCGATCAAACCACAAAGTCGAGTACAAATGTTGTGAAAGATGTGATGCCAGAGCCAGAATCACTGGAAACAGGGACTTCTCAAGGGTCACTCTCAAGGTAAGCCATAGTGCAGCCTCTTTCTTTTCAAGCGACCCCTATTGATTTCACACATAATAGTCAATCAGGTGATAAGGTCAAAGATGCTATTGCGGCCAATCCGGCATTAGCTGCATTATTTGCTGACCTTAGCAGCGAAGAAGAAGAGGAAGACGAAACCGGGCAACCAATCCAAGAACAAAGCAATGATCTGAACGAACAAGCGATGGCTATCAAAGACGAGTTCGTGCCGGAGCAGCGTCTGATGAACGATGAAACGATGAATGAGGAACCGCTATTCATGGATTCACATAAAGACGTGCTTATGCAAGGCAGTTCGACAGTAGAGCCAGCCATCGCTAGTGGCTCGTACAGTTCCAGCAATGACGTAAAATTACTGGATGATATGCGTGCCTACGTTCACGACGAAGAGGCTATCGACGACGTTATCTCAAAGATATATGGGTACGAAGAACAACAGCATCACGATCAGCCGACTTCGCCTGTTGTTTCTCCGTCACATGAACTGAATGATTTGGCGTTAGATCCTCAGGATTATCATCAGCTGTGGCTTTCTCGAGTTCCGGATGCGTTTGTCTACCTCCATTCATTCAACGACGAGTACAAAAAGATCATCTACGATGCAATCTTTGAGAAATCGCCAGAAGTTCTTCGAGCAGATATCAAATCCTTGGGAAAAGCAAGTGCCTATGATGAATTAACGCAAGAGTCCTTGGCATTTCGACAACGGTTTTTAGAAACCACATACCAGTGGAAATCAAGACAACTTGCTTTGGACAATGCAACGAATGAAGAACTGCCTCCCACAAAAGTCGATACCCAGCAGGAAGCCTTGATTCTCGATGATGATGAGGAAGAGGAAGGTATGCAATTTCAATTCATGGAAACGGCTCCAGTATCCCAGCAGGAAAATGCAGTACCAGAAGACGTTCCCAAAGATCCAAAAATCGATATTACGCAATCGACGCTTTCCTGGGCCACTGCATCGCAATCCTCTCAACCCTCGAACTTTCAGGCGGACGAGGAATCGGCGAAAATGGATACATCTTTGCCGAAACCGGATAGCCATGGGTTAGTGTCGGGATCTCAAGGTACCGAGCAATCCCTTTCTTCTGGAATGGAGATGGAAATGGAAAACGAACCTGCATCGCCAATTATCAGCAAAGTCAATCAAAACGTAAAAGACGACCCGGTGCCGACAAGCAACAATGTTGCCGAATCGATTACAGAAGAGGAGCCTGAATTGACAGATAAAGGCAAAATCGGATTGAATATAAAAGACGAGCCGGTCTCGACAAGCAACGACAATGCCGAACTGGCAGGCAAAGGCCAAGTCGAATGGAACGTAAGAGAAGAGGCGGTACCGACAGGCAACAGCGACGCCGAATTGAATGTGGAAGACGAGCCAGTGGATATGTTGCATCAAACTACGGCTGAGAATCGGGTGTTTGATGTGCCATCGCGAGATCCGACGCCCGCAGAGGTTCTTTCAAATGAAAATGAGGCGCAAACCTACGTTCAGAGTGTGGAGAACCAAATTGAGGAACAAGAGGTAGCTGAACCTCAAGGGTATAATTCCGATGAAGAAGTGTTGCATGATGTAGCAGGGGAAGAAAACGAGTATGCCCGCTTCATCTCCTCCATTGCCGATAAAGACATCCAGAGTGTTCGCGAAGAATTGTACCGTGATATGAAAGAACTGAACAAACAGCAACGAAAGGAAATGGGCAATACCGACGATATCACTCAGCAAATGGTTCAAGATATTCAGGTAACCATTATAATTTTTAATAACAAGTCTTTTTTTGACTGATCATTTTGTCAACAGGAACTCTTGCGACTGTTTGGTATTCCCTACATGATATCACCCATGGAAGCTGAAGCTCAGTGTGCGGAGTTGCTCCGATTGTCGTTGATCGAAGGAGTGGTCACTGATGATTCCGATGTATTTCTCTTTGGCGCTTCTCGCGTCTACAAAAACATGTTTAATCAGCAGAAATACGTGGAATGTTACGTTGCACAGGACGTGGAACGGGAAATGCAATTGGACCGAAAGAAGTTGATTCAATTGGCCTTTTTACTCGGCAGCGATTACACAGATGGAATTCCCGGCGTCGGTCCGGTAGCTGCCATGGAGATCCTCGACGAATTTCACGATCCCAACGACGACAAGCTGGAAGCCCCACTTGAAAAATTTCGCGCTTGGTACGAAAGTAAAGAAGACCACACAGATTTTCAGCGTCGATTTGTAAGTGAAGTAATTTTTTGTTTGCCTCGCACTCTTTTTATCTGATTCGCCATTTGATTTTGTCTTAGCGAAAACGACACAAGGATCTGGAAATTCCAGAAGACTTTCCCAGCCCTCTTGTCAAAGAAGCGTACTATCACCCCATGGTTGATTCATCAGGCGAACCGTTTGAATGGGGTGCACCGCAACTGGATATGCTTAGAATATTTCTCATGGAGGCATTTACCTGGTCAGAGAAAAAAGCTGATGAAGTCCTGCTTCCTGTCATCCAAGAAATGAACAAGCGAGCGGTAAGTGATGGCAATAGATTTTTTCATCCAAAGCAACAGCTTGCTCACTGATATCCAACGATATCTAGACGGTGGGTCATCAATCGAATATTGCTTCCTATTTTGATCCCTCGGCTGGCACCTCGGCCGCATTCACTCCCCATAAACGAAAAGCCCATTCCAGCAAACGGGTGCAAAAAATTGTCAATCGATGGCAAAACGAAAAGAACGCGCAACCCGAAAAAGAGGCCGACAAGGATGGGAAGGAAAAGCAGATTAAGCGGAAACGAACCCGCCGTGTGTAATATATTAAATGTTTTTTTTAAGTAGAGGGAGTAGAAGATGAGGGAATGGAAGAAGTAGACTCTTTGTACATAGATGATGGACCGGCCGCCGGTGGACGCCAACCGATCCAGTATTTCACTTTTTGCCAATAATGATTAAAGTAATTACCGAGAAGCAGCATGGTAGTGATGGATTGTTGAGAATCATCCATCTTCTGTTCGAGAAGGTCGACTTTGCCGTAGAAAGCACATACATTGTCTTCAATATCTTTCAAATAATCATTCAACACATTGAGTTCATAATGTAACTTGGCGCTTTCATCTTCCACTTCTTTTAACCGTCGTTCCGTTTCATGCTGTTCTTCAATCACTTGTTTCGCGCCATGCTGTATTTGTTCAAATTCTTTAAATCGCCGCAGATACGTGGCCCGCAGTCGGTTAGCGATGACTTCATATATGTGAGTGGTTTTTTGCAGATTAATATAGGTTGCTTTAAGGGACATGTGTTGTCGTCGTAGTTTTTCATAAATGATATAGGTGCGTACGTCCATGTGAGCGGATGGCCGTTGGGATGCCTGAGATGGGGTATCATTGAGCGTGCGGTCGACGGCTGTGGCCATGACCGCCACAGAGTTGGCTCGTTGGATCTCGGCTCGTCGCAGATAGCCTTTCTTTGCCGGTTTACAATGAAACACATGGGTTTTATCGTACTTGTAAGCGACGGCACTATCGGACATGGAGCGCGTGTGTTTCGTGGACGGATAAGGTTTTTCAATTTTCGTGAAATCGCGTGTATCCACATCGGCCGAGGCAATAAGTGGTGATGGATGGGACGATGACGGGGATGATGCACAGCTAGAAGGGGATTCTCTCTCCCTGACGGTTGGCGGGCTTGTGTCTTTGTTTGATGGGGAAGTGTCTGCAACAATATTCGGATATATCAGATAACAAAACTCCAACTAGTGACCATTCAATCGATCAATCCTTACCCGAGTCTATGTTCTCAGTTAAAATGAAAGGGGTTCGTATATCAGGTTCGGATCTATAGCTGCGAGTCATATAGAAATGAGAAAACTTTGGACGTCTGAAAAAGAGAAAGTCAAAGGATCGCAAATCTACCTGTCACTGTGCAGATCGTCATCCGATGATATTTGCGTTTCGAAAGCGAGAGGTGATGGTTTTCGTGCCAATGTGTGCCTATTGACGGTGGGCACGGTGTCTTGTGACTGGGCACGGGGTGATGATGATGAGGTGACAGAGGGGTAGGTCGGTGAAGATTTGGTATGCATTACTTCAGCAGGTCGGGTGGGAGACAAACTTTTTGTTGGTGACACGATATTTGAGCGTTCTTGTTTGGCATGACGATGATCCGAGGTAGAGATCCATGGCAACGATCTGAATAAGAAAAAAAGAATAAGCAAAAATCGAATATTTAATGACAGATGTCAATGCTGAAATCCTACCCGGCCACCTTGGACAGTATTTCGGCAGCAGCACCACTGGTTCGTGTCTAAAATAAAATAAAAATTAATATCCAATAAACATCCATCCAGTCTCGAAAAAATTAGAAGTAAAAAAACTTGCAAGCCTACCGTTCTAGCAGAAACACCTTTGATCATGTGTAGTAGTTCATGCTGTTGTTTTTCTGAGTCATTGCCCAAACCACCCTTTAGCTTTGGACGCCATATCGCTCTTAAGCTTTCAATGGTTGCGTGATCTCGAAACACCTCGGGTTCCGAAGCTTCATTGAACAGAGGCGAGTTATGAACTCCTACACACATACATACAACCAGTTTAGTTCGAGAGGCTTGCAACCAATAAAATTCATCAGGCATTACCAGAGATATCGTCGAGTTTGGACTTGATGACATTGCGAACTTTTAGCTGTCCAACGCTGTATTCATTCAGCTTTCGCAATGTCTCCAAATCAATCAACTTGGTGCGTTTTAGATTCTTCACGCGCTGTGAATGTATCATAAAGTTAGATTAGCTGTCACTGACTAAATAGGGACGTGAAGAGCAAGATATATACCTGATATTCTTCAATGTCATATCGAAATAATTCGTAATCAGCGAATGGATCCTTGATGGTCTGTCGTGGAAATAAAAAAAAAAGTTAGCTTTTGTTCACTAAACAAAGCCCACGCCACAATTATTCGCTTACGGTAAAGTTGTATGCTTGAAGTTTGTTCCTGCAAACAATAAGCTTGGTGATCAATGCGGTCAATAAATGGGGTTCCATCCAGGGCTCTTTCAATTGGTACTAAAAGCGGGCATGAGAATCATTGGAAGATGAATTCGGCATAGAAACCATCCAATTTTACCTCTGGTGATTTATGTGGGTTATAATGTGTGTAGAATTTCCAAAATGCGGCCATGGTTTCGTTGCATAAAAGACCGTCAATGTAATCCTTTTTCAATAGATTGAAAAGGTAAAGCGCCACTTGAGCCAGGATGACCAATTTAATAACGGCTTCTTCAAAGTGAACAGCATCGGCAATCTTATAAATGGAACGGAACTTTTCTTCAGACGCGGGACTGGGGAAAAAAAAATTGGAAAACCATGATTCATTATTTGTCAACGGATCATTGCATGCACGGTTGTTTTGATCTCATCCCCACACTTACTTTGGCTTGCGAAGATTCAGTGCACTGCGACCTGTACAATTCGATCGTCGCAAATTGATATTGACATAGGCCTGGCTAATCCATTTATCATAGTCGCCATCGGGTACCACGACCATATCCATATCGTAAGGTAACTCACTAGGATCCATCAACATGATTTTTCCTAGCGGAGTCTAAGAGTCCAAAGCACGCGAGAATTGCCATTTTAGTGATCTTGTCGTGGACGGTTTCACACACCTGCTATTGCAGGAGACACAAAAGCCATGCTTACGGTTTTGAGCTTCATTGGTGTGGTTGTTTTGAAAAAAGTACTCAATTCGGGACGTGGATGCTGCAAATCTGCTGTGGAGATGGCGATGACGCACACTTTGATCTTTTTTGTTTAAACAGTGGCGGCATTAATAATCCATGTCGGTAGCATAAAACGAACTTCATTCATTGCATTACTCTGTGAGACTGGTTGCCCGTAAACACCTTGACCGTATTGGAAGCCTTGTTTCGATCGCAAACCCTACAACAAACGATCGCAATGAATTATAAGCGTGCGTTCGTGGCAGAGAAAAAAAGGTGACAACTAGGACTCACCATTGCTCGACAATATAAGTTTGATAACCGGTTAATTCTGCATCTTCTTCTATAACGCCCAAGCCACATGAAGCGGCTACTTGAAGCGCTCGTTTCCGCTCAACAAAGACATACTTTGTTATATCTGCCATAAAATAGTCAGCAGGGAAAAAAGTAAGAAGGAAAATGACTGAGTACAGAATAGACCGACAGAGCCAAAAAGCGGGGAAAACGGATGTCTACAATCCAACTGTGACTTCGGATCCATTTTGGAAAAAACCCACATCTCAAATTTTTTCGATGGAACAGAATAAAATAAAAAATAAATGATACGTGTTTATTTTTTTTGGACTATTGCTTGACTCGGATCAGGTATCGACTAAATCCTGCGGCAACCAAGGCCATTAACCCACCAAAGGCTAACACAGGCGTGACGCTGGACATGCTGCTATCGTTATCGTCCTTGATAGCGTCCGTGGCCGCAAAGATAAACGCGGCAATAATAGCTACAGCAAACTGAGGGAATACAATGTACATGTTGTGAACGCCGAGAATCATGCCGGCGTCAAATTCTTCTTGCTGATCTTCCAGTCTAGCAGCGGAAGACGAGGATGCTTCATGGCCGATTTGTCGTCGTTCATCTTCGAAGCTGACAAACTCGCCCACCAAGGAGAACGGGATCCACAGCACAATGGCCCACGGGATGCCCATGACGGTCAAGATGAAAGTCGCGGCGGTCACGGATCGAATGAAATAAGTGGATAGTAATGATGCAGCGACAATAAGATGAGATGCAGTGTAGACGTTGGTCAGAGAGAATAGCTTGATTTTCTCGAATCGGATCACGATGGCTGGAATTACTAGACCGGCGACCACGGACATGATGGAATAGCACAACAAGGCAAAAGACCCTGCACGCGTACCGTCGGCCCAATTGCCTTGATCGGCTTGATTGGATGGATGCGAAGCAAAGTAAATGTCGGACACCCATTGCGTACTATTAATGAACATGTGCACCAACAGCCCCAATTCAATACACGGTCATCTCTTCAATATCAATTCATCGTTTTCTTTTGGTTTTACCTGTAGAACAAGAATGGGAACCAACCCATCCAAGCAAAAAACTGGGTATTACAAAGAGTCTGGATCGGCTTGGGTAAGAATCGAAACGCGCGCCAAATATAAACAAAGGTATGATACCACGGCCTATACAAAACATCGATGGGAGTGAGTCCGTGAACTACTCGAAAAAGTAGTAATGTATGGGAAAAAAAGACTTACAGATTGTCCTTTTCTTCTCTGTCAAGTTTCTTCTCTTTGGTGACAATGCATGTAATGGTGATGGTGATAACAAAAACAAGGATGGCCATGATGCAAAAGATCTTGATCTGGGTATCGCCTAGCCACGGAAAGTATTTCACAAGATCCAAAAATCCCACAAAGTAGCCAATCACCATGGCGCAATTACTCATGCGAGCGCTCCAAGCATTAGCGTAATCTTGTTGCCATAACGGAGGGATATCGAGAATTAAAGCTCGGCAGATCGCCTGCACAGCATTGAGGGTGAAATCGAGAAAGTAAAACGAAGCTACCGCCACCAAAATCGCATTGGTATGTTTCTACGCATGAAACCATCAGACCAATAGCAAAGCAGACTTTTTTATATGAGGGGATGGTGGAGTAACGTTGCTTACAGCGTAACGAAGGGCATCGGGATCATCGTCAGATACCGTTAGATGGGCAATCGTATTTCCGATTTCTCTTGCATAGGCAACGCCAATCATGGATAAGCAGGTTAATGCGCCAGCGACTACCATAAAAGGTCGACGTTTGCCAAAGCGAGACGTACATTTATCACTGAATGCGCCGATCAACTATGGTTCCCATCGTTAACACTTTTGAAAAATCAACCTCGATCATTTTACTTACCGGCTGCACGAGCAGTCCCGATAAAGGACCGGCCAACCACACCAGCGCCGTCAATTCTTTCGACAGATTTAGTGATAAAAGATAAGGCGTACCGTACCTACAAGACAAGAAAGAAAGAAAAAGGAACCACGATAAAACAGGTTATTTTGGAAAGAACTTGATTAGCTATACGATTTCCATCTTTTTGACCAGATGACGATGATCCTACGATAACTCCACGGTCCCTAAGGCAACATGATGTCAAAAATACGCGAATATTCTAGCCGGAGTTCCAAAGACGTACATGTAAACTGAACACCGGCCATGCATACGGTTAACGCCAGGATTTTGGCAAAACTAAGGCCTGGATCGGTCGTCGGTACAGGATCGAAGGGTTTGACATAGGTCATGGATCGTCCCGCACTGTTATAAGTAGAGGCCTCAAAAGACGACCGACGCCGGTGCGCTTTTGGACGGCTCAAAGGAGGCTTTTTATTCGCATGCTCCAAGAGAGGCGTCTTTTGATGAGGCTCACTCATTTAATCGCAATAGATAAGAATAGAATAATAAAGAAGTAACGCAAAAAAGCAAAAAGAGTTTGGCAAAGAGGAAAAGAAGAAGCGAAAAAAAAAGTTTGACTGGGGAAGTAAAATAAAAAAAAAAGATGAAACCTTCGTTTATGCCTGGTGGAGAAAAAGGCAATCGGTGAGACTGCTTTTTTCTTCTTTCCATTTCATATGACCTCCACATCTTTGGGTCTTGCTTGAATTTCGATCGGTGAAATGAGGGGGAGGATATTTGATTTATTGAGGTTCGAATGATTCATTATTAGGTTTTTGTAGACTGATAAAATGAAAATTACTATAACTATGATACTGTTCTACTTCGTATGACATTTTGTTGACCGCTGCTTCAAAGGCATGACGGGATTTTTCCGGTCGATCGTAGTGTCTTGCTATGGCAGGTTGAGACTTTCTTAACACGTGGACCATATCGTCGCGAAACATCACGCCTAATCGACCGCCCCACACACCAATGGGTAAAGAATGGTATTTTTCTTGATAGTTGTGAGCGTCTTCAGGTACGATTTCCGCCAATTGTCTCGCTAGCAACGGTTTGAATCCTTGACTATTAGCCATATCAATCACTACAGATAATCAATTTGGTCATATTACATTGTCAATGCTACAGTTTTTTTTTAGTCATTCAATGCTACTTACATTCATAATTCAGTTCGGCCGTGACAGGCCCAGTAGAGTAGATCATCATATCGCCTTCCATGATGCCAAGGTAGCCCCCAGGTTTCAGGATCCGCCAGCAGTCCTTGATGACCTGTCGATATTGTTCAAAAGTAAAAGCCAACACCATGAATCGAATGTGAATAAAGTCAAAACTTGCATCGTGGAATCGTTGTAGTCCTCGAAGCACATTGAACAAAAAGAGTTTGCAGTTGGCCGGGATACTGTTGGGTTCGGGAAATACCATGTCGCAGTCAACGCCGACCACTTCAATTTGGGGATATTGTTGAGCGATCTCGACGCACCAAGATCCGGGACCGCAGCCTACATCGAGAATTCGTCCCTCTTTCATGCTTTTGAAATTAATTGGTAGTACAAACTCACTACAGGGTTGCACTTCGTCAGTCATTTGGGCGTTTTTCCTATTTCTTTTTTTACTTTTTTTTCCCTCAGTGCGGGTTGGTCAACGTGCCTGTCAAACGCCAGTTTCACCAGATCATTTTTCAGTTGAAGTCGCTCGATTTCTTCTTCATCGTTTTCAAACAGACAGATCGGTTGATCGATACGAGCAAATGGATGAATGGTGGCGGATGAAAAATAATCGGTGGTGGATTCCGGTTGCAGTTGGCTGGCCGGTGGTGATACCATGCCGTGATCGTTTATGCATTCGCGATGGGGCGACAAGTCGACGGCGGTGTGGGATCGTTTGACATTATGTCGTTTGGCCTTTGATATAATGGAGGCAATGGTAGACGACTTGTTCCGAGCTGATGAAGCTGTGGTTGAATGTGGAACCTCCAATGGTTCACCCAGCGATTGCGACCGTGGTTTGGGTATGTAGGGTTCACGAACAGGGGAAGGTGGCGCCGATGTAAAGAATGAAAAGATACTGGGCGTCGACAGCTTGGACTGCCTTCGTTGTTTACGAAGGTGGGAATTCGTGTTGGATTGCCGCATGAGAAGGAAAACCTGCACCGTCTAGGCGAAGGACCAGCTCATGCCATATTTTTTTTTGATTCAGCGATAAAAAAAAAAAAAAAAAAAATTACAGAAGCGTGCTTTCATGCGGACTATCAAAATCACACCATAGTCCATAAAAGCGTCACGGGTCCAAACCCGAGGGTTTTGTGCTCGCCGCATTATCCTCTTTTGCATAGTCGCTGAGTTTTGCGATAACCAACTATAATAGTAGCGGAATATAACTTATTATTGTCATAGCTATTCATTTCATGGTAACGTATAAGTTGAAAAAATATAAGTTTGGGTTATTTCATTTAACTGATCATTTTCGCTGAAACATATTGGATTGCCTTCAATGGACATGTATGGACAAAAGATCGTCCGTGGATGTGGAAATTGGTGTCACATTTTACACTCCGACTGCTATATGTAGGTCATCTTGGAATTTACTGTACCTATTGAATGACGGTTCATTATATTGATACAAAGTGCCATTTTACAGTACCTCATGAATGATGACACGACATAAGCTCTAGGGAATTTTGTTGTAGCTTCGAGCGTGGGGGTGAAGTTCCAACTTGCTAGTGATGTAACACAACAAAAACGTTTGGTGCCTGCGTTTTAATTATACTCCGAAGTTGAAAACCATCGACGTAATGTTTCTGAATGATCATCATGCTTTTTTCCAGACCCAAAAAGTTGAAATCCGGGAACAAGTAGTATTCTTCAAGCCATAGTAATTATAATAAACAACTTTAAAATATCTTGCTTATTTTTGTATCGATGTACCATGGTCTCTTTTGTTATTTTTTACATCGTTGTCGGTGTGAATCGAGTGAGCGGAAATTTTCTCCACACAGCGTCTCGCAGTTTGGCCGACGTCCGACGTCATAATTTCATGCTTTTTTCGTACCTGTTGGGAAATGGAATTAACCTTTTTTTTTTCATTTGGGATTCTGTTATTTTTGTCTGCTTCTTTATCCGTCTTTGGCACAAAAAAAAAGATGAACACCATTTCTTCCACTGTTTCCCTCCACCCCCAGGCCACATTAGCAAGTGATGGCTCCGTATCCAATACTTCACATTCTTCTTCTAGGAGATTATCACAGCAGATCTCTGATATAGTCTCGGGAGGAGGCACAGCACGACATAGAAACAATTCCGTCTCCAAAAACGCACAACATTTGCCGCCTGATCAGGCCAATAATGAAATATTTCTCGAATTTGATGCGGGTCAGCAACTCATTGTCCGGCCAAATCGAATCGTACGAGGTAAAAATAGACAAGATCGTCCTGAAGGATCGACGCTGTCGTTCGGGACATCTGGATCGACTAAATAACTCGTCGCGCTAAAATCTACTGTAAAAAGGGACTGTCCGATTAATTGCCAGTACCACGATTCACGCCACACAAATCCGTATCAAGGTAACTTGAAGCAGTGTTGAGATGGTGATGGGAGAAAGGGGCAAACAGCATTGATGCATGGTTCTAGTTTCGAGCAGAAGAAACGGCCGCCGTCAAAGTACGTGAGGGAACGTTGGATACAAAAATGGATCGAATCGATCAGTCGGTCGTAACCTACTTTGAAGTCGATTCCAAAGTATGGGGCAACGAAGCCAGTGGTAAGAATTTGAGTGGGAAAGAAGCACAAAACTAAAAAGATCAATGCATTAAACCACACGATGTGAATGATCAATTAGCTTTCTCTTTGAGTTCATGGAATGTGCTGGAACCTGGGGAACATACATTTCAGTTTGCAATGAAGGTATGTGTTATGTGTGTGTGGGCACCATGTCAGTCAGGGCGAAAAAGAAGACATGGAAATTCCTGTATGACTGATCCATCCACTGTTGCAGTTTCCAAATGTGAATTTCCCTCCCTCTGTTGAAGACCCCGCCGGGTTCTCCATTCGCTATATTTGGATGGCGCAATTGGACGGACCCGGTTTCCGCCCTGGCCTTCGAAGTAAAGAATACGTGATGCCGTATCGTCCAATTATCTGCGCGCCTACACCACAACCTTGGGATTTCAGTGAAACCTTTTACAAAGACAAAAAGACGCCGATTGCTCGTGTCAAGGCCAACCTTCCTCAGCAGGTGTTTTGCCCAGGTAAGTCTTTGATTACATTCTTGTTTTTTTGAGGAACTAGGGTACAAGCTCATGAATCGTTACACAGATGAAGAATTCGACTTGCAGTTGGAAATTGAGAGTTTGCAGAAAGAACTGGTCGTCACGGGCGTATCGTATGCGTTGAAGAAATACTACGAAGGAAAGATTCTTTTGCAGAAAGGCACGGCACGGAAACTGCATGTGCGGACTGTCATGAATTCGTCCGTGGCCGTTCTAGGTAACGGAGGTTCCATACGGATGCCCGTTCACTTTCATATTCCTACCCGTCTTGTTTCACCTGCATTTGCTTCGCGGCATCTGCGCGTGTATTATGACTTGGTCTTCTTTATCCAGCTTGCGAATCACAGCAGTCTTCTCAAAAACACCTACATGGGCGAAGTGTCCATCCCCATCGCCATTGCCAATCTGCCCAACGATCAACTGCTGCGGGTCCCGGATCTCACAAGCGTGCAGCATTACACGGATTCCAAGGAAGCGCCCATCTTTTTCGACCCTTCGCTGGATGAACCACCGCAGCAAAACAGTATTCCCAGCGAACTGTGGGGCCCACTCACGGCGGCTTTAGCCACACCACCTACCACATCGCCGCCCAACTATTTCAGTCTTCCTTCGCTACCCCCGCAGTTTGGTCGTAAAGAACGTGTAGAGAAAGTAAGCTTCACCAGTCGACTTGTCAAAGCCGGATTTGCCCCGGAACTGGGTGATCCAGTTACTGTCATGGATTACAAAGACGGTGACTGGTGGTAAACCCATTTTTATATTTTTTCAATTCTTTGTACATATAATACTTACTGTATATCTACACATCGTCGCAAAATGCTTGATCCCCCCATCCCAATTGCCGAATATCCGACGTATTTTGCGTGTTCATACTTTACTCATCATGTATTATTTGCCCTTCTTTTTTGTTGATTCTTTTTGTCTGAGTCGGAATAAAGAGGGTACAAAGGAACACTTTTTTTTTTCTCCACTTGCCCCATAAAAATGACATTATCAATGGTATATCACTAAAAAGGTCATATTGAACATAATCAGGCAGAATTTCATAAGAGGTTGGGAAAAAATAAAAATAAAAGAGGAGTGACCATGTATTGAGAATATGAGGACCGCTGTTCAACAGTGGAGAATGAAAATACAAGCAAATGGGAATATGCTGTTGTAGGGAGAACCAATTGGGTGAGTTTTCACGTGGCTATTTTTCTGGATGTGTCAGAGGAGGAACAGAAAAAAAAAAGAAAAGGGTGGCTGAAGCAAGAAAAATCAAAGAATTGCAAAAAAAAAATGGTACCATCCGATTGCGACGAAACTTTCCCTGTTGAACCGATAGATTAGAATAGAGCCGCACTGACTGCAATCAAAATGAAAAAGGCAATGGCCGGGCCAGAGTCGTAAAAAGATGGTTTTGCCTGAAAAGGAGGGGCCAAGCTGCGTGGCATGGTATATGTGGGATGAAATGATCGGTTATGCATAGATGAAAGACCGGATGACAGTACGACACGGATAGCCGGGAATGAGGCCGCTGAAAATACGGGACGAGCCACAGACGACGATGATGGGTCGGAAAACACGGTGTCGGTCGAGTTGATGATCTATTAGGCGAGCAAGGGAAGAAATCTGGTTAAACGGGCTAAAAAGGCATGATACTAGCGCAAAGACGTACATTTATCGCTGAACATGGAACAGCGACTCGGTCAAAGATAAGTAATAAGCATAGAGAGACGATTGCAGCGTAATTGGAGCGATGCATAAGTAAAGAAAAAAGAAGCTAGTCGGCGTCACGGTGCCGATGGTGATGGATCCTGTTTTTTTTGGTTTTTTTTTTTTTAATTTGAAAAAAGAAGGAATCCTACACTCAATTGCGAATATCGTCTTTTAAGGTTATTATGTCCCCAATTATGGGCACTTCCAACTGTGGCCACTGTTGCTAAAAAAAAAAAAAAAAAAAAAAAAAAAAAAACTGAAAGTCGCTTCGTGACACTAGTAAATAACGTAGCAATTGCATCCTAAAATAGGATTCCTCAAAGTTTCGTTTGGTTCGGTGGTCCCGTCATAGCCATTGCTCAAAAAAGCCGGTGAACTCATTAAAGAAAAACGGCAGATGTCTGGCAGAAATTTCTGAGGTTGCATTGCAATTAAGACGTTATTTTTCTTATTTCGTGCACCTGTCCAAGCAGAGATCTCATGTGTTTGAGCTTTTGCTTCTTTTCCTGATAGAGTACGTCATTCTTTGCTGAGCCTTGGGTTTTGTAATATGGATGGTCGCGATGCCAGCTAGCATGCCTGTCATACGAACCAGATGTTACAAACCGTGCCTTTTCCTCCGTTCCAAGCACTTTTTATCTCTTGTGGAACCTTAACTTGGTTACAGAAATTGCTCGCCAAGCCAATGATGAAGAATCTGTATCCCAACTCATTATTTTCCCGCGTGAAAACTGATCCGACACAGGAGCTCAGCAAAGAAAAAAATACCCTTGATCCGTGGTTTACCGGTTCCCTCATGGTCAGACCCCACTTTACTATTCACTAACCAAGTAACAAAATGACGTACGATATCCTGTAGCATGACAGAAAGTACCTAAACATTTGAGGAATTCCCATTTTCTTTTTTTGGTCACGTATGATGCTCATTAAGTTTAAGCTTTACAATAAGGGGGTTTGCGTTGTTTCCGTGCATTTCTTTCTGGTGTTCAATCTAGTAATTGGAGTGAGACAAATATTCCTCTTGCCGTAAGTCCCCTCTTCGTTTCTAACTGGGGAGCCACAACTATTTAAGATGTATGGGTAGATGATATACAGGATGGAGGGTTTTTTCTATGGATATACAACTTGTGGATGCATCGAGGGTTTAGTTAAGTTTTGTTTTGTTCCGTCAATCTCGATTTGTATGCGCTGGTGAGTTGGATTATGAGGCGTGATTTTTGAACCATTGGCTGAGATTCTCGTAAACCAAAAAGGTAATGCACGTCCCCGGCAGGACACGCATGATGTTGGGTGCCAGTCCCTTGTAAAATCCTACATATCCTTCGGCGGCACGAATCTTGCGAATACAGTCCATCACTCCTTCATATGCATCCCTCGTTTCCCGGTTCTACACGATTTTTTTTTTTTTTTTTTGACATTAGCACGGCTGATGGCTTCCGTCGCCGTATTTTTGGTACTCACTTGTAGTCGACTTCTCAATACTTGATACGGGTAAGTGGCCACTGTTGCCGTCACTTTGGACGAAGCGGCCATTACAAGATACTCGGTGGTGCTTAATCGAGCATCCATCTCATGCTCAGGCGATGCTCCTTCCTTTTTTCGAAGATCATTTCGCCAATTCTTCATTTCCTCATATGCCATAAACTGTATTGCTCCATGCGACACGCCAAACAGCGCTGGGACCATGCCCCTGTATAAGCCTCGGATACCTTCTTCTCGAGCCAGTCGAGTCAGACCATCCCATAAGCCACGGTACGCATCCGGAGTATTGTACGTTGTCGTGCACATGCGGGTCTTGATGACCCACAACGGATTCGTCATCATCGCCGTCACAGCACCTGCTTCGGCCGATGCCACCAAGTGCTGCCATGCCGCCAATTTTCCCTGATCGTCTTTCTTCATGTACTTTTTGATAAGACTGTACCTGGTAACGTCGTTGAAATTCGTCGTTAATCCATCCTTGTCCTCTCTGCTTTTCCAAGCAACTATCCACTTACCACCAGAAATAAAACCCCCAACTCGCCGTGGCTCCCGCAATATTAGGCGTGACGCCTCGATACAGTCCACGGAAAGTGCCTTCCTTCTGAATGATATCTCGAAATGATTTGATCGTCCCGCCGATCAAAGGTCGTTTCTCTGACCGTTTCGCTGCGTCCACTAAAAGCCCGGATCACAGATTATTATACGAGAAGCCCTACCACTTCAGCCACCCGTGAACTTACCCTGGAATCGAATTTTGATAAGATCTAAAGGATGAAGGATGATCGTCGATACCAAGCCTGCACCAAACCCTGAAAGTGCTTGGTCCTGCAAAATATAAAAAAACCATTATCACCCGAACTCTTGCCCAGCAAAGAAAAAAACAGCAGCTTTTCTTACCATGTGTGGCGAAGAAGTAAAGCTCTTGGTTGTCGTCATGGATGTGGAATGTGGGGATGTCGAATCACTACGTCAAAAAGAAAAACAAAAAAGCAACCAGGCACTAGCTAATGTCTTAAACTTTTTTTTTTCATTCCTCGGTTGGACGAAACCATTTGTGACGCTTTTACTTTATTAGGTAAGTGGCCAAAAAATGAAGAAAAAAATCCCCTACGCTGCGACTTTTTTGCACCACCGCCATCCACACAGCTTGCGAGCGTCTGTAATGAAATATCTTTCTTTGATTGAAAAGGTATGCTATTGGCTAATTATATAGCATCCGAATGACGATATCATAAGAGAATTACCATGATCGAATATGGAGAAATACTGCATCATGAGCCTTTCATTTAATTTTATACATATTTGACAACATGTAAGAATAGAAAAAAAAATTACGTTCATGTGAAGGATCGCCATGAAAGGCCGCATAGCTATGGCCTACGAAACAAATTATGCTAACCTGGACTGATCCTCGAATACAAAACTGAGAAGCAGTAACTACAGTGTAACTCGTTATCTGGAAAACCCGCTGTGTTGATATCCACTCCTAGACTTTCCGCATGATTCGTCCTTGCATATGACATTTACTTGCAATCGTGTACTGATAATACGCACCGTTCGCCTGTTCTCAAGTTGCCTATGAATTACAGACACAAAAATGAAGCAAAATTTTTATTTCATAGTCAATAAGGTGATGACTTATTTTGTTTCAAAAACGTTGGCACATCTATTGGTAACGCAGAGTAGTATACAAGGCTGAAGCACACATAATATTTACAGCAGTGTTAGGACGAGTTCATCACACCGCGAACGCTGTCGACGATCAATTTCTCTCCCGAAGGCGTGGAAATCTCGATGCATCCTTTGGAAGATGGGGTGTGTAAAACGTGCCCTGGAGGTAGAAATTCCACAAATTCGCGTATCAAGCACGGATGTCCATTGAACAGATCCGTTACCTGCTGAACAACGTTGGTGGTACCAATCCTGAAATCGCTCATAATATGATTAGACAATGTACCATGGTCATCCGTAGATGATTTTTGAGGACCCTCTTACCGCTGTGATTGAAAATCGGCCATGATTTTGACAAATCGATTAAACACCTCGTCATCATCCATGTATTCGGATTTGATCTGCTCAAGGAAAGCAATTGCCTGTTTTTGTTTCTTGAGTTGATCTCGTTTGGATGAAATGGGTGGCATGATAAGAAATCTGACAAGGCAATCAAAATGGAGAAAGGAAAAAAATTAAAAGAAAGCGACACAGTTGTTTTGCCGGAAATATGTGTACAATCTGTCTATTAGACGAGTCTGGAAATGGTTATATGAGAATCCGAACCCCTTATATTCCTGATTTTAAGGAGATGAAATAAATAACATTTGGCTCATCCAAAAAATCAATAAGCCTGTAGTGAGCTCTTTCTGTAAAGAAGAGGTCAGCCGAACTTTTTTTTTCATCACATAACGTTTTTTTGGTTTTATTATTATTGGGAATGGTATACTTTTTTTTTTTGGTGGAGGGGCATACAGTAAGACATAGAGGCATAGGATGGGCTAAGAAAGAAAGGTAGTTGTCTGGTAGTGATTGCTCAACTTATGATTCATCGTTGCGATTTTTACACTGCCAGTGTTGGTAGGTCTTCAAGTGATGGTCCTCTTTGTTTCGGCACTCAAAGCCATCAATACACACAGGTCGCCGAATCACCGCATCTACACAAAGTAAAGCATGGCCGTTTAATATATAAAAAATGGTTGACATGCTGTGATAAAAAATCTAATCTTACCAGGCAATTGATCAGCCTCTTTCTGGAGTCGCTTCACAAGGAGCATGGTAGCCACCGAGTTGGCACACTTTGAACACACTTTGCTCGTCGAGGTGGCAAGGATTGGGGTGGTCCACCGTTGGCCTAGCGTTATCCGTGAGCTTTTTTTATGCGTCTTTTTTGAAAAGGAAATATCATCACCACTTACTGTAACTTCGAGATTGTATAAAATCTGGTAGTTCTGCATCAAATACGTCCTTGACAGTTTGATGGGCATGCACGAGGTATGTTTTGGCATATTCTTTTTCGTATTTGTTCAAGTCGGCATAGTTGAACGCTTCAAACGTATAGTCGCACAGAGGTTTCATATTGTTCGCGTTCACGTTCGATTGGCACAGGAAACAGCGGTTGCTGTTGCGGGTTACGACCAAGTACCGGATTCTCACTTGGGCTTCATCGTAAACAATGTATTCGTTGTGGTAAAGGTCCGGCTGTTCCTGGCGACTACCGAATTCGCGGCTGTTGACTTGTGGTTTGAAAGGCACAATCGGTCCAAGAGGGATTTGCATCTGTCAAACAAAACGGGGGGTTAATATGGTGCTGCTCTCGGACTCGACAAAAAGCAACGCGGTCCTTACCCCGGACGCATCGTAAATGGCATGTTCTGGATCGGGGACTTGTTTTCCCAATGCTTTCACCGACATGTGGCCTTCCGCGGGATCATAGCTTTGGTACCAATGGTAAACCATTTCGCATTCCTTTCCAAGCGCCACTTCACAAAGAAGTAGGAGACGATACGAATCATTATCCGATCCCGTGTAATTGCTGGCGTAACCATTTGCTTTGCTGAACGTGTCGGCGAAATAGATGCCTTTACCAAATAGTGCACCCTAAGATTCCCGGTTAAGTAACTCATGCAACAATACGAACCCATGATGCCATAGTACATACCGCATAACTGTGGGCGTGTCCAGGTCGGCAACGCAAACCTTGCTTCAACAAGCCCATGAAATTGCCGGCTTCGGATCCGTGCCACAACAGTTTTCGATTCTCGTTGGTTTCAAACGGTTTGAACCGTTCCGATTCCCCAGGTCGATCCACAGCGAACAAGTGAGATATTTCGTAGTTGCCTCGGCCAGTATTCATCAGATACCGGGATACCATATGATAATCGTCTGCTTCTGGTCCTGTGGGAGTCATTTCCTTCATTCGGCAATCTAAGGCACGATAGGCATACTCCAAAGGATGGATTTCTTGCAAACGATGTTTGGCGGCCAAAATCACATTGGCAGCAAAAGTAATGTAACTGACGTCGTTCAGTCGGGCCCTTTCTTCGTGAAACTTTTGTAATGTCATCAAAGGACTGATCCCGTACTTTTTGTCACTCTCCATAGGCAACAAACGGTAGTACGCGGCGCTTTTTTGACAAATCTCATGGCCAACCACTGCGGTGTCCGGCATAAAGAGAGAGAGAGAAAAAAAGATTTGGTTAAAAAATACACATCAGAAACCTTCATGTTGGCTACATACGTTTGCGCTCAGCGGCTTGTTTTGGATCGTTGGTATAGGTGGGTAGGTTCGCATATCGATCGACAAGGGCTTTGATATCCGTCAAAATAGCCGAAGCTTGGTCGATGGAGGTTTGAGGCACCTGACCAATGGGGACGTCCATTTTCGTGTTCTCATAACGATGCTTTAAAGCACGGTAATTGCAGAACAGTTGCATCGTTTGATAGATACTGTCCGGGATCGAGGTGGGGATATCAAAGGGAGCAAAGTCGAATGGTTTCAAAATCGGTAGGTGGAACGACGGAGCCACTTTGATCATTTGGAAACGTCCCGGTTTTGGTTGGAAATTCGTCAATCGGTCGTCCCAGTGATTCCCCGTCTTGGATTTGAAAAGCGCCTTGAACTCCGTCACGGCCGCGTCTCGTTCAAGGAACGGTGTCTTTTGATGCATGCCCTCTTCACCAAACGCACCCCAACGCGTCCACAGTACATACACTTCCAGCACGCGATTGTAAATAACAGACAGTTTGTAAAACCTACACACACCTTCCATCAGACTCTGCCATAGATTGTGAACCCAAAAGTCGACGAAGTACTTACATATTGGAATTGTAACCATGGAGCGACATATCAATTTTCATCACCATTATATCAAGAGGTTCTTCTTGTTCGTAAACGACGTGACCAATATTCTGAAGCTTGGAATAAGGATCCACGGGTACGCGATGAGAGCGATCTTCTTCTTTTTCTTCATCCTTGCTTTCTTCCATCGCTTTCTGAGCCTCCTTTTCTGCACGTGCATCGGCTTCCAGTATCTTGCGTTCTTTATCTGCATCGATTTCAACCGCCTGCATGGAAATGGCATCCATCTCTTCCATGGGCGTTGTATCAGATTCAGGTTCTCGTACCGTCACTTCTTCATCCCCGACACAACCAGAAACACCCAATTCCATCAGAGCTTGGTAAAGGGATGAGCTGAACCGTTCTTTGGCATATTGGCAAGCCGATAGTCCTACGAGGTGGCATTGCATAATGAGTGATGCGATTTTAAGTACTACTCTACTGCATTGGTCCTCTTACCATTGTGATCTGGTGTTTGAGCAAGTTCTTCAAACTTTGCAGCCGGTATCGCTTTACAAAGGTCCTTCAAGAAGGCGACGTTTTCGTAAGAGTAACCAGACACTTGATTCACCAAACGAGAAACAATGGTTTGCCCTTTTCGGTCTTTGACATCCCAGTCCAACGGATAAGTCGATTTCTTGCAAATCAACTTGAATATCGCCAACTGATTCAATATGACCGCATGGAATAATGCATTGACTTGTTCATTGTCATTCGAGTCCAGAGAGACACAGGTACCGCACGCATTGGGATCCGCCCCTTTTTGCAACAAGCGCTAAAACGTTGATCATGGAGTTAGCATAGTTTCTTGCAATCAATATTTTTTTTTTCCTTTGCGTCTTACATTCACAAGATCCGTATCGCCTTCACGTATAGCTACACCCAGCGGTGTCATGCCAGTCACCAGGTCCGCTTTATCGACCTCGGGGTGATGGTTCAATATCATATCATGATAGATCATTTGCTAACAATAAGTACGTCCCCATGAGTTGGAATGATCCCCATAAGATCTTGTGGTCACATTTACCGAAAATTTCTTCTCGCCATGTTGATCAAAGAAATAATGGTAAAAGATGGATCGTGGAATTTGACCGTCCTTCATATTGATATCCGCACCATGATCCAGCATTATCTATAAAAAAAAAGTCAGTGACACGGCGGGTAAGAAACCGACCCACAACTATTTCGAGGCGGATGGACGTACCTTGAGGTTTTCAATCTTTTCACAATAGCTATTGTACATGAAGCACGATCGTCCTTCTTCAGGCTTGAATACTGGACCATAGACATTGGGATTCGCCTTGTGAGCCAACATGGTCTAATGAGGATAACAATAGGAAAGCACGGTTCAATAGTCTGTCCTTTATGCCGTTTATCAGTGAAAAAGTTTTACCCTGAGCATTTTCGACGATGCTTTGCATGCTTCAAATATAGGGGCAATGGGGACACGGTGTTCTTTGTTATCGTCGTCGCGTCGAATCACCGTTGAAGGGGTATCCAGATTCGCACCCGCACTGACCAGTAGCTATATTTTTGGATCATAGATCATTAGTATCTGTTGCCACAGTTTCAGGACAGGCCAGGGCAAGGCAATCCTTCTAGAAAGGTTACCTCCAACATGTCGACGGTGATGGATTGACAAGCCACCAGCACAGCATTGGGGCGATCGTAAGCACTGTCATCATCCATTGGCACTTGTGCACTGAGAAGCAGACGCATCATATTGAGGTTGCCATTTTGAGTTGCCCGAAGTAATAAAGACTCGTGTTTGCTTTTATCTTGAGGCTCAAACGTAGTGGGACCAGACACGGCGAGCAAGATCTGGGTACATTCGACACTATTGGAAGAAACGGCATACCATAATGCAGACAAGCCGTCGGCATCGAAAAATTCCGCCATGGCTGAATTCAGCGAGAGCAAGTGGCGAAGCAACGTGGGTTGGTTGAATTTGGCCGCGTAATGAATTGGTGTACGTCCTTGCGTGTCGGCATAGATGGTCAGGTTCAACGGTGTAATACGATCAATAAATTCCGTCACGTATTCATCCCACGTTTCCCTATAACCAAATAAGCACATCAACTCTCACATTTTATCATCATTCTATCATTTTTTTCTCCCCTTGTTTACCTATCAAAAGGTTCAAATCCGCTCAACAGATGCCAAATGTTTTGATTGTACGGCGCCACGGTGCGAGAAAGGGTAGCATCATCCATGTCATGCATAAGGATATTCGCCAGATGAAACTTGCCGGTCTTCAAAGCATCAAACATAAAATCTGCAAAATACTCTGGTCAATCCACGACTTCATTA